CACAATTTTGAAATATCATCCCGGACGATTCGATTCGGCATTTAGGACGGCGTCAGCGATTTGTTAACGACGTTGTTAAAACCGGCGGAGATGGACAGATCGGGGGTTTTCCGGGTTATAGAAATAAAAAAAAATCGTCCGGAGAAGACTTGCCCGCATAGAAAACTCAAGCGAGCGTATAAATGAATTTCGAGCATCCGGACATACCCGCTATTAAAAAGCACACGAGTGAATAGATGTATGTATGAGTTACAAAAGTTATAGAGTAATGTAGAGTAGAAATTAGTAGAGAGTAAAGTATTGGTTAGTGCAGCGTGCAAACAACAAAATTTATGGTAAATATCGGGAAATTCTGGCGCTGGCTAAATAAAATCTGACGGGATATACAAGTCGAAGGGATGAGAATAGACGAGCGGCTCCCGATATCGATATCGCATCATCCCGAACTACATCATCGTCCTTAAATTGTTTACAACGTCGCGATCTCCCGAGACCGCGCCAACCTTAGGGTGAAACTATATATCTTATACTAAAAGTTTTAGGGTCATTTTACTGCTTATAGATATTTTCTTTGCACTACAACAGATTTAACCAGACGCTTTCGCGGTGTACTACATGCAAACTCGACAACATCAAATTCTGACCGGGGATCGTAAAATTTTAACGGCCGAATTTCGTATACCTACGGTTATACGGTTTAATTTTAATCCAGCCGGGTCAAGTGCGCATTAAAAGCATAATTTGGAAGTTTATGCAAATTCATGCAAATGGGGCATGCGAAATAAATCGGAGCCGAACAAGGAAGATTGTTGTGGAAGAAAAAGTTTGAGATAAGGGGCGGTAAAAAATGAAGTCGAAACTTTCGAACAAAGCGGTTGTATGTAGAGGACGTGCGCGATAAATTCCTGCGAGACCCCGCCGATATATATCAGGACGAATCGCTCCGGATGCAGGGGAACAGTTTAAAAATTTTAAAATTCGCGCCGCGGCCTTACCTAGTACAAGATGCCAGGGAACTGTTTTACAACGCTCGTGCAGATATCAAATATTAAATTGGTCTTGATTTACAATCGAAAAAATTGGAATTGTGAATGAAGCTTTCATAATAAAGCGTTAGTCTAAATAACTAAAAATTGTACTAGCGTATATAGATGGAAAAATTGAATAATACATTTTTCCGGTTGTCATTGGAAGGGAAATCAAACTTTGGAATATCCTGTTGGTTGTAAGTTTAAGTTTTGCGCCCGCGAGACATCGACCTCTTCGGGACGAGTCCCCAGGAAACTTTTCGTGTGTATGTATACCTGTTTGGAAAAGTTTCCGAAAACGATTTTCCGCCGTTCCTCGTCTTTAATTTATATCAGATTCCGAATCTATAAACCGAAATTCGATATGGAAATCGCGTTGTATACCCGGGATTTTATACCCGGAAAATGTCTGTCGGATTTCCATATTTACATGCCCAAGCGCGCATTTTTTTCAGTGTATTCGCATTCTACTACAAGGAGTGAAAAGTCGGCGAAAATTACATAATACTTATCGCGAAAAATGTTGTGATAAATCACAGCCCCCGGAATTCGGAATTAAATTTCCACCCTCGGATTTTCCATAATAACGCGTATTTACAAAACATATATTCGAATCGTCGCCAAATGACGAGCATTCCGAACGTCCGACGTAACTATACCGTAAATTTATGCCCAGATTTCCTCTCCCTCCTCCAAAACGTCACGGTATTTTTTCCAGTTGTTGGGAAACACTATCGCAAATACCTAAATCCCTTTCAGCCCCGTTTGAAAGTTTAAAATCAATTCGGTGATCCCTTAGCGAACTGCCGATTCGACGTTATGAAATTCCGGTCCGTTTTTCACTGTGTAAAACCCCCTGGAAATGGTCGCGATAAAATTTTATTGGTTCCGATACAATACCGGACCGATTCGTTAACGCAAACATTGTAACTGCGATATGAGACTCTGTCGAAGTTTTCGATTAAAAGGAACGTAAATTTTTTTTGTTGTTTCGTCAACAGGGGTGAATAATTTGTAGTTTGTAAAATGTTGCTCTTAGAGTGGTGGAATTGGAAACTTATTTTAAGCGGAGAGGAAAATTTGATGTGGAAACAAAGAATGTTTGTTGTTTTTTTTTTCGTTCGTACACCTTTGAACTTTCGTAAATGGATTTAAGGGTGTGCCTACAAAGGACTATTAATCATATAAGCTTTTTTTTCTCTGGTTTTACGCGAAAACCGCTCGATATTCCTTTATTAAATTCATACTGTTGACCAATATATTCCGGCTCAGTATTTTTATAGGACGAAGAAATACCGAGCTTGCCTTGCGCGATTTTTTCCAGGCAAAAGCAAATAGGAAAAGCAAACTGCACAATCTTTTTACCATTTTCCAAACTTATTGCAAACGATTTTTTCAGTGTAGGATAAAAACGGCAACAAATTCTCCATATAATCCGCGCATTTGTTTATACATTTCAAACCTTCGTTAGCCTAATCTATTTTGATTTGCGCGCCCCGTCGGCTAAACGGGCGAATTTTTAATCGTATTCACACTTTCCCGTGCGCATCCCTTATTCCCGATGACGTTCTACCTCATTAATATGCCCGCGGCGAAGTCGGCACTTAAACAAACACCCATTTAAGCCCCGCTACGTTTATTTGTCTTCTACACACTGCACTTTAATATAAATAGGCAGTTTTACATAATATCATTCATACTTAACGACTCACCGGAAGGGTGGAACTTTCAACCTATCAACGGGAAGTTTAAAAAGGACACGAGACGGCGCTAAATGGATGTCAAGTGGAGCGTTTAATGCGCTCGTGAATAGTTCGCACTACATGATATGCAAGCGATTTTCCAACGTATTTTTTCTTTCTTGTAGTAAGAGCCGATTCGGCGATTATTTTCTTTTTTGCGGTCGCACGAGCCCCCGGAGGGCAATAGGTCCTTTGCCAGAAAACGAATGAGGCAGATTAATCCGGACTTATCCCATCGACGGGCCGATCGGTCAACAACACATTGTTTTTTAATCTCGTAGAAAATCGGACGGGAGATTAATGACATCGAGAAGGCCAATTGGACCGAAAAAGGCGTATATACCGGGTGTTAAAAAATTCAAATTAAGCGTAAGAAACCCGCCGAGCAGGCAATAAATAATCGCGCCCGGCGAAGAAGATGCTCGTGAATTTTGATGGGGAACCGGATTATTAAGTCGAAGGACCCCGGAGAGTTCCCTCGACGAGCCAGGAAACGAATGTAAATAGCTTGTTTTGCATATTTTATCAACAACATTAATCAAACACTCCTAATTAAAGAGATCTACTGGCACATTTACAGGAGAAACAAAAAAATAGTATCCCCGATGAACGAGATATCGGGCGTAAGTGAAAGGATTAAACGTGATCCCGGTAATCAACCGGCGATAACTCGAACCCGGCTCTTCTTCCACGTCCCGCCGACAATCCCGATTGTCTGGGGCCGTTCAAGTGTCAACAATAATTAACCATCAACTAGGCGAACGTCGAGGTACACGACTTTGTAATTACTTCGCCCGGTCGCCGGAGGGCCCGTCTTGGGTGGCTCCCCGAGAGGTCTCGCGTCGGACGGGAAGCGCCGCCGCCGGCCAGCCGGTGGCGGTTTTTTTTTATTCGTATATCCGCCGCCGTGCGTTTGGCGTCTCGTTTAAATTTGGGTTAAAGATTAGCCGGTGAGGAAAGTAGATTGTTTTACTTGTATTGTTCCGTTTTAACGATGTATTCTCGAGTGCAAGGGAGGAAATTTCTTAGTTGGATAATGCCTGCTAGTTATGTTATATAGACTAATTTAACTAGTTATTGTTCTTAATAAGGGGAGTGGATTTAACGAGGGAAACTTTTGGGAGTTATTATAATAAAATTGACACGGGAAATTAGCGATGGGAGGGAAAAAATAAGTTTCGAGTGTCGGGCGAAAACTCTAATTGGAACTAACGAAATATTTAACGAGGAAAGCACACGTCGTACTTGAAACTTTCCGGCCGGAACGTTTGAATGGGACACGACAAAAGTGCCAAGTGTACGAATCATTTTGCGGGTTTCCGTCCCGATTTTTCCATACGCGATTTTTGTTTTTACGTTTTTCCCAAAGCACCGACCACTCTGCGGTTATTTTTCTGTTTTTTTTTTAACCGACTACTCGAACTATTTTACTAACAAACATAATAAGTATTATATAAGACCTGCTGTGAATTACAGAGTAATTTGAATAATTTTTTTTGCTAAATACTACGGAGAACCGGAACTCATTTTAAATTTCCACAAAATCGAATTACGTCAGTATTCATGGCGAACATTCGACAACAACAACCTTTAGATATCTGTGTATCGAATAGAAAAGCACATTGCACGAATTTAATCAGAGATATTTCTATTTGTTTGCGTTTCTTTTCTCGTCGAAATATATTATGGTCGTACGTTCGAAATGAATACGAAAATATCCTTTACCGTAAGTTCCTAGACATGTTTCGATATAATACGGAATTCCATTAAGGAATAGACTAGATATATTTTTATCATTTCGGCTTATTCGCTATGCAAATAATAAATCCAGAAAAATTCGACTGTTTCGGAACTTATTTACAAGGCATTATTTTTAAAGTTTTCATCAAACGGGCGACGGGAACAAACTCCTCCGAGTTTCCGAAAGAAAATTGTAATATGTCAATAAGTTATCCCATCCGCCGATACGCCGGGGAATCGTCTAGGAACTTCTATTACCTGATAGAAAACGGCAATTTATACGTGTTTCGCTCGATAACAACTCCTTTATGAGATTGCCCGACGTATTTTCGCTCCTTTTTTCTCGACTGGCGCAATAATCGAAAAATTAATTTCAAATCAATTGATATCCCCGAGCCGGGCTTCTTCTCTCTTAACGTTTGTTCAATTAGTATGGCGCGGTCGGTAGGATAAACATACTTTTACCGATTCCGCAGGGTCTAATGAATCTGTGTGTACTCACCTGCAGCCGGTGACAGTTTAGTGATGACGCCCCATCTCTGCTTCCACTAGAACAACAAACGCGAAATTAGTTATAAGCTTGTAACAAATGATATTCGGTTAGTGGTCGTTTTGTCATCGAGATTACTCCGGTCGGTGTATAAAATCGTGATTAGTTACCGGAGGTTTGTAATTTGTAACGTGTGATTTTATTTTGCAAGGATATAGTGTGGAATAATTTGCGATTTTTATTAGTTAGGAGCGTTTGTACATTTAAGGAGATTTTGAGTTAAAGGGCGGTAATGAAAATTTTTTCCTCGTATATCGTTTGTCATGACTAATATTATCAAGGTATAGTTTTATAATGTTTTTTAAGCAAACGTTAATATATAATGAAGGGACTCGTTTTTTTTTTAATAGCTCAAAAGGTAATTAAAAATAATATGTATACATGTACCTATTTATTTTTAAAATTGTGTAATATTTTCAGAAGTATTACAAACTTTAAGTACCTATAATTGGAGTATGGGAGAGTAGAATGTATTTGGAATAAATGACACGTTTTATAACAATCGATATTATTCTAAGCATTGAATATAACAAACAAAATTACATGGTTATCTGTTTTTTAATGAACCTAACAGGACCTTTGCTAAAAACATTTTTTTAAATTTAGCGAGTGGTATAGAAAATTTGGCGCAAAATAAATTCCTAACTGTAGAAGCTACCAAGAAATGTTTACCATCATAATTAGTACTATTAAAAAACAAATAATATTTTTGAATATTCGTATAAATAAATATTTGATATTATAATTAGGTATAGCAAAGAAACCTGAATACCTTGCATCTCATATACTAACGATTTTTAAATATTCATTTCCTATATTCTATTCCTCAATTTTCAACCGGAGTGTACTTTAAAAGTTTGTTCGTTAACCTCTATTAATAATTAGTATATTTGGAAAGCTAATTATAATTACCTATTATACCTAACCCTTTGTTTAAAAGGAGATACGAGAGTGAACCAAAAAGTTTTCATTTTCGCACTGTGACATAGAAAATTAACAAAATTCTGTAAAAACTACAGGATTGAATCGCCCGGTATAAAATTCATAAATTAATGAGTTTTAAAAAAATGTCTATTTACTTGCCGAATATTAACTATTAAACGATAACAAATTCAAGCTATATAAGCGTTTTACGATATCCTTAATGCGCCATTATTTGCATAAAAATGTAGAACCTTTCAGTAACATGACCGTAGCAACTTTGAATTAATTAGTTTATCTACTGTCAGGATTTTATTTATTGCTAAAACAAATAATACAACGGAATCAATGGATGATGTCCTATTGACTTGATGTTTGTTGATTAAATCTCATGTAGGTAAACTTGTGAAGTGGATTACCTTGAGTAATTACGAATTAGCTATATATACAGTACAGTATATAAAATATAAAAAGCAGCTCGTTTATGTTACTAGAAGACAATTAACCGTAAAATGAAGGACGAGATATCTTTGAAGACGATAGTTAACGGGAGTTTCAAAACAACCAGTCCGAAACCATCGGATCAAAAACTCGACTCGATATTCCTGTACGTATCAGTGCTAATTGGTAAGCAATTTTCGATTTATTAACCTAGAATAATTTTTGTGCAAAATTAAGGTCGTTAAAAATTATTTAATTATTTCCACTCACTTTCATTTGCTGGCGTGCTCAGTGAAATGTTGCAATGATTTGTAACATTCTTTAATGCTTTTGTAAATAGATTAAATGTATAATTTTACGCTGCTTAGTAATGTTTTCACATAAAAGAAAATTGCAGGGAAATTAAAACTGTTAATAGACTCGACATTGAAATTGTATAGAATGAGCAAAGCGGAAATAATCAACATATATAGCGGAAATAAGCAATCTATAGTGTTTTTTTGCATCCATTTCAGGTACATTACTATTGATCTCGGTTGGAATATCAGTGATATGGACCTCACCGGTAATAGGCAAGTTGAGATCGAACGACACCGAGATCAACCCGCTCGGCAGGCCGATAACAACAATAGAAATATCCATTATAGCAGGAGTACCGTCCCTCACCGACGTCATAGGGATGCTACTGATGCCGAAAGTATCCGACATAATCGGCAGGAAGCTGCACCTAACCTTCACAGCGATCACGATGGTGATAGCCGGCGTCGGTTTATCCTTCAGCACGAGCATCCTCTACATGACCCTGTGGAGGTGCCTGTTCGGATTCCCCGCCGCCTACACCGTCCTCTCCATCTACATAGCGGAGATCTGCGAGGACCACAACCGGGGCAAGTTCGGCTGCTTCACGGGGCTGCTGCACCAGATCGGCAACTTCTTGGGCTTCTTGATCGGCCCGTTTCTCAGCGTTACGTTCTTTTCGCTGGCGATGACGGCGCCTGCGATGCTGTTTCTCCTCACGTGCGCGGTTTTACCCGAAACTCCCATATATCTGATGCTGCGCGGCGACGAGGATAAATGCAAAGCGTCCATGAAGCGGCTCAGAGGCCACAAAACCGATCGGGAGATCGATGCGGACGTGATGACGTTAAAAGAGAGTTTGAAGGAGAAGAAGAAAGGGAAGATTGCGGATTTGTTTAAGAAGAAAGAGCACAGGATCGCGTTGTTGTTGGGCTGTTTGTGTTTGACAATGAAAGCAGCGTCTGGTGTAACTGTAATCTTCACGTACTTAGCGCCGTTCTTCGACCAAGCTAACACCAGTTTATCAGGAGATAACGTGGCTATTATAATATCGGTTGTTAAGATATTTGTGTTCGCCTTCACGTCGTTCATAGTGGATAGATTCGGCAGGAAAAACCTGCTGGTGATATCCTCCACCGCCACGGGAATCCCACTTTTCGCTGTAGGAGTATACTTCTACCTACAACACATCAACTCCCCTTATCTGGAGTACCTGCAATGGCTTCCTCTGACAGGATTCCTGCTGATGGTGATCACTTTCGGGTTGGGCGTCGGTCTGATTCCGCACGTGTTGATCACCGAGCTGTTTCCGTCGGATCTCCGGGCCGCCTCCAGCTCGGCGGTGACCTCCATCAGCGGCGTGGCGATGTTCGGGGTGACCTCCCTGTTTCCCATTGTGTCCGAATCGCTGGGGAACCACTGGTGCGTGTGGTGGTTCAGCCTGAACTGCTTCATCGGAGCTATATTGATCTACCTGTTTCTGCCGGAGACGAAGGGCAAGAGCTTCGATGACATTCAGGCGGAGCTCAAGAGTTACAAGTAGAGGTGAGCGTTTGGAATTGATGCGATTTTTTGGCAGTTGGAATTGTTTGAATTGTGTGTAAGGGTTTAATTTATGATTTGAAGTGAGTGCGAGATAAATGAGTCCTAAATACAAATATTATTAGTGTTGTATTACTAAATAAATATTTATTTTTTTGTACCATTTTTTGTGATAATTGTATTTATATTAAATTAAAAGGAAAAAGGATCCTTTTACCTATAATTAAATTCGTTATTTTAAAAACATCCCTACCGTTCATTATACTGATTATTTTTATTTATAATGCACCAAATGTAACTAATCACTCCACGTTGAATTTTACGCTTCGAATTTTTTAGAGGAAAAAAATCTGTTGAAGCAAAGCTATATTATCCCTCTACGAGGATTGTTATGCTAAAAAAAGTCGCTTTCTTTACGAATACGCCGAGCATTAGGCATTCCGAGCCTGCTTAGGCATTTATATGTACGTGTACGCGCAACAATTTCTCCCATAGTAAAAATTTGCATATAAATATGCGCCGAGGAAATTTACATTTGTATTGAGTACATAACTCATCTTATAGATGTGTTTTCTTACATTTTTTTATCGACGCGGAGTCGCGCGCTGGATTAATGAAAGAAAAAATCCACTTCCGAAATTATCGAGCAAAGTTCGGGTCATTATCTAAACAAGACAAACGGGTAACACTTCATTAAACGCGGAAACTTTTCCATTCGAAATCCCATATCAATGGATAAACCGATGATTGTTTTCCATTCATCTGCATTCGAGCCGGTTCATCGGACTCGATTTCCAAGTAACAAAGCTGCACATCGCGTTTACTAAGGCATATGTAATGATGATATTGTCCAACTTTGGTATTATTGAATTCCTACTGTGCATATCCATTGCTCGCTCTATACAAGCTGGATAAAGTGGTAAGTGAGTTTAAATGGGATAGTTTATCGAATTTTCCTTTCCGAGTAAAATTGTGAGGGAGGTCATGTCTTCTGATAAAACTATATATTTAATAATGTAATTATTAGTTAGAGAAGTTTAATAATAGAATAAAGTTCGTTGGAATAAAATGAACGTTTAAAATCCGCAAATTGCAAGTTGGAAACTTTCCAAAAAGTCGAAATTATGGCGGAATTCGCTTCCCAAAGCTAATATTCATTAACCTTTGTGTCCACCAAATTGAATACGTTGTTACATTAAGTAAATAAAGTTAAGATTATTCAGTTATCTACGATAAGATTTCCAATTATCTTTGAATAAACAATGACGCTTTTCCGGAAAGTGAGTTTCTACGGTTGAATGGAAAATGCGATTTTCGCGAAAATTTCGCCGTATTTAGATTTGAAGTCGAACGGAGCGACGAAGTGGAGAACTTTATCAATTTTGTTTGCCCAAACCTTCCTTTTCGAAACGGTTAAAATAAGCTTTTTGGGGAAGTTTTGTTTATTCTGTTGATACTTGGCAACGTCGGGGCATATCAATAATAACTAATTTCAACCGGCTCGGATCCGCTTAAGATGTTTGAACGGTTATTATCAAACTTCCTAATCATGTTTTTTTTTATATTCCAAAAATTCTCTCTAGTTTCATTTTCCATTCGAATGGCAATCCTGGCTCTCTCTTGACGCGAAACTCTAAATAAGATTACGGTTTATACATAAATACATTTTAAGTTCTTATTAAATATGCATTAGATGCGACGCGTTCGTAAATTTCGAAGAATAACAACTGAGAGTACACTAAAGATTATTGCGCAAACTAGCGTGAATAAGTAATCTCCCGAAAATAAAAGAAATTTTCCCGTTACTTTTCCCATCCCCAAATCCAATTAAAAAAATTACATTACCCAAATAACAACGAACTCGTTATCGGTTTTCAATCAATCATTGCCCTAATTAGCCCTTTACTTACTTTGTCGTTAAGAATCATTAAATTCCATCAGAGTCTAATCGCGAGTTTAAAAACGGGGAATTAACTTTCGCGGAAATTTATTGTCCTTGTTAGGACTTTCCGGGCGTGTCGATTGCTTTCGAATTAGATATTAGAATTTAGGAGGAGCGGAGTTTCCTCGACGCGAGAAAAACTAATTCCTTATTCCGTTCGGGAGAGCCGAAAAAACCGATCGATTCGCATAAAAAAGCTGTTCGGCAGGATAACTAACAGCCCGAATCTTTTATTTCTGCTCTCCTCCGGACGCGAATCTAATCCCTTTTGTACGAGGGAATTCGTCGGCGGTGGCCGAAGAAAAATTAATGATTCTCGCATTAAAATAAATTCAATGTGTGCGTCGAAATAATCTCCTTTGTTCCCATCTGAATTCCAGCATCCGCTTTGATTTACACATCCGAATAGATTTGCATTTGTAGAACGCGAAAAAGTGCGATTTCTATTACAAAAGGAAACTTTTAATTTGACCTACAAAGCGGAGTTTTCAATTGGAGAAGTTCCTTTTCCTCGTCCCCGTACACAATGGTAATTATCGGAGCTCCCGGGAACGGAAAAAGGAAAATTCTCCATAGCCACAACGATTAATGAACCCGATTCCATTAAAATATTTCTATTTTTCGAGCGCCCCGCGCGAAATCAACGAGTATAGTTCGATTAAAAAGAATTAATCCGAGCTTTTCTCGGATTGGAGCGGAATTTTCAGGTGCCGTAAAGCCATTCGGGACGGCATAAATGCGTCTAAATAGATCCATTTCGAAATAGAACGGGCGACAATTCGACTTGAAATATTTACTCTTAGAAATACGATGGGGGAAATCAATGGAAAAGCGGGTTAAATGAAAACCCCATACGTATTCCCGAACGGTCGCGCGAAGAAAGCGCTTTTTACGTGGAAATTGCTTCGCCAGAATTTACTGGCCTAGCGCGCCAGAAAAGTAAAAGATTTCGTTCAATTTTTTTCTAAGTAATTGAGGATTGTTCGTATACAAGGCGAACTAAAAATGATAAAAAATGTAGTAGTTTATTCCGGTAGAATTGCTCGTTTCTGCGAATCACCGGAAAGTCCCATAGAATAAATTCTCGTTTAATAAAGTAAATGCAGCGCTTGGATCGTGCAGTGTACGTTCGTTTTCGGGGTGTTTTTCGCGGCATAAATTTTCGGATCAGCGGGCGACGACTGAAAACCTTTTCGGATAAGATCAGATTTGGCTCGGAATCCAGCGTGCCGTACACAAAGTTGCAAATCCTAGACTTTCGCCGGCGTATCGGGAACCACAATATGCTCGGTTGATAAATAGAGTTCTTAAAACGGGCATCCCGAATGTTTTCGCCGTTCACAGCGGGTTACTAATAAATTAAAAAGGGCATCGGGCGGTAAATGCACGCAAATTGCATTCGGGCGAGGGAATTAAAGTGACCGACATTCGTCTATAAAATCAGCAATTTTCGCCCCATTCAACATCGGCGAAATACTTAATTTCGTACCATTGAAAGTCACTTTCTCCCCCGCTTATTTAGCGCTCCGTTTATCATTCCTTTATTCGCGCATTCTTTTATGTATTAGAAGGCATTTGTTCGCATCCGTAAATTTCCACACGCGAAAACTTTCCACGAAATTGCCCTTATGACTCACCGCTAAAAACCTTCTAATTACGAATCCACCCTGTAATTCCCTCGAGATTGATACAATTTTTCATAAATACACTTGTCTCGATATAGCATGTTGAAATTATCTACTCGACTATAAATAACGCCGTAATAACACCGCTGTTAAGTTAAAGAGTTAAAAAAAAGACGCAATAACTTATAGCCCCTTGTTGTTATTATGTAAAACTGTTGCGACATGCGAGCCACGTTGAATTTACAAGTACACACTGACGTTCGCTAATAAAATTAATAACGAATGCACCGAGCACGTCGGGCATTGCAAAACTCCTTCCTTAAGATGCCCGGGAATTTTTTTCAAGGGAATCGACCGAGTTAGGCCCTCGACACGCAGGATTTCAGGAAGTTACTCGAGGGTACTCGATGTTTCGGAGCCCTCCCCATATGTACACAGAGCTAAAATGAAGCTAATACGATTGCGAACTACATGGTAAATCTTTCGAATCAAAGAGGCTGGATTTATATCCACCCTGTAAATTTGTATATACCTCTCCTAGATGCGGAGTTCCTCGGGAGTTTTGTTGTAGTTGTACCGAGCACAAACTCTCTAATGAGTTCACGATTATTATTGACTCAGTTTTAATAGCTCCGGTGTATAAATGTTTGGTCGTTATGTGTGGCAGTAAAACGGAGTCGAATATGAAGGGTTTCGAAGTCGATTCGCTTGTAAGAATTGGTTTTCGAGCGGATTGTTAGAGGTGAAACTTAAAAGACGATGCGAATCGAAATTTCATCGGATCGGCGCTTTGTGATGGAAAGTGCATTCTCATTTGGGGCCGGCCGAGAAAGAAATCCCATTTCGTTAGAAAAAACACTGTTCCTTCGGCGATGTCGGGCGAGCTGATGTTATGTAAAATTATTCCGCCGGCTAAAAAAAACGTTTTTTTTTTTTTAGTTCTTGAATATTCACATTAGCGCGTCGCACTGTGGCCGCTTTGCGCCCTGCAATAACTAAATCGTTATTTATTTGATTTAATATTTCCCGAGTTACATGTGAGAGTCGGGCTGTTTTCGCAGCCTCCGGAATGTTTTCATTTTCGCACGGCGAATGGCAAAAAATTCAATGCCATAATGGCTTCCTATCTGCACCACTTGTTATTTAATAATTTGTTCAAAACGCAGCTGTAATTCACGAGAATAAGCTAATGGTATGAGTCATAGGCGATTGTTCATAAAAAATTAAAAGCTTATCCTGTAAAATCGTTCGAGTTTATTGTCCATCTAAGTGGAGTTTTTTCTCCTACGAGCATTATCCGATTCTGGGAGAGAACGATAAAGATATACATAAATATTACCACAAAACTCGTTATTCAGGACAATTTAACGCAAAATAAAACGGAGAACAAGGACTTGGCTCGGTTCATTACAGCTCGTGAATTATGAACACCACTTTTTTTCTGTTATTAGAACATTTCGATGCGACTTCTCGTTATCAATCTCACTATTAATACATACAATTTGTCACATAATTAGAAATTATTAGAATAACTAAAGTAGTATTGTAAATTATCTCATAGTGTGATGAACTCATCTTCTTAAGTTTGTAGATTAAATTTTCATGTTTCTTAAGTGCAAACGTGAAGTGAAAACGGCCTATTAATTAAGCGATAAAAATTGCAATCCATGGTTATCTTCCACTCGTAGTTCAATGGAATCTCTCTATTGTGAGCGCCGGAGCGACGCTAACAAAGGAACTAAATTTCGAGCAAGACGATTATTTTGTTACTGCGAAATAAACTATATAAAAGGAAAAGTTAAATCTGGAAGCGGAATTGCCAAGGTTTATTTTGGTTGTTATCCGGAATTGTAATCTTTACTGTCTAGCATAGATGTTGATAATGCAACTTTTGTAAAGTGGATGTAAAGAATAATTCTCTCGAAAGTAGCGAATGAAATATCGCTGGCGATGATATGAACTAATTTTACCAATATCGATTTTAGGTTCGTGACAAAAGTCCATTTGTAACCTTTCCATGCGCCAATCACTTTAATGTATTATTAATAACGTAGATACAAAACTACTACTCGAAGTTAATTCCGTAAAAAAATTCGCATTCTCGATACTACAACGGCGAAAATGAATTGCAATAATCGGCGATTTTTAGTAAATTTTTCCGAATGATCATTTTATTATTTTGATATTATTCTTAACTATTTCTTTTTCTGCGTGTAAGCGGGACACCTACATTAGTTTTCGAAACGAAACAACTCAAATTCAACTCCTGCGGCGTCGCTATTGCAATCGATATTACGGCAATTCCTATTTGGAATACAGGGAAATAACATTAATCCTTAAAACGAGCAGAAAGTTTCTGCAATTACAGGAAATCGCCTTTTGATCACGAATTATTCATTAATTCTCTTCAACCGTTTGTCATCACTATTTTATCGATAAAGCGATTTGGAGCAACGACCTCTCGAGGAGGACGATTTTTTAAATGAAATTAATAATAAATTCGGCGCGCGTGGAGAGAGGAGTGTATATTTTTTTCCTTGAAGAAGTCAAATTCTATTGAATTATTTTACAGTAAATTTTTTAAACGACTGGCATCTCGCCGTAAAACTGTCTAAAATTATCTAATTATGGAGTTAAGTTGGACCTGGTCCGTTGTTAATTAAATAAAGATGGCTTTTTTTCCTTACCCAGTCATAGGAACTAACGATCTTAAGGATCGCTTTTTATATCCTCACTCTCCTCATTACCAGCGTTTTAATGTAGGGGAAAAGTTCATTTTAAACGCGCCTAAATGAGAAAATTTCGCAATGATTATTCCAAAAATTTCTATATTACAAACTTGCGTAGTCAAAAATATTAATTTTTCTTGAATTTGGATGTCTAACTAGGGGAGTCGCTTGCCTATAATATATAAGACTATAAACGTGCTCGAGAGAGTCATTTCTGAGTCCAATTGAGCCAAAAATTCCTTTTAATAGCGCCTAAATAAAAAAAAATCAACAATGAATATACCAAAAAAATTCGATATTACAAGTTTGCTTAGATAATAAATAAGATAATATTTCTCATCCCCTTTGGGCGGCGAAAAGAGACTTCAAACGGGCGAATCTCTCGCGATGCGGTTGAGTATTTTCGGGTATTTTCGAGGAATACACTGTAAATTGGATTCCTTTCCGACCGATTTATAAATTAGATAAGTCCGACTTAATTAATTCGAAACAAACCGAAGAAGGGCTGCAAAACGAAAACCATCCATCCCGGTTATTTCGAAAATTCCTATTAAAATAGACGGCGCATTGAAAAGTTCGTTTCCTTTCCGGATAATTATACGCGTAAAAATCGAAACAAAAAGACGGTTTCGATTCATTTTCGGAGTAAATTAACGAGTTTATTAGATAAGAATTCGAATTTTGCTCGAGACTTTACATAGCTTCATGAATACAAAAATAGACCGGCTTCACCCTTCATTTAAATATAAATTGCATTGTAGAACAACTCTATGTTTTCTCCACAAATTCCGAGTCCACAAATACACATCGCGCCGTTTATGTACCGATTGCTGGAACAAGCGATGTCTGGACATCGCAAACTAATTACCAAAACGCGCATCTCCCGATTTTCCACGGCCAATTACCGCTTTCCCGTCGCTAGATAAAATACGCAAACAAATTTGAAGTAAGCTAACCGCATCGAAACGACCCGACATAAAACATTTGCGACCGGGGCCGAGTTACTTGCAGCACGCGATTCCAGTCTATCACGATATCGCCGGTAATTTACAGTTTAAAAATTCACGAGAACGCTTTGTATCGCCGCTAAAAACGGTCTGCCCGAACGTTGAACGCCGAATATTTATTAACTAATCGCGAATTTCGGGTCCTAATCAGTTGCGAGTTGACGATTTTAATGAATAAAGAAAGCCCCTTTCAAGAGAGTCAATTATCTAACTATGGAAGTCATTTGATTATCTAATAAAACTCTTTATGTGACCAAGAGAGTCGTTTTTGAACCCAATAGAGTCAATTATCTTACGCAAAAGAGTAATATTTATTAACTAATCGTGAATTTCTGGTGGTAATCAGTTGTGAGTTGACGATTTTAATGAATAAAGAAAGCCTCTGTCAAGAGAGTCAATTACCTAACTGTGGAAGTCATTTGATTATCTTATAGAACTCTTTATGTGACCAAGAGAGTCGTTTTTGAACCCAATAGAGTCAATTATCTTACACAAAAGAGTAATATGTATATGAGAGAATAATGTCGAATCAATCTCATTTATCGAGTAGTAGATACATCATTAAAGTGGACAACTTCTCTAATCCATTTAGCAATTAGTCTTCTACGAATAATCTCCTTTTAGATCGTACATCTTTCCACCATTCAGCGTAAGTCCTTTCTCCAGAATTAGTACGATAATCCTGACGTCTGGAACAAAAGATATTCCTAATAGAGCGTCGGAACGTCGCGTGGGGAATTGTTTCCGGAGTTTTTCTTCTATTATCGTCGGGACGGATCGGGGGCTCCCGCTAGTATACTGTCGCACAACAGGTTTTTACCCGGGAATTTGCGCGGTAAAACGGAAGGAAAAATCCGTTAATTAGCTACCTATGGAATCTTTAATCCGATGGGTAGAATCGAAGGAAGCTTCGCGTCGAGTTCGCAACAATGGAAGCCGCTGAAATAATAAGAAAATGGCGGCGCGGTAATCGGACAAGCATAACGAATTAGTAGTTCAGTATGTATAATGCGTCGCGGGGACGGTTCCCGGAAAATCTGTTTCGAAACTTCGCCGGAGAAAACCGAGCGTATGCAGATTTCGCGCCGCTGTTGGTTGTTTTTTCGCCGGTCGGAAAATATAGCCGGATAATTCCGCTTTTACGATTTGTTTTATGTTTTCCTTAAATTTAAAATTCATTGTTCTATACCCGTCGGCCGGTCGACAAACTCTTAACACGAATTTAAACACACTCTTATTTGTTAAATCTGATACATTATGATTAATAACTTTTTACAGCACCTTTATAAAGTGTTAATAATGTAATGCACTTTGCAGATTATTCAAAAACGAATAATAAATGATCGATAAAGAAAATTATAAGGCATAAACTACCCTACACTGCCTACTTACATTATTACTTTTACATACAATTATCTGGAAAATGTGATTTGCATTGGAAACAATGTCTATCATTCACTTAATAAATACTTTTTAGTTGTTATTGAGGTAAATTAAAGGGGTTTATTCTCGCACAAAGCCAAGTGTGCATCTACTTGGGTACTAACGATGTTGCGGTCAAACTAGCAAACAAGATTTCCTGGGAAAGGGCACTTCGCAGCCAGTTTCAAACGACATATTTAACATACCTAACTACTTAACTAAATATAACGTAGCATAAATATTTATCGAGTTATTAAGTGTTGTACTTTGTGTTGCAATTTCGTCGGGGAACAAAGTATCCGGTTGCCGAAAACGAATCAACTAGTAGGCGAGAGTTCGTTGTTCGGTATTAAATTAAAAGCGATTTCGACTTTAATTACGAGTTTGCTAATAAGGTTGGTTTTTTTCATCCTCTCCTTTAAGTGTATAAAAGTCGGCTAATTAGGACGCGGAATTATAATTCTAATTAATGGAATTATTTCGCTAAAAACGAACCCGCGCTGGATGATTAATCGTTGATTATAAGTTTTAATAAAAAAAAGAAGAGTTGAACTTCTCCGCACTTTATGCCTAAACGGAAAGAAAACGACAGCGTTGCGTTCCTTTTCATTTCTTCGGAGAGCCGATAAAGCAAAAAAAAATCGCAATCATTCTCTATCATGAGGCCAAGTCGGAGGCAACGACGGTCCGTCGGACGCTCAATAACTTTTGATAAATGAACTAGAGCAGCGAGAAAAGGAGTACGGCGAGCGCGGTCGAAACGACGAAAGCTATTAGTTTTATACGCGGAACGTCATTAAACTTTAACAACTCCTAACTCCCGCTCGAGGAGTTCGACTGCCGCTGCATATCGACAAGGAGCTTCATCAGCGAAACCATCGATAAAACCGTTTAGGCGAAGCGCCCCCCCCTTTGATTTATGAATAAATTTATTCGGCGCGTTTGTTATTCATTACGAATTTTCGATTCATTATTCCCGCCCGAAACCGGCGAATCCCGCCGTTAGAAAGTTAGACCTAACGACAATTCATCTCCTTCACAACCACGCGAACCGCAATAAACTTAATAACGAAAAAAGTGGGCATTCAACTGACCTTTTTGTTGTCGCGGAACTTGAGCCAGCCGGAGATGACGGTCTGCTCGGGGGCGCCGGGCACCTCGGTGAACAGCGGCTCGGCGCCCTCGCCGTCGGAATCGGTGAGATCGTCGACGTGGTGGCTGCGGACGCTGCGGGCCGGCGAGCTGCAGCAGGAGTCGGTCAGTCTTCGGGCCAGCAACGGGGAATTGTAGGCGCTCTCCGACATCCTCTCCGTTTTGGCACTTGATCGGTCGGCGGGGTGTAAAATTTTATCGAAAAAAAAAAAAGCGTCGGCTCGTATCAAACTTGTAGAAACTTCGGTTACGTGGATTCGTTGTGGCGGTTACCGGTCATCGCATACACCTGCGGATTATACAGCGAAATAAAAAAGTTGAATTAATTAAGAGTTTTGATAATGGTAAGGAGTTAATGCGGCGCGCGATAAATCTTTTCCTGCTAGGTAACCGCGAACGCTGCGAACAATGCAACTATATTAGTATGCATCTCGTAATCCTGCAACATTACTACGGGGGCTGATCTAAGAGCCGGTTTTCTATTCGTTAACGATACAGCTACGCTAGCAGGAGTAACGGGACGTGTTTGTTTACTTATACGATATAGAAGCCAAAAATACCGGGAAGTAAAATAATATAACGTTTCCTGCGAATTAATTAATAATAATAATAAAGATACCTTTCCGTCATTTGCATTTCGCCACATTAATTCGTGCTGCTGAATATTTATAAAATGTTTCAAGTCGGGCGCGCGGTTTTAATCTCGAGGAAATATTAAAAGTGAAAAATACTATTTTCTTTATCGCTACGGCCGCGGTAAAGAGAATTTCCTTTTCTTCTCATCCTGCACCGAGAATTTTTACTAACATCCAAAGTGCTAAGATAAATTAAAACCGTAGATAATAAGAACCTTTATTAATGCTGGGCGCTGGTAGGAGGAAATAGATTCTATAATTCGAGGGTGCGAAAATCCCTCTCGAGCCTGAAGAAAAAGTGTCGAGACGGAAATTCCTTCGAGTGCGTTCGCGAATAACAGAAAAAAAAAGTGTACAAGCAGGGCGAAGTTTAATCAATTCGATTTCGAGGATGAACTCTTTTTCGATCCCGAATCGGAACGGAAGCGGGATAGGAACAAGAGGGGATATAAAATATTCACAACATTCGCAGGAACAGTCGGCTATATTTCAAGGATTGTTCGTAAATATTTAGCAGTTTGTTTTACGATTCGAGTGTGTGTGAGAAATTGAGTTTTATTGGGTGTCAAAATTTCGGAAAGAAATGATCACACTATATAAAAAGTGTTAATTGTATCTCCACATGTGCAACAAAAAGGAACCTTTTTAATATTTATACGAAATTCGGGGAGTTTGAAGACAAGTTGCAGGGGAAAAAAAGTTAGCGGGAAGTTTTTAATAAGTTTTTCGGGGATTATTGTGCGGCTGTTCGGCTTCAAGGGAAATGGAAAAAGTCGAAATTTTCGAAGTCAACAATAGAACAAACATGTACACAAGATAACGTCCACAAAAGATTTCTTTCAGTGCATTATAGTGAGGAAAAAAATAACATTTTTCCTTTGCGGCATCCGACCGCATACAGTCGCATACATGAATATGAACTTTCGCATTACAAAAGTGGAAAATGAGAAACCGCTAAATGTTTTACCATCGAAAATTTCACGTTTCCTTCCTCTGCTCGAATGAATATTTCAAAAAGAGCAGTCTCCGACCGAGCAGGTTAACCAATAAAACACCCCGGAGCATTTGTATTATTCAAAATGCCGCCCGTCTCCTTCGCACGCGAAAAACCGTCTCGTTTAAAAGCCGGATAGTTCGAAATTTAAATTCGCCTCGATATAAACGAAAAACTTACGTGCTTCCTTTGGAGGCTTCTTCGAGTGGACGAATTAACTTTTGCCCGATTATCGGGCAAACGGCAGTCTTTTGGTGGAGGAATAAATCAGTACAGTCGCGACGATATGTCTTTGGATATGGCTTGGAAATTTCAGTTACCGATCGAAAATTCTGGAATAAAAAACAATTATAAATCAACCGTATGGATATTTCCGCCTATCGAATTGTAGTAATTCGGAATAACGTATTGGATAGATATTGTAGCGCCGCCTAGACCAATAACAATATAAGAGAATAATCGCATTCGATTGTGCTCGGGAATTGTTTCGAAATTTCCATAATGGAAATAATGGTTTGAATGTTATCTGCTCCAATTTTCGAACCGTTAAAAGAATTCAACTCGCCCAATACCCTATAATACTCAAAGCCTAATTGAGTTACAACCGCACAATACCGACTATAATAATTTTTTTAAAACTTACTTTCAACGCATAAATATACCACTAAACAACTACTCTAAACGTTCACGAACAATCACGAAATATTGCACTAAAAATTCGCTCGCGCTACGAAAACTGCCCAAGTTCCTGATCGTGAAAAAAAATACCGGACGTGATTCGCGGGGCAACGGGATGGAGAGGAACGAAAACGCGAGCGCGTCGCAATCCGGAATGAGCGTCTCTGCTACGCGTATACCGGCGTCTCGACGGCCGGAGAGGACGCCGTGCGCGCACAACGCGCCTATTTTCCCTTTTTTCCGGACGCGGAAACCTTTTCTTTTTCGACCAGAAATGGGTTTACTGAGTACCTGCCCAACATTCGAAGGTCTCTGGAGCATCTAGCAGGATGAAATTTTGAGTATGCAGATGCGATTTTTGATAAAAAAATTCGAGCTTCATGCTGCTTGTAACTTGTAAATTACACGGAATGTTTCTGGAGCATCTGGCAGGATGAAATTTTGAGTATGCTGAAGCGAGTTTTGATAAAAAAATTCGAGTTTCATGCTGCTTGTAACTTGTAAATTACACGGAATGTTTCTGAAGCATCTGGCAGGATGAAATTTTGAGTAAGCTGAAGCGATTTTTGATAAAAAAATTTGAGCTTCATGCTGCTTGTAACTTGTAAATTACACGGAATGTTTCTGGAGCTTCAAGCAGGATAAAATTTAGACATTGCATAGTGGATTTTTTGCTGCGGTTATTAGAGAAACTTGCTCCATTATTCTAACACACCTCCGGTTGTCAGAAAAGTTTGCCAGTCGAGTTTTTCTTGGCGTTTTAAGAGTTGGAATAAAACGAAACGAAACTGTGAATTATAGCATCTTCAAATTCGAGCTTAGTTTGCAATTGTACCTAAGTATTTTTACAACCTACTAATTTATTCTCGAAGAAGCTGTTTATTCGTACATTTATGTAAATGGTTTGCTCATTTTTTATATCTTTCGCTCGGCGAATTTAACGGCATTAATTACAACGACCCGGACGCGTTTTACGGTGTCCCCTATTAGAACGAAACGGCATTTACGGCCTCAAAACTACCATAAACTCGCTGTATGTATATACTCGGATAACAATTTCGCCTCCATATTGCGAAGATACAAGCAGTTTCCACTAATAAAATTAGGCGTACCAGTAACGGACCAATCTCGGGCTACTCTCCTTGTTACTGCATTAATTAATTTACCAAACTTGCCCGATTCCCCGTTCTATCTTATGTCAATATTGGAAAAACATAGTCGCGATAATAAAAGAAAATGCATTGCATAATGTGTACAAAGTTTCCCATAAATATGTAAGTGTTTCTACATATTTATTTATTAAATTAATATTCGATTGTTAATTTCGGTAATTGGTCGTTGTTTGAGCTTTATGCTGTTGATTAAATTATACGCGACTATAAATATACATCTGCGTATATTTTAGTCGAGGCTCATATTTGTAAGCGATAATAATATTGCATTTATTCGAAATTATCGAGTAATTTACACGTAAATAAATTGCGGATTCGAAAATGCTAATTAATTAGATTCATCGAACAACTAAAACAATCAATTACGCGGCGATTAAATTTAAAATGAAATTATAAGGTGGAATTTCAATGGGTTTAGTCGTGGCGATATTTTTTCGAGCGTATTACAAATAAAACATTCTTCTCTATAAAATCATTTATCAGCTTTAAAACATACAAAAAATCAACACATTAAAATAATTATACAGCCTCTTTTACTGGTACTACAGGCTCTTTTTTAGCATCTCCAACCTTCGGGTCCTCCTCGAAATTTCCTCTACCGCTCAAATACGGCAAATCCCCCATCTGCATGTCTTTGTGTCCGTTCCCGTAGCCCCCGTGGTGTTGGTCGCCCGAGTTCCCGTAATGCTCGCCCATATGGTGATCGTTCAAATGATCGCCCATGTGGTGATCATCGAAAATGTCGCCCAAATGGTGTTCGTCCAAATGATCGCCCATATGGTGATCGAAATTGTCCATGTGGTGATCGTCCGAGTTGTAACCGCCCATTTGGTGTTGATGTTGGTGCTTTCCCCCGTTGGAGTGGTGGTAGTTGTTTCCGTGAGGGCGTTTGTTGGGGTATTGTCCGGAGAAATCGCCCATGATTTGGGGGATGAGCGGTCTGGGGCAGGAGCAACCTCCGGTAGAGAGCGGGTAGATGCCCATGTGACCTAGTTGGGTAATATTGTAAGTAGATTGGTGATTATTGGGGTGTGTGAAATTTTTACCGAAATATTCGAGATCCCTCGGTGAGAGTCCGTATTGTTCTACAAGCATATCGTAGGGCAATCTGCCGTAGAAATCGCCGTGATTACCCCCGAAATCTTGTCCAGATAGTGCGTCACCGACAATTCCTGACTTCGGGATGGCTTGGGCCAGGCTTATTAGAGCCAACATCGGAATCTATTAATAAAACGATCGTTAAACAATCTACTAATTATCGAGAATGTACTAGAAAACGATTAGCGAGTCGCCGATGAGTTATTTATTAATGGTACTGTGGAATTCGAAACGTAATATCCGGCGAAAGGTTGTTCGTTTTCGCTTTTGCGATGCGGCGACACCCCGTTCGGTTTGGATTTAATAAGGGTCGCAAACATCGCTGGATTATTTCGAGACAAGTAACACGTCCGACCTGCGTCTGTCGCCCCGGAATGTCGCTTCGAGGAATGATAAAATCTATGCAAATTTTTCTATCCGGGGATTTATCTAGAGCACCTTCTGGGGAATTAAATTCGACTTCGAATGTCAGAAACATGCGTTTTGTGAGAGTAGTTTATGAAAAAATATATAGGTAAATAAAAAAAAACTTACCAAAATCATCTTGATAGGCTGTGTAACTTTAACAAAATCGTCGATTAAGAAATAAGAAATAAGAAATTCCGAAGTTATCGTAAAGTATTTATACCAGCAGCAAATCGGAAACGAATTTAGATAATAGAAATTAAATGACCTGCTATTTAAGCGATTGAGGTACCCAGAAAAGTGGGAATCGACGATTAGACCGAACAATTTCCAATCAACTTTTTAACTTCCAAAGAAACTCGTACTGGAAGCCTATCAGATAAATAAATCGGTACCAAACGAATTTTTGTTAGAAATATTCTCGTAGGTACACAAAAATCGGAAATGAATTATTAGAAACGTTATTGGATTCGAAAGAAATCAATTCCACCGATTCCAGCAGGAAATTTCGTACCGTGACGGGCCGGATTGCCGTTTGCATGAACCCTAATTCGTAAATTAAAAGAGATTTCTGGGGTGCAAGAGCGACGTCACATTTCAAGAGCGCCGGACAATTTTCTTTCGCCCAAGGAGGGCCCGGCCCCTTCATCATTAAGCCTTCCTGCCGCAGAACCGGACTCGTTTTCCCAGCACCAAAACATTCCTTCACATTCCAAACATATCCACTGTTATACTTTCAGTTATAGAAGAGTCCTCTGGAGGAATATACAGGGTGTCGTGTACACACTTTTACAGTGTATAGAGCCGCTTAAGGGTAATATCAACCAACCATCCGCCTCTTCTTTAAGAAAATACAGGGTAATTTATGAATTTGATTTCGTTCTTTGATCTAGCAAAACTCTGGCATGTTCTATTAAACCTCTTGCGTCAGATTCTTCTGCTGGAGATAGGATATAGGAAGAGGATTGTTTCGAGGGATTGCAGGATTGTGAGGGGCCTTAATGCTGTCCTGTGATGGACTAGATGATGTCGGTGCGTCTTCCTACTTGCAATAATTGCTCCCTCAATAGAAACGGTCCATCCCTCTTAGGCGATCCCTTGCGTTCCATCGGCGGGGAAGCAGCTTAGCGCTCCTGCATTGGTATTCCGATAGTCGTTTAAAGGGAGTTATATTTTACGCAATGATAGCAATAACGCAAAGGAAAATATATAAAAATCAGCGCGGATGCTTCGGCGAAAAGTAGGCACACAACGCGCAGATATTTCCCCTTTAAAATGTATTCCTGCAGCTTGCAGTCGTGACCGCCGCAATTCCGCATCATGCGAGTTAAAATGGAATAGCTCTTTGACGTCGTCGACACGGTAAATTTTGCTAACAAAAGGGTCGCGGACTCCTGCATTCTAGCCGGCATTCTGCGACGTCCGATGGTGTATATACAGGGCGTTTCCCTTATCGCGCTTGTTGGTGAACGTTGTATTGTTTTATATGGATTCCGCGCGTTATCTCCCCCCGAAAACTAATATTCGTATGTAAATGATTTCGCCCGGCAATTATAAAATTAAAAGCTCGGCGGATTTATGGCCCGAAACGTCGCAGGTCGGATCTGCGGGGAGACATTGCAAGGGCGTTTTTATCTAATAGGGGACTCTACACGAACGGTTTTGCCATGATAATTTTTCTTCCTATCAATAGGTGCAATAAAACTCGATACGATCGTTACCCTTGTCCGTGTAGATATAGCTTCCTTTTTCCGGTATTTTTCAGGGATGAAAAAAACGGAAAATAAGTCGGTTCGCGTTGTATTGAGACGTTTTCTGGAAACGTCAACAACCCGGCGCCTGAAATTTACAGCTCTCACGTTCTTTCCCGTATCCCTAATCTCAACATTTATCAAGTCGCGGCGGTAAAAACAGAAACATACGCACTTCATCATAGATATAATAAAACGTCTTTGTGGAGCGCCCCTTACGAACCGACAGCTCTCCAGAGCAAGTAGGCCGCCTGGTGAAGGCTTTTGTGTCTGGTTATAGAACGAAGGGTATAACACAATTTACCCCAATTCACTTTATTATTACCCCCGATTGTTACACTCAGGTGTTACATAATAATTACCGGTGCTGGTAAAACGAGCTGTAAACTGGTTAAAAAAAAGTTTGATAAAGGAATGTATAGGAAGATACGATTGGGTTGTTAAGATGTATTTAGCAACCGTCCTTACTAGGACATCAAGCCGTTGAAATATCTTTTGTTTCGAGGAATAATACTCCTTTTCAACGTTGGAAATCATCCACATCTTCCGACCGGTTTGGCAACAATGACGTGCAGATCTGGCGTATTTGCATGGCGTAATTTCCCCGTCGAGCAGTCGGGATTCGGAAATTTTCCGAAAAATTCCTAAATAATAAACCGGCCCGGTGATGGACGAGCGAAGACAAAAGCGGCGAGTGATGGATGCGAGGCGGCGCCCCGGGGACCGCCCGAAGTGACCGCCCGTAATGACCCGTCCGGCGGGCTCTCGTCACGTCGTCCGCGCGTCTCCGACCGCAGATGGCGCTGCTAAGAGACCGGGGATTCCCCCGGCGACCGCGGGGCCATTGTTCGCCCGCGGGCGCCCCCTGTATATCGAATGGTTGCGTGCGGGGCGGTTTCGGCGAGTCGGGACGGACGCGTTTTTTTCGGCGGAGTCCCGCTCCGATGGGGAGACTCCTTTTTTACTAATGGATAAATGATGAGTTCGGTTTAATGGCCGGCGAGCGGACGAGAAGTGTTTTTAGATGGTGACAGGACGGAAAATGGCTGTAAGAAGAGAAGATTGCAAAGGGAGAATAATGTTGTATTTGCGTGTTGGAAAAAAGAGATGCGGAATTGGCGAGAGTGATGCTGTAGTCAACGATATAAGAGGAGATCGCTGATGTAAAATAAATATACAGAAGAATCCGGGGAATTACATAAAAAACGCATTCGCATAGACACCATTAGTAGGTACTTAACTCATTTATAACAATGCATTTCTATCTCTAAAATAATATTTTCTATAAGAAAAATTTACAATCCACAAACTAGGTCCCTGTTGAGTCATATTCTCCCATTACACATAAAAGCCATAAATTTTATCACATTAAGGAAGATTCAGTAGGTGGGTACTCATAAAGGAAAAATAAAAAGCGATTACGTGAAGTGTGTGGAAAAGTCGCTATTAGCGTTCTTTTAAAATAATTGGCTATTAATCGCAATTTACTATACTAATAACAGTTATTTAGTGACTAGAGTTGTGCAACTAGAACGTCGATTACATAATGAAAATTTACATTAAAAATGCGCACTTACTACTACGAGTTGTGATAATAGTTTGTACGCGAATTCCTACAAAATGACTGTGCAATCGAGGCCTTCAATTAATACCTGTAAAAAAGGAATATTTTAAACGGGATTTTAATTGAAACAGGCCATTGCAACGGGAACAGCACCAGAAAATGCGGTTGAAATATCGCACTTGTCAGTTACGAAGCCAAAAATTCACCAACCCTTTCGCATGGCTCTGATTAAAATAATACATCACAGTAAACAAACGATCTTTTGTATAGTGGAAACGGGCCAATTAAAGTTTTTGAGCGCGGCATTCGAACAAATCCGGAGCGGGATCGAGCGGTAATAACCGATTTTCCTGGCTGATTTATCATTCGGAAAATCAAAAACACATCCAACGAAACATTAATCGACTGCGTTCCAGGCTATTCCGTATTTCCAAAAATTTACTGTAGTGCTGTTAGGCCAGTTAGCAAATATTTGAAATTCTACCAGTTCGTAATCAATTTAGTGTAATTAAAAGAAAATTTAGATATCTGGTAGATGGGTGAATAATAAACATTTTTAATGGGAAGATGAACAATAAATTCTATATTTTAAAAAGGATACAATCTATTTTTAAGCAATGCATTGAACAAATTCACTATAGATTAGAGTAAAAGAAAGTGGATCTGGGGAACGAAATTTGAAAAATAACGCTTATTTTGTAACAGTCGTTACATGACCTTTATACAAAAAATGATTCCCACCTCAAGTAAACTTCTGTCATATAAAATGTCATTAATGTCATTTTTGGCATTTATGTATCATTGAACGCCTCTTATTCGCGCACAATACGAAAAAAATTAATCAAAATAGAGTAGAGAACTGGACTAATATTTTTAACTGGAATAAAGTAATAAAAATCGTTATTAAATATTTTATGAATGTGTACTGGGTTGAATGCTGAAAGCTAAATTAATAGCCACTTTTAATTGTTTCAGGCAAAAATTTATTTTTTGTTTATTTTACCTACAAGCCGAAAATTTAAATGACACTTCCAAAAATTTCATGAATTGTTTACTAAACTAATAAAATATGAATTTTGAATGTATCACTAACAGAAAAAAATTGAAGGGTTAAAATTAAATAAACCAACAAACGTAAAGATTAAAGTATTTAATAAAGAGAGTTTTACTATTATTTACAGAATACCTTAAGCTAATTTCAAAGAGATAAAATCTTTTAAAATACAGAATTTCAATTCCAAATGTATTATTATCTCACGTACTCATTACAATACCAGAACAAGTACCAACCGCACAAGTATGTAGGTACGTTCCATCACTTAAAAATTAGTCAAGTCTATATAATAACGTCCATATACACAATATACACTCCCTACACCCCAAATCGAACTAACATCAATGTTCCTTCTTCTCCTTCCGTTTCCTCTTCCTCTTCTTATCCGACTGCAGGTCCTCGTTCTTCCTGGCCAAGCACGGCTTGCAGTACCAGTTCTCGTTCTCGTCGGGCGGCACCTGGATGCCCACGCACACCCAATGGTACCAGGCGTCGCACCCGTCGCACCCGATCATCGGCCGGCCGTCGTCCTGCACGCCGCACGACGGGCATATCCACACCTCGTTGCCCTGCTCGTCGATCTTCTTGAACGGCTGCTGCTCGACCTTCTTCGGCTTCGGCGGCGCCTTCGGCTTGAGCGGATGCAAGCGGGGGCGGCCGGGCGTGCGCGGCGTCTGCGGCGCCGGCGGCGCCTCCTCCGCCGGGTGCTTGTCGGCCGGCGGCAGCGGCGACAGGGTCTTGGTCTTCGGCGGGCCGGTCACCAACGGGGAGAATTTCGCGAGGCCGCCGGGCGACGGGTCGCGCGGCTTCCGCTCCCTGTCCTCGTCGTCGTCGTCCTTCTTAACGACGGGTTTGATGTTCAGTTTTCTGTTGATGTCGGGAGTTTCGGGCCTCGGCGAGGGTGAATTGACTTTGAGCAGGATCTTCGGTATGATCGGATTCTCCGGCAGCCTCTCTTCTTTGTCGAGCTTGTCTTTCTTTTTGATTTTCTTCTCTTTTTTGATTTTTTCCTTGCCTTCCTTTTTCGGTTCTTTTACCTTCTTCTTCTCGCCCTTTTCTTTCACCTTGTCTTTCTTGTTCTTCTTCTTGATTTTGTCCTTCTTTTCTTTCTTGTGCTCTTTGCTCTTCTTCGGGGTGGCGTCCAGAGGCATGAACGGTTTAGATTGTAAGTTAGAGGGGCTGAAAAGGGCGTCTGGTAGTGGCGCGTGTGGTTGATTGGACGGTTGCGTAGCCACGTTATCGACCGGTTTCACTTCGGCCGGGGATATTTCCTTCGGTTCTTTTACCTTAGGCGTTGGAGGTGCGGGTTCCATTTGCGGCGGCATATTGGGCAATCCGGAGGGGAAATACGGGTTCTTGCCGAAGTTGGGCAAGTTTCCCAAATGCGCGAACGGAAACATCGGGTTGATCTGCGACGGGATCAGCCCCGGGCCGCCGAAATTCGGCAGAAACGGGAACGGCAGGCCCATGTGCGGTGGAATCGGCGGTCGTATGTGATTCAAATGCGGTTCGGGCGTTTTCGGTCTGTTCGCGATGATGTCCAGAACCTCCGATTGGGTGAAATTCAAATGGGGCTGTTGCGATTTCTTCGGACGTTTCACTTTGTTCTTGTTTTCCTTGCGTTTTCTCTTCTCCTTTTGAATCGGAGGGCTTTGGTGCATCGTTATCTCCGGCGTTCTAGGCGTGGAAGGCGTACCGGGCGGTGAACCATCGTCGAAGTACAACGGCTCTATGGTAATGTCGCTAGGTAGATTTATCTTGTTCACAATGTCCGTGGACTCGTCCATAACCATGTTGCTGGAACCCGGTCGTTGGTCTTTCTTCTTGTTCTCCTTGACGTTCGAAATTTTCCTTAGTATGTTGATTTTTTGCCGGTCCGGTTCGTTGTACAACTTCTCGACGTGTTGCGTGGGCATCGGCAGGCCGGATAAATTCTGCGATTTCGACGGTATAGGCGTAATGGTCGTATTTAATTTCTCGGTTTTGGCTTTAGCGGCGGCCAAAACTTTGTCAGAGCTATCGTGGAGCATTTTATAAGGCGGCACGGGGCTAACTTTTAATTCGTTCATTTTAGGCGATTGAAGGAACGAGAGGGGCAGTTGCGAAGACAAATTCTGCGGTAGATTCGCGTCGTTAGCCGCCGCCGCCGCTGCGGCGGCCGCGGCGGCGGCCTTTTGCTTCATCTTCGCCACCTCCTTCATGGCGTTCTTCTTCAGCAATTTCTCCTCGGGAGTGGGCTTGAATAGATCTTTGTTGGTTTTCCTCTCGCGTTTCTCCGCTTTCTTCTTGACGGGGGGCTCCGAATGCGAAGCGGCCGGCGCGGCCAGTAGAGGAGTCTGCGTCATCGGGGGCAATACGGGTTCAGGAGGTGGCGGCGGTAAAGGGGCTTTCGCTTCGGGAAGTTTCCCTTCGCGAGCGGGGGACAAAAAGCCCGAGGTAGTCATCATTACGCTGCTTAGTTCTCGAGTGGGTCGAGAACTTTCATCGTCGCGCTTCAAGCGCCTGAACTCGGGCGATATATCGGTGGGTTTTTTGAATTGGTGAACGCTCGGAGCGGGAGTTTCATCGATTACCTCTTCCTTGATCTGTTCCTTTTCCTCCGCTTTGGATTCGCTTTCTGTAACGGAAAATCTGCTTTTTATTTGAAATATTTTTTTGAAATCGGGCTGTTATTACCGGTTTCCAATAGCGGATGCATCGGAGGCAAATGCTCGTGGATGTGCACCGGCCTCATTACGACTTCCTGGCTTCCCGGTTTCAAAAAATTCAGATTATCTTCTTTGTGTACTGGAAATTTCGGAACTGGCAAAGCCGAAGGGCAAAAATTAACGTACGTTACATATTCATCTAGATCGGCCAAGTTTATGCCCATTTCCTACAAACAAACAATTAATAAACGAAATTTAATATTAGAAATAAGTAACTCACTCTAAATGCCAATCCGAGATGATCCAGATTTGCCTCGGTGTTGCCGAATTCGGTAGCGTATTCGCTCGTAAGTTGGGTGACTTGCTTCAAATAAGTAACGAGCAAGTCGGTGAGCACCTCCAGCGGGGTCGAATTGATGGAGTGCCATCCGATGGTTTGCAAAATCTTCGACATTGCGATTTTGCAATGGTCGCGGGCGAACGAGTTACTCATTATTGTTTATTGTTTGGTGAATCTGTAGAAATCAACTTCGATATCGACGGATTTCTTTTTGTGGAATTTGTAAGTGGTGGGTAAATCGTACACCAACTCTGCTAGGACTTCCGCTTTGACGCCTAAAGATTCGGCTCGTTTTAAAATAAATTTTCTAAAAAAGATAATTTTATGAGTTTTAAATAGATGTATCGTGGGATTATGAATACCTCGTGGATGTTTTATGTAACGAATAAACCGAGTTATGAGATAAATTCAAGGCAATTTCCAAAAATTTCATATCAACACCAGCATTATGTTTCGTTCCAAATGGAGGATTCATCAAAACCGTATCGAAACAATCATTAAACCTAAAACAAAATTTTATCACTAAAAATCGTAGCTTAAGAATATTAATAATTACCTCGATGGTGCATATTTTAATACATCACACTGTACTAAATCTATATTGCTAATTTCGTGTTCAATAACGTTTTCTTGGCAAATTTTTATCGCATCTTCGTCGATTTCGAATCCCACAACGAGGGAAGCGTCCAAAACAGCTGCTCCGATAGTTAGGGCTCCGCAACCGCTGCCGAGATCGGCCACTAATTTACCAGAAATATCGCCGTATTGCGACTGAAATAATAATTGTGGTGAAATATTATTTGCGATAAGCCGTAAAATCAAATTACAAATTAAAAATATTGTTCTGATCAAAGCGTAAATGTAATCATAAGATAATTTTCTAACCTATAAAAACAAATCTGACAGACTGACATTGACAATTGACAGTCAAGAAAGCCAACCAAACAAATTAACAATTTCTTTAATTGTTCAATAATACAATAAAATTTTAATTCGATGGTAAAATTGAAAAATGTGATCATTATAATAGGTACCTGAATTGTGTATAACATGTGAGAACCCAGATGAGAAGGTGTAACATACTGTTCCAATAATATTTTAGGTTTCTGAAAATCAGAAATGCACTGTAATCTTTCTTCGAGAAGTCTGAGCTTTAAGCAGGGAAACATCAGGGCTTCGCTTCGAAACGGGGCAACACCGGTAGTATTAAATTACCGAAAGAGGAGTCTTGACTAATAAAATAACCATTCGATTGAGCATTGGCCGTTTGCAAAGCGCTTCTTTGATGCGAATTCATCGAATGCCCATCGGACGATTGAACCGTCGTTGAACCAATACCGGGAATCGACGAGGAATTCAACGTAGAAGCGACGCCTTGCTTCAGAAGTAACTGTTTCTTTTTTTGCAATTCTTCTAAAATTTTTCGATTTTCCAATTCTACAAAAGGTAAAAATCGCACAGATAAAAACTTTCTTCTATCAAGTATCGTTGGTAAGTTACCTCTTTGCGCGTTAGACTGTGGAAAAGCCATCAAAACCCAATAGGTGTAATACAATATGTAAATATAAACCGTTCTCGACCCATTAAAAATAAAACTTTGTTAGCAGGAAGTGAAGAGTGCAGGATCGACGCTAAAAATGAGCGATGAGATGAGTGACTTTTGACAGGTTGTACAAAGAGTTACACCGAGTCCTACAAACGAACAAAAATTTAGGTTGTCATCTGTTGGTGATTTATAAAAGTAATAATTGACTATGCGTAAAAACCTTTATTTATTGTAAAATCGAATTGTTATTTATAATAATATGTAGGTGGCAATAGTAAGAAAAACAAAACGCATACATTTTAATACAGCATATTTTGCTGTCGTCTGTCAAGAGTCAAGACCTACTCTATAAACTGCAAAATACAAAATATTCCGTCTAAAATAACTAGATGTGTCTGTGGTAGAGTGATTGTTTTTTGCGCTAATCTCACGTGTTTACCAACATTTCTTCGTACTGGGACGGCATGAAAACAATATTCGAAGTAGCCAGCAGCACAGGTGACTCCCACGTTTCTAGCGATTCGTTAAAGTAAACATTGAAGCGAGGCATTCGGAAGAGTGTGGTTAAAAAAGTGTCGTGAAGTGCGTGAATCACCATGTCCACATCATACTCGATGACTCCGGAAAGCGATGCATGGGCCCTGCTCGCTCTGAAATCGGCCCCGGCCAGTCCGTCGAAGGTGCAATGGAGCCCCGACGTGAAAGGGGAGCCGATCGCTCGAATAGAAGGCCGCGATTTCGAATATTTCGTCCGGCAAAATCGCATAATCATAGGTAGAAATAGTTCACGTGGTGATGTAGATGTAAATATGGGACATTCTAGTTTTATATCGCGGAGGCATTTAGAAGTTTTCTTCGAACATCCGTATTTTTACATGCTGTGCAATGGAAAGAACGGCGTCTTTATCGATGGAGTTTTCCAAAGGAAAGGAGCCCCTTCAATCAAGTTACCCAGGACGTAAGTTTAGTTTTTAACTAATGTTATGTAAACAAATGCCGCTCTCATAATTCGCCTGCATGTTTATCCTAGGAGGCCTTGAGAGGTTAAAATTTACACATGGTGTGCTGATCACGTGTTCTCTTTTTTTTTTCATTACATTTTCTCATCGAATAGCAGGCTTTTCCGCTTTTCGTGTCCAAATCGAAAATCGATATTCCCTTATATTTTATTTTTTACGAGGCCAACTGGGCTAACCTAACGTCGGCCCTCTCGAATAAATACGGTCGAGTCATTGTCGTGTTGTTATAAAATGTATTTATTGAGCAGCTGACGTCAGATCGTGTTCCTGTCTCTATGTATGGGGGGCTTTAGAAACCAAACAGATCAATGTTTCATTGCCACTACTTCATCGCGTATGTTTGAGTAGCACTGTAAATAAATACAAATATACAATACATACGCACAATTTGAAGTACAAAGTATTGACGCGAGATCGTCTGCGAATAACCGAAACGGAACGGTATAATTATCGCTTTTCGAAATACATGTAGCGATAGAAAGAGAACGCGCTCCGTGCGCTTAGCTTTGCTTGACCTAATATAAGATACTCATTTTTTTTTTTATTTTCAATCAAACGTTGTTTGTTCTTGAATTCGTAACGAGCGATCGAGTAAATTTAACAGTACTAGTTGGCAAGCGCACTGCTCTTACGTATACAGCATGTCCTCTATTAACTAAACCAGTTCATCATACCGACATGAACCTTATTTTCAGCACACTAGATAAATTTTCCTATTTGTATCGAGTAACCATAACAACTTCATTGAGTATTCGAAATTTTGACATTTGCAGCTGTCATTCAGCTGTCAAAAAGAAAACTAGATATGTCGATTTGATTGATTTATATACGCAAAATTCTAGATGTGTTTATTTTTTAATATCAATTCGCTGCGTATGAACAAAGTTTCTGGCATTTATTGGGCTATACGTAATATTGAATTAATTTCGTGTTTATCGTTTCGATTTTGTATTATGTTCTCTGCGCCGCGCGTTTATAGATAAAATAATTGATTTGTAATTTTTAGAGGCCACTCGACTCTCCGCACCGCGCCGGACGTTAAATCACGATAATATTCTGTTTGTTTGTTTACTTTCTATGTAGAAACAAGAAAAGAAATCTCACTATAAAAACACGTCGATTAAACCGCATGACCCGATATGTATGTATTTACAATACAAAACTCGTTCTTTACCTATACCAGTACCTATACATTCGAATAGCTACAAAGGTGCTTGTAAAATTCATGAAATTGAGGTAAAATTGCGTGTATAAGTTAGTTTATTCTTCTACTATCTATCAGTTTGTAAGACGGGCCTAAGATATTTTATTTACCATAATTTGACCAGAAATTCAACCTTGCGATTGCGATTTTATGCGCTTTGGTTAGATTTCAATGCGATTTTTTATTAATATAAACCTGTTTATGAATTGCAAATTACAATTGTTTATACGAAATGGCGGAAAATATAAGTTATTTTCAATCGTAAATCGTAAACATATTTTTTCGTGTGTAAGTGTACACTTATTACATTACACACATACACGAGCGTAAATGTAAATGTGGAATAAATATAAGCTAACAAGTGCATCGATTTCTTGCCTCAAAATGCCGCTTCTCACATGTAAACAATGGCGCTTTTATTTACCAGGACGAGATAACGTTTCACTTCAAGGCGACTTCAGGTTTTAGTTTAAAAATATTAACAATTAAAACGATAAAGTCTTCAAAAATAACCTTTTTACTGATAAAATGTTTTAATCGAAATAAATTATCATTTTGAGAGCGGTAAAAGTATGTTATTCGACGTTTTAGAATTACCCTAGACGAAATATTTCATTCACAATGATGCAATCATAATATAAATTAATAGTAGATAAACCAATCACTGATGAAATTATCAAAAAGTACCCTGTTTGGAGTACCTTAATGATTGTTCTATGCAATTTTCCAGGTGCACTTTTAGATTCCCAAGTACAAATATCCGACTGTCATTTCAATCAATGGTGGACGACAACGCAGAACCGCCTCCCCAAGTCAGGGAGGTATCGCCCAGTAGGATAAGAGACAGATCGGGCGGCGGCGCCGCCTCCGCCTTACATCCCCTAAGGATCAACATACCCGATGGCATAGATTACGGTAGCCCTTTCCCATCCCCCACCGGCACCATCAGCGCTGCCAACAGTTGTCCAGCTAGTCCAAGAGGTAAGAGACTAAACCACCCCCTAGAGTAGAGTAGAGTTGATCCATGGCAGATTCAGAGTTGATATGGACTAGAGCAGAATAGCTCCAGAGTACATTTATAGTAGATTTAGAATAAAGTTGATCCAGGGCAGATTCAGAGTAGATTTAGAGTACAGTTACTTCATCAGATTTAGAGAAGATAGTTGATTCAGGGCGGATTCAGAGTAGATATAGAGTAGAGTGTGATTGCTCCAGAGTACATTTACAGTAGATTTAGAATAGAGTTGAAACAGGGGAGATTCAGAGTAGATTTGGAGTAGACTTGATTCAGCAGATTTAAAGTAGAGTTGGTTCAGGGCAGATTCAGAGTAGATTAGAGAAGAGTGGAATAGATCCAGAGTACATTTATTGTAGACTTGATTTAAAGTAGATTTAGATTAGAGTTAATTTAGAGTAGATTTAGATTAGAGTTAATTTAGAGTAGATTTAGATTATAGTTTTCAGAGTAAGTAGATTTAGAGAAGATTTAGATTAAAGTTTTTAGAGGAAATTTAGAGTAGAATTCATCAAGGGCCGATTCAGAGTAAATGTAGAGTAGAGTTGATCCAGGGCAGATTCAGAGTATATTAGAGAAGAGTGGAATAGATCCAGATTAAGTAGAGTATAGAAGAGCAATGTAGAGGAGTAGATTCGCAGTAGTAAATAATTTGCTGTAAATAAAAATTCTCAATCTTCAAAAGATTTAAGTATTTGTTGTTATTTACTGGGTACTGCGGCCAATTTACCTGCAGGATTAAAATCTATAATCCCCTCGCGCCCCGTTTACATCCGTTCCTTAGAGCTGCCAAAAGGAATCGTATTTAGTGGAGGTATTTGCGAAATAAAATGGAAATTAGGTAGGTGTAGAGGCGGAATCGAAAATTTCAATCGGGTTTTCGGTTCGATGCCAGACGTATTCGTAGGGAATTTTTGATTCGGAGGAATTTCCGCCTATAAACGTGCCGGAGAATGCGCAAACCGTGAACCATATTGATTAAAACGGCTCCGACCTTGACCCACAAGTTACGAGGAGGCACGTAGCGTAGTACACACCTGATCGGACCTATTCCTTGGGAGCGAAACTCTTCCTTCGTTTCGCTAATTAAATTTACGAATAACTCTCGCGTTCGTACTTATTTTCTGCGCTTAGATGAAGGTTTTTAATACGCAAATAATCCCTTTGTCCTGTCGCGTTTCCGCTCCAATTCGAGCGTAATTTACACACTATATTTTTTTTATTCATTTTCGCGTCTGTTCGTAACGGAAAAGTAAAAAGAAAACATCTATCGTTGGCGCTTTTCGCGTTCGAATCGGCCTGTAAATATAGAACAAAACGACGTTCGCCTAAAATAAAACGAACCCGAAATAGTCGCCTTAAATAAACGAGTATTTACATTTTACTCGGTGGTTTTCGCCTCGACTATTTTCACTACACTCTTCTAATTCTAATTCTCGATTTTGTTCAGGGGGACATGGCGGCTCGCACATCATCAACCACGGTAACAAACGAAACGTTCAAGCGGATCTGCAGATGGTCGCCCATTACGCCGCCCAAGTGGCCCATCGAGACGACACCCACCACGTTCCTTCTAGCCATAGTCCTGAGTACAGACAGCCTACGTCTAACGGGAACGCTGTAAGTCGGAATAACTAGAAGATTTCCTCGATTTTATTTAATACAGAAGCGTCTAAACTTGACCCGACAGTGGCCCTATCGGATAAACATAGCTCGATAGATATCGATTTCGTTATTTACTCGATTCCTTAGATTAATTTTTAACCCGGCGTTTTGTAAATATTGATCCTGTGTTTTGTGTTGAACCGAAATAGTATTGTATACGACAGGATTTAATTGCGATTTATTATTCCAAAATTAGAAATATTACTAGATAGATGCCATAACTTGATAGGTCCAGTTTTATTATTATCAAAATTCATCAGAAAAACGGGGGAAATACTGTCAGCGTCTACCCACAAATCTAGCCTTAAGACTTAACTTTTAATTGGGAGTAATCTGTTTGTAGGTACAACCGGTGGTTGTGGACAGTTCGTACGGGGCCGGCGGTAGCAAAGACGATTCCAAGCCGCCCTATTCGTACGCGCAACTCATAGTTCAAGCCATAGCGAGCGCTTCGGATAAGCAGCTAACCCTGTCAGGAATCTACAGTTATATAACGAAAAACTACCCGTATTACAGGACCGCCGACAAGGGCTGGCAGAACTCCATCAGGCACAACCTCAGTCTAAACCGATATTTCATCAAGGTATTCACTGATTCCGTTGCCGCGTTGCGACGTAATTTTTGAGTATTGTCAATTGCAGGTACCTAGAAGCCAGGAGGAGCCCGGCAAGGGTTCGTTTTGGAGGATCGATCCCCAATCGGAGTCTAAATTAATAGAGCAAGCTTTCAGACGGAGGCGGCAACGGGGCGTTTCGTGTTTCCGAGCACCCTTCGGTTTAAGTTCCAGGTATGACTCTAACCGGTTGCCTATCCATCAGGTCGATACCAACACTTTTTCTACTCTAAATTTTACGATTTTCAGAAGCGCTCCGGCTTCCCCGTCGCACGTCAGCATGTCGGACATCATGACGCCGGATTGCTTATCCAGAGAAGGTTCTCCGACGATGGAACAAATCGTTGATATGAGCCAATCGGCCCCCGGCAGTCCCGGCAATCCTGTCACCGTGTACGCCGGTTCGGGGGGCTTGATAGGCCATCAACAAATGACGGCGCTCGTCGGCGCTTCCAAGCCGATATCACTGTCTCATTGCCCAGTTAACACCGACGCTAATTCCAACGGACAGGAATACAGAGAAGGTGATATATTTATGAGTTAAAATCTTGCGTGTTTTACTGTTGGTTTTGTGTTTTCAGAAAAATACAATATCGAAGAAAGCTCGTTGTCTCCGGGTGGATTTTCATCACAACCAGTTATAGTCCAAGCTGCAAACTACGCGTACAGGTAATTAATACTGTCAAGATAAAGTGTGTTAAGTATATGCTATGGGATACAAATAGTGATTCAAATGGTATAACGAGATGTAGTAGATAATAATAACTTTATTCGACGCTTAAAAGAACCCTCTTGATCACAAGATCGGGGGGCTCTGTTACTTGATACTTGGTACAAGCCTTACTCTACCACTTTGGAGTCCATTGGACCCTCTACCAGAGTCTCCTTACTCTACTGTAGCTCACCAATTTCCTTACTGGAGCTTATCAGTCTCTTTATAGGAGCTCACCAGTTCCCTTACATCTCTACAAAACACTACCCTATCCTACCCCTTCGTGACAATATGTTAATCCTTGTTGTTTTCTGTATGTGCTGATTTGTGGTGTTGCAGCAGCAGCAATTACGCGAACGTGGGCTTGGATTTGAAGAGGCACGCGGAGGAGCAGAGCGTGGAGAGTTCCTCGAGCGGCGGTGGCGACAACGCGGAGGGCGAGATCGACGCGAAGAGACCGAGAGTCGATCAGATCAAGTTCGAGACGGAATAAAATTCCGCCATTTCGAGACGGTCAGCGATTTTACTGTGCTTTAATTGAAGGAATAAAAGTTAATATAAAAAATTTTTGAAGCTATAAAATACTGAAGGATTTTAATAAGAATCACACAATTCGATGTAGAACCGTCAGACGTGGTTAATGTTAGTATTTTCTCTAATTAGGAAATATATTTTTTAACGGTCCCGATATGTGGATCGTGCGCAGGTGGGATGGAAATTGAGTGAATGACTAGTTTCGAAAAATCAATGCTTCTTATCGCTTTTAATATTTTGTAATATAGAGTTGATTGTATTTATTTAGAATACAAAACGTTTTGAATTCCGAGAATTTTTATTAGTTTAAGTGTAGCTGATTTTTTCAGAATTAATCTCATTCTACATACAAAGTTTTCATTATGTTGACAAGTTTTTTTTATATATTTTGGTACTAAATCTACTTAATTTTTTACTTAAAACGTTTTAATACTCGGGACCTCGTAAGTCATCTGTACTAGTCACCTAGTAAAAAATACTTTACTACCAGGACACCTCTCGTAAAGAAAATGTATTATTTTAATCGTTTCTTCGATCTGTGATGAGCCACCATTATCACTCAAATTCTGAAACACCTCCGTACGCAAAAAAAATCGATTTTCTCAATAATTAGGCGTTTCTTATAATGTTGTTCCCCGAATTTCGAAAATATTTAGAAAAGTTGAATATTGTTTCTGATTTTCTTTGAAAAAATATTGAAAGTTTTTGTTTAAATATATTTTGTTTTTCCAAAAGTTATCCTATGTACATAAATATTACGTACTTGTAAATGTACATGTTTAATTTGTTGATTTTTATTTTATATTCTTGGAAGTTATTAAATAAAATATGAGGAGTGAGATATATTCTGAATTTATAAGTTTTATTTTATTATTATCAAGTTACCGATGCATTTCTTTACAGTTGCATTCTATGGCCTTTTACTGTAAGTGTTATTCGCCATTTTTATTTATTGACCACTAGCACATTAAGTAAGAGTTACGTAACCACGTTTTTGTATGATTTAATTACTAACAAAAAAGAAGCAAAAGTGAGGTTATTTTAGTTGTAAACATTTACAATTCTTTTAATAAAAATGCATTCAAATGGTACAAAAGAAGTAGAAGAGAAATCCAGAGATGAAAAAACTCCAGCCCTATCATTAGAAGAAAAAATCAAACAATTAAGTGTACCCATAGTCGAATCTGTATCAAAACAACACATTGAAAACTTCAAGTTCTTCAACGAGAGACATTACGTAGAGTATTATTCCTCCTACTGTAATAAAGAAAAACAATACGAGGACATGTGCATAAGAGTTCACACTAACAAACTGATCTTGATAACCTTAGCATACGGAAACAATATCGTTAAGTCCAATAAAAACATAACCGAGATAGATTTTGTTATTAACAAAGGTACTATCGCAAAACTAATAACAATATAAACCATAAGTAATTACTATTTTTTCCAGGTGATAGATCTAGGATAAACTTGAAAGGCAAACGAAAATTAGGCGCGAAACAGATGCACCCGGAGACCGTAGTTTGTAAAGTAAAGCTCGAAGGTGAAGAGGAATTGCGGAATATAAGAGCAGGAGTGAATGGTTATCTCATAGAAATCAACGAATTGATTAAAAGCGATCCGAATTTGCTTAAAAACGATCCGAAATGCAACGGATTCTTAGCCATCATAATGCCCAAAGGTCCACTGCAAGAATCCAAGTTATTAAACCACAATGAACATTTAATAACCGAAGAAGCTTATGCAAAGTTATTATTAGAAAGAAATACTACTTAATTTATTTTTAAATATTTTCTATAATGATTAATAAAGTGACTAAAGATATTAGCGTTTTCTGGCAATCGAGTAAGAACCTATTAAAAAATCTGACAAGGAAATTAACAGTCTAGATCGTTCGATTTTACGTTAAGTTCTCGTAAATTAATTATTAACAATACATTTAATAACCACTATTTATAGTTTCGATTAATAAACACGCATGAGTCACCAGTAACCTCAAGAATTTGGTCAAATTGTTTTAGAAATGACGAGTGCTGCGTTAAGATTTTAGTCCCCCCTATAGGTCACTCTACAGGGCCGAACTTCCCCGATGTTAACAACTTTTTAACAGCAAAGAATTGTATTGTATTTATGTATGTACACGAAATAATAAAAAGATGAAAAGTTTTTAGAAGGAACGGTTCGGAAAGATCGTTTAGATTAGGAATTGTAAAGTGTGGTAAGTAATTGATATTTATTTTAGAGATTGATTGAGGCGAGTACGGCCCTGGGTAAAAGTGCGCAATCGTGGAACATTTATAGCAACTTGTAGTGTCGACGTTTCCAGTTTGAAAATTGAGGTGTTTTGTGATAGGCAGGTGGATATTTTATTATAAATAATCATCATGAGCGTAATCCGTAAGTAAAGTATTTCTTCTATATTCTATTGAGTTTTGCGAAAGTTTTTCAAAAAGTTTTATAAGCGGAATCAAAATTTAAATAAGAGGATTTTGGAATGTAAAAGTTGAATGATATACCGGTTTCTTAGTAGTTTTTACCGCTGACCCAATTAATTTGTTAACAGTTTGGTTTGTAGTTTAACAAACTGGAATTTCGTACGAAATGCCATTGAAAAAAATTCCATTGATGACCGCATTGAAAAAATACTTATCTAAAATCATTTTCGATTTTATTGCTGCTTATAATTGTGCTATAAATATTAATGTTTGTGAAGTCACCGGTTTTAATAGATTCAAAGACTATGCATTTCAAGTACCTTATACATACACGTTTATTTAAAATTTACTAAACTTTACGAGCAAAAAAATATAAAATTTATACAACAAGCATCTATATTAATTTGCTTTTAAACAAGTCAAACAAAACGGCACTCGAATTTCTTCAAATTCCTTAAACAAACATCCACCCTATTGATGAACAAATAAAATATTTCAGTCACGCAGTTACACGTATATCCGCGAAATATCCATTGATTATTTTTTATTTATTATGGGAATCGGTGTCACGCCCATGGCTACGACCTCCAAGATCATTTGACCATTTCAATCTGTTGTATATAATGTATTACACAGTGGTATTACGATGTTGATGGTGTAATCACAAACAATATTCTATTTTTAGAGTTGTTGTCATGCACTTTGGACAGTAATTTTTGTTGATTTTTTTCAACTTCCTCTTTTCGAACCAACTTGGGGTTGCTATGTAGAGGAATAGGTGAAGTCTTACGCCGTTTTCAGGGATACATTATATATTTATTCTTCATTTTGTCTTTCCCCTACAGTTTTGTATGGTATCTTTTAGAAGGGGTAGAAAGCAAGTTTTATCCACTGAAAATCATGCTAATATTGACAGTTTTTCTTGCTTAAATTTCCGACCTATTTTCTTCATAATTACACGAAAATTCGTAGGTGTTTATTCATAATCACCTACTTATTTATTAACAGCAGTCTAATTGGGTTGCTCGTTTAGAAAAATTGCTCAATTAAAAATAATTTAATGTTGTGCAATATCCCTTCAATGTACTTTTGATCTTCACTATTTTCCCATAAACAAATTTACAAGGTTCCTAATTTGCTTTTACTAAGGTTGAATTTCAATTTAGATAATAACTTTTACAGTAGAATTAAAATTATCGCTTCGTTATTGACTTTACGAATACAATTAAGCATATTACATGAAAATCACCGGACAAATAAAATTACAAAAATTTCCAGCACAAATTCAAATGAGTTTTGTACGACATTTTAATCATCTGGTTTACTAAAAGTTGCAATATTTAGTCGAGTTTTGGCTCGTTGTTTTTCATCTTTAACAGCCGATGGCCGGTTGAATAGAATTTCCTGTGGACCTTGAGCGCATTATCAAATAAACCATTCACGTTTTCCGTTGATTTCGAAAAAAATCGCCTCCGCCGCTGCGCCGGTTTGGGCGCCTCCAAGTCACGAACGAAATATAGCGATGATGTAACGCGACAAGGATTTTATATCGATTATTATGTTATTCTTCTATGGTAAACGTATCGTAAGGATAAGGAAGGCCAGAGGCAGACAGGCCGGTGCCCACTGCTATCAAAATCCAGGCCACGATTTGACCTAAAACTCCCTAAGGCGTCGCGACGCCGAAACTCCGACGAGCGATTACAATTGCGAGAAATTCCAAACTTTTTTTTTGATTTTAATTAGAAATGTATATGCACAAACACTATTTACCTTCAAACGACAGCGCATCACGCGACGATGGAATCCGAATTTTAATATCGAAAACAAATGTTTACCTAGAGATATGCGCAATTAATAGGTATTCGAACATCTGGTATTAACGACACGTTAATTATGATAATTAACATTGATTTTTCTCCTGTGATTTACCTATGGGGTTACGTTGAAAAATCCGTGGAATGCGTAAAAGAATGGATGAATGGAGTAGATTGAAACAAATTGCTCTTTGACACGCAATCGGCGCTCAAAAAGTTTTCATTCTGGCTCTTTTTTTTATCAATTATCTGCGTTTTAAATAGGGAGGATTTTGCACTGGGTGCGGAAATTTATGCACTTTTATCACACAAAAATTGATTTTATAAAACAATAGTTGCTTTTATAGAAGTCCGAAATGATAAAAAAAAATCAAGAATCAGTCCATTATTTTCATGCAAATAATTTTATTCTCTTGGTGAATTTCCAAACTTGCAAATGCTCTTATTTCGCATTTATTTAATAGGTTTGTTTGATTTCAATTTTAACACCGAGTACTTAAAAATTTAAATGTAAAAATACTTCCAGTCTCATCGATTTCGTGGTAAATTATGAACAATTTCAAACATTTATATTTAGATCGCCAAATGTTCAAATTTCTCTAGCGGCATTTTCATCGTTCCGTTTATAAATAGGTCCTGTGAAAATAGTTTATTCCAAAGAGCGCTTTCGCTCATGCTAGATTTTTCACATTTTTTTTAATAATTCTAATACATTCTGAGAATAAAATGTTTGTGTAGTCGCGATTTATGTCGATAAAAGTTTTACTAAGTTTTATTTTAAGAAACCAGATTGCAATGTGCTATTAACTAGGAGGCATTGCATGATCGTGCATTGCATGCGGGTTTATTACATTAGTCAAATCTCTCAAAACCGGCATTTTTCGAACAAAACGTCAAAAATGTTCTTCACATAATTGAATTCAACATGAACAACTATTCGAAAATGTGCAATTTATTTTTTTACGAAATTGTTTACGTCGAAAATAAACCAATATCGAGATGGTTAAATACCAATTTAAAAATAGCACAGAGGTCCAAGAAATGTAAATTCTATCTAATTTAAGCCAAACGGGTCCTTGAAGCCAATTAAATAATCAAAAAAAATATCTACACTGATGTCATTAATAAAGCGTTTTTCGCTTAAATTACCATTACATCCCGGTTTTCGTCCATTAATATTAAATTTACGAGCAAATCACTACCCAAATTAACACAGGCGTTGGTAAATTGAGCCTAGAAATAATTACTAATCAGGAGAACTATATTTGAAAAATAACGCTTATTTCGTAAGTCGTTACTGCACCTCTATACAAAAAGATTATTTCCACCTCTATTAAACTTCTGTCATACGTTGTCAAGTTGTCATAAGTGTCGTTACTGTCAATTTTGACATTAATGTATCATCGAACGCATCTTAAAGTCCCACCTATTCGCGTACAATGCGAAAAATAGCAAATTACCGTAGATTCCTCAACTCACATTAAAATTCCCGTTACAGAATTAGAAACCGAGGACCGGCTGGAATACAACTTCGTCCCGAACAATGCCGGCTTCGTCCAATTCCGAGTCCGGGCGGCCAACGACGCCCACATAGCCCTGACCACCCAGGCGGCCGAGTGCGACCCCATGTACGAGATCTTCATCGGCGGCTGGGGCAACTCCAAGTCGATCATCCGCAAGAACCGCACCAAACCGGACGTCGCCGAAGTGCCGACGCCCGGCATCCTCAACCCCAACGAGTTCCGCGGCTTCTGGATCCGCTGGCAGAACGGCACCATCTCCGTCGGCAGGGAGAACGAGGTGCCGCCGTTCCTCTCGTGGAACGACTACGAGCCCGTCAACATCGAGTACGTCGGCGTGTGCACCGGCTGGGGCGCCAGCGGCTCCTGGGTGATCGAACCGCCGAGGGGCGGACCTGGAGGTAAAACCAACTAATCTACAAACCCCCGTTATCTCCCTTCTATACGACATCTTCCGCAGGTTTCGGCGGCGCTCCTCCTTCCAACTACACGCAACCGAGATCGAACTTCTCTTCGGTGTGCTGGGCGCCGAGCAGAGGGGGCCAAGTGCCTCCGAGGGCGTTCGCCGGCGGTGAAGACAACGGCGAGCCGCTGTACGTGATCCGGGCGCAGTTCAACGGGGCCCTCATTCCGGGCAAGCTGGTGCCCAGCCACGGCACCGGCTACGTCGCCTGGGGCGGCAACGAGAACGCCGTGCCGGAGTACGAGGTGCTCTGCGACTTCCCCGGCCAGTGGATAGCTACTTCGGGAGGTAAGTGCACTAGGTCTATCGAAATCGATCGGGTGTTGAATCGGGGCGTTTCGTTTGCAGGAAATATCCCGCCCAACGCTTTGACGGCCGGGCAATCGGAGGAAGGGGAGCCCTTGTACATCGGGAGGGTGGTGCACGACGGCGCTTTGACCGTGGGGAAGGTGCAGCAGAGCCACGGGGTGTGTTACATCCCTTACGGGGGACAGGAGCTGTCGTTCCCCGACTACGAGGTTCTCGTGCAGTAAGCGAAGGGGGCGCTTCGAAGTAATATACTCGTTCGGAAAAAAAATATATATATAAAAAAGAGCAACTACAGCATTTCGAAAGAATTATAATATGTATAATGGCTTCTATAGGTGCCTTCCGATTATACTAGGATTTATATATTTTATTTTTACGTACTGTTGAAATATAATTAACATTTCGTTCATGTTTATATATTATTAGTAGTAGTAGTAGAGGAAGTTTTTTTTTGTTTATTTATTTACTTTCGAATCTCAGCTGTTTTATTTTTGGTGTACATGCACTATTTTTGTAAGTCTGTTTTAATTTGTAATTGTAATAATACATTTTATTATCAATATTTAACAACACATTTTTATTTCCTCCATTAAAATTAACGAAAATACAATCACTTAAGCTTTCCCGGTGAACCTGTAGTATTTTTTATAATTCTCGTACATTACTTTGAAAATTTCAGTCGAAGCACTCGACAACACTCTCATTAAATACGCCACAGCGTGCTGATCACAGATGGTTATCAAACTATAAATGCAGTTGTTCAAATGCATCTAAAATTAAAAAAAATGTATACAAAAAATTAAATTACTTACACACTTACTTTAATATTGGGATAAATGGTAACTTTCTCGTACTGCGCCAGAATATCCGCCACTAAATACATAGCGATCCTGGACATGTCCTTCTGATGCACCACCAAGCTCTTCGTCAGTTTCTCCAACTGGTAAGCGCAATCGGACAAATCCCTCACGAAATGCTCGTTTCTCTCTTTGTTCGAATCCCCCTTCAGGCACAACGCTCTCAGCAAAGCCCTGTATTGTTGCAAATAAGGCGGGAGCCTGTCCATGACGAGAGCTTTCCTGAATTTCAGCAAATTCGACAGCAAGGACACCAGCAAATTGTAGAACGAAGGGAAGGACAGCGGCTCCTTGTCCAGCAAAATCGTCACGCTTAGTATCAGCAAATCCATCGTGGGCGGCGTGAGATGAAGCTAAAAACGAATGTACCATCGAATAAATACATTTTTTGACCTTATGCACTCACGTGTTTCGTTTGAACCAGCAATATTTCGAACCGTAGGATGTTCTCGAATAATTCTCCATCGTATCGGGATGATTCTAAATGTACGAGCGAATTGCTCAGCAAACTCTCCACGCCTCGTTGCAAGCGATTAGTTTTAACGGGATTGATATTAGCAGAGATTATAGACTCCCACGTTTTGAGGAAGCACACGAAATTTCTACAATTATTTTCTTTAAGAGCATCAATAGACAGGAACGCTAGGTCTTCGATGACGCGATCGAATTGCTCGTTGGACATCAAACAAACCATCAAAAACACCAATTGCGAGTACTCCTCCGTTCTGGCGAAAACTTTCTCGTTGCATTTGCACAAATCCCAAATTTTCAAGTACAGCTCATCGTCGAATTCGTCGATTTTCGTTTTGTTATTTAACACCGTATTGAACAGTAATAAATAGCCGGTCTTGTCGAAGTCTTCCTTCTTCTCCAAGGCGAAATTCACGTAAGAATTCAAAACCTCCAACATCTTCTGAAGCTTCTCGTCTTCGTTCTGAACAAACAATATTTTCAGGGCCTGTGCATATCCGCATACTAAATGATCATTGGGCTCGCTGGTCAATACCAAATCGCAAATTCCCTTGCAAATCGACGATTTGTAATTCTCTGTAAGGCTTTTGACTTCTTTGGGTACTTTCAATTTTTTTAACTGGAAAACAAAACGAATTTTTTCATATAAAGGGTGTTCATAATATTATGGGACATAAATTCATGGCGCTGGGATGTCTATAATATATTCTGGGACAACCTCTATAATTTGCTTACAATAATATTGCAATATACACTCACCTTGTTAACGGCATTTATAATTACAATTCCGCATTGCAAGTAGACAGGACTATGCAAGTTATTTGTAATATTCTTAATGAGTGAATCATAACTAGCGATTGAATCATTGTATTTGAATATATTATCTATTATTAGAACAAACAGTTCTTTCCATTCATTGAAATTGTGTAGGATCTCTAAACAAAGCGGTTTTATATCGAATATGTTGGCTAATTTGTACTTGTACTGTTGCAATGTACCTAAAATATAAATTTTTATATGTTAAAATATATTAATAAATATAAATTTGGACGTACCAACTATTAAATCCTCTAAAAATTTCCTCAATTCCACGAAATGCCCTTTAAAAAAACAACGTCTGAGGTCTTTGTGCAGCGAAAAGAAATACAAGATGAAAAAATTTTGCACATTTGCTTCGCAGAAGATCACCGGAAAATGTTTCAATATTTTAACCAATTCCAAAAGTTTCTCTTCGTTGAATTTTATTTCTAAATCCGAGTTATTATCGGATGATTTGTATATTTCGCTCATTTTGCCGATAGAATCGCTCAAAATATTCTCATCGTGGAATCCAACAGTGTCTAAACACTCGCAAATTCTCGTGCTAATTAATTTCGACAGGCTCAAATTTTCATCGGATTTTCTCTTCCTCTTCGCCAAGATTCTATCGCATTTCGTAATAATATAATAAATTACTGTATTTAGAATCGAAGCGTTGTTAAATACGTGAGCGTATTGATAAACATTCCCAAAATCGTTGATGTTCGAAACGATCTTTTCGGCCAAAATAAGTTTATCTTCCGGATCTAAAGTAGGCATTAAATTGTTCGTTAGGAATTTATCCTGCAAGATATCCTTCCAATTATTCTCCAAATCTGATGTAAGATACCTCGATAAATCCGCTAACACTTCGTTCGTGAGTTTCTGCTCGAATATGCACAAAGCTCGAACTTTCTGTGTGTACAATTTGTACTGAAAACAACGAAAAGAATAAGTGTTAATTAAGAAATAATCCTGTAAAGTTATTACCAATAATTGCTTGCAAGGAACTTCCCCGAAGTTGTTGATCCTCTCCGCAATCGAGCACCAATCTTCGTGGGTTAAATACGGGTGTAAGTAGGTAATATTGCTCGCCATGCTATTGTATTCTAATGCTTTTTTCTGCGTAGAATCCTGAGTACTCGAGTAATACTTCAGTATAATCCCCATTTCAGCCCAGTGGAAGGCTATTTTCAAGAAGGACCTCATTAAGCTGCAATTCTAATAAAGGATGTATAAATTGTATACTGCAAGTAATAAATATTTACATGGGTTTTGTTTAGTAGCGATTTTCCGAACGTTTTCAGGATATCTTGTAGTTCCTGAAGGCATTTTTTGGTTTTTTCAACTACGTTTGAGGCCACCGTGTGCTCAGCCACTCTTATGCTGGACAAAAAGGTACAAATCAATTCGCTGAGAAGTTCCATATGCAGACAATAAACTAAAAAAATATTGCTATATAATTACTCGTTAAATTAGAAAAATAAATATGTCTCACCATCCTCAGTAGTTTCTTTTTCTAGCTGTTTGTTCAAAGCGTACAAGAACGTTTTGAATACGTTTATCACTTGCCAGCTGGCTAGAGTTTGTATATTTTTCGTAAACGATACGAGAATATTCTTAGTAAAAACGTTTTCGACAGCCAGGTAATCGGTGTTGTTCTCGTTATCGAAGAAATTGTTAAGTGTTATAACTATTTTAGAGATTAAATTCTCGGTTCTGTGCAATTTCGAAAACAGCTCGAATATCGTCAGAATTAATCCTTCGTATTGTTCAATGTGGTTGGAATTGTCTACCAGCAGCGAGTAATTTAGGATTTGTTCGGTCAACGTTTGTGTTATGGCAGGATCTAATTGGATAGTTTTTTCGATAATTTGATAATTCGTTTTGGACGGTTTGTTGGGAATGATCGATTCGGTTAAAATCGTTTTTAACAATTCGGTGATATTAACTTCGTTGATTTTGCAATTTGTTTCTAATTTGGTCTCTTCTAGAACGTCCAGTAAATCTAGTAATATTTTGTAGGATATTTTAGTCTCCTTCTGGTTGTTGGAAATTAGATTGTTTGTTAACGGTATTATTTCGTACCGAAATCCGATAATGTGAAGTAAAATTAGAAAGAATTTATATGTTAATAAAGGATCATTTCCATATGAAACCAAGCAAGCGTGAAAAAGGAGTTTGAATTGATTTTCTGATGATTTCTTGTTCGATTCAATAGTAGTTTTGAGATGTTCCAATATGATATTAAATCCTGAATACTCCACACCAGTTGGTTTAAAGATTTCGTTCACAAAATTCTCAAAATTCTTCCGATTATTGTGAAACAAACACTACAAAAAAACAAAACATTAAAAACATAAATTACTTTTTTGACTACTGACCTTTTGTACTACTTTTGATGCATGTAGAAACACTTTCTTATCGTCGAATTTTTTTAGGCACTTATTTAAAGTTGGGAATATAAAGTTCATAAAATTCTTTACGAAAACCTCCGTGTTCAGTAAACTTTTGTAGAATAAATTAGAATTTAAAAAATCTAACAAATATTCTTGTGTATTTAAATTCATCAAAATACTGTTGATTAAATTCAAATAAAGTTCCAAATCGAATTTGAAATATTGTTCAAATACTTTGTGATCGATAAGATGTTTCACGATGAGATATTCATTTTTCCTAATTTCTGGTTGAACTGCAACTTTATGAATAATGCCCTTAAAAATAACAATAATTAATCAATCATTTTACAAATAATTTCTTCTACATACTTCAACAATATCCTTTATACTCTGACTGTCTATTTCATTCCTTGTGATTCCCTTAAAATGATTTGAAGAAACCAAACTTTCCAGACACTTCCACATAGACTCAACATCATTTTGTTGATCTAAAATCCATTTTATGAGGATAATTTTGCATCGAGCAGGTAACTCAGAGGATTTGAAAAAGTTTTCTACATGTAGCAGTTTGGTTGCAAATGTTTCTTCATTGCTATTCAAGTGAATTAATAATTCTAAAACAAATAATATGCTAGAAATTTGAACTAATTTATGATAGTTCTACTTACCTTCTTCTAAGGTCATTTTAGTACTTCTGATTAGAAATTATCAATTATTAGTTCTTTAATCTTTACAACATAAATAAAAATATAACCTTAAAATAGCACGTTGTTTTTGTGGCCTTTTACTATCTTCGCTTTCCGCCAAAGATTTTAATGTGAAAAAGAAGAAATTACTAATTTTTCATTGCCTAAAAAATAAATTCCCTAGCATGTCACTTCCACTTGGTGAATTATTTTGACAATTGACTGAATTGACAGCTTTCCAGTTCTTTTTCTGTCATACCGTCAAATATGGCACCGACGTAAGTAAAAATTATTTAAAAATCTGCTTACATCCTGCAAAAATGAATTAATTTCCCGACATTTTTACCATCCGATGAATTTTACTAACAACAATTTTACTTCTAACAACGTATTTACGCCGATTATGTCCGGTTCGAGTATTTAACCTATGTTTTGATCTGTTTTGCATGTTGTTATTCCCATGTACCAAATGAAAACTTTTATTTTTGTAGAGCCGAGAAAAAAACGAAAACGGTGAAGGGATTGCCCGCGGTCCCCGAGTCCGTGCTGAAGCACCGCAAAAGGCGCGAGGCCTCGAGAGCTAAGCGACTCCAATCTATCGTGAAGAAAAAGTCCGAGCACATCAAGAAGAGGAAAGACATTTTTAAGAGGGCCGAACAATACATTAAAGAGTACAGGCTGAAGGAACGAGATGAAATTAGGTTGATCCGCCAAGCCAAAAACAAGGGCAACTTCTACGTTCCAGCCGAAGCTAAATTAGCTTTCGTCATGCGTATTAAGGGGTATGTATTTATTTATTAAAGTAGACAGGTTCATAGTGGTAAATTTCATAAGTAATTTATCACTTTCCATGCTGTCTTTACATAGTCTTAGTTTGTTGTACTTTTAATTTGATTACTTTATTGTTGAATTTTGTGCACAAACTTACAACTACAACATTAAATCGAACTATTTTTGTTATGTACAATTCATTTTTTTAGTATCAACAAGGTTGCACCTAAAGTTCGCAAAGTCCTCCAACTGTTCAGACTTCTCCAAATCAACAACGGAGTTTTCATTCAGCTGAACAAGGCCACCATCAACATGCTTAGAATATGCGAGCCTTACATTACCTGGGGTTACCCCAACTTGAAATCGGTTAGAGAGCTGATCTACAAGAGAGGTTTCGCCAAAGTTAACGGACAGAGAGTGCCCATTACGAGCAATCAAATCATCGAAGACAGGTTAGGCAAATCGGGAATTATTTGCGTGGAGGATTTGATTCATGAAATTTTTACTGTTGGACCTAAGTTTAAGTACGCCTCTAACTTCTTATGGCCATTCAAGGTGAGTTTCGGGATTAATTTTTGATATTTCGTTGCTACATTGTTTTATTTTAGCTAAACACACCTACCGGTGGGTGGCGTAAGAAGACCAATCACTACGTTGAAGGTGGTGACTTTGGTAATAGAGAAGATAAAATAAACGAACTTCTCAGAAGAATGGTGTAATCCGTAAGATTATATAATAAATTATGTTGAGTAAATTTGAGCAGTTTTATTTTCTTATACAATAGATAGATAGGAAATTTATTCATGCCAATATTGTTCATTAGAAATTAACTTTGGTGAACTTGTTTCGGCCAGTTGAAATTTATGGCTGGTTTCCTGAAAAGTTGGCTGTTGTAATTACTAAGCGGAGACAACTAATTTTTTTCGTAATGACAGATGACGTGACATTTGACAGTACAATATACCATTATTTCCGTTTCCTCTATCACCAATCATCCATTTTGTAATTACTTGCTTAGCATCGGCGAATGTGGTGAGTGGAGTCACATTTTTCAAAATGTATTACATGTTTTACATTACATTAAATTTTTGAATCGGTTAATAAATAGAAAATTACACCTCGTGTGTAGCATTTTTAATACGCTCATTTTCATTCATCGCAATCGAAAATGGGCGACAACGTGAAATCGTTCCTACACCAATATTGCCAAAAGAACAAGTTAGAAACTCAGTTCGAGGTGAGACCTACAGGTAAGTTGATCCGACAATTATTCGCCAAAGCACGCCACAAAAAATTTAGGTTAATTTGTGTGATAAAAAACGTGGGTTTCCAGGTCCGAAGTCTCGTCAGAGATTCCTATGCGAATTGCGCATAAAAGGCTACAATTACGTGGGAGCCGGAAATTCGACGAACAAAAAAGACGCCCAAAGCAATGCAGCCAAAGATTTCGTTTCGTACTTAGTCCGAGAGGGCCTCGTGAACAAAAACGATGTACCGGCCGATGTAGCTGTTGATGCTCCATTAATTCACCGTACGTTCATACTCTCCCAATACAATCGTAGAATCCTAACGAATATACCTTACAGATGGGCAACAGGAGACGCCCGATTTCAGTTCCGAGCACAAGGTATTCAGCCAAGGCATGGGCCCCTCTAATTTCGGCGAGGCTTACCGCCCGCGTGGCCGCGAAGACAACCAGTGGCATTACATGGATCGAGCTCAGGAGCAGAAACGGATGGAAGAGGCAGAGGATCTGGACGTTAACGCTCAAATTCACGGAAATTGGACTGTGGAAAACGCCAAGTCTAAATTGCATCAGTTTATTCAGACGAATAAGATACACGCTGATTACAAATATACTCAAATAGGTCCGGATCATGCTAGGTATTGCTATAATTAATGTAGAAGGAATACTCTTCGTTTTTAGTTTACTTGCTTCTTCTTTTTTAATAGGTTCTTTATTATTTCTTTTTTATTAATTTGCAAGGAATATTTGAGGAATGATTTCAAATATTTTTTGACATAACTTATTGTATACCTGATCTGTATGAAAACTATCGAAAGCAGTAAAGACGATACTTATTACAACACTCGAGGATATTATTATCGTCATTTATAATATCCTCTAGTGCGTTTTTATTAACCATACTTCTAGAAAGATGTGTGGTCAATAAAACATCCAAGTTTAGAGAAAACATATTAATTGCTTTCGGTTTGTTTTTATACAGGTTCCGGGGAATGTTTGATGAGAGTATTATGAGAAACGTAAGTATTAGACACTAACATAGATTCGCTCATAGTAAATTTGGCTGTTAATTTTTCTAGAACATTCGTGGCAGAAATGAGCTTCTACGTTAAATCCCTCGGAAGAGTAATTCACGGACGTGATACCGGTTCTAATAAACAAACGGCCAGTAAGAGTTGCGCATTGTCTATCGTGAGGCAACTATTCCATTTAGGCGTTATCGAACCCTTCTCAGGTACACATATAACCCAATATTTCAATCGTTTATTATAAACAACAAATCTCGCAGGTACTTTAAAAAAGGAGAGGAAAGCCTCCGAGGAAATGCCTCCGTTCAAAGTAAGAATTTCACCCCAACTGAAGGCCTCCATACAAAGTTGCTTGTACGATTTGAACATCACCCCGACGCCCGTTCGCGATGTATCCACAGACGAACAGGGCGATTCGGTTCCGGTGTCTCTATTGAGCCACCACGTCTTGGACGATTTCCATCCCGCCAAACCCACCGAAGCGGGAGTCGTGACGTGGTCGCCGCCCCAGCAAAATTGGAACTGCTGGACCGGTTGTAACATCGACGAAGGTTACTTGGCGTCGGCCTCGCTGGACGAATTAAGCGAACACATGCTGACCGACTGGAAGAATCGATTAGCTGTAGATACTAGTCTGATATCGAGCATTAAAGACAGAGAAACTCTGCCGGTGTACAACATGAAAGGCGCCATAATGGAGGCCATTAACGAGCACCCTGTTATAATAATAAGAGGTAACACGGGTTGCGGTAAAACCACGCAAGTTTGCCAGTTCATACTGGAGGATTACGTGATGTCCGGACAAGGGGCTTGGTGTAACATATGCGTGACCCAACCGAGGCGTATATCGGCCGTATCGGTATCGGAGAGAGTGGCGATGGAGCGTTGCGAAGACCTGGGACAATCCGTGGGCTATTCGGTCCGTTTCGAATCGGCCCTACCCAAACCGTACGGTTCCATCATGTTCTGTACCGTGGGTGTGTTGCTGAAGAAGCTGGAGAACGGCCTCAGGGGCGTCAGTCACGTGATCGTCGACGAGATACACGAGCGAGACGTGAACAGCGATTTTATCATGGTCGTTTTGAGAGACATGATACACACGTATCCCGATTTGAGGGTGATACTGATGTCGGCGACGATCGATACGAGCCTGTTTTCGAGATACTTCAATAATTGTCCCGTAATTGAAATACCGGGTCGCGCGTTTCCCGTCAAGAATTATTTCTTGGAAGATGCCATCGAATTGACGAAATTCGTACCTCCCATCAATTCGAGGAAAAGGAAGAGCAAAGGCGGTAACGATGATGAAGAGGATGGAGTCGGTATCGAAGATCCAGACGAGAATTTGAATAAGGTACAAATATATCTAAATAAATTAGAATTACGTAAAATATTTATTTCACATGATGTTTTATAATAATTGGCTGAGCCTAATTTGATGACTATACTTATACCACTACCCATTTACTGATCGAAACAGTAATCACACTAATTGTAAATTCGTGTTATTATTTCGGTATTTATCTAGCGTTTCTAATTTCAGATCGAAAGCGGAAATTACTCGGAAGCCACCAAGACGGTCATATCGAGACTGAACGAAAAAGAAGTAAGTTTCGAACTCCTCGAAGCTCTATTAGATTACATCAAAGCTCAAAACATACCCGGCGCTGTGTTGGTGTTCCTTCCCGGTTGGAATTTGATATTCGCCATGATGAAGCACCTTCAAAATCACCCAGTATACGGCAGCTCTCAATACTGCATACTACCGTTGCATTCGCAAATACCGCGAGAAGACCAACGTCGGGTGTTCCAGCCCGTTCCCGATCACGTTACCAAAGTCATCCTAGCCACGAACATCGCCGAAACCTCCATTACGATAAACGACGTCGTGTTCGTCATCGACAGTTGCAAGGCCAAGATGAAGATGTTCACGTCGCACAACAACATGACCAGCTACGCGACCGTGTGGGCGTCGAAGACGAACTTGGAGCAGCGAAAGGGCCGCGCCGGTCGCGTGAGGCCGGGCATCTGTTTCCATTTGTGTTCGAAGCTGCGATACGAGAAGCTCGACGAGCACATGACGCCCGAGATGTTCCGGACGCCGTTGCACGAGCTGGCGCTCAGCATAAAATTGTTGCGATTGGGTTCGATCGGGCACTTTTTGAGCAAGGCGATCGAACCGCCGCCGTTGGACGCCGTCATCGAGGCGGAGGTGTTGCTGAGAGAAATGAAATGTTTGGACAGGAACGACGAGTTGACGCCGTTGGGTAGGATCATTGCGAAGTTGCCCATCGAACCGAGGTTGGGTAAAATGATGGTGTTGGGTTGCGTGTTTATGTGCGGCGGTCCTTTGGCCACGATGGCCGCCAATTCGTCGACTTTTCCCGAAATATTCGTGCTGGATATGGGCCACAGAAGGCTGAGTTACCATCAAAGAGCTTTGGCTGGAGATAGGCATTCGGATCACGTTGCCATGTTGGCAGCATTCGAAGTAAGTTCTCTTTTATAATTTAATACGAAATATTCAATTATCTTACATGATGCTTTATGATTGGCTGAGCCTAATTTGATGACTCTAATTTTACCACTACCCATTAACTGATACGAAACTTAATAATACTTACTATCTTTTTAACAATAATTAAACGTCATTAAAATCGTTCCATTTTGTTCCTTACAGCTTTGGGATCAAGCCAGAGAGGGTGGCGAAGATGCCGAATTGAGATTTTGCGAATTCAAAGGCATCAGTTTGCCTACGATGAGGGTAACGTGGGAGGCCAAGCACCAACTCCAGCAAATTTTAAACAACGTGGGATTCCCCGAGGAATCGCTAGCGCCGATTCCCATGGAAACGATGGGGCCCGATCCGAAATTGGACGTGGTCATGTCGCTGATGTGTTACGGTTTGTACCCGAACGTTTGTTATCACAAAGACAAGAGGAAGGTTTTGACGACCGAAAGCAAGGCGGCGCTCATACATAAAACGTCGGTGAATTGCAGCAATCAGGATCAGGGTTTTCCTTATCCGTTTTTCGTTTTCGGCGAGAAAATTCGAACGAGAGCCGTCTCTTGTAAACAGATGACGATGGTAACGCCGTTGCATCTTTTGCTGTTCGGTTCGCGCAAAGTCGATTGGATTGATAACGTGGTTAGGTTGGATAATTGGATCAATTTGGACATGGATCCCGAGGTGGCATCGATGATCGTCGCCCTGCGGCCCGCTTTGGAGAGTCTCGTAATAAGAACGTCGCAGGAACCCGAGGGAATCTTGGAAATGGGCGAACTCGATCTAAAAGTTAGTCGGCTAAATGGTTTTTACCTTATTTTGAATGCTAATTTCATATTTGTTTAGGTGGTATCGACGATAAAGGAATTGTGTAAATTACATGCAGGGAGCTTTGAAATTGAAAGGGCTAAACCGAGTTTGTTGGCTTCGAAAAGACCGCCTAGAGGACATACTATCGGAGGTTATAGCGGGCCTCCGCCCAAGTTTAGAAGAGGAGGAGGAGGTAATTAATTATTCTATTAGATAAGACCATTTTTTCTAACTAGCTGTTTGTGTCCTGATGAATTACCTAATTAATCTTTGTAGGTTTTAGAGGATACGGCGGAGGTGGAGGTGGTTACAACAATCGTGGTAATTTCAGTGGTAGAGGAGGCGGTTTCGGCGGCGGTTTCAGAGGCGGTTTTAGGGGAGGATTTAGAGGTGGAAGAGGAGGAGAATTTAGAGGTACCTATTGAAGATTTCAATATCATTCTAAAAGAGAAAATTTAATTATAAGTATTTATTTAGTTTCAAGTACAATTTAAATTAGCATAATTGTTTAAAGGTTTATTTTAATTTATAAATAAAAATTACACGAATTACTCTTCGACTAAAAAGATAGTGATAATTTATTTTTTTACATAAACAATGATAGTGTTATTTTAAAGCATATACTTACTGCTTTAAAGCACATATTTAGGCATCATTGCGGATTGCTGTTGAAGTAATTGGAAACGTTAGGATAGCGATCGGGATGGAAGTCTTCGTTGTCCTTCAAATTATTTTGAACGGTAGATCGAAGAAGGTTTCTGTAAGAATTCTGGATATCCGAAGATGCCCCAGCCGCTTGCGCTACAACTTCTAAAGGAGCGACGGATGTCAAACCACTAGCTGTAACAGCTTGACGAACGCTCTCTGAAAATAAACCACAATAAGTTGCTTTTTTTTTAATAATTTTACGTAACTTACCAGAAATAACTTGAGAAAGACTGCCGTGAGGCTTACTGCTATTGATGATTTTCCTTCGTTTACTAGGCATCCCGGAAAGGTAAGCATCGCTAAAGGCGGCTTGGGGATTCTGTCTCCTCTGTTTCTGCGCGTCCTTCGTTATAATAGGTACCCAATCCTAAAAATTAACCGCTTATACAATGCACTTACTACAATGTATTATGAATCGTATACCTCTGGAACTTGTCCATGCCACGATTCGGATCCTATAACTACATTTGGCAATGGCTCACTGTCTGCAACGACTAAATCAGTCCGTACGTCTTGTACATCAACATCCATTAACTAAAACGAATTTATATAAAAACTTGTTATTCAAATTTATTATATTTTACCTCTACTTCATTATACACCTGCGCTACGGTTTGGGCATCGGTCGGCAACGATTGGGGCGGCTCCTGTGGCGGTTGGGCCGCTTTGTGAACAATAAAAGGTTGCAGAGCACTTTCCGGTATATTCAGGCCCGATAGAATCTGTCGCAATTGCATGCGACTCGTTACTACTGTCCAATTTATTATATCTTGAGGAATATCCCTCATAATGTTAGTCTGAAAGAAGTAAATAAAATCAGACCAGAATAATTAACATTAATTAGACTTACCATTATACGTTCAAACACTTGCTCGACTCCTCTTTGACCCGAAGAACTGGCTAATAACGTGAGTGCTAGGAGTTGTTTCGCAGTGGTTATGCACTGATCGACTAATATACTTGTAGTGTTTGAATTTAAATTTAAAGCCACCACGATTATGTTCGGCAATCTTTGTCTGAATAATTGTTCAGATGATCTAACTATGTCTATGTTGTTGCGCACCGGCAAACTTGCCTAATAAAAAAATAAATTATTGTATGTGTGGATTTGTGGGTTATTTTTACTTACGAAATTTTCCAAAAACGATTGCAATTCTCTAATAAGTTTCTCGACGGCTCTTTCGACGCCAGCCGGTGATGTATCTTCTTCGCAGATTCTGGTCCTGAAGAAGTTTTGAATATCGTTGATATTCCTATTTATCGGTTCAGCGTTACCGCTATACAACGAAAATATGTCGCTAAAAACAGACGAAAAACATGTAAAAATATAAAATAGATTATTCGAACACCACCTACATAATCGTGAGGTTTCTAACAATTAGCATAATTAAATCGATAATAATGCTTTCGCCCGGTACATATTGATCGTCCTGCTGGAATTGCTGCAATAGTTGCTCGAGTGTCGGCCCTTGTCCCAGCAGGTCCGGCAAATTCTAGGATATATAAACATAAACGTTCAGAAAAAAAATCTACTTTCACCGACAAAATACTCACCAAACTTCCCTGCAAACCGCTGAACAGCGATCCGATAGAACCCATATTCAAACCGCCCAAACCACCGTCACCGTTAGACGTGCTATTCGAAGCGTTCGGCGCCGAAGTCGGCCAAGACACGTTCTCGCCACCTCTCCTCTGATCCGACAACACTTCGTTGATGCGATTTATGAAATTCAAAATGTTCGGATTCTCCCTCGAGTTCCTCTGATCGCCCGAAGCGGATGATTCCTCTCTCGCCTGTTGACCACCGGCCGATTGACCCGGCGCATTCGCTGCACTCGAACTAGCAGCCTGTTGTTGTTGTTGTTGCTGCTGCTGCGTTCTATTACGCCTCGAAATGTGATGGGAATTACAAGGCAGGAACGGATCGAAACCGCCTAAAATCATACACAAAATCAATCGTATAATAAATCGTGCACTTTTTACTATTATATACCTTGCATAGCTTGCTGAGCCAAGTGAACGTGAGGTCGAGGAGTCGACCTGGTGTAAGTAGAAGTAGTAGGATGGGTTTGAGTGTTACCCCTGGCTTGGGAATTCTGCCCGCTGGGCGTTTGTTGGGCTTGCCCGGCGGCCGTGCTGCCCTGCTGGGTCGTCTGAGCCTGCGTAGTGGTATCGCCGGCGGGATTGCCGGTCGTTTGGACGTTCCTGTTTATTATTTGGCCGGCCATCTGCATGAGAGACTGCAGGAATTCGGGCGTCGGGCCGTTCAGGGCGCCTCTCAGCACTGAAACAATCGTTTCGATCTATCAGCATCGGAGTACCGACGAAACCGGCAGATCATGCGACGAGGCATAAACGTACCGAAACGCGACAAACACAACACTTACAATCGTTCGCTTGATTCGAGGAACCGACAAGCGTAGTCTCCAAAGAATCAATTGTAATACCTTCAGGGGTGACTTCCATGAAGATGTCGACGTTGGGATTGAAATTGAAGCCGCCTTGGGGCTGGTTGTCTTGCGCGTTGGCGTTCGAATTGTTGTTATTGGTAGCGTTGGGTGTATTCTCAGCATTGGGAGCGGGAGCGTTGGAGGCTTCGTTTGGAGCGGCGGTTTGGGTTCTGAGCTGAGTCATCGGTCTGACGCTTCTAATTTCGACGGGGAACGATTGAACTCTCATAGCCGTGCTCGGCAGGAACGGTAGACTGACGAATCCCGGTTGCACGGTTATTCCCTGTCGACTAGGAGTAGTCGATGGATTATTAGCCGACGCTGTAGTAGTGGTAGTGGTTGTGGATTCCGCGGAACCGGAATTAGCGGTGGTTGTGGTCGCGTTGGTCGTAGGAGGATTTAAGCGATCGGCCGATATACCTATTTGAGCCTGAATCACAAAATTTACTTATAGTTCAATACAAATATCGTGTAGATACGGTCGATTGTTAAAAGAGCAGTCGCTAGATTTCCTATTAACTTTATTAGAATTCGATTCAAACATATCTTTTAACAAGTCCGTATTTTTGCATGCAAGCGAAGAACTAACCGTAATTACCTCGACTTGTATGGGAATGCCGGTTTGCACCACGGCAGAATGTTGAATGAGAATGGGTCGACACAACAAAGGTCTGGGCGGCGGCGTTCTAACTCTGACAATAATATCGCTTAGGGAGTGATAGGCGTGTCCAAGGAAATGCATCACCTCCGATACTCTATTCAGCATTATTTGAGTTTCTCTTTGATTCTGAAATTACAATCATATAACCACGATATTTACTCGATTCGAAATTCTCAACGTACATCAGCAGGCACTTCGGGGTCGTCTCTCATGAACGTTTGGTACCTTTCCAAAAACGGCGCCAATCTACCCTGCAATTGCCCCAACAACGTCAGCAGATCGGACATTTCCGTCGTTCTCGAAGCGTTCCTGTACAAACGACACTATTTAGATACCTAAAAAAAGAGTACATTTCGAGCATCTTACTCGGGTAAACTGTTGTTAGCAGCAGGCCTTTGCTCGGCGTTCAAATTTTCCGATGAATTTTCCGATCTCAAAGCTTCGCCCAATTGGGTGGCATTTGCCGAACTGGTGCTGGACGAGTTTGCGTTCCTGCTCAAAAAAATACAAATAATATAACGCTATTACATGCGAGTAAATGCAAACCTTGTTGTGTTGTTTAAAGTATTCTCCACTGCGTTAATTTCCGCGTTCAAATTTTCGATGGTATCGAAATTGCTGGGAAGGATAACTCGAGCTTCGATCACAGGCGTCACCTCTTCCTCCTCTTGGTTTTCGTTAGTAGCCGATTGTTCTTGTTGTCTGGCATTCGGGTTTTCCAACAGACGTATCACTGCTTCGGCTCTGTTCAGCATTCTATGAACAAATTAAATACATTTCAGCACACTGTATAAAAGTTTATAAATAGTATTACCTTCGGGCGACATTAAGGCGACTTCCGGAAAGGCTGTGTGTAGGAGGCGGTGGAACAATTCCTTGGGATTCCATCAGGTTGCCTGGAAAAGCCATCGATCCCAAGTACATGGCATTGCCTTGCTCCAGGTCCCTGAAGCCTCTGAACCCTCTGAAATTTCTCCTTTGAGGTTGAGGGGACGTGGATCTGCTGTTCTGTAGAGGAGTGGAAGCTCCTGGTGGTGGTCGTTGCACCAAATGCACCACTTTGCCGTGAACATCTATTCGACAAAATTGTTTTAGATTTTAGATTGTGGATTTTTGAAAGTTTACGTACCGTAATCGGCTAGTTTGGAACTGTCTTGTAGCACTCTTCCGCAGTAGATAATGCGTTGAGTGTCTGCAGGAATGTTGACTGTATCTGCTATTTTGATTTTGAATTGCTCGACTGTTATCTAGAAATTTTAATACTTGCAATTGTGTTTGTGCTTTTGCAAACGTTAACTTACATCATCTTCCACCGAAAACTGATGATTTTGGGAATCCAAAGTCTTTACGGTCAATTCGATCATTTTGTTCTCAAAATAAGGCAATTACTTCGTAGGAACTTGCGCTGCACTGATGATTAGGGAAACTTCATGTATCACTAAGTCAATTATCTTTTCAAAACGTATATTCGATGTTACACCCTACAACGGTTCATTAAAAAACTGTTTTTTGCTTTTTTTATGGCGTAGAATTAAATACACCAAAATGGCCACAACAAATGACGTGACATGCAGAAATGTCAAAAATAAATATCTAACTTCAGTAATTTTCATGCGGTGTTGCCATATTTATTCTTCTTTTTTTTTAAAGAAGTTAAACGTCATAAAAATTCGGGAATTTTTTGTGCATTTTTAAAATTTTAATTAGTAAAATAAAAGATGGCATAAATATTTATTTTAATATAAGGTACCTTACTTATACAGAGTTAAAAATAATTATATGTAAAAAATACAAAAACAAAAATATCAATATAAATAACTGTTAATATTAAAATTGTTCGTTGTTTTTACCTCTAACGTCGCTTTTTATACATAATGCAATTAAATCATACTTAATTTATCCTATAAAGTATTTACAAGTTTTTCTAAACTTACAGTAAACGAAAATTGGCAATAAATTAATATTGACAATTACCTACCAAAAAAACCGAAATATCTTAATAAGTAATTTAATTTGTACGTTTTTAAACTTAATTACTTCAATAAAACATACAAATAACTATTAAAAAAATCACCTAAGTGGTAAAAATATTTTTTACCCTGAGCATTTTTCCATTTTTTTCATTAATAGTGGTTGGGAACAATTGATTATAAATTATTAAAATCATTCAACAGCAACAGGTAATTGAAAATGCAGTCTCTTCGAGTCGTTTTCGTCCTACTTCTTAGTAGTTGTACGGCCCATAGGCAGATCCCGTTGTGTAGTAAGGCCCCGCGTAGGGCTGCGGCACTGGATAGCCCCCATAAGCGTATTGCTGCTTCTGTGGATAAACTACAAAAAAAAATAAAAAAATTATTCGTTGCATTTTGCATTGCAAAGAGATTTTACAATAGATATAGATAAGTAAAAATTGTTGCGAATATTTTATGTTCAGGTGTAAATAATTGAGCTTTATATAATGACTCGCTTGTCAGCTCGGAAAGGGGGCTGCGCCCCCTTTCAACCCCCCTTTCTTACGGTGGCGGCTTCGCCGCAAGACAGTTTGCTAGCCGGAGCCTCGCTCGCTGCGCTCGCTCGGTCGCGATCATCCTGTACATCAAATTTTCACATTTCCTTAACGTAAAAACACCCTGTACATCAAATGTCCCGTCGACGTTTCCTTAGAAACGTCAGTGACATTTTCAGTCAATGTGAGGTTTGTTCTTTGCCGCTGTCATTAGTGTACACTTTTCGATATTAATTGAAACATTTCTCCGTTATTCGTCAATAAAACGTGGAGAAAATTGGGAGGTTAGTAAATTATTGTATATTCTTTCAATTTCAACCGTTGAAAGCGGCTAAAAGGTACGAATTAAGAAAAAATCTTGCACCGCGATAAAGTTCCGTTCAAACTAAACGAACGCAAATCGTCCATCAAATAATTTCTTGAAAAATGTGTCAAAAATTACAACTTTAAATCGATATTGTGAACGAAAACGAATTTAGCTGGGGAAAAGAGGTCGATTTTCGAAAAGAGCGCATCCGTTTACGTCCCCCCAACTACCTCTCCACGCCCAAGTAATTCATTTTGAATTTCTGTCGCCAATCATCGTTAACGCCTGGGGTTTTATATATATAGTGATAAAATATGTACAGTTACATTAATACTACATTAATAAATGTATTAATTATGTGTTCACATAACACGGCCACTCAAGGATTTCTTGCATTTTAAATATATTTATAAATGTCGTTTGCGTAACACCCATTAGCAAATACATACAAGTACTTGCATTTGCGGAAAGAAATTTTTATACGGTACCTAATTTAATTCCAATTGAGTAGAAAGTCAGATCACATTTCGAAGAATTTAAGCGTATTTATAATAATGATAAAGATAATTATTTATTTTAATTAACTCGGTATTTAGTTTATTTTTGTTAATGAGGTAGTAAATGTGTTCTAAAAATCGTCCCGTAATAAATTAAATGTTTTTGTATTAGTAAATATTTTTCACAACATGCAAACGTATAAAAATAGCTCGTTAACTCATTAAATTTCCACAAAATCTCGCCTCCGTCTCCCAGCATAATTTACGTGGTTAATCAAACAATACATAATAAATCCACCATATTTCTCCCTACTTTTACCGCCACACCCGAAGACTATTAAAGTCGAAATACACATCAAATTAATTGTTAATTTAGGCGAAAGACCGGCCGGACATTAAGTTACCAGGCATTAAGTACTGCATGTTGATAGCCTCCTCGCGTTCCCTCTCCCCTCGCAGGCACATCGCCGCTCCGGAAAACAAAATCGCCGCCACCAGAGACCACCCGACGCCCACCCACGCCACCATGTAACTCCAGTCGTAGTTGACGCGGGTGTTGTCGCGTAGCGCCTAGAATCCGAAAAAGAAACGGCTATTTAAACAACCACCAACCTGGCATGAGGTACTGAATATTGTTGAGGTCTTCCTTCTCCTTTTCGTTGCCCAGACAACAGGAGGCGAAGAAGAAGAGCAGCGATGCGCCCAAGGCGCTAAACACGCCCAACCAGCTCAGTATGAAGCTCCAATCGTAATAGACGTCGGTGTTTTCCTGGAGGATCTGTTTAGGGGAAAGTAAACAAAAAAGAGAAAATAGATCCGGGGGTGCTGTATTAGACGCGGATTTTAACAGAGACACGTTAGTAGTTCAAAAGTATTTGTTGCTAAACGAACTAATATTCGATTAGATTTAAACAACAATAGGATTCATTCCTACGTATTGACCTTCTTTTTTTGTTTGAATGAAAATTGCTTAATGTTGTTTTTTTGATGTTTTAGGTAGGTAGGAATTACAACGATCCTTCGGATTAATTGCGAAATTAGTTCGTTTCGTAAACGTGCGAAAAAATGAAGGAAAATTAATAAAAATTTACCGTGTTCCATTGTTGATAAAATTCTTCGCCCACTTGCTTCTCCTTTTCGTAGTATTCCACACCGTGCCAGAGACCCATTGCCCCGGCACTCATAAGACCTAAAATATTAAAATACCACTTAAAAAAACAGTAAAATAATCAATTAGCAGCTTCATCCACTAATTCAAAACTTAAAAAAGGAGTGGCAAAATAAATGTTTACATTCAAAGAGAAATCTTCAAGAAACTTACCTATCCTATTACACTAGCGTTGAATGAAAAATAAAGAAGTGTTTTATAACAATACAGAGCCACTTTAGTGGTGAAAATAATTACGTAAAGTACTTAATTAAAATGTAATCGAGCGATTCGTTTTTTTCAGTTAATTGATAATTTATTATTGCCAATATTGTTTTAATAGAAATTCGATCGGTGACCACAAAGTGAAATTAAAGAAAACGAAAATTACAACGAATTTTCCCTACATATAGTGTAGCTATTTTTTTGGCTTACTCAGTGTAACAATGAAAGCGCCTTTTCCTGTCTAGCAATCTAGGCGAACGACCAAATTAAATAATAAACCAGTCGACACTTTCTATCTATTCTTTTCCTCCGCACAACGAGCTTATCGAAGGATGTAATTTGCGGCCTTTAATTTATGTTTGCAATTTTACAGCCGTTTTCTCAAATTGCCAAGAACTATTTAAAACTGTGTGGAATGATTTAGAACATCTCTGAACGAATTAGAACTGTCTACAACAATTTAGAACTGTCCAGAATCATTTTGATTGCTGCAGGACGAAGGAGAATTGCCTAGAACAAGTTAGAACTGTCCAGAATCATTTAGATTGCTTCAGGACAAATCAAAATTGCCAAGAACCATTTAGACCTGTGTGTAATGATTCAGAACATCTCTGAACGAATTAGAACTGTCTACAACAATTTAGAACTGTCCAGAATCATTTAGATTGCTTCAGGACGAATCAGAATTGTCGAGAATCATTTAGAACTCTCAAAGTTAGAGTTTTGTAACTGCCCAAGAAAAGCCGAGCTATTGGGATTTGGATTGAAAAAATGGCACTTGTGAATTTGATACTTACAAGCTAGCAGCATGAGTATAGCGGTAGCGGTGATGTTGCCGGGCGATCGTTTCCAACATCCCGTCACGCCGGTGCAGAAGGCGGCGAACACGGCGATGAACGATATGATGAACAGCGCTATCATGGATCTTCCCATATCTAAAAAACCGAACGAATTATTCGCTGAAATGGCCAAAGCGAGCAATAACCGTACGTAATCTGGTCCAAGCGTCTTCGGTGAAGTCCCTGGTGTCGTTGTTTTCGTCGGGAATGTAGTAGTTGATGTTGTTGCAATGCGTCTCTAATGGACTCAAGTACGTTTTAACTGCAATCGGATGAATAACGATTATTAATAATTACTGATGAACAGGTTTAATGGTAAATTATAATGCCTTTTTGTATATAAAGAGTAGAGAATACAGAGAGCTCTGGAGTGTAGAGAGTAGTTTAGGGAATTAGGGGAATTAAAATTCAGGTAAATTCTATGAGGAGTTCCGCGAATTAATTCATATATCCCCATGAGAAGAGAAATCGCGCAAAAGTTTCGGCTATTCTTTATACAATATAATCCTAATCGGATCAAAGTTGGTTAAATTGTTTAATTGTATAACGCAGACCGGTAATTAGAATGCCAGAAACATATCTTTCTTGTTCTTATATGTAGGTATATGCGACGCAAATTGGCACACAAATCCGATTGTGGCGAAAAGGAACGTCGGGCGAGTTTTTCACACGTTCTCTTGTCGCAATTAACACGAGGCGATATATTGTGAGAGACACTTTTCTTCGAGCGAATGGAAAAAATGAAGCCGTTTAATTGTTTGCGAAGACAATGCGGCAGGTATTTCGGGCGTTCGCTCGGTTAATAAAACGTTTAATAAATATATAATCTCATTTTCTAAACTGATGCAGATAGCATCTTTAATGCGGTTGTTAAAAGGAAAGTTTCCCGGAATGGCACCGAAGATTAGAAAATGATCCGTGTACAGTACAGAAAGATCCGAATGCAAATGTTGTTAGATAAAAGGTGAATTAAAAATTTATTCTAATAGACGTAATTTTAAAGAAGTATTACAGGCAATTATTGGCAATGAATGAACGCTAAGAGCAGGTATATTTAGCACGGACCGGAGTAAATGAATTAAAATTTCGCCACGGTGGTTGATCAGGCAAATTGCCTGTTACAGTAAAAATGAACTCGCTGCAAACTAAATGATACGTTCCTGCGAGATCTTCTCGTATTGAATAGGATTTTCAAAAGGAACGGATAAGAGATATAGTGTGTTTAATGATAGAGATTATTAGCTAAGTATGGCTAGTATGGGTACATTTTTTTAGTGTGTATAAATCGAAAATTTAACTACGATAAGCGAATTTCACGTTTGAATGAGAATGTTACTAAATTCAACAGTTATAAAAAATTATCATAAAGAGAAACTAATTTTATGAATGTATTATATTAGTAATAGGAGTTTTTTTTACCTGTTGGCGGTCGCTCCTTCGGATAACATATCCTAAACAATCCTTTAGTCCTCGTGAAATAGTAGTACTTAGAATTAACATTTTCTAAAAGCGCTTGACTTTGTACATCCGAATGTTTGCTCAGGTAGTTCTGGAAACAAAAAAAATCTTCAATTGTAATTAAAAAATGAAACTAATTTTTGAATATACAGGGTGGAAGCAAATCATTGATCAATAGTCGCAGCTGATTTTGATAGCTTTTGTTAACCTTAAAAGTGAAAAGGACATCGAATCTTTCAATAATGTCAAATTGGTGTATAACAAATTCACTTCATTTTCGTGGAATTGAATTCCTACCGGGATTGGTCGATTTCAAACCTCTTTATTTACCAAAGGAAGAACTTTTTCATATTTTCGACTGCAGTTTTGGCATCTCCATTGTCGTTTCCATAAGGCACTTCCCGATGGGGTGTGAGATATAAAAAAAAACCTCTCGAAGCTTCCAATACAATTTTATTAAGAAAAACAAAATCGACATAACATATCCGATAAATCCATCACAGCAGCGATAAAATAGCCGAATAAACCTCATCCGCTCTTAAACAATATGAAAGCGTTCTGGCCGATGAAGAAGTAAATGTACGAGGTGGCTTCGTGCGAAATGTACGTGCCGAAGTTCTTGCCGACGAAGCAGTGCCAGCTGGGGCAGTACCTCTTGTCGAACTCCTTCTTGATGTAGGTGGCCACGTCCTTCTCGTGCTGGTACATGGTCAGCGCGCACTGGGCGCAGTCGATCGCCTCCTTCTGCATGCACTCGCTCATGTCGGTGTTCTTCACGCACGCCGGACAGTAGGGGTTCGTGTTGATGGGCGGCGGCGTCGCGCAGATGGGCCCGCAGGGGGGCCCCAGCGGCGAGCACGGGTTCGAAGGGCACGGCGAGCACATTTCTGTGTCTATTCACTGGAATTTTGCGGATACCAAAAAGAAAGCGGGTTTTTTTTTTTGGTTCGATTGACGGCGATTTTGACACGAAGAAATGTTTGTTAGTTCTAAACAGTTGCATTAATTGGGTGTTAGGTTTGTTCCTATACGGGAGTTGTACTAATCGATTAGAGCCAATAAAATTACACTATTAAATTTGATGTTATTACAGCGATCGTTATCATCAGGAGGTAGTAATAAAAATATGTTGAAGCAGTGGAGTGACAACAAATAAATACAAAGTAGGCAATATTGGATTCATAATTTGATAATTAACTATAATATACTGCTCCACGAAAGTTAAGGAAGTTTACAAATACTGATATTAATTTAAAAGTAACCTGCAACTTTTTTGATCGCCAAATTTAGTATGAGTTGTAGAGGTAGGGACGAAAAATCCACTCAGATATGAGAGAAAACATTTAATTTCGCATATTTGAAAATTAGGTGATCAAAAAGTCTGTAACTTTTAAAATAATCGCAAAATTTGCGAACTTCCTTAACTTTTGTGGAGCAGTTTAATTACCGATGGAACCGATTTTTAGTAACCTATTTAGGATTCTTTTAGTAGATATCTATTTAATAACCCAGAAAAGCGCTAATATGGGATTAGAAAATGGTTGCCTATTTTAAATTATAAAGTATACAGAGTGGTACTACTAAAATAAAATAAACTTTACTATCACACAATAAAAAAGTTTTTGGAATCTTATGATTTATTCGCCTTGCTGTCTTTCGCATACAAAATTAGCGGGGTATAGCTTATAGCAGAATAGAATACTCAGTAGCTACACACTGTACAGGGTGTTGAGTATATAAAACCCATCCTATCGAATATCGAATTTAACGCAATCAATCAAAATCACTGTTATACATGCGAAGGAGGTTGTTGACTGGCTATGTGGCATTGTAAGTAGGTGAAACAGTTATATGGTCACATATTCACGACGCATATCCATTTCGTCCATTTACGATAAAACGAAACGACTGCCTATCAGTATCGTTTTCTCCATTAGTATGCCGATCGTCGGTTTTGGAAGAAGCAATTTCGTACTTGCACTTTTTAATCGCTTATTAATTTGCCGTGGGGGCGATTAAAAAATAGTTCGTTTGGATGTTACTGGAGAATTTGAGTCGGATTTTTATGGATAAACTTCGAGTTTGATGCCGTGTACTCTCTAATTGAGTTTATCATTGTCCTTACTTAGGCGTTCGTTGCTCAGTAGAAAGGAATGTCGACTTGCGGAATACGGACTCGGATTCGAAAGTAATTTTTAAGCACACTTAAAACGAACGCGAATTTTTCGAATAGTTCGCTACACATATTAGAACATTGCACGTTACTGAATTTTACGCGCATACCAAATTTAAGCTAACAGGTTTTATTGGTTCTCCTGAATGAATCAACATCGAGCTGCCACCTTTAAATCGCGATAAATCAATAGATACCTGCCCACGCTGGAAACGGGAATAAATCAAAATCGGACAAAGAACCGTCGGAATGCATTCGTACGGTCTTTTGTGCCTGCCCAGTGTAAAGAAATCCAAAAGGTTATTGCGAAAATTCTGTAGATGTATTCCAGCATAATAAGCAGCAAGAACGGTTCGCGGTAGAGTTGCTGATGACCGACCTTGGCTGCCTTCTCTTCGAATACCTCGACTTATAGTTTGATCATTGACGTAGCTCCAAGATTAATATAAATCATAACATTCAGTTTGGGTTTAAAAAATACACGTGTACGAGTCTGGTTTAAATCTACTTGACATGCCAAAACATTGAGTAAACACCTAATTTTCGACAGGAAATAATAGGTTCACATCCTGTTAATTTACTAATTTTTAGTATACCAATTTGGCAGTACAGTGTGGCAAGTATCATTAGCTAAAGACGTATCATTATAGAAAATTGCGCAGGTAACGTCTACAACTATTCCTACAGGTCTGTAAGTTCATTTTAGGTTTTTTTAAATTTCGTTGTCTTCGATTTCTTCGAGTTTACTCGTTTTTTTATCATATCCGTTCGTTTAATAAAGATTACGAACATCCGCTTGTAAACCACAACAACTAACCATCTGTTAAATATTAAATTCCGGCCGTTTTTGTCATGTGTGCTCCGCTCAAACCAGGTAAGCTACCGAATATACAAAATTTGAATCTAATAGGGGAGTAAAGATGCGCTGTTTTAACGATATTATAATATTATTTATAATGTTTAACGATGGATTTATTCGCTGCAGTTGCTGTCTAATTTAATCGAATTGAGTAAAAATATAAATAAATAATTTATCGCCGATAGAAAGCTCCACTTTTCCATTGAAAGTAAAACGATTAATATTAAAGTCGTGCGCTGCTCATCAAAAACAGGATCTTGTAACGTGAGATAATTTTTCAAACATCTCTCAACGTACATGGCGTTTTTGTGAAGGTGTTATTTTCTACATTTTCATTGCTCTGTAGAAGCTGTAAAGCTAAAACTGAACGTGACCCCTACAAAAAAAATATTCGATTCATGCGGGAAATAGGCGGTAGAGCACGTACTGGGCTTCGTTTCCTAGTTGAATGTAACTTGTATTTCAATGCGCGCTGCTTGGAATACCGCCGAAGAAATTTAGGAGTGTATTCGGAAATTTACGATTTAACGGAGATGCTACGAGCGCGAATTAACAAAAAAAATAATGAATTATTAATAATTTCACTTCGAAAATGCAAAATGAACGCGATTATTCATTCCACTAACCTACATATAGATAATATCGGCGATGCCTCGTTATTTTATTTCGCTCGAATGATTTTTCAACGAAAGCTATCGAAATTATCTCTTTTGTCAATTACAGGTGCTTTTTATTGTCGACTCGGCCACGATTGTATCTAATTATTGTCGGTTTCAAAAAGAATTAATTAAATTGCGTTTTTTTTTGTTTGCATTTCTAGTAATTAGAATAATTCGTGAGCATTAATCCATCTAATTTGATTAGATATAGATTCACAATGTAAAAGGAATGCCACACATATTTCTCTTCAGATTTTATATCAGTTGCAATTTTTAAATATGAAAGACAAGCTGCAAATCAATTAAGTTTTCTCCCATGATTTTTTTGTGAAATTTCAATGTTAAGTGCAATTTATTATTGGTGTAAGTAAGGCAAAATTCACACATGTTTCGTCATGAATAAGGAAGTTATTATTTCCATGCGGGTAAAAGGAAACAGTTGCACTGTCGAAATTAGTAAAAACGTTACTTTCGTTCAAAACGTATAATCTAACACGAATATTTTCACTTTTTTTATTGGTAATAGGTATATTAAAATTTACAGTAATTTCTCTGTTTACCACGCAATCTCGTTTACCGAACAAATTTAGCCCATTAAGGTTCATTTCTATCTAAAGAAAACCACGAAAACTCATTAATTCAAGGTTTTAGCATATATGCAAATGCGATAAATATAATTACAATTGTATTTCTAATACACACATGCATACAGCGATTAGGAAATTACTCGATTTAATCAAGGAGTGTACGCTCGAAAGAGTAATAATACAATAATTATCGATTATAATTGCAGAAATAAAAAATTTATTCGTTAACAAAAAAACCAATTTTCAGCTTTAAACCAGGATATTTAATAAAGAGCATTTATCTATTAGTGCGTTATATTGGAAGTACACATCGGTACAATTTTCCACTTGTACCATTTCTTACATAAACCACCTGTTAAGGATATTAAATAGAACCATTATAAGGTCATTTTACTCGACTTTTCCCGTGCATATTCTGCATACACCGCGCCTCGTTCGATGCCGCATTCTACAACAAAACCGCGTTATATAATTTTGAATTCAAAACGCCGGACGTTACGAACGCACTTCGACGCGAAATTGAAATTATCCCGGCCAACAATCGTTAATTTTACATAGGTATCGGCTGTAAGTAAAGAGCGGGTTTCGTTGAAATGTTGTAACGCTGCTGCCTACAGTGTGTGACGATTCAAAACAGTTAGATGCAACTTATCCTTGGCATAATTGATCGCTAATTGAATATAAAAATAAGTAGGAAATACGGAATGAATTTAGTAGGTATAGCAAAATTTGTGTTGGTATTTAAGCCGCCTAATCGAAATTACCCGTAACTAAGATAATGAATTGAAAAAAAATGAATTTTATTTATTCGACGAAAATCCTCATTGAGTAATCAACGTTCATCCAGTAAACATCATCCAAATTTTCGGCCCTCCAAAACCAATCAAAATTCCAAGTGTCTAAACAAATCGTAAAATCTAACAGAAAACCAAAAACCGAAATTCCAGCGATATCGTACAAATTTCCAAGTGCAGGAATCGAAAAGGGAAGCAAAATGAGCAACCAGGCGTGCGTGAAGAACGCCGACATGAGCGAGGAGATGCAAAAGGACGCGCTGAACTGCGGCGTCCAGGCGACGGAGCTGTACCAAGTGGAGAAGGACATCGCCGCCTACATCAAGAAGGACTTCGACAAAAAGTACCAGCCGACGTGGCACTGCGTGGTCGGGAAGAACTTCGGCTCGTACGTGACCCACGAAACGAGGAACTTTATCTATTTCTACGTCGGGCAGACGGCGATTTTGCTTTACAAAAGCGGCTGAGCCGGATCGGGAAATTCGTTTGGCCTGGAAAGTGAGTGGAATCCGCGTATATGAGAGTCTTCAAGGTGGCGATGCCGGTGATTTCTTGTTATGATTATAGAAATGAAATGTACGATAGAAGAAAGTCAAATAAAAAGTTTTTGAACTAATTTGGATGTTGGTTTTTTATTAAATAATGTGGTTAATTCTTTGTATTGTCAAGCCGTTTAAATGTCGATTATAAGGAACTAATTTTTCATACAGCAATTTATCCTTGACTCGACTATTTTAGAAAGGGTTTTCAAGAGAATAAATATGATTTTTAAGCATGGTATACTTTTGGTAGATAAGTATGGCAAGTGTTAATGAAATATCTACCTAGGGAATGATTTTTATAATCCTAAGAAAAAGTATAATAAAAAGAAAGAAAATACATGTATATCAATGTTGTTAAACATTTTCAATTAATATCTCAAATGTTTACAGAAGCATTAAAAAAACGTGGAAAAACACTTTTAAAATCAACAAACATACCAGAAATTCTCAATAATCCAACTCTGTTTAATAACAATGTTTTCTACACCGATGACATTTCTAAATACATAAGTTATGTAGAAGATAACTTGTACTCTCAAATATAATTTATAACAAATAATTACCATAGTAACCTTTAAATGTTGTTGACACTTCACTTTGGTATAAAAAATGTACATAATATTGTGACAGGAATAAGGCACAACTAAATTTTGTCAAAATTTTTCCAAAATTTCAAAATTCAAGTGGTCCCGATTAATAACCGAAGACGACGGATTTCGATAAAATAAACGAAAATGAGCTGCTGCGCCGTGGTAAAAAACACCGATATGTTCGAGTGCATGCAACAGGAGGCCATACAAATAGCGTCCTACGCGGTGTCCTTGTATTCTATTGAGAAAGACATAGCGGCGTACATTAAGAAAGAATTCGACAAGAAGTACAACCCCAATTGGCATTGCACCGTGGGAAAGGAATACGGATCGTATTTGTCGCACGAAACCTCCTATTACATACATTTCTTCATCGGCGACTTGGGTATCGTTTTGTTCAAATGCGGCTGATTCGAAGTCGGAAAATGCAGCTTGATATAAATTGACGTTATCTAGAAATGTAAGTGAAAATGTGAACATGTGTAACATATTAAAGTTCTTTTGTCCATTTTACAATCTTTCAATTCAAAACGACTTTTCACCCATTATTCACGTACACAAATCGATTCATTTCGCCGATAAATATGCATAAAAAGCTTAAAAAATTCCTAACTGTTTATGGAAATATCAACGCCAGGTGAAGAAAGCAACACCAAAAAAACCGTCTAGGCAGGCAGGTATACACGAAAGTAATCCGGAATCGAAATTTTCAATGAATATACAACCGAAAGCGGCCAACATTCTTGGTGCTTACCTGAATTTGTGACCTCTTTACTTCGATGTACAGCCAATTATCCGTGGTGAAGGCGATGGCGAGAAGAGCCACGGCGATGATGGAGGTAATCGTGGCCAAACTTAACGTAACAGCTGAACAGGGCATCTTCGAAATTAACGCGAAATCACAGGTGGAATGAATTAAACGGGTCCCGGCACTAGGACGATTCGGTGAACTGTAAGGGTGGGCCCGGGGGCATCATAAGTATACACCGCTCTGCGAAGATGACGTCCACTGTAATGCACGGTACGCGAACGTTGCGCTCGAATCGACTCGACTGTTCGAAAAGTAGTTCTTGGGATTCGGATTTTAGATGACACTCCAAGCCGCAAGCCGCAGAACAGGTTTTCACGGTGCGAGTACGTTTGCTCGAGTACCTACCTGCGCAAGGATGGCGCAGGACCGTACTCGTATATGAGCCCACCATCTCGCACAAAACTCCTTTATTTAAACCATTAATAAATGTTTTTCTGCGCAATGTTTTGGAGTACTATTGCAATAGTTAAATAGGGTTTTCTAATGTGATCAACGATGAATTTAATGAGGTGCTTGTTAAAGAAATTCAGTTGAATGTGCTGATGCGGTACTGCTTAATAGTTCAGTAGAAAGTTACTTACACACTTACATATTTCAACGATTTGATGCAGGAAAGGAAACAAATATTTACGATTTGTATTCTATCAATCAATGCTTCGGGAGATGCCTATTTGTTGTTGAAATATTTAATGCAAGATTCATCAAGTAAGACCAGACTCGCATATTTTCCAAAACGGAGTCACCCGAAAATTATTATAAAAAGTACATAAATTCCTTGAATTTCCAAAATAAATTAATAGAAATGTATTTTGTTTAAAACAAAGCATTGGTGCAAAAGTAATTTCTAATTAAAAAAAATATACATTTATCTTTAAATATAAAACTTAAATTCTACCTTCAAAAAATAGTAATCTAAACCAAAAATTGAAATTTTTTACATTGAAGCAACTTTTTACTACTAATTAGGCAACCCCTTTAACTAACCAAACAGTAAAAAAAGAAGAGAAATCTGTCAACAATGCGAACTCTTTTCGTTACATAGTCAAATATTTTTTTGTGATGCGCCTGTCATCAATGTCAACGTCAATGTCATTTTTTCATTCGACGTCGCAGGTGTGTGGTCGAAAACTAAAATCAAGCATCAAATTTAGTTAAATTCGCCAATAATTTCCACAAAAAACAACTTTTAATCGACTAACTGATTAATTTTGAGTTCACACGTACCGCTGTACTGAAATCTACGTCCGTGTAGGTTCGCACAAAGGCAGTTTATTGATTCGTGCCCGACAGAAAATCTGGCAACCTCCGTGTGTAACACAAAGCTAGCAACATGTCAGACGTAGAAACTCTCAGCTGAAAAGTCGCGTATTTCGTGGGCATTTACTCGGCGTATTTGACGATTTTTGTCAAAAAAAAATCATTGTAAAATGAACGGTAACGATGGTGAGGACATTTGGCTAAACAGTTGGGAGCAACAATGCGCTGATTCGTTGGACCAACAACCCAATTACGAACAGAATCTGATAACCGAATCTAATAATTACCAAACTAGACTATGGTCTTCCTTTCAAGACTCCGCCACGGCAGTAGCACAACTCTACAGAGGTACGTAAATTTCTAAACATCGATAATTATTGAAGCATTGGCCCCATCGACATTTTGTTTTTTTTTGTCATGTGCATATCGTTCTTTACGTTAGCTATACTCGAAGAACGTTTTAATTTCATCGAGCTGGCGTAATTAAAGCGTAGTACTTGGAAAATATCGTTTTAAAGTACGTGTATTGGGTTAGTCTTTGGAGGAATTTGACCTTGTATACACTCGGAAATAATGCACCAATATTATTTAACTGCATGTATTCAAACAGTATACTTACACCTATCAGAAAATGGATTGTTAGTTTCATCAATTGATGTACGACTCCTACTGCTATAACATGTAGGTTTTTATTTAATCAGTTTTCCTAATAAAAATCTAAATTAAGTAGGTGTACTATCACTACCTGCGAATTTTGTGAAATATTCTTGTATACCTCGGATACTAAAGTAATGATATTTGAGCTACTACCTGGGTTATTGTTATCAAAACGGGGATTATCCCAAAAATAAGACCTTTTGTACTATCGAGCATTTTTGGAATGTCCAATGATTGGAAACACAATTCAATAATCTCTTATTCCACAACCATATGCTTTATTTTAAAATTAATTATATTTCTGGCATACATAGACAGATACTCGGGCGAGCCAGCTGCCATTTGGTTGCAATTTCAAACCGCTGCAGGGACAGTGACATCCTTATACAGAGGTAAGCGATAAATTAAATAATTTGTACCGATATAAATTAATGTATTATTCCATTAGAATCGAGCGAAAGCCTGAGAAGAACGAACGAACTGGCCAAGCAGAGCGGCTACCAGAAAAGGAACAATGAAATATTCAACTGGGCCAAAAGGAAAAGACGATTGATAAGAAGAGAAGACTTGCTGGCTTACTTGTCGGGCAAGCACCCGCCGCCTCCGAGCAGGCAGACCCACCACCATCATTCGCATCATAGGTAACATTTGCATCGACTCCTATCCGCTCGAAATATAATTTTTATTGAATAATTCGCAGGTTGTCGCCGAGACCGCGCAACATATCGCCGCCCCCGAACGTGGCGGCGACGGAAATCATCGATCCGAATCTGCGCACGTTCAGAGAGGCCTTGGTCACGTCGCCGTTGTGCGCCTTTATAACGGGCGAGATGGCGCGCCATACGAAGAGACCGGCCAGCCCATCGGACGTGACCATGGGCAGTCCCACCCAGCACAAGCGACCGCGGTATATGTGAAATAGGGAGTATTGTTGAAACATTGGATGCGAACGATTTGCTGGTTGGCTTTATTGTCACGATTTCGATTGAGGTACTTTATTTTTGGTCACCTCTGATTCTTTTTTTTTTTTAATTTTTAACTGGTTGTTTTTTTAGTAGTTTATTGTCCTTTTTATTAACGAGTCTAATTCATTTTTAGTCTGTGATAAATTTTTATATTGAAATTTATTGGTTGATATCGTTTTGGATCGGAATCGTGATGGGTTGGCCGGCAATAAAAAGTTTGTACATATTTTGAGTAAACTGTTCATTGTAAAATATTAAGGGAAACAATAATGTACATAAAGTTTAATCCAATATTTCGTCAAGCTATGTCGTAGGTATAACGATGATAAAGACAATTTTTCGTTGAACCATGTTCGAGAGTATAGGATTTGTAAGTTTATTTAGAGCATCTTTTACGTGTCTATACTAAAAATAAATCGATAGGAATTGCGCAAATCAATAAATATGTGTTATTTTTGCAATCAATCTTAATTTTCGCCAATTGTAGAGGTTTTTAAGAAACCTCATGAACCACATTCATTTTGTACAAACGTGTTTGTATGTAATAATTTGCCATGGAATTTAAATGCTAATTTTAACAAACTAAAACACCAATTTACTTGAAAGATTCTGTGATTACTGATTACAATAGGAATATACAACCTCGTCATTACTTACTTTTTCTGCTATATAGATTAATAACGTCATAAAAATTATATAGTGCCTTATAAAATTACTAATTTAATTCGAGCACTTGGTTTCTTCATTGCAGTTTAATGTAATTAATTGGTATTTTGAGTTAGGAATGGCGATTCTTCCCGAAAAAGATCGTTTCGAACTCATCGAATCAATCTCTTTTTCGAGTTCATATTTTCGATGTAATCGAATGGGTATCGGAAGACACCAAAAGTGAGGCTCTCTGCTGTACTTTTATTGAACGCGGTTCAACTAATGATACATTTGGTTGCGTTTTGATTTGTGCTTCACTTTCCAAAGATGGTGATTAAATAGTTCTCTTTAGTTTTCGACCATAGATCTGTAACGTTCCGTTCACACCGAGTTGTGGTTCATATCGCGGACTTGGCCGGATTTTGATTACTAATTAGGTTTTAGTTGAAAGTTGAAGGATAACCGAGGAGTCGCGTTTGTCCGTTTTTCGTCCGGTAATCCAATCACTTTGATGTAAAATCTCATACTTAAAATAAAATTTTGGGTTTCCCCTATTAGTACGATTGCAATCGTTGGAGCTGATGAATTATTATTATCTGTGTATGTAATTTTTTTTATTGTGTCGCTCGCTTCAGCCATTCGGAAACTGTTACTTATGAAATCATTGTTTTTATTTAATTTTTATTGTTGTATATTTTGATATCGATAAGAACTATTTAATATTTATAAGTTATTGGGCTAAAATTAAACGAATAATTTAACCCGCCGGCGTTTCATTCGCCTTCCTGACCGCGTTAATTCAATTTTTCCACCGCTCGCGAGAGTTCATACTTTGGCGCACACGAAACTGTTAAAAATTTTGTTTCGATTGAAGCGATGAACAAATTACCAATTGCGATTCATAACGTCGGCTTTTCCGTGCGTAAACGAAGTTTTCGTTGCTCGTTACTCGGCTCGTGATACAATTCTTTTCGTTTGTCGCAGTCGCACTTAAGCCGCCAATCGCTCCTATTACCGCAAACTTTACTTTCTACCGGACAATCCGAGAAATCACGTTCGATTTCTAATGCAAGATCGCGGATCATGTGCATTCTGAAGCTGTTGAGGCTCCACGTGCACGACAAGTACCGACGGCACGCGTCCCGACGCCTGCTCGGCGTCGCCGACGATTACGTCGACTTTAGCAGGACGCCGTTTCGCGCCCAATTCGCCTTCCCGTTTCGCGAGATCGACTCCGATGATGTCGAAGACGCCGAAACGTTGGCTACCAGCCTCATCGATTCCATGTGCTCGGATTTCGTGTTCAACGGGAACGTTTGCAACTGCAGGACCTTCCACGAGAAACTCAAACAAACCGAGGAAAGGTAAGGGATAACTTTGTATTTATTCATACATGGTGATCTGAAGGATTTATGGAATTTTCAAATTACTTATGGTGATAAAAGGTTGATGATTGATGATTTAGAGTGATTTAGATAAAAGGTAGATATTAGGGAGCAGAGAGTAGATAAAGGATAGAGATTAGAGAGCAGAGAGTAGGTAAAGGGTAAGGAGTAGAAAGCAGAAAGTAGACAACCGATAGAGAGCAGAGAGTAGATAAAAGGTAGATATTAGAGAGCAGAGAGTAGATAAAGGATTAATATTAGAGAGAAGAGAGTAGGTAAAGGGTAAGGAGTAGAGAGCAGAAAGTAAACAACCGATAGAGAGCAGAGAGTAGATAAAGGGTAGAGATTAGAGAACAGAAAGTAGATAGCGGGTGGAAAGCAAAGAGTAGACGAAGGGTAAAGAGTATAGAGGCTAGAGAGCAGAAAGTAGGTAGTGAATAGAGTGTAGGGGAGCTTATATCGAATGGTTAGGACTTGGTTTATAGATTACAATTGAAATTGCATAATAGGCCACCTTGTATAACAAAAATTCAAATACATAATAAACTCCCACGTATAAATCAATTGGAAATGGATAAATATATAATTATGTAGGTAAAATATACCCATGACACGAAATCATCGAATCGAATCGTCTCCAAACCCCCTATAAGAAAAAATTACCGTCTTCGATACAAAAAAAATTGATTACGCCACACACGTGTAATTTAACCTTTTGAAGCGCCCGATGCACGTATTATTTACCTATTTGTTATTTAACTGAACGCCGCGTTTCGCAAAATACGAGAAAATCGAAACCGAATCCGACGCGCCATCAGTTCACGATGAATGGCCGATCGGCGAGGAAATGTTTTCCAAAAAACTGAAATACAACGCCGAGTATGTGAGAGTCGCGAAAACCACCGGTTGCTTGGGGTTTTCGGGCGCGGAGTGCGGCATCACCAAGATCACCACGCTCGACAGGCCGCTGAGGGAGCCCGATGTGTTCCGGTACTTCATCGAAACCTCCAATTGGTTTCTCTTCGAAAAGGACGATTCGGTGTTGACTCTCACAGACATGTTCTCCAAGTAAGTTCCAATTAAAGTCTCCTGCTTGATTGACCGATTAACTACCATGCCGTATGAGCATCGGTGTCATCATCACGACGCCTCTTGGAGTTATTAAGTTCAATTGCAGTGCGGGTTTCGCGCAATTTTCTCGTTAAATCGTACACTCATCGATTTTTTGATGGATTCGAAATCAATATATAACCGGATAGAAAGTCACGATAAATTAAAATTTGCTATAATTAGAAGCGAAATGTCTTCACAACTTTGCTCTTTCAGTAGAGTAGAGAGTAATGAAAATTCTTTGAAAATAGTTGCTACATTATTGCAATTACTCCAGCTTCTCCAATATCTTCAGTTACTATTATACAGTATCTTCTCAACTACCACATTGTGTAGGTACATTTTTTTATAAGTTGTGGCTGAAGAAAATTGTACGTGAGGCGCATAAGCCTGGCGTACTAATTGGTTAATAAGCGAAGATACGTGGTCGGGTTAATGATAAGGATTTAATTGGCGTTCGCCCCACTTGGTTCAGTCTTTAACCTACTTAGGCGCCAATGTCAATGGCACCGCGAGAGGAGAAGAAGCGGCACGTCCGCGTGCGTGCGTTTGCCTTCTCGAAGGCGAGAGAAAAAGAAAGTACTGGATCGGACGTCGGTGAAAATACGCGGTTCTTGTCTACATGATTTACGAGCAAAATTCGGAACTGGTACTCGTTGCTCACGTTATACAATAGCTCTTTGAATTCGTTCACCAATTCAGCAATTACCTAAATTTTGTGACTAATACAGTATGTTAAAAAAAGTGATTTGGATTTCTACGTAAGAATGAGTACCTAACCAACGATGACATAGGTTGTTTTTTTAAATCACTTTGTCAAATAAAAAGAATTATTGCAGAATAAATTAGATTCATTAAAGCTAGAAACCTCAACAAATTACCTAACAAGCTTAATTGCATCTCTGTAAGAACCTCAAAAAACATAATTGAACGTGATGAAATTGAGATGGATCAATTACAGAAAATATCTACAGATGAACATCCAAACCAATCTTACAACAATGATTTTTTTCACCTCCCTATTAACTTTTCTCTTGTATATCATATCTACAAGACAGTAAGATTACTTGAAGATTATTAGAAACCGTATACAATCCAATTAATTAAACGGCATCGCTTCACACTAGGCCGGTTGCAGTGGAGATGCATTTGCAACAATCCCGCATCGATGCGGGAGAATATACAGCAGCGATTCGAGGATCTGTCGATTTACTCCTTCCTCGCATCGTCGGTTTGGCGAAAACATCTTCATATGAGTCCGGCACGTTCCTCTTCTTTCGCCTGATAGACGCTCATCAACCGTTCTAACGGGTGCACGAGGTGCATTAATCGCGAGAAAAGTGCGCGAGAGTAACGAGCGTGTCGTAAACATAAGGTTTTTTATTTTCTGCTGTTTTCGGTGTTCGTCGCGACATCGAAAGTGATCCACTTTTCGTATGGTTTTTGGGATTTTGTTCGGTTCCTATCCAGGTCAGTTTTTTTTATTATTAATTGCATGAGATATCAAATAGGGGACTTGTTGTAGTAATCACTTTTATCATTATGGATCTGAAAAAAAGGCTTAATGAAGAAGTCTTCATGAGGAACTTTTTGTTTGTTTCAAAAAAGAAGAGTGAACATTTAGCTGGAACCGTCCCTGAAACACATCAGATTTCGCTGGTAGATTTAATTGTTGTAGATCTAATTTACATTTGTACCGAGGTTGTTAATAATTTTCGGTGGAATGAAACAGAAAATTGATTTTGACCTAGTTGAATTTAGTACAAAATTCCAAGTGTCCATAAAGCTTTATGCAAATTTACATAATTAGATATAAACAATTTACCTACATACTAATTTATAGTTTGTAACAGTTATATTTTTGTTATAAATTGCTAAAAAGACTACAACAATAGTAGATTAATTATCTTATACGAGAAATATTTTATAAAGAAACGTTACTTTTTATATTGAGTGTAAATTAATAACACCGAGTTGAAACTGAGGGTGCAAATTTATACACTAAACATTGTAGTATTATTTCAATATTATAGTTAAAAAGAAACATTTAACTAATGGTATATTAAGTAAATTAAAATGCTTTCACTCGACATAAACAAACAACTCGTTCAACAGTAGTATAACCGATAATTATCAACTTTTACCGATCGTTCGAAATGGCAAATATCGACTTTAAAACGTTTGCGTGAAAGCCGAACGACTGGCTTTTCTCGTTTTCTATTGATTTACCGGCGATTTCATCGCTATAGATTCGTCGATTTTTTTCGTTCGATTGAAAGTTGTTGCGCATTGCCAGGAGGAAAAATTCATAAACGATCGGGAAAAATGACGCGTTGGAAACCGATTTGATTCGACGTACCACCCGAGGCTTCGACAGACCTACAACGACAGCCGAAAAGAGAAATTTCGACGGATGAAAGTATTTATCGTATAGAAAGAACTTCTCGTTGTAATCTTCGATAAAAGGCGAAGATGCTCATCGGTAACGGTAAAAACGTAACAAAAGTTCTGATCACTTACGATTTTATTTCTCTTTTTTCCTAACAAACATTAATTTTCTTACCGATTAAAGATAACTAATGGAAATTAGCCAATAAAAAATTACCAAAGGAATTTTATATTTACAATCTTGTGCTTACATAATAAAAATGTTAAAATTGTTAAAAAAAGAGGATTATATAGCTAACTTATTCGACCTACTGACCGAGCTTCAAATCAAATATTCAGAGAAGACTGAAAATTACGCGCTATTGAGCATCTTTTTTTTCGTTCTTTATTATCGACAGGAATTTTAAAATACGGCGACCTCTCGCTAAACTATTACATATACAATCGCACAAAAAATATGGACGATTGCAATCAATCGTGAATTCCATAAATTATTAATATACCTACATCGCATGTATCAGTTTACAAATCCTTTAAAAGGATGTGGTTTGTGTCAGATTTTTTCCACAATTATTTACAGTACATAACTGAATTCTTTTAATTCTCGATGGAACTTATTTATATTTATTTCATTAGCTACATTATTCATGGATGAAAGCTTTAAAAGTAGAGAGAAACATTTTCACAAGCACATAACTTCCTGCAAATGTGCTAGTTTGCAGCATAATGCATAAGAAAACTTATATTTTTTGCAGAATACTAGCCCGTCCCTTCTTCTGGTACAATCTGTATATTTAAAATGCAATTAATCTGAAACACAGGTACATAACCGGCAACAATAGATGACCGGTCACACTGAACAATTCTAAACAAAACCAACATCGATAATAGATATCCGTTTTGGCACAAAAAAAACGACCCATCATCCGTTTTGAATTTCATGTGGATGGCCATCAGTCGCTCTAAAAATGTAGCCTCGAAAATGTCAGTTATTAGGAGCATTTCGCGGTATTTGTGCATGTGTTTAGTGATCAAAAGAGGTACTTGGTACCCTAACAAGCAAAATATCAGTGCGAAAACCAAAGTAAAAGGAAGTAGCAGTAATAAGAAGAAGAAGAAGGATTGGTTGAGAAATTGGACGATAAGTAAGGGCTGGGTGCACAATAAAACTCTCCCAGGAATGGAAGAGCTATCAGAAACCAGTTCGATTTCACTGGAAAACATCGATGAATTGATATCAATTAGAAGTGAAGAGGATTCCTGCTCTTATTCCTCCATACAAGAAACCAACGCGTTTCAGGAAGCTCGCAAGAATTACAGGAACAATTTTCCGATTCTCCTACCGAAATTCCCATCGAACAAACTACCGCCTCAACCCGCCCAAAAAAAGAACAATTTAGGCAAGAACATAGCCATTTACAACGACATGAACGCCAAAACCAACCTCCACGAAGACATTATATACGAATGCTCGGACGAAAACAGCAACTACAACTCGCTGAACAACATTTACTTCAACCCGATTTACTCGCGATCGCCTTTCGAAAACGCGCTCCAGTTCGATCGGCTGGAAATGCTGGAAAGGCGCGCCATTACGGTGCACAACTACAGGGAGAATTTGCGATCGCTGGCGAAGCGCGAGAAATTCGTCATCAGGCACATCAAGATCAGATTCGTGCTGTCGCTGCGCTTGGGGAGATTCCTAAAAGTGGGTAAACGGAAGCCGGAGAGAAGACGGGGGATTTTCCGGGCGAAAAAGTGCCATCGGATGGAGGAGAACGACGCGCATCTGAAGAGGAAGATAGCCGAGATTCACGACGAGCAAAGGAAAATCGGTAACGGGAAGACGTCGGTGAAGATTCAGAATATGAGGTGAGAGATGATGTTGGAATATTCCGTGAATCGTAAATTTGGGCATCTTAGGAATACTCGAGAATCATTGCTTTTAATTAATTTAAATTTCGTTTGTTGTTTCGCTACGATTCATTTTCGAATGGTAATGTTAGTTTATTAGAAGAAAGTACAAAAAAAAGCCGTATAATCAATTCAAAGCGAATTGAATTCGACCGAAAAATCGATTCTCAGCGGTTTGCAGGTGTAATAAATAACGAAAATTCCTTTCGAACTCGATAATTTTGTTGAAATTACTTAATAACGTCCGATTTTTTTCCTCTAATCTCTACCATCTGCATCGTATGCGCTGTTAGAAATAACAGTTCGATTGAAAAATCTATTCTTCTATAACAGATCGCTATCGTTTCTGTATGCACTACTAACGGCACAAGCGTTTATTTGTACTATAAAATCGCATCATTAAACTAACTGATACACATACAATATTGGAAAACTATCAATATCGATATTAAATTAATTTCAGCGAAACTTTTATCCGGCATTATAATTCTTTTACACGCGATTAAATGGATTGGTTTCAATGTAGCAAACCGCAATCATACCGAACTGGGCATAATGAGACTATTATTCCGGGTGTAATGGCCAAGATAATGCAAGAAAAAGTGTTTATCTTTACGATCTGTTTGACGTGCCTTCGTACGTGCAATATTACAGTGTAATTAATTATCGATAATTTAGTTAGAAATTATGATATTGTTTTTAATAACGCTTAGGAACTCGCGTTTATTTCAGATTTTTTTCTTTAATGGCGAATGTTCGTTGAACACGCGATATGTTTCGTCGTTTTACAGGAGGATACAATAAAATAATTATATTTTTTACTGCTGTTACTAGAAAATTGAGTTTAGTCTGTCACTCTTTCAGCTTCTATTTTTTTTTAGGAAAGTGATTGATGTGCATTAATTATTATTAATTATGCAAAATAATGCTTAAATTTACTACACGTTTTATTGTACCTACCTTTAATTGCTTCTTTAAAGAATCGCTTTGTAAAAATATACATCCTATATAAATACATAAAAATAACTTCCCTGCTCTACATGATAATTACATAAGTAATTAACATTGTTGTATGTATGCATAAAGAAAACCAATCATTATATTTGCTATGTTCAGTAACAAGTATCGTTTCTTCATAAAATCACTCCACTTTTCGGCATAAGCAAACATCAAGAAATTTTATATTTTCTGTAAGTACTCTATTGTTAGTTTTAAAATACATATAAGCACTCACATATATTTACTTTAATCTTTTGAAATATTAAATATTAGATTAGAATCTTGTGGTCGATTGAAAATTTAACCTTTTTCGACGGAACCATGCGCAATAATTTTTTCCTTTCCGCTTGGCGAACGCAGGAAGTCCCGTTGGTACGACCTTATACACTCGGCACCATCGGGTACTTATTGCCTACTCAATCACCATTAAAATTTTCGGCGATAATCGCGAAATGCCCAATATTTTTGCAAACATTGCAACTCACAATCTCGACTAGTAGATAAAAGTTTTCTTATCTATAAATTCCAAATTATAAATCGACGAAATGATGGGCATATATTATGTGCTACATCCTATGTATACTGGTAAAATTCAAAGAGGTCATTAGGAATCCATTTGTTAACGCCATAACAATAATAAATAATTCAGCGTTTTTTACGGCAATCAATAGTTCGCTTGTTCGTTATCTAAATTAATCTTTTAAGTAATTTTATTTCTTATTATCAAGGTTAACGAACGGAGTGTATTGTTTCTAATTAATCCGCGATTCAAAACTATTTTTTTTAAATGAATTATCGTGTCTGGTTTTCCTACGCTTTCGTTACCTCGTCTATTAGTTAGAGCACTCGTAGGTACCTAGTAACTTAGAAGATTCCGATGGCAAACGGTACGTGTATGTGAAGTGGTTTGGATTGGACGGAAAGTTAAAAAAAAAGTAAAAATCGTTTTCTGTTCCGGTATTGTAGAAATGTCGGAAGATTGCTTTTACCGTTTAATGAATCTGCATACAGAAATTCCTGTTGGTCAACATTTTCTGAACCTACAGCTTTTATAAATTGATGGATAAACGAAGTGTTATTACTGCTTAAGATCCCATTCGGTTTTATTACGTATTTTTATATGCACTAAACTTAGTTATTTTTTATGTAAAAATGACAACACTCCCGTTGATTAAATACTTTTATGTTAATATTTCTTCGCGTACATACATATCAATGCAAAAACCACTTTCTAATAGAGTTATAGTAGCATTTATTTGCTTCTTGGAGACCATCTGCGCGGCTAATCGACGAGTTTTTCTACTATTTTGTATAGGTACGTCGAATTTTTAATTCGAAATTGCGGTGCGGCCACTTTCTCAATTACACGAATTTCGATTGGATAATTAATGTATTCAAAATTGCCCCATAAAATGGAACACAACAGTTAATAATTTTGTATGAAAAGTTATTTACCTGAACTACGACACTATAATGAGTTGAAAGTACAAATAAAACGATAATAAAAGTTAAAACTTTAAATTTATGATGTGTCAAGTTTGCATTGACTAAAAAAACCAAAACTAATCGGTTACAACTTTATGGCGGATTAAATTGCATCGACTTTAGATAAAATGGAAAGTAATTACTAGAGATAGAAGAGCCTCCGAAGTCCATTTCGAGACGAAGAAAAACGCCACTTTCCACGCAATAAACGGATTAATTTTTATTTGTGGACAACAGAAAATTGTTGCACAAACTGCGAATCGGCGATAATTGACTTTCTCCTCTAATCATCCGATTAATCGGGCTCAGTTATGGGAAAAATTAAGAAAATATTATATTATGATATCTAATAATCTAATAATCCATCTAAAAGCCATAAAAATAATCCATCTTTATTAGTTTAAACTGAACGAAACATAGTATGTACCTGCAATTTCAATACGAAAAGAATACTTGGAAATTTGAGAGACCCTGTATGTGGTGTAGAATTTAATGTTTACAAGGACACCCTGTATATACAGAAAAGTGCAAGTTTGTTTGCAATATGAGTTAGAAAGAATATTCCAATATCAGTAGTTAGAACGAGAAAGTTGTAATCCAAAAACACTGTTTCTTTTTTCTTTATATGAGATATTTAACGGAATATTCATTAATTCATTCATTCGTTTTCAAAAACGAAGAAACTTCGCCAAAAAATCGCTCGAGAAATTCGCAAAAATAATGCATAGATAAACCCAAAAATATCCGAGAAACCCCGAGATCACGTGATCGCAATTCTCGGACTATAATCATCACTTATACGTAAAACTGGTTGCCTACCTTACAGATAACATTCGCGTTCTTGATTGCAGATACGGTAGACTCAACGTGCTACGCTGGCTGCTCTGGGAGGCGGAATCTCGAGAAGACATGCCGGCGCTGGAGAAAGCAGGAGCCAACAATACGACGCTGGCTTTGCATTACGCGGCCGCGAGAGGATGCCTCGATTGCGTCAGGCTGCTGGTGGATTCCTCTCCGGAATTGAGGTAGGTCGAACTCGAACAACAATCGACGTATTCGTATTGTCCATAATCGCGCTGATTATATTGATTCATTGTCGCGTTGTAATCGCGTAAGAAGATACTATTGTTACGATTTAATCTTCTTCAATCTCTAATTACTTCACTACATTACGATGTTCTAGAATTTTCTATGCAAATGACGTGAATACCTGTCAATGTCAATTTTTGGAATAATCGGCTTACTGCGATTTAACGACGCTTCACACTTGTTACAAAACTATTTGCAAAAAAAGTGAAGGGAAACAAATAAGAATGACCTATGTATCTGTCAATGTCAATCAACCAGCTTACTGTGTGATTTAAGGAGATATCAAAACAAATAATGAGATTTTCCAGATAGATTTTTAGCAATTTTCCAACTAAATAAATAAAGAATTGGAAAGCAAATAACCGATTGACATATGTATCTATCAATGTCAAGGATATTTCGAAGAAATAGTGAGATTTTCCAGGTAGGATTTTAGCAAATTTCCAACGAAATAAATAAATTATAGGGAAGTTATTAAATAAACTGAATGACATGTGTATCTGTCAATGTTAAACAATCAGCATACTGGAGATATCAAAACAAATAATGAAATTTACCATATAGATTTTTTTATCAAATTTCCATCTATAAAAAAATATTGGAAATTCTCATTTGAAAGTATTTTATTACCTACAAAGACTCGTAATCTTACCATACGTCTGTGAGGCCAATTTTGCAACAAAATTCCATATTGCAATTACGTTATACATAGGTAATTTTGAAAGTTCGATGATTTCGGATGATTTCTAATGCACCTGCAATGAAAATATCGTGCAAATGATGATGAAATATTCATGGCAATCGACAAACGTTCATAAATTGATATTTATTGGTAATTCGAAAATTTTACCGAACTTCTACGGGGGTAGGTCGAAAAGTTACCGTTCCGTTCGGTGCGTGTGGGTAATTAAACGTGTACGTTTAAAATAAACAAAAAGAAATAGTCGATGTTAATTCGGTTGGGAAACGTATAGAAAGGAAGTCGAGACCAGTTGTTGTTAATTAGGAGAAATTCGCACTTCTCACTTTCGGGCGTTGTTTTTTAAAAAGTATTTAAAAGTCACGGCTCGTGATCATCATGAATATTTTTGTTACAAATAAAACAAAACGGCAAGCGAAAGTTGCCTTGTTGCTTATCAAATATTTCGGCCCGACTTTGCTTCAAATGTGTAGTAACTTCGTTTTATCTACGTTTTTAAATTTCATACGATATTGTACAGAGAGAAAGCAATAAATCACAGTCCTTTAACTTTCCAGTTATACCAGTGATTACAGGCGTAATCTATTAAATACCCGTTTTTACAGGTATTACAACCAAATTGATACAATCGATTTACGTAAGCTTTCATAAGCTCTTTAATTATCTAGTTATATTGAAAAGGAAGTAGATTCCTTTATAGTAACATTAATATAACATCACAAACTGATATTTTATTGCATTAAATCATAGTGCATTAAACCGTAGTCATTCATAGCCACCTGATAAAATTTATTCACGCGCATTTAAAGCGAAGAGAATTTAAATTGCAGTATAATAATCAAGTACGTGGATAGATTGGAAAATATCGTCGGTATAATTTTTTGATTAACGTCGAAAAATCCCGCTGCTGAAAATTTCGGTTTCAATTCCTTCAGTAATTTAATCAACGTCATAGCATTTTCATCGCCCATTTTCGCCTGAATATACACGCAGGTTCTTATCAAATCTTCCCCCTGATTTTCCACTTTATCGCAAGAAAATATCATGATCACCACGACTATCTGAAATAAAGTAATTTAAGTACCCGAATTGTAGATTCTAAGTGCACTTACTGCTAGTTCCGAGCACAACAGGCCGCTCATAATGAATCCTTTCATTACACTATTGTAGTACATTTCGTTTTGTGAAATAAACAAAAACAAATTGAAGAACATGAGTATGGTGATGAAAGTCCATACGAACATAACGAACACCATTTTGCCCAAAATCTCCCCGAGCAACTTCAAGTTTTGATGCAGGCGAATGATGGTGTTTTTAACGTTCTGGAGGTTGCTGTTTAGCTGCGTTTGGTTCAATGTTTTCGAATAGAAAATATCGGTAATGTTCAAGTTCAATGTAATGTATCGATTTTTGAATATTTCCAGCGCTTCGATTGCGAACAAAACGATACTAAGCGCTTGAATGTAGTTAAATATCCACATCACAAAATACACATTAATCTGTACAGCAGAAGGTAGCAATATAAATTCGCATACATAAATCAAAAGCGTTATTAACAATATTACGGAATACACCGCAACTTTTTTCGCCACTCTCACGTCCCTCGAATACTCCCCTCTGCTCAACTCGTCCAGCAATTCGAAAAACAACTTCCACGACTTCCTCTTGGTCACGATGCCGTAGAAGCAGATCAAATTCAACAGCGTTAATATTCCCTGATTGGTAGCGAACGCCAAGATTTCCTTAATGGTCGCATTCAAGAACCCAATCGTTTTGGCGAACTCCCAGGGCACGTACACTAAATTAACTACATTGAAAACGGAGAAAACCACCAATTGCGCGTTCCTCACGGGCGATTTCTCGACCATGGGAAATATGCCCAAGGCGCAGAGCACTTTGTACAAGCCCTTCAGAGCGGATACGTCGCTCACGTACGTCGTAAACATACTGTATATTATAGTAAACACCGAACGTAATGGAATTATTCCCATTATGAACAGAAGAATCTAATTTGCGGTATAGCATTCGGGGTGTTTGTTTGTTTGAACGTCTCAAACAATCCAATTGAGTAATGAGTAATGGCATTGTAAATGTATTTTTTAATCAAGAAACATACGAGGGGTGCTTCATAATGTAATGGTGTATTGAAAGGATTAGTAGTAGTAGTTAGTAGGTACTCTATTTTTAAATGGCAATTCCGTTTCCGCGAATCCCCTCTCGCCCGTCGTTCTTCTTCGCAGAACGCATCTTCTTACTTTCCTCGCAATACCTACTCCGGCTGGTACCGTTCGCATAACCGTACCGTGTCAGGCAAGTGCTCCGGTACCACTCGGCGTGTACAAATCGGGCCGCGCGACATGTGCGCGTCTTAGATAGTGATTTTCCGCGTACTTGAGCGATTCGAGGTTTAGAAATCGCCCGGATCGGGAATGCGCCGATTCGGCGGTACCTAGTGCACAGGATGGCCGCCATTTTCGGCAGGATACACAGCAACAAACGCAGGCACAAGAATGGCACTTCGATTAGGATCAGGTGAACGGGTTTGTTATTTAATCGATTGGTGGAAATGGGTTATTTGTGAGATCGGGTAGTATCTACCCAGTTATCTCTCTAACAAAATATTGGAGCTATTTATTTTGAGATCACGTAGTACCTAGTTATCTCTCTTACTATATTTTGGAACCATTTGTTTTTGAGATCATCTAGTAGCCAATTATTTCCTTTTCGCTCTATTTTTTAATAGAGTACTAACTCATCTCAATATTTCATTCCTATATTTTAGATTGTGCATGATTCAAATTTTCTACGAATAATTTAACTCAGTTAAAGTACCTACAGCATCTTATTTGATCTGTAATTAATCAAATAAACCAATGACTCCATTTAAATTTTGAACTTTCTCTAAAATATGTTGATCGAATGCGATCGTTTAGGAACTAAATAACATCCGATGGTGATGATGATGATGATATGATAACTACGGCGATGATAAAGACACTTTCGCTCGTTATGTTTCGATAATCAGCAAACATAACGAGCTCGCTAAATTGGAATAGCTTTAATGGAATTAATTCGAAATTAGAAAAGCTCCTCGACTTAATCAATCGAGTCGAGTCGAAAATAAAATTGCGTTTTTCCTAAAAAAATAGTAATAAACCGTTCGATCGGGATTGTAATTCACGCGAATAGACTTTGTACGTTCGGAACAATTAAAAGAAACCTCGCGAAAGCCACGAAACTGTACAGAGGTACGTTCAATATAAACTTCATAAAAATCAACGAAGCATCGAAACCATTAAATTTTAATTGTTTACTTAATTCGTAATTAACCATAACCTCAACGATCTCAAACGGTCGTTTTACGGTCTCATTCTACTTATTTTTTTTGTTGTTTTCTCTTTTTTCGTTCGTATATACATACATACGGTGAAGTTTCAATGAGCACAATTTAACTATGTCTTAAATATTTAATTTATGGACCTGTCGGATTTCGGAAGTGAATTCTTAATTACTCAACGTTTTGATAAATGGATCTAAACGAAAACGAAAACAATTATTAACATTTTATTACGCTTTCCCTTGAATCGAATTTAAACGAGTAAACTTTTTTGCCAGACCCGGTATAACTGGAATTTCCATTGTACGTGTCGATCGCATTTTCCGCGATCGCGATTTACTCTTCTAACTGTAAAAATGCGCTCAAAGCGCAACAATATATGATAATTGCGACCGGCACGCCAACCAGAGGTAAACGGACTGCAAGTCCAATTAAAGCGCTATTTTTAATACCGAAAAAAAAATAAATAACTGACGTTTGACACCGAATAAATTCATTAATTCGCAGCGCAAACACCCAAATGGACAACGACGTCACTCCGGTGTACCTAGCGGCCCAGGAGGGCCACCTGGAGGTCCTCAAGTTCCTCGTATTAGAGGCCGGAGGCTCCCTCTACGTTAGAGCCAAAGACGGCATGGCGCCCATACACGCCGCCAGCCAAATGGGATGCTTGAATTGCGTCAAATGGATGGTAAGCATTCCTCTCTTGCTAAATATCATGCTACTTCCATTATAGTGTTAATAATATCTTCATTCGATCAATATCATCAAACCAGACCATAAACTTCTCCAGATCACCAGGTTATAACTAGTAGAAACATTCCTGCTGTATCTACATATTTCCTACCTACTCTACTTCCACTATTGTATTAAAAATATCTTCATTCGATCAATATCATGCTACCATATCATAAAGTTCACTAGGTGCTCAAGCTATTGGCAATATTCTCATCTTCATCGTTTTCTGGTAAATAATCAACATTCTAGCATACCCTTTAGTGGAGTTTCATCGCATTCTTTACCACTCTTGAACTTTCTTCTTGTAGATTCAAGACCAAGGGGTGGACCCGAATTTGAGGGACGGCGACGGGGCGACCCCGTTGCACTTCGCCTCCTCCAGAGGGCACTTGGAGACCGTCCGGTGGCTGTTGAAGCACGGCGCTCGGCTGTCGTTGGACAAGTTCGGCAAGAGTCCGATAAACGACGCGGCGGAGAACCAGCAAGTAGAGGTAGAAACCGGCAAACAGTAGGGAGAAATCGTCGGTTTAAAAAATACCTATTTTTTCCAGTGTCTGAACGTGCTGGTGCAACACGGCACGACGCCGGATTACCAGGACAAGCCCGAGAAGCTCGCCAACAACGGGAAGTCCTGCTCGTGCACGAGAAAACCGGACAAACTGAGAAGAGTGAGTCGATTCTTACACCAGCAAATGCCTCTTTTGAATATCTTTATTTCAGGGTAACAGCGTGGCGAGCGATTGTTCCAATTGCAAACCGAAATCGGTCAGCAGCAATAGTAACTCGATGAAGCACAATGCGAATAACGAGCCCTTCTATCTCCATCCGCCTTTGAGCGATCGCTCGATAGAGCCGGCCCACGCCCCGGAAAACGGCCTTTACGTTAATCCCATGAGCAAACACAGGCACAGGTAATATGCAAAATTCGATTTATCTGCTGATTAAATAATTATTTTTATCGCGTTACCTGATAATGGGATTTATGCAGCATGCAGTAAATTATATCTTGCGATTCCAGCGCTTCGAGCAGCTCGGAGAGCAGCATCAGCAGCAATGGCGAGTCGTTCTATCTCCACAATCCCCAAGAGGTCATCTACAACAGAGTCAAGGATCTGTTCGAGAGCTCCACTCGAGGACAACCTGTAACAGGTGAATAATTCAAAGATTTCTATACGCAACAAAATATAGTAATAATGTATTATTATTGTTGAGTACCTACCATTGAATAATTTTACTATTATTGCAATAATTAATTATGGTAAATTAGTGCTTTACGCTCAATTGGAATTTGGAATTCAGGTAGAAACAATAACCCCCCGCTTATATTATGAATACATTTCCGGAATCGGTTGATTAATTTTTTATTAAGTAAGCAGTAGCTATGGCAGTATAGTTAGGTAAATATCGGTGTGTAACATGCGGTGTTTTATGTTTAACGTTTTAACGAAATTCCTGAGTAAGAATTGTTAATTTTAAGTAAATTCTGAACTAGGATTACAATAGTAAATTGGTGAATTATCGACATATGTTGTGCATTAATGCGCTCTGTAATACCACCAATAAAACATTATTTATGGCATCCAATAATCAGTTTATCATTTAATCTCATGTAATTATGAACTCCCTATATCGCCGATAAGCGACACACCAAACTCACATTACAACAAAATCTCTAAAACTCGCCAAACCGCCCCCAATTTCCAGTCAAAGTGGAAGTCCATTCGAGCAGCAGCGGCGCCGGCTCCGACGAGAACCTCTCGTCCTCCGATCTATCGGAGCGCTCGGGCGAGCACGAGCACGACTACGAGGACATCTACCTGCTCAGAGAGGAGAACAAAACCGCCAAGAAGACCCGCTCCGATTCCAGGGACTCGGGCTCGCACAGCCGCTCCGGCTCGGTCAGCTCCACCAACTCCTGCACCAACGTCGTCGTCCACTACACCGACGACAAAACCGACGCCAAAACCATCGTCGAAGACAAGGAATCCAACATCGTAAGCACCGCTTACCGTCCTATTACCTCGCTTATTATTAACATTATGATCTCCAATAGGAATCTGGCGTATCTTCGGGCTCCTCCGAGGGGGAACCGGAGAAGACCAAGTTGTCGGTGAGGCGGTCGCTGCCCGGGAAACCGCCCGATGCCGTCATGAACGGCAAGCTGTTGAAGCGCGTCACCTCCGTGCCCATTGGGAAGGCGGCGTTGTCGCCGCCTCCGCCGCCGCCGCCGCCTCCGCCCTGCGGCGACGTCGAGTACGACGAGCCGCGCGGCGCCGAGGCCGTCGAAATCGTCGAGGAACCCACCCTGAGGCCCTCGGATATCGTCAAGGGGATGTGCAGGAGCATGTCGGCTTTGTGTAAGTACTAAATAACATTGATTTTGGATGAAGATATAGTATAGGAGGAGAGAATATAGTGTAGGGGGAGAGGGTATAGTGTAGTAGAAGATGATATACTAGTAGTATAGTGAAAATGATATAGTCTAAGAGAAAAGGATGTAGCCTAGAGGAAAAGTGTATGTATAAGAGGGAGGAATAGAATAGGTGAAGAGAATATAGTATCTATAGAAGAAGATTATAGCAAAAAGGAAGAGAATATAGTATAGAGGAAGAAGATAAGTTCCAAGTGAATACCAAATAAGTGCTCATATTATGGTAGAACTTGAGTAGTACCTACTATAGCACCTTGATTAAGGAATGCTGAATATTCATGAACAAAGAACTGTATCAAAATCGGGATAGTAGTCTTATGGTATAATACTTTCTGTCCATTTGCCGCGTAAATAATTAAATGCGTTTTTGTACTACTTTTCCCGAAACCATTGACCTCGATCGATTTCGATGCCGTAATTGGAGAAATTCATCTCAACGTATGCACATACGTTATACAGCTGTAAGCCGGGCGTTTGAAACGAAAAAATTTACTCGGTTTTCTTCAATCACACCTCCGATTTCGTCCATCCCGCGTGTAACGAAGAGGTAAAAGTCGCGCGTTAGAGCATTTATGCCTTTAGATTCTTTAGTAGTTCACCGAAAGCGTCGATTGCAAATAGTTTTAAGCACGTCCTGTAAGTAAACACAATTTTTTTTAATACCTACGGTTTATTGTTTGAGTTTGTGGCGAATTTTGTGGGAATAACAGAAGTTCAATAGGGAACACTTTTTTTTACAATTTATTTTTTTACAATACAATGTCAAAATTGACATTAATGACGTTAATGACAGAAGTTTAATAGAGGTGGGAATATTTTTTTGGTATAGAGGTGCAGTAACGACTGTTACAAAATAACCGTTATTTTGTCAAATATCATTCTCTACTCTACTCTATTTTACTCTACCCTAACCTATAGTGTAAATTTATTCATCCACAGCTATTTTAAACAACACCGAAAATGTTCAATTTCTTTCAAAGTTTTGCCTTAAATATTCATATTCTCTCACCCAATTTACCTACAGGATTAAAATATTATAGCCCAATTTACCACCGCCTAACACTAAAACAATCTATAATAAGCAAGCATAGAACAAATCAATCAGGAAGTAATGTAACGCCCCTGTATAAATCCGAATCGTTCAAAATCCAATTAAAGAAACTAAATATCATCCGGAACACGAATACCATTAGTCCCGCTCGGCCGCAACCGTTCCGAATCCATCCTCATAAAAACCCATAAATAAACATTAAGTAAAAGTAAACTATTAACCATCACACGGTTTGTTTCCTCTTCCATCTCCGCGTTTCACCAGCCGCCAGACGTCTGAACTCCTCCTGCTCGGACCTGACCATCGTCAGTTTGGACGGCGACGAGCCGGACAAGAACGCCCCCCACCTGGCCAACAAGCAACGCGTGCTGCCCTTCGTGCCGCCCTCCTTCCCCGGCGCCGCCGCCTCCAACCGCCTCATCAAGCCGTCGGAGTACCTGCGCAGCATCAAGCCCGGCTCCGCCAGGCGTCACTCGGAGAGCGGCGACTTGGACCAGGACAAGCTCTACGAGGAGAAGAAGCCCGACCACGGCGAGGGACCGCCGCCGCCGCCTTTGCCCGCCAATTTCTTCCAAAAGGAGGTGAGCCTCTACCGCTTGAATCCCCCCGAACAGCAAGATTTAACTTTGTTGTGCAGGAGCAAAGCGCCGAGATGGTGAAGAAGCAGCACCAGCCGCTGTCGGCGATCAGCATCCAGGACCTGAACTCGGTGCAGCTGAAGCGGACGGAGAAGACGGCGGCGTCGAAGACGTTCTCGGCGCCGACGCGCAGCGTCAGCCTGCAGTGCCTGCAGAGCGAGCCGTTCCTGGCGCAGAAGACCGACCTGATCGCCGAGCTGAAGATGTCCAGGGACATAACGGGCATCAAGAAGATGAAAATCGAGCGGGCGAAGACCGAGGAGTGCAAGGAGAAGGAGATTTTCACGGAGATCACCAAGCAATTCACCACGTCGAAGTTCGTAGAGAAGGTTGTAGGTGGTTGGTTTCTTGTGGTTGGATAAATGTAATTATTTAATGTATTTTAGGTGCCTGAAAAGGATAATACCGGTAATATCATACCGGCTTGGAAGCGGCAAATGTTGGCGAAGAAAGCGGCCGAAAAGGCGAGGAAGGAATTGGAAGAGCAGCTGCTGCGAGAAGCCGAAGAGAAACGGTTGAAAGCGATACCGCAATGGAAGCGGCAATTGTTGCAAAAGAAAGAAGAAGCGGAGAATCGGATAAAGTAACCGTCATCTTTTAGCTATCCTTTAGCTTCATATGTAGTTGTTCGTTGCTAATTTTGCACCGCTAAAATTCTTCTCCAATCGCCAGCACTTACCCAACCAAGTTTCTGCGTTACCTGCACCTTTTCTTCCGGTCACTCTTTCCAGAAACTAAACGAGCATTTCCCGCAGATCGACGTTATATACGCCGAAGGTGGTCGACGAGCCGAAGATTGCGAAGGTCCAGGAGCTCGAAGCAAAGAAGGAACAACGTTGCGACAACGACGAAGAAACCAACAACAACAACTGTAACAACAATGAAGACGAAGAGGAGACCATCAGGTTGGAGAATGAAGGAGAACAATCGGACGAGGAGCCACCCAATCTGATACCCTGGAGGGCGCACCTGAGGAAGACTAACAGCAAGTTGAATCTGTTGGAGTAGCTCAGATAATGCAATAAAGTAGGTAATAAAACAAGCTTGGAAGAGAGGAAATTTATACTTCTTCGTTCTTATTTTAATGGGTGATTCTTGGGCTGATTTTGAGATTTGAGAAGCTTGGGTTTGGACAACAAACCGAAAGCTTCTGATGAACTTTTCGACTCAAAATTACCCCAAGATTTCTCTATTGAAATAAGTGCATAACATTAATTACATCCTGTATATTTTATACAAGAAGTTTTAAATGTAACTATAATTTTGTAGCTATTATTATAGATATTGTAGATGTATTGCATGATGAAAATGTATCCGGTTTATGTTATATTTTACCCTTGAGTTCCGGGAGGGAGTTTATAGGAATAGTTGTAAGGAATAAGTAAATTAAATCCATTACCCGTAGTAATTAGATGTTACTATAAATAATTGTTGTATCGTAATTATTCCTAAAAAGTTTATCGAAAATTGTACATTGTTACGACATGTATAAATAATTTATTCCATTAATGAATAACACGAATGAAAAAGCAGGAGTTTTTGTGAATTGTACGCGGTTTTTACTTTTTTTTAGGAATAAAAATTCAGAGGTATAGGTAATTTTTATTGTATTTATTTTTTGTTGAGAAATGTATGTAATTTCGAAAAATAAATTTGTAGCGAAATTATTTTTCGAGTATATTATTATACAATTTGATTAGTAAAATATATATGTAGCATATTAATTTTAGTACGATATTATTTCGTGACACGTCCAGTCATTTATATTGTGATTTTGTATGTATTACTTTTATATATTGTTTGTTATATTTTTATATACTTATATATATTTTTTATTTTTATTTCTTTCGCCTGTTTTTCCGTTCTTGCCATTCGAGGAACGCTCTACATTCGCTGGGTTCGGGACTTGTACAGAACTGTATAATTGTATAATTATTGTGGATAAATAAATACATATATAAATAAAAAACTAGTACAACATTTTTCAATTCGTCCCGTAAAAATAATCCTAATCAATTCCATTTCGTTTTATCAACTGCAAATATTTAGCAAACGTCGATTACAATGATTTCATTGTCCCAAAAACCGACAACGGTTTTTTCTGTAAATATTTGATCATAAACAGTATAAATTCGTCGATATAAATTCAGCGGAAGCCATTTAGTAATTCCTCAACAATTTCCATAACACCGAAACTCAAGATGCTCAAATTATTATTCTACTACTTACTAACCGACCAAGCATCATCGCACTATTTTTACAACAGCGACAACAACCGAGTGTACACCAGTGATGTTCTAAACGTGCCCAAAGGATACAGGATCATCCAACCGCCGAAAATCCTCTCGCTAAAAAAAGGTACTTATACAAACCCCCATAAATTCCTGTTAAAACCCCCACGAAATTCCAGAGAAATTCACCAAAGGCCTCTTCTGCCAGGACATGGGCTTCACCTGCGCCAAGCCCTTCACCTACTCCTCCACCTTCCAATTCGAGTGCCTCGACGACAGCAACTGCCCGGTCTCGTACATCTGCTGCCCGCAGCGCTGCTTCCTCCACAAGGTCTGCACCGTGGGCAAGCCCCGGCGCTCCGCCGACACCAAGCAGCAGCCTTCGAGGGTGTACAAATGCGCCGAATGGCCGTACGTCTGCTCCAAGAAATTCCCGCTGCAGGTGACGCAGAGGTTCAAGTGCACCGACGACGAACATTGCCCCGAAGGGCTGATGTGCTGCCCGCAGAGGTGCTTCAGCCACAAGGTCTGCTCCAGGACGGTGATGAGCGGCGAGATCGCGGAGACCACCACCACTTTCCAGCCGGTTGCGACGGTGACGAGGGCGGCGAAGGGAGATCTCGTGGCGTCCCGTGAAGCTGTTAAGGATGAGGCGCTTAAGAAGGAATCGTGGATGGATAACTACATAAAAAGGAACACGAATCCGCCGGTGGAAGCCACAACGATCGATTCGACGAGCACGAATCCGCCGGTGGAAGCCACAACGATCGATTCGAACGCGATCGATCCGAATTATCAAGAGTATTACGATGAACAAAGCGATTATGATGATAAAGAGGAAGAAGAGGACAGTACAGATAGTAATTTAAGGCTGTATTTGCTTGAAGCCGACGACGCCAAGGCGTGATTTAATTTAAATATACTTTAATTACAAATAGATAATTAATTTTGTAACAAGTTCGTTAAGAAAATAATATACAACTATAAAATGTTTTTTATTAAGTAGGTATGTGGTAATGCTGTAGATTTCGAAGAGAACAACACATATACATAAAACACCAATAAAATGATTACCATCGCTATTATTTCACTCCAGTTTTCCACTGTCCGATAATTCAGCAATAAACAACAAAATGCTCGCCCGTCGGAGAAACAAACAATTCACAAGGCGTCTCCATCGATCGAATCTTATTTATAATATCCAAATTCATCGACTTTTCCGTAGTAGTTCCGTAGACTTTTCCGTCGCCGGTATCGACCACCGGCACCATCGGCGCCGCCCCGGTGGACGAGGTCCTCTTGCCGCCCGTCCTGTTGTAGTACTTATCGTAGGTCAAGTAGAAGTCCTCGCTGGAGACGTCGCCTCCCGGGGCTCCCCCGTCGGGCTCGTTCTCGTCCGTCGCGGACTCGTACTTGCCGGAGGTGTAGTCCAGGTAGGAGGTGGGATAGCCCGGCCCGCTGCCCTCTTCCTCGTCCCCTTCGGCGCTTCCTTCGGCGCTTCCTTCGGCGCTGCCCTCGGCGCTCCCATCGAAGAAGTCCTGGTCGTCGAAGGTGTTCAACGGGAGGGCGCGGACCGCTGCGGTTTTGTGTTGGACCAGCAGGAAGAGGACGGCGAAGAGAAGTCTCATTTTATCAGCTGGAATTTGGACAAATAGAGCTAGGATTCGAATTAGATATGGAGCTAATTGTAAGGATTAGAAGAAAGGTTAGAGTTAGAATTTGAAGCAACGTCCACGGTTTTCTTGCAAAAACAGTTTGTACCGTTTTAACAATAAAAATTCTCATCAGTTCGCAATTCATGGAATGTGGTTATTTGTGTTTTAATGGCAAACTCTTTTTTAGGTTTTTTTTTTTATTTTATCGATAAATTTTATTCTGTTGTTTTATAATTGAAATGATCAAATTTTGTGTTCCAAACTCAGCATTTTATGTTAAAATTTATTACTGTATTTACTTATGTATTAAGAATTCAATTAGTTCTTACAAAAAACTCGCAATTAGAAGACAAAAATGTTCAAAATGAATTATTTAAACTAGTGAACATAAACCTAAACATAAATCTAAACAACCTAAAATTTAAACATATACATATGTAAATCTAAAGTACCTACTAGTATTAGAACCATAATTAGATCTAGAATTAGAACTAGAATTGGAACTAAACAGAATTAGAGTTAGATTTAGAATAAGAATTTTTATAAGTTCATGTATCATATTTTACAGTTATCTTTCGTTATGTAAAAGCAACTAATCAGCAATGATAAGTTTATTAATTTTAAAAGAAACCAACTATGAACAAATTAAGTAGACAACTTACCTGTTTTCCCACTAAAAAAATACACGAGAATTATTGCAACGAATATTTAGTAAATTGCAAATCAAAATCTCCCATTCGACTGTGTGCTTAGCGAAAAACTTTTCTCCCTTATCGGCGTTTTATCGAGTTGTTTGAGAAAGTACACGTGCTGAAATGCACGCTAAACCGTCTACGAATTTATTGTGCATTAAATATTGAATTACGGCGCGCACAAAAACGATTTTTGTTTATTTTCCGACGAACTCGTTGCGAATCGGATTCGGCGGAAACTCCTGCGTTTCGTCGATTGCGTTTTTTATTTCCACTAAAAAAATCAATCGATTTCCGATCGATTCGCGCTAATTTTGCAGTTTTTCACCTCTATTCTCCGACGCTATTTTCGCTACAATTAGCGCGAATGAGCGGACAAATTTGTTGGCATTCTCGCTATTATCGTGTGTTTTCGTTCTTATCCTTATTCCTACGTAATTTATTATTCATTTTTTTATTGACTATACATGCATATCGAAAATATTTCGCGTTAAAGTGGATCCGAATTTTTCACGATTATTATTTTTATTTACAAGTCTAACCAGCATGAAAGAGATAAAAATTAATTGATAAGAGAAGGTGCAGTTTGTTGTTTGATTTTATTATCTATTAACTCATTATTATCCTTATTAAGGATATACTGGGTTGGTGATGCCTGCAAGATAAATTTAGTTAAATGACAAAGAACCCTCTGTACTCGCAAGGCTAGATAAAGCAATTTTCAAGGATTTCCTTGGATAAAACCTTCGCGCCCGTTGGAATTTTTTCGATAAGATTATATAATGTACGAAATAGCCGGGGAATCGGTTAATCATAGAAAATCGAAGCGAAGATAACAAGTTCAGTAAAAACTGGCGATGCTCGTGGTGGTGTATTTGTGCCTTTTGGGGACCTTCGCCGAAGCGCAAATCCAGAAGTACTATTACAGATGGAACGGGGATTCGTTCGATATACTTTACACCGGGTACCCCCGTATAGGGTACAAGGAAATACCAGCGCCTAAAACGTACAAAGTCCAACAATCCCAGAGGGGCGGTAAGTTATTTTTGAGATCCATTAATACCTATAACTTTGTGTTGTTTCTATCGTTTAAATTATTTATACAATTTTCTAATTTGGTTGTAGAAAGACCGGGGAACTGTTCTAATACGGGGTTCTCCTGCCTAAGCCCATATCCTGTATGGAAAACTTATCAATTTGAATGCACTCTCGATTTCCAGTGTCCCAGATATTTTAAATGTTGCCAACCTGCTTGCTTTTTGCATAAAGTATGCCAAATTGCCACATTTAATGAATCTGATACTACAACATCAAGCACGACAAAAAATACAACAGAAGACACTGATGAAACTACATATTCTACAGAAACTTCAACAGGTTTAACAGAAAGAACAACAGAAGACACTGATGAAACTACAGATTATACAGAAACTTCAACAGATTTCACAAAAAACACAACAGAAAATACTGATAAAACTACATATTCTACAGAAATTACAACAGATGAAATACTAAAAACTACTCGAGCATCGCCCGAAGAACTCAAATTGAAATCTACGGAATCCTCCATTACAGAAAAACCTACTAGTTCTTCACTAGAAAAATCAAGCACTACAATTACAGTACCTAGTACTTCGAAATCTAATACAGAAGATCACCAATTACTAAATACAACAGTAACTACATTAAAAAGTGCTGATAAAACTACATATTCTACAGAAACTTCAACAGGTTTAACAGAAAGCACAACAGAAGACACTGATGAAACTACAGATTATACAGAAACTTCAACAGATTTCACAGAAAGCACAACAGAAGACACTGATGAAACTACATATTCTACAGAAAGTTCAACAGATTTCACAGAAAGCACAACAGAAGACACTGATGAAACTACATATTCTACAGAAACTTCAACAGGTTTAACAGAAAGCACAACAGAAGACACTGATGAAACTACAGATTATAGAGAAACTTCAACAGATTTCACAGAAAGCACAACAGAAGACACTGATGAAACTACAGATTATACAGAAACCTTAACAGATTTCACAGAAAGCACAACAGAAGACACTGATGAAACTACATATTCTACAGAAACTTCAACAGGTTTAACAGAAAGCACAACAGAAAATACTGATAAAACTACATATTCTACAGAAATTACAACAGATGATATACTAAAAACTACTCGAGCATCGCCCGAAGAACTCAAATTGAAATCTACGGAATCCTCCATTACAGAAAAACCTACTAGTTCTTCACTAGAAAAATCAAGCACTACAATTACAGTACCTAGTACTTCGAAATCTAATACAGAAGATCACCAATTACTAAATACAACAGTAACTATATTAAAAAGTACTGATAAAACTACATATTCTACAGAAACTTCAACAGGTTTAACAGAAAGCACAACAGAAGACACTGGTCAAACTACAGATTATACAGAAACTTCAACAGATTTCACAGAAAGCACAACAGAAGACACTGATGAAACTACAGATTATACAGAAACTTCAACAGATTTCACAGAAAGCACAACAGAAGACACTGATGAAACTACAGATTATACAGAAACTTCAACAGATTTCACAGAAAGCACAACAGAAGACACTGATGAAACTACAGATTATACAGAAACTTCAACAGATTTCACAGAAAGCACAACAGAAGACACTGATGAAACTACAGATTATACAGAAACTTCAACAGATTTCACAGAAAGCACAACAGAAGACACTGATGAAACTACAGATTATACAGAAACTTCAACAGATTTCACAGAAAGCACAACAGAAGACACTGATGAAACTACAGATTATACAGAAACTTCAACAGATTTCACAGAAAGCACAACAGAAGACACTGATGAAACTACAGATTATACAGAAACTTCAACAGATTTCACAGAAAGCACAACAGAAGACACTGATGAAACTACATATTCTACAGAAACTTCAACAGATTTCACAGAAAGCACAACAGAAGACACTGATGAAACTACAGATTATACAGAAACTTCAACAGATTTCACAGAAAGCACAACAGAAGACACTGATGAAACTACAGATTATACAGAAACTTCAACAGATTTCACAGAAAGCACAACAGAAGACACTGATGAAACTACAGAATATACAGAAACTTCAACAGATTTCACAGAAAGCACAACAGAAGACACTGATGAAACTACAGATTATACAGAAACTTCAACAGATTTCACAGAAAGCACAACAGAAGACACTGATGAAACTACAGATTATACAGAAACTTCAACAGATTTCACAAAACACACAACAGAAAATACTGATAAAACTACAAATTCTACAGAAATTACAACACATGAAATACTAAAAACTACTCAAGCATCGCCCGAAGAACTCAAATTGAAATCTACGGAATCCTCCATTATAGAAAAACCCTCTAGTTCTTCACTAGAACAATCAAGCACTACAATAACAGTACCTAGTACTTCGAAATCAAATACAGAAGATCACCAATTACTAAATACAACAGTAACTACATTAAAAAGTACCGAGATTATAGAATATATTAAAACAACAAAGACGAAAGATACTGACTCTAGTACTAAGAAAAGTACAACAGAAGAAACTACTACTACAACAAATACTCCAAAAATAAACCAAATCCCTAATGCAGAAAAAAATATAGAAGGAAGTGGTGGAAGTAGTGGAAGTGATGGAAGTGGTGATTATGAAGACGATGAAGGTGATGAGGATGAAGATAGAGATAGGCCGAAGAGAGAAGAAGAAGGAAGGAGGAAGGAAGATGGTGGGTTTGAGTTTGAAGAAAGGAAAATATTGATATAAAATAACTTTAAGAGAAAAGGCGTTTTTTGAAGTTTTTGTACAATTTTATAATAATTGTAAACTAGTCTCATATGTAATACAATTTATAATAAAAACGTATTACATATTTAGAGAGATTCGTTGTTTTTAATAATATTTTAGAAATATTTTTTTCAAGGTTAAAGTCTTACAATTAGGTAAGTAGAACTTTTAAATAAAATAAGCATTTTTATAAAATTATTTATTCACAAAATTTAACTTCTAACATATTTCTTAACTAAAAATGATTTCTTAAAGCCGCAATTTAATAGTTGTAAAAATAAAAAAAAAACTCAAACTTAATCGAATCTAACAAAATAAAGTCTTTACAGTAATTCGTTTGAAAAAATGTATAACATCATTTAAAAACAGATATTGTACCTAGTAGTAGTACTTAGAATTTTTTGCACGAAGAGTTGATACTTTGAATTAATCCAATACTTAAATGAAATCGACTATATAAATATAAAACTATTTAATCACAAAATTTAACCGCTAACATAAAATAAAAACGGTTCGTTAAAGCCTTAATAATATTGCAATCTATTAGTTAACAATTAAAAAAACCCACTCCAGGTCAATTTTAAATCAGTACAAAAAAAAACTCCCTATTTCGATACTCATCTACCTAATTCTACTATCACAGAATTAAAGCTACGAATTCGAAACGAAACCGAAACGATTACAAGGAAGACGTCGATTCGAACATCAAAAAGTCCCACCACCGAAACGAACTACCCCGACCAAGGCCGCCACACCTGCCCCGCCGCCGGCGTCCCGGCGTCCTTCCCCTCGCAACACCGCGACGCGTAATCCAGCCGCCGCACGCACGCGCCCAAGTGCTGCAGCAGCTTCCTGCCCGCCGTCGGATCGACGCCGTCCGTCGGCGTCGCCACGAAGTGCGTCACCTCCTGGGCGCACTGCGCGAACCCCGCCCGGAACCGGTCCGCGTAGCCCTGCTCCGCCGGCGCCGGCGCCGCCAGCTGCCGGTGGTTCTTCAGCGTGTGCAGGTGCCGGACGGTCAGCTCCAGGATGTCGGCCTTCTCCAGCTTCGAGACGTTCTCGCCCTCGTTCTGCAGCGCCGTCACCATCAGCTCCTTCAGCTCGTCCAGGCAGCGGTTGATTCTGGCGCGTCGCTTGCGCTCCAGCATCGGCTTCATCACCTTCCTGTATTGGTAGGTGCGCGATATGGGCTCCTCGTTGGGGTCCGAGCCGTACGGGGGCGCCATCGTCGCTTAGCACAAGTCGCGCGTACACACACACACACTGATCGCTCTCGCCGATTCTCGAGCGATGGTTTCGGTTTCTGCGTCGGAATGACGTTGCGGTGGAAGAATTTTTTAGTTTTATATACGAGGGGATCGGGATGGTGGTTCGGGTGGTGGGGCAGCGGTTATGAATGGACGGTACGAGGAGCGCGTACAGGACGGGCGCTGAGCCGGTGTCCGGTATATTGATATACCAGTATGGGTTTCGATCAATGTGTAAAATTGATTTTTTTATGGATGAAATTTATTAGATTTAGTAGATTCACAGTAGAGTAGATTCAGAGTACCTAGAGTAGATTCGGAGTAGAGTAGATTTAGGGTAGGGTGGATTTAGAGTAGGGTTGGTTCAGAGTAGAGTAGATTCGGAGTAGAGTAGCATTCAGAGACGAGTAGATCCAGACTAGAATGGATTCAGAATAGGGTAGATTCACAGTAGAGAAGATTCGGAGTACCTAGAGTATATAGATTCGGAGTACCTAGAGTAGATTCGGAGTAGAGTAGATTTAGGGTAGGGTGGATTTAGAGTAGGGTTGATTCAGAGAAGAGTAGATCCAGACTAGAGTGGATTCAGAATAGGGTAGATTCACAGTAGAGTAGATTCAGAATACCTAGAGTAGATTCAGAGTAGAGTAGATTTAGGGTAGAGTGGATTTAGAGTAGGGTTGATTCAGAGAAGAGTAGATGTAGACTAGAGTGGATTCAGAATAGGGTAGATTCACAGTAGAGTAGATTCAGAGTACATAGAGTGGATTCAGAGTAGAGTAGCATTCAGAGAAGAGTAGATCCAGACTAGAGTAGACTTAATTTGGAAATTTATTGAACCATTATTACAAGTGGTTTTAGTAAACAATATAGAAGATTTACAAGGGAATATCGTTTTCTTGAAAATGTTAACCATTTGTACCATGTTTATATAAAAAACTCACTTTATAAAGAAGAATTTGTAAATCCGGCTCTGTTTCGTACACTTGATGTGAAATTCTACCTAACCCCCTTTTTTTTTGTATACCTTTTTCTATAAAGGCGTTGTTAAGGGCGTTAGATCCAGGTCTGCGTTAGACCCTTATAATCCAGACTAGAGTAGACTTAATTTGGAAATTTATTGAACCATTATTACAAGTGGTTTTAGTAAACAATATAGAAGATTTACAAGGGAATATCGTTTTCTTGAAAATGTTAACCATTTGTACCATGTTTATATAAAAAACTCACTTTATAAAGAAGAATTTGTAAATCCGGCTCTGTTTCGTACACTTGATGTGAAATTCTACCTAACCCCCTTTTTTTTTGTATACCTTTTTCTATAAAGGCGTTGTTAAGGGTGCATTATTATAAGGGTGCCCAGCATGCGACCGCAGTAAAGGAATTTCTCGTTTTTTTTGCCCTTTATAAGCAAGCGAGAATATTTTTTAACCCACCTGATCTTCAACAGATTTGTCATGAAAAGTGCATATTTTATTGGATCAGTTTTTTTATTTAATTTTTTTTTAGTTTGCAAAAGGGTCAGAAAATCATTGCACCTATTATAAACTATATCCAATTATTTACATAGGTACAATAATAGAGCATTTACATTATTATGTATTAGACTGGTAGACTGGGGCAAATCGGTTGTAAAATTTGAATAGTTCAAATTAAATCCTAAAATGTGGCTTTATTTTTTCTCTTATTAGAAATGCTGATACCACATTAAATTCACCACTTCCTAAACTAAAGAATCGAGGTGTTAAAAAGTTTTTTTGAAAAAGGAAGAATACGGTTCTAAAGTGCAATACAATTATATAGAAAAACATATGGTGCAATTGTAAAAAAATATTTGGTTCCTCTAAAATTTGATATGCTGTTTATTTATTTATATCAAAAAATAACAGAGCTACAAAATAATAAAGAAAAAATAAGAAACAAACCCTGTCTAATGCACAAAAAAACTATAAAAATAATAAAAACATTAACATAATAGGTAAAAATATTACATTTACCCCATTTTTACATTTGCCCCAGTCTACCTTAGAGTAGATTCAGAGTGGATTAATAATAGAGTCATAGTAGATTAATTTAATGTCTACATTTCATCGCAATAACACTGAGTAAATTCTCGAAATGAAAATTCCCCTTCATCCATCCCATACAATACAAAAAATATACTGCTCCACAAAAGTTAAGGAAGTTTACAAATATTGTGATTCATTTAAAAGTTGCAGGTCTTTTTATCGCCAAAGTTAGTATGAGTTGTAGAGGTAGGGGCAAAAAATCCACTCAGATATGATAGAAAACATTTAATTACCCTTATTTGAAAATTTGGTGATCAAAAACTCTGTAACTTTTAAAATAATCGCAAATTTTGTGAACTTCCTTAACATTTGTGGAGCAGTTTATATACATAATGAGAAAAATTCCTTGTGCCCTCGTACATCCTTCGCAGAGATCGAACCGAGCGGAGTTCTCCGGTCGTCCGTCGGTCGAGCGTCCGGCCCGAGCCAACCGGAGATAAAATAGAAGCGCGCTGCCCGATCTCCGATCTCCGATCCGAAAAGAAAGAAAACACGAGCCGTGACGCACGGCCGACTCGGCGACGGCGGCGCGGCGTCGACGACGCGGGCCTTCTTCTTCTCTCTTCTCTTCTCTACTTGTCGTGGGACTCGAGATCGAGAACGTTCCCACGAGCGCTTCTATTTACAGATGCCTTAACGCACGCGGGCACCTGGCCCGAGACGACGGAGATAGACGCGAAATCGCGCTCGGTAGCCTTCCTTCTCGATTCGCCTAAAATTTTCCTAATAGTAGTCGCGGCGATTCAAACGCCGAATTAAATTCAGAAGCAATTAAAAGTACTAAATGCACAGTAGGTTCTGAGTAGGCTCAGTGTTGATTCAGAGTAGATATTCAGAGTAGATTCAAAGTAGATTTAGAGTAGATTCAGTGTAGATATTCCGAGTAGTTTCAGAGTAGGCTCAGAGTAGGCTCAGTGTTGATTCAGAGTAGATTTACAGTAGATATTAAAAGCAGTAAATTCAAATTAGATTCAAAGTAGAATTGCAGTAGATTTAGAGTAGATATCAGAGTAGATATTGAGAATAAAATATTCGGAAAAGATATTCATTGGAGTAGATTTAGAGTAGGTAGATATTCAGAGTAGATTCAGAGTATGCTGAATATACTATTCGATAGTACCTAATGTCCCAGTACCTCCAAGACTAACCCATCAGAAGCCGAGATATCTTATGATTGAGTAAATATTAGTGAGTTTACACGTATTGTAACTTATACAGAGCGAGGCAAGTTGGTACGAAATAGGAGAATGGTTTATCTTAATAATTTTAACGTGAATTAGTTTTACCTATACACGGAGAGTACTTAATTATTTACTGCTCACTTAGAGCTTTTCAAAAACGAGGTGTAATTAAGTAGGCGTAAAATACGAGGCTTGCTCAAATTGTTATCACTGATAATTTAACGGGGTGTATTGGATAATTTAAACAGGCATGAATATACAGATTGCTTCAATTCAGACCGCAACATCGTCGTTTCTATGAGTTGAACAAAGAAAGATTGAAATAACAGTTGTCAGAGTGAAAAGTTGCAATGACACAAATGTCAATGTTTATAAGTGTCTAATAGAAGTTGTCTTTATCGCTCCTATAGCATACATGACCTATGTTGCGATCTGGAATGAAGCACAGTGTATACGAGGGCTGCTCGAATTGGTATAACGAGGTGTATTGGAAATCTTCAAATTCCCTCCGAATCGTTCGAGTTTCCCGAGGCCCCGTATGAGTAAACAGATATCCCGCGACTCGCATAAATTAACGCGCCCGCCGCTTATCGCATATCCTCTCCTTTTACGCGCAGTCTACAGAACAGAGAGGATCGGTTTCTTGTTGTGTGTGTGTGTGTGGGAACGCGCAGTCAGCACGTGGTAGAGTAAAACGCGGGCGAGCAGGTGGCGATCGCACGCCGCAGAGCGAGCGGAGTCCCTTCCGCCCCCCCTCGGGCCGCCGCCGGGCGACCGTGCACGCCCCAGAAGCGTGGGAACAGCGAGTCGAAGATCTTCCCAAAAACCGGCCGACGTGCCGACACACTTCGTGTCTTCCACTCGGCTCCTCCCCGACCATCTAATCCTCCGCTTCTTCTGCTTTGAGTTTCGTATACCGATAAAAAGTCTTTTTCATTCCAAACTAGAGAAGGATATTTTGTAACAGTCGTTACTGCACCTCTATACCAACAAAGTTTATTCCCACCTCCATTACACTTCTGTCATACGAAATGTCATTTCAATGTCAATTTTGATTAATGCGATTTTGATTTTATCTCAGCCAATCAGCGTCGCGCTACATTATAAATCGCGGTTGTGTGAAACGACAGTTCGAGCTGTCAAAACTTCAAAAATTATTTTTTTGACATTTCGAGGAGAAAATGGAGAAATACATTAATCGAAGATACGTGAGGTATGATGTTAACAACAAAATCATCGCTGATTTGAGTATATTTTTATATTTTGTATCTATTTTTAGTTTGAATAAAACTGCCAATTCTATATTCGTACTCAAAAAACCCTGTTTAATCCTCAAATAACGGGACACTTTTTGACCTATGTTTCCAAACCATAGAAATATACGGCCGTGTTTGGAGGCTACCCAAAGAAGCTGATTATTTTTTTTTTGTTTGAAAATTTTCTCTGCTTTAAGTTGCGCGGATTGGAGCGTTTTTAATGGCGCAGAAGGCTCGTGCATATCGTGAGAACGATCGTGGCGAGAGCCGCGGCCGCCTTGATTGCCGCTTCCGTTAACTGATTGAGCAGCAGTGTTGTTCCAGCTATTACTATCGTAATAGATCTATTACTTTTAACTAAAATCTATTACTCTATTACATTCCCCCTCAATTCTATTACTTTTCAACTTTTCATTATTCTATACCAAATTAGCTATATACATCATGTTGGGCTCCGGAAAAAATGTAATAAGTGATAAATTATGTGTGAAATAAATCAAAAGAAACATATGTTCTGGGCGGTCAAGACCAAGAGTAAAATATGTACACTGTGCATATTCAATGTCAGAACATACAAATATTTAAACTCGACAAAAAAAAACTTTATTTCTGAAAAAATACAAAATAAATACAAATGACTGGAAAACTTATTTTTTAATTGAGGCCTAAGCTTCCCTAGATACTATAAAAAGCCTATTCGGCCCTGACCGCGGCGGAAAATTCACAGAAAACAAAAAAAACACGAATCTATTACAGTCCCCTGTAAATCTATTACAATTCACCCCACATTTCTAGTACAAAATTTGCCTGCTTGAGAACAACACTGATTGAGCAGTGTCCGGTCGTTCTCTTCATCTATACCCCACGGTAATTCACGATTCTCATCGTCGAAGCGACGTTGTCTCGTTTACTCGCTCCATTCGTACTCATCTAATAACGAACCAAATCCAAATGGGGCTCAATTATACAGCGGCTTATCACAAACAACCACTCATCGTATGCACCGGATTTAACCCTATTGGAAACTCTACTCTAGCTTATTTAGAGACAAACTCTAATTCAGTTGGGAATCTTCGAGCTGGCATCGTGGTTTTCGTATATGGCTGGTGCGTAGTTTATTTGGGATCGTAAATGAAGAGCGCGGGGATTTCGACGCAAAACTATCACGCGAACCGAACCGGACCGAAAAGAGGATGATTGATAATTATCCAAAGGAAATTCGATCATTATACAGATTAATAAATTCGTCGTGTACTGTAAATTACTGTGATGCTTGCTCTATCAAATAGGTCTACTATGCGTTATTTTGTTTATTCTAATAACAAATATTTTGTTGTTACCTGTTTGCTGCACTAATCCCACGCAGGAATTTCACACACTACTCACCCCTACTATAACTCACTATTTTTTTCGCATCGTAGACAAATAATCAGGAAGCGTTCAATGATATTTTGACATTAATGTGTCAATTTTGACATAAATGACATTTTGTATAAAAGAAGTTTAATTAAGGTGGGAATCATTTTTTTGGTATAGAGGCGCACTAAATACTGTTACAAAATAAGCGTTATTTCTAATCTAATCAAAATGAATTTAATATTCTTTTTACAAATTTCAGGTAATTATTTATGTGTTGATTTTTTTGTGTACATGTACGATTCAAAAACGGATTATTATTTTGGTGGGGAATTCCGGTCCACCTTTACACACTATTAAGGGTATTATTCCTATTTTACTCTAAACTCCAAGCCTACCTATATTAAAGAACACCTTTAAGGAGCAGGATAAAGTTACATTATCTCTCATTTTTGTGTACCTAGTAGCAATTTGTCTTTAAATACAAAACGCGGTGGAATATATAATGAAAATACCGGAGCATTTTTTGCCTCTCTCGTTAATCCGACAAGAGCAAAGTTTATAATTATCCGGACGGATTCGTGACTGGTCGTTGGAGCAGATTCGCTCTCGCCACGCAAGAGGCCGGGAAAGCGAAACTACCGTGAGAGAATCGGAAAAAATACCTACAACGAAGCATTCGAAAAACTATTAAACTACGGGGCTCCGCGTTCGAATTATCTCTACCGCATCCTTTTATTAAAATAATTGTGCGAGACGCTACCGCGCCGCCGAGAGCGCGGCGCGGCACGAAATTAAAACAAACTTTTCGAAAAAAGCTCACCCCGATTGCGAGCCGAGCACGTACAATTACCAGAAAAAATACCGTTGGCATATCAATTACGCCTCCTAATCGGTATGCGCGAGGCCGAACAAACGCATTTATTGTTCGTTATAGTAAAACGCAGACCTGACAGAATGCGTCCTTTGCAAGGACTTTTAAATATTTACTCGGAGGGTACCGGTAAGTACAACACGGAATGCTAGATTACCATCGGTCGCACGATCGTTCATTCGAATGGACGAGGCGTCAATTGCCCATAAAATACACATCACATAACGCACACGTCCTGCATTATGTAACACATTATTACTTTTTAAAAACTTCATCGCTCAAGTACAGCAGGAAAAATCGAACCCTTGATAGGCTCGCAGAGAGGTATTTAATTATATCGGTCTTCCTACAAAAAACTGGCGGAGGAAAAAAGACGGAGCCGCATCGTTACTGCTCGATGAGGTGACTATGGATAATTGGACTTCCGGCGAGTCGTGGGAATGACCAGCAGGTGCTGATTCGGTGCGTTTACCTGTCTGTTATTATGCGGATGCTGCGCTACGCATATATCGAGTATATCGTCGTCGCAGCGTAATGTAAATATAGTTGCGTAATTTGAGACCTGAAAAGATTACATTTCTCGAACTTATTTAACAACTTAGTTTTTGGGGATTCACAGGGTCATTGAACGTAATGAATCAAATTAACACAGACGATATAAATTAGAGTGTACCCTATTGTAATAATTGCGATTTGTTCAAAAAGATTTTGAAGAAATCAAGAATTTATAACACGGAACCATAGAACATTCACAATCGAAAAACGAATGGCGCTCTCTACTAATTAACCATAGAACTACAATTGAAGTAAGCACAGAAATTGACATGCAATAAGTTGTGATACGTGGTCTTCGACTATACAGGCAAGTGACACAAATTTCATTTGGTTAGAAATACAACTTATTTATAACTTATTATTTTCAATTTATCACAACTTATGCAATTATTTGTTGTGTGTTTGAGTTAAATAACATCGCAGGGGAGCGAATCGATGAAGGTTATCAGTAAGGGTCATTGGCTATTGGCTAATCTGGTCGATAAGCGTCACGAACTTCACACCGATTGGTCCGTTCCACGTGTGTCGCAAGCATTTGCCGTCACCTTAAGCCGAGTTTGAACGTTGTTTTTCACCATCGTTTAATACCTAAAGAGAAATTGTTACAAACGCTGTTCGAAAATGTCCAAAAACGTGCTGGTTATCGGCGGGGGTGGAAGAGAACACGCCATTGTTTGGAAGCTCTCGAGCAGCCCCCGGGTGAATAAAATATTCGCCAGTCCCGGCAGTCATGGCATACAACAGGTGGCCAAAACTCAAAATGTCCCGTTGGACCTGAACAATTTTCAAGTAAGTTCCCGCTAAGCTCCACACAACTTTTCTTTTACTAAGCTTACGAATACAAATCGAAACATACCTCTATCGAACGAAGTGAGGAACTTATACTTTCCTTCCGTAGGACATTGTGAAATTCTGCAAAGACAATCAAGTCTCACTGGTGGTCGTGGGGCCCGAGGATCCCCTAGCAAACGGTATAGCAGACGCCTTAACAGTCGAAGGCATCAACGTATTCGGGCCCCGCAAGAATGCGGCCAGGATCGAATCAGACAAAAACTGGGCCAAAGCCTTCATGGACCGACACGGAATACCCACAGCACAGTGGCAATCCTTCACACTCGCCGAAGAAGCCAAGAATTTCATTAACAAGTAATCATTTCATTAATCATTGCCTACGATTATAAATATACATTTCTATTTTAGCGCCCCTTTCGATGCTCTGGTTGTAAAAGCGAGCGGTCTAGCGGCGGGCAAGGGGGTCGTTGTAGCGGCGAATAACCAAGAAGCTTGCAAAGCCGTAGACGAAATGTTGGGGGACAAAAAATTCGGGGATGCCGGCGAAACTGTGGTGATCGAAGAGCTGCTTTCAGGCGAGGAAGTTTCGGTAACAGCTCACTAATAGCACTCACCGATAGGTTATTCGTCTGCTTTGTAGGTGCTAGCGTTTACCGACGGCAACACTATTATACCGATGCTGCCGGCTCAAGACCACAAGAGAATCTTCGAGAACGATCAAGGGCCCAACACCGGAGGAATGGGCGCTTATTGCCCGTGCCCTCTCTTGAGCCCCAAACAATTGGAGTACGTGAAAAACGAGGTGCTCGATAAAGCCATCCAAGGTTTTCAAAAAGACAAACTTAAGTTTGTCGGTAAATACTCCGCACCGTTTACGAAAGAATTAATTGTTAAAGCGTAATAATTTTTAGGAGTCTTATACGCAGGGTTAATGTTAACCCCGATCGGTCCTAAGGTACTAGAATTTAACTGTCGATTCGGCGATCCCGAAACCGAAGTGGTACTACCTTTACTACAATCAGATCTGTATGAGATAATGATGTCTTGCTGCGAGGGGACATTGGATAGACAAAACATCAAATGGAAACAAGACGTATCCGCCGTAGGTGTCGTTCTAGCGTCCAGGGGATACCCAGAAACCTCCAGCAAAGGACAAGAAATCACAGGTTATTATCACCATTTATTACAAATTACAGCTCGCCTATTAAATGCATCGTTTGTAGGTATCGAAACGGTTACCGTAAACAGAAACCACATAGTCTTCCACTGCGGTACCGCATTCAAAAACGATCGCTTGGTAACCAACGGCGGTAGAGTACTAATATCCGTGGCGCTGGCTCCTCAACTCCATTTAGCCGCGGCCAAGGCCACGAAAGCCTGCGAACTGATCAAATTCGACGGGCAACAGTACCGCAGGGACATCTCGCACAAGGGAATCGCCCGGGCCATATTGCAATCGGGAAAATTGACGTACAAACAGAGCGGAGTCGACATCGACGCCGGTAATAGTTTAGTAGATCACATCAAGCCGGCCGCCAAGTCGACGAAGCGCTCCGGCACTTTGGGCGGGTTAGGAGGGTTCGGTGGGTTGTTCGATACGAAAGCGGCGGGTTATAAAGATCCCTTGCTCGTGTCCGGTACCGACGGCGTGGGCACCAAACTTAAGGTATATACTGTGTATATGACGCGGATGAATTCATGAGTGTTTTAATTGTAGATAGCCCAAGCTGTTGGAATTCACGACACCATCGGTATAGATTTAGTGGCGATGTGCGTGAACGATATACTAGCCCACGGGGCAGAGCCCCTGTTTTTCCTGGATTACTTCGCCTGTGGACATTTGGACGTCGAAGTCGCCAAGCAGGTGGTTACAGGCATTGCAGAAGGGTGCAAACAAGCGGGTTGTTCGCTCATCGGTAAATTCTAATTCGGATGCAATGAATTTTTTTATAAATAAATGAATTATTAGGCGGCGAAACGGCGGAAATGCCGGACATGTACCAGCCGGGCGATTACGATTTGGCCGGTTTCGCGGTCGGCGCCGTCGAAAGGGCGGAATTGATGCCCTACGTCGATAAAATCGAACCCGGCGATGTTGTCATCGGTTTACCTTCGACCGGTGTGCACAGCAACGGGTTCAGTTTAGTGAGGAAAGTCATGAAATTGGCGAGGAAAGATTACAACAGCGTGGCGCCTTTCAGTAGACACAACAAAACGTTCGGTAAATGCATTTTTTATACTCGTATTAACAATCTATATCGTTCCACAAAGCTAGTAACTAATTCTATAACGGTTTTAATTAGGTCAAGAATTGCTAACGCCTACAAAAATCTACGTGAAATCCGTCATACCGGCGGTGCGAACGGGAAAAGTCAAAGCGTTCGCTCACATAACGGGCGGCGGATTGACCGAGAACATCCCCAGGATCCTGCCGGACGGCGTCGCGGTGGTTTTAGACGCCGCCAAATGGTCCATACCGCCGGTATTCCCTTGGCTGGCGACGGCCGGCGGAATCCACGAGTCCGAGCTGCTCAGAACGTTCAATTGCGGCGTCGGCGGCGCTCTGATCGTGAACGCCGAAGACGTCGACGAGGTGATGGGGCTGGTGAAGGGCGAAGGAGCTACCGTTATAGGCAATGTCGTGCAAAAGGAAGCCGGTAAGTGCGATCGATCGCTAGAGTTTGTTTGCTTGACCGGTTTGTGTTTTAGATCAAGTGGTGGTGAATAATTTCACGACGGTGATGGAGGGTTTGATGAAAGCCTACGTTCCGTCGACGGTGAGCGACGTTTGTAGTCTCAAGAAGCGCGTGGGGGTGTTGATTTCGGGTAGCGGGACGAATTTGCAAGCTCTCATCGACGCCACGATGGATCCATTGCAAGATATCGGCGCCGAAATAGTTTTAGTGTTGTCCAACAAACCGGGAGTGGAAGGTTTAAAGCGAGCAGAGAAAGCTGATATACCGAGGAAAGTGAGTACGCATCCGACTCTATTATCCCCAGATATATTATTAATCGATTATAGGTGTTGAGTCATAAAAACTTCAAGAATAGACTGGAGTTCGATATGGCGGTGCACGAAGAGCTGGTTAAGGCGGGCGTGGAAATCGTTTGCCTGGCGGGATTTATGAGGATTTTAACGGCGGAATTTACGAGGAAGTGGAAAGGGAGATTGTTGAACGTTCATCCGGCTCTTTTGCCGCTTTTTAAAGGCGTCGAAGCCCAAAAGCAGGCGCTCGATGCTGGTGTTAGGGTATCGGGATGTACCGTGCATTTTGTAGAAGTAAGCCAATATTTTTTTACCTAAAACCGCAACTATCTTAATATTTTTATTATAGGAAGATGTAGACGCCGGAGCTATTATAGTACAAGAAACCGTTCCTATTGAACTTAACGATACTGTAGAGGATTTGGTGGAGAGGATTAAAAGAGCCGAACACAAAGCATTCCCTAAAGCATTGCAATTGCTGGCGAAACAAAAGATCAAATTGGGTTCGAACGATAAAATTATTTGGTTGTAATAGCATTTTGTAATAAATAAAAGTACGTTTATATCAAAGCCTACGTAACATTTAAGATAATAAGTGACCCCTATTTCTCATAATAAGCCAGTAAGTAGATTAGTGTGTTTGTTTGAAACGATATGAGCGGTGAATTAACAGAAAGAGATAACGCAGTTTTAAACTGCATTTTTAACCCGAATCTACCTCTAGAAGAGGCCGCTTCAATTGCGGATGAGGAGTTACAAGGTAATTAAACCTGTAATAATTAAATAAACACTTTCAAATATATCAACTTTTAGATGTTGAAGTTCTGCAGGAAGAACATGAAATTACGAAGAAAATGGAGATAGAAGCGGTGGAATTGGCCGAAAATGGTAAATTAACTGAAGCATTAGATGTTATAAACAAAGCCATTCAAATCGCACCTCAAAGACCATCTTTATACAACAACCGAGCTCATATTTACCAATATTTACGTAAATTCGAAGGTAAACAATGGTGTATTATGCGGTAGTGTACTGATACTTATTAATCAAGTTTAGAAGCTTTCGAAGATGCATCTAAAGCTATCAACCTATCTAGTGATGGTCATAAAAAAACGCTAAGTCTAGCACACTGTCAAAGAGGGATACTGCACAGGAAATTCGAAAGGACCGAATTGGCAAGAAAAGATTTCGAAATATCTGCAAAACTGGGTAACAAATTAGCCAAAAACCAGGTAAAACCACTCTGGGCATCAATAATTAAGTTTTAACAATGATTACAATTTTCAGCTTGTATTACTAAATCCGTATGCGGCACTCTGCAATCAAATGCTCAGACAAGTGATGGACAAATTGAAATAATTATATTTACAGTATATTTGTAATTATTAAGTGTACACCATAATATTAAATGCAATTGCTATAATTATTCATACGTACTTTGAAAATAAATAGCACCACCTATATGTATATTATTAATCGGACTAAACCAAACAAACAAGACATTAAGATATTTTGAATAATAATTCTATGTTTCTAGTTAAAAATAACTCTTAAATGAGTTTAAAATTAGCCGGAAAATAATATTTCAAAATACCGATTGATATATCTTGATCCGTATAAACTAAAATCACTTCAATCTACGTACTACTAAAAATACAAATTAGAATACTCTTGTATTTAAAATTACTTGTCAGGGTCAACACACTTTGGCCAGATCTACAGATAAAACATTCATTGTACTTTTTGCAAATGTTTGCCTAATTTAATTTTTTTTTGTAATTTATAGGAAGCTTCATTGAATTTAAAACATGTTTTACTCGAGACTGGTACAAAAGTAAGGAAAATACAAAAAGTAAAATGAAACAATATGATATCGTTATAATAGTAATAACTCTGACTACACCTATTTAGAAATTAAATCCAAATAAAATCGCTTTAAAACTACACTTTTCCTAAAATCTCAAATATATTAGCCAAAACATAAAGAAATTTCCCGCAAATTTGACACTTAAAAATATACGAAAAATTAAGTAATACATTCCCAAATTGCTTTTAAAAACTAAAATTTCACTGTAATTATCTATATTTTAATCTACAATGCAAATCGAGTAAACTGAGTAAATTCCGTCGTATCACAAAAATAAATAGTCGTTTTCATTATTTTAAATTTTTGCAGTTTTATTCCAAAAAAACCCTATTTGAAAAATATATTGAAATCTCTAACCCTTTAATACAAAAAGCACAAAAAATCAAAATTGCGAAAACGTACTAAGAAACATATTTTTTGTTTTCACGATCTACCACAATGTGCACGAAGATTAAATTTTAAAATATAATTAATTAGTCCTATCGATTAGGATTCGATATCCTCTTGATCTACTATTTCAAAATCTTTACCTGTACTGGATCTCTGGCTGGATTCGCTTTCGCTTTCCGAATCATTTTGATTACCAGCATGTTGTTCATCAGCAGTATTGTCAGCCCTAAAATAATCAATAAATAAACGATTTGTAACAATATAATTAAAAAATTCCGCTTTAGTAAAAGAATATTAGAATAATAAACCTACTCTGACACTTCAGCTACACCAGAATTCGAAACCAACGGCTCCTTCTCGTTACCATCATCATCTCTCTTATCATCTTCCGCATCGGAATCCTTATCCTTTTTCTTCTTCTTCGATTTTTTGTCGTGCTTGTTTCCTTTGTATTCGTACTGAAATCGAAAGCGAACGTTACTAAAGAAATTTCGCGGTTAAAAGCCACCATAATTACAGTATATAGAGGCCAAAATGACGCGAAGAATCCCACGTCTTCCGTCAAATTCGGCAATATCCACAAGTGATGTCTTCCCAACGTGAACACCCAGATCAAGCAGAACACGATTACTCGAATAACAGCCAACACGATTATCGATACCAAGAAACCAGCCGCAGCGACGCTCAAATAATACACTCCCAATCTACAAATTAAACATTGATGAAGATAAGAACTCTTATTGAGGAGGATTGAGTGAGAATCTAGCCAATGCCAATAATAGTGGCCTTGTCCTATGCAGGTTACCTGACAGACGGAGGCCACAGAGGAAACAGACACACTCCGATAGCACCCAAAACCAGCAGAGTACCGATTATCCAATAATGGAACGGAATCGGATCGTATATCCAAACGTAAGCGTCCAAACTATCCTCGAATCTCTGATCGAAATGCATTTCCAATCTGATCTTCTTCTTGCGTTTCTCCTTCTCCTGCTGAAACACAATCAACCGTTACGAAGCGAAACGATCCATCGATCGATCGAGTACCTTCTGCTCCTTGGAACCCTCGACGACGCTGCTCTCGGCGTCGGTGCCGCGGTCCTTTTCCTTCTTCTCCTTCTTCTCGTCGTCGCCCGAATCCGGCTTCTTCTTGTCGTCCTTCTTCTTGCCCTTTTTGCCCTTCAATTCGTGCTCGTCGACGGGCACCTTGCGGGCCCTGTGGAAGAACCGGTGCGTCAGCATGACGTGCAGATAGTCGCTGATCTCCTCGCGCGTCTTGAACAACGGGGTCTCCCTGGTGGCGAAGGGCGACTCCAGCAGGGCGTCCACCGCCCTAGCGCCTAAATACAATCGCGTTATTAATCGTACAGAAATACTACGTTGTTGATAAACTCGCGATTAATTGTGTCAACGCAAAACAATAGTCAATTACACGAGCGGTGCTAATGGAAGAATAAAAATTTTATACCGGTGAAATATTCCACATTGTGATTTGCGAACTTGGTTTTTTTGATTTGGATGTTATTCCTCATCCATTTGCCCACGGTGTATTCCTCTTTGGTTGGTTTATCGTCGATTACCTCACGGCCGTAATCCTATTGACAAAAAGATAATATATATCAACATTGATATATAAAAACATTGATAGTTTAAAGAGGACAAGTGGTTTTAACCGTGACCCCTACAAAACTATACAAAATGTAATCAAAATGTGATAATTATGCACGAGCTTCAAAAGGAAGCAAGCAATAGTAATCACAAAGGAGATAAGTAAACATGAAAGTAGACTTTTGATGCTATAGCATAAAATAATTGCTAATTACATGTAAACGTTCAACGCAATTATCTTTTTGATTAAAAAATAAACTCTAACAAGTCTTTTCGTATAACAGTTTGTTCAATTATTAGTTTTAAAGAGAAACAGTTATTACTTACATACTAGAGTAATCATTGAAAGTAGAATACGCTCTAGTTTTTTTTGAATCATCAAATAGCAAAATAACACTAAAACTAAAAATGTAACAAAAATGCAAATAATTGTAGAAAAAATGCGAGGATTTACAGCGCAACAATGAAACAATTCGGATAATTAGTTTTAGAGCATTTAAATAATTAAAAAAACCTATATGGTTGATTTACAAACAATTACAAAGGCTATAAATTAATCGCTTAACAAACGAATACGTATTAAAGTGAGGGGTAAATCGCGATTTCAGTTAGTTGAAATAGACAAAAGTCGTTCTAAAAATAAAATTCTTTCTTGGGTTTTGTTAGTCTTACCCACTCAAAAGTGGAATGTGGCGATATCAACAGATTTAGATTTACAATATGTTGTGTATCTGAAGATTGTTTCAATTTGAAAAATCTATGGAGATAAATATACCGTCAAACCTCCCATTATTTACTTAACTATATTAGAATTTAATATTTATTCGAATATTAATTGACAAACAAAGCACTTACGTCTTTTCTTTTCTTGCCTCTTTTTTTCTCAGCCATTTTAGTGAATACAATTTACATTACAATTTATTTTGACAAATGTGACATGAACTTGACTTTTGACATGACATTCAAGTAGCATCCATGCAGTGCTGGCAATAATTTGGGATTTTTCACTAGATATGACACCAGATTTTTTTCGGAAATGAAATGAAAATAAGTTTGGTAGAACTGGCTTTGGAATTCCTTAATTTTTGACAAATGGGTCCCATAATGGCTTCCAATCAGCAAGAAGTGGATATTTTAGAAAATTGGGAAGAAATCGAAGAGACTGATGTAATTATAACAATTACTTATAGTATTCCCCTTTATAATAATCCTACAATGTTATTTCACACCCCCAAACTCTTTATCATAAACTTCAATTATAGGTTATGTAAATTTTTTTTAGGTTTTAGAGAAAAAATTTAATAACCTTATAGCTCCCAGTAAATCACTCGATAGTAGAAGGTAATATTCGATACGATATCAAACCTCTGGTGCTAATGCTCTTTGTTTCCGAACAGTAATGGTAATTTAGACCAACCTGTTAAAATTATACTAACAGGAGACGATGCCTTAAGAACACAGTACGTGCCTCCGGAGCCTACGGTTAAAATCCTCAAACGACCATCTAAAGACCATCAAACTAACGGAGATTCTAAAGTATTCCAACCTAAGAAAACGTTGCAACAAAGAGAATTAGAATACGCCGAAGCCAGACTTAGAATATTAGGAGAGGCTAGTCCAGAAAAACTCGACGAAAGGTTTGTATAATTAATAAATCTATTACTTTATCTACTCATTAAAGCACTTTTTAGAATAAGCATACAAAAACCGACTCAAACGGATAGTTTGAATTTACTTCGGATGCCGAAAGGTCCAGACGGCACAAAAGGTTTCACAACTAGGAGGTAGTACTTTTCCAAATATGAGTTACGACTTTTACAGTTTTTACACGGCATATCCATTTAAATATCTCCCGAGAAGCGATGTAAGGACGCTTGATTGCATTTAATCGTGCATTAATTGTGCTACTGTAAATTAACATTTCGTTCACAAACAATAGGAAATCTATTGTGGATATGTTGACTATAGCAGTTTTCCATTGTATAATTTAAATCTGAATGATTCAAGACTGAGAAATAATAGGTGCAATAATTCGGTAATTACGAATAGACTGATTATCACTAGAATAACAATGGCTAGTAAAATTTCATATAGTTGTTAATGTACGTTTGAATTTCAATTTGTCCCGTCAAAATAGAGAATCTCTGCTCAATGAAACACATCATGATTGTTACCGTTGCTTTTCCGGTTTTGAATCATTCGAATCGGACTTAAAAGGTATATTTAGTGTAAATTTTTGTACCAGTGAATTGTATAAAATTAGTTTTAGCATGTCTGGAAAATTCAACGTATTTTGTTCGATCCCATCCGAACGTCACGAATTAATTTTAAGCGAAAATTAACGGGAATAAACTAGTTTTATGCAATTTTATAAAACATTAATATATCATGACATAGATTAAGTGTTTATAAAAATAATTAGTTTTTCACGAATAGTGGGAGACTATTGTTATTGAAATTGATCAATACTTGTGTCCTATAAACTCGTTTGTGGGTAAATTATTTACTAGCACGATCGTTTCACAAAGAAATGCTGCGTAATTATGATAATATTAATAATGTTGAGAAAGGACCGGATGCAAATTTTGTCTTGGGAAAAGTGCTTTGTGAAATGAAGCTAAACTCTTCTTCATCGACACCACAAGACTTGTACAAGTCAGAAAAAAATCATATTAATTAATACTTTTTATGAAACGATTTTGTATTACTGTATACTGTAAAAAGTATATGGTTCTGTATTATTGTAAACAAGTAAATTCGTTTGTTACTTTCACCGTCTTTCGTATGATATATAGACCTCAATCATATAACTGTAAGAAGCAAACAAATATTTTAATTTACAGAACAGATTGTACACTTTTTCGATATTATATTGATTGCAATCATTTTCATCATATACGAATAATTCATATGTGTATTTCTTGTAGATATAAATTCTAATTTAACAATGCATGTAATAATATATTTTCTTTGAGCTTGTCTTCATTATGTAGCATCAAGTTTGATAATATTATGTTTATATCGTTACATTTAATAATTGTTATAAATGAATATTTTAAAATTAACTAGGTATTTATTCGTATTTAATTGGGACATCTTGTGAAACGTTTTGTACACTTTGATTTATAATTAAGTCACGAAACTGCGAAGACTGTAGCTTCCCTTTTTTGTTGTTTGTTAATCCCCGAAAACTAAATTTAATACGTACACCATACAGTAAATTTAAAAGTAAGTCGGCTATAACAATATAATTAATTTCTTGTAGTTGCATCACTATTTTTTCTATACTATAAATCGGGGATTTATTTTCTTCGATCTTCACTCGGTTGATAATTTTATGTGTTAAAAATAAAGTTTTATTTTATTTTACTTGTAAATATATTTAATCTTACTATTCTGTTATTAATTATTATTAACAATATATATTTTGGTTTTTCGCGAGTTTCATAAATTTTTCTCATCCATTATAAAAGTTGTATGAATCCCGTGTACTTCAGTGCCCTTCTTAAGTAGTGGCTGTTTGTCCGTAAAGGATAAGATTAATATATTTCAAAAAAGAAGATATAATAAAAACATATGTCATTAGTGTCAAAATCTCTTGGTTTTGTTTGTAAATTTGAGTTGCGATTTCAGTTCAACTTTATTTTACATATTATTTATAAAAATGAGCAACGAACAAAAAGACCAAAAACCAGAAGTAGAACAAACCGCAACTCCAAGTATATCCGAATTCGACGCAGTGCATCCGAGATTTGTGAAAGAGAACCCCGAAGATGTGGTCAAATACGAACAGGAGCATTATTACTACTGTGAACAGTGTAGAATGTATTTTGCGCCCACATTTGAGGCCCTCAGGGTTCATTTCGACAAAGAAATAATCACTCATGAGCCCATTGGTTCCTGTTTCTACTGCAAAGGAAATGTGTTCGGATATAAAAAATCAGGGCAGTTAAGGGCCTATCATAATTGCCCCGAATGAATTGAAATCTACCAAGCTGCCTTTGGAGATGTAATAAAGGTAATAATGCTTATTTTGACTTGAATATAATACAAAAGATTTTGAATATGATATTAACACCTGTAAGAAGATAATTATGGCAATACTCTACATGGTAATACTTCAATAAAAACAGTACAAAGTTGAAGGTGAGCTATGGACGGTGAAGACTTCACAGGGAGATTGTAATTGGAATAAAATAATTAGGAATGCTTATTAAATTTTTATTTTTTTACAATGAAATGTTACATATTGTTGAATAGTGGGTACCTGATCACTTTGTTATTGCTTGTTTTGTTTCTGTTTTTTATTTTTAATTAAATTAATTTTGTGTTTATAGTAATATATTGCAATGAATTTTTATTTGTGTGTTATTTTTTTGCAAATTAAGTGAATTATTTACAAACCGGCAACACCGTTTTCTACTTGACGTAAATTTGACGTTGCCTTGCCTTGGTCTACTTTAAGCTGGCTTAATAATGTTTAGGTAAGAGTCTGCTGGTTAAATTAGTTTGATATTTGATGTATAAAAAAAAGAAGATCAGTTGTGAATTTGTTTGGATTTGATTTATATTTTCTTAGTTATTCTCTTTATTTTTTTGTTTAACAATATGACTAAAAAACGACGACTGTCCGGCTCTAGTCTAACTCCAATTAAGGTCGAGGTGAAGGAAGAGAACACAACCGGTAATGACTATCTTATGGCAAAGGGGCGCCTCAAAGGCGTACTGAGACAACTCACCGAACAATCCTCGGACGATGAAAGCGATTCATCTGATGATAACAGGAGACACCAGAGGTATCAAACATACATTATATTTTAATTCTATCTCTACGAGTATTATACCAGTATTTTTATAGAGAGTCCGGGAGGAAACGTAAAGTTGAAAACATGCCTACACCATACCATCACACTTACGTCATGAAGCTGTTCGATCGAAGCGTAGATTTGGCTAGATTCGAGGAAGACACCCCGTTATATCCGATATGCAGAGCCTGGATGCAAAACCAACCGAGAAACCCCCAACCCATAATAAAGTAACTATCTACTACCAACAGTTCGAACCAATTCCATCAATATCGTGCATTGTTTAGACGCAGATTATCCTCACCGGAACCCGTCAACAACAACTCCTGGATCGACAACAATTCCCTGTCGGACGTCACGAGACTCCCACGACCCGAAGAGCCTTTCACAACGAGGATCCCCTCGCCTCTGCCCGAGCAAGAACAAGTCAAGGATAACATTAATTTGAATTACGTAAGTGTGTTGGTTCGATTCAAAATTAGGTATTTATGATGCTACTTTTAGGACGAGTCTCCTGCGATACCAAAAAACACTCTACTAGAAATGCACATGGAGAGATGGGCCAATGTGAAGAAGAAGTGGATCGATACGGCTTGCAAGAACGAATCGAGATACAATCGAAGCACCGATATACTCAGCAATATTTACAATAAGTAAGAAAGTACATTCACCTCCGTGGTGTTAATTATATTTATCGTTTTATTTTTAGAGCTCAAGAAGACGCGTGAGGCGATAAGAGTAACCTCTGGTATATCCTTTATTTTTATCTTAAGTAATAATAAGCATCTAGACAAGTAGTGTTGTAATTTCGATATTTATTTTACTATAATTTGAGGCGAATTACACACGTAAAATATTCACAAGATCATTTCCTCCTTTCGGGAACAATATGAGCGGGAATAACGGCGCAGAACAGGTCCTTTCCCTGGTCGTCCTTCAACTCCCAATAGATGTCTACGGTCACCTGTAACGAGATTGAATTAGCCCTTTGCTACTTTTACTCGCTTACCAGCTTACTCTCGGATAACTGGGCTTCACGAAAATGGTGTTTGTATAGACGTAAGTAGTGTCGGGTTGCAGTGGGCACGTCAGTCCCACCTCTTCGCAGGCAGTCGGATTGGGCAAGGGGAACGGTTGCTTGTAAGTGAAGAGTTCTCCTTGCACTCTGGCTCTCACCGATTTCGACAGCACATCTGCGAAACAACAAATCCATCAATCGTCGTTGTTACTATTGTTAACTCGCTGGTTATCAATCGGAGCGGCTAATTGAAGGATAATGAGCCGGCCCGAATCAATGGAATCTGTGTTCATTCATAATTGGCGCGGTACAAAGGTTTGAAATGCAGATGTTTATCTTTATGTTTTTTCGCAAGGTCGAAAAGCTAATTTTTACCTTTAATGGAAATTATTAGTAATTATATTGCATGTAGCATCTGGCCTCCTCTCCGATTAGCTATTGGCTTGAATGGAAAAGTTTCGGATTACCCAAATTTATTTGCAGCGTCGAATTTTAGGAAACGGTTGTTTTTGTTTTCTTCGCCGATGTAAAGTAAATATCGTGAATAGATAAGCCGCTTTAATGGCAATGAATCGATATCAAACAACGCTACTCTCTCATTAGGGTTCCATTCGATTATCTACGAGACTCGGTATCTATTTACTGTTCAATCGGACGCTTTGAATAGCTCGAAAATAAATCCAGTCCCTGTTAATTTGGATAAGAGGAAAATTTCAAAACGTCTATTAGATAAATTTTATCTAATTTCGATTGCTTCAGACCATTGTGCGTTGTTATTGGAACGCTTAAGCGCTCGGAAGATGAGGATATCTTTGAAAAAAAGATTGTTAGGTAATCATTTTTGGACTTACTTGACTTGAAGGTGATGGTCAACGTGGCATTTTCGTTTCTTACCAGAGCACACTTTTCTGTGTCGCAGTCTTTAACCACCACATCGATGAGGGTGCCGGTGGCGTTTTCTGGGCCTGAAAAAAATATTTATTTGTGATGATAAGTGTGGAATTAATACTTCATATTAATTCTTCTTAATTAAGCCAGAAGTAGAGAGTAAAATATTTAGGGATGTAGAGATGTTTTTTTCGTGTAGAATGGACCAAATCATGGGAGGTTATCGATGGTAATTGAATAAGATACAGTTTATCGGGTTTCTTATGAATTTTTGTGTTTTTTTTTCATTGAATAAGATAACTTTTATCGCTACTATAAATTGAAATTTTCGAAAAAAGTAATTTAACAAATTCACCACCAATCTTAACGAGTTCGTTAACATTTGTTGTGACTTGTGACATTTTTTTATCGAAGTTATCAATGTTAAGGCCGCCGGCCTTGTCACTTTAGCGAAGTTCGTCCCCCGAGCGAATAAAAAAAACAACGAATTTCCCGAATTTTATCGCCTTCAACGTGACTTTCGTCCGATTGCGCATTTCGACGTAGTCTCAAAAAACCCACCAACAATCTCGAAATTCCAAAAATTCGTAACGGTCGTGACTCCATTAAAATCGTATCTTACGAATAAAAAAAATGACGAGAAGCTCGGCGATTCGTAGTCGCATTTATGGATAATTTATCTCGTTTGTATAAAAAAAAAAATTAGGAAAAAAATAACTCACTGCAATTGCGCCACACGAATTTCGATTTGTCGTCAGCACGGGCGCCGCCGGGGCAGAAAATCGCCGCCGCCAAAACCCAAATCGCCACGATCCCTGTCCTGTTCATTTTTCTTCCACGCGCTGCTTTCTCGATTGCGGATTAGAGAGGAAAATCGTCGTCGAACTGGCCCCGTCGGTCGTCGATGAGTGAGTACAAAACGCACCGCGACCGGAACAACATTATTTAGCCTGGATCTTTCTCATTATCTCCAATTCAACCAGTGGCGTATTTAGAGATGTTCCGCTTAATTCGCTCGTGGGATTTTTAGGTGGACATGCAAGGGGATAAAGATGCGCCAACTGCTCAAAGTTTGATACAAGAAATAGTTAATTTTTGCTTCATTAAGAAAAAAATGATGGATGAAATTTTGGTCCATTAATAATCGATTGTGAATGAGTGAAAATATTATTAGGTACCTACTTTTTCTAGAAGATCAAGTTTTTCTTTTAAACTTCCAACTACGTAGATAATATGCAAGGATATAAAAATACTCAAAGAACTCAAAATTATATACAAGAACTTAATGTTTGCCTCGTATAATAAAAAAATATGAAATTTTGGTCCATTAATTAACCGATAAATAATCGAGAGTTTAACGATGCGACATTTATCTAAGATCAACATTTAAGATACTCCTTATTTATACTTATTAGATCTTAAACATTCAACAAGATAATTATGCATTGTTTATGCAAGGAAATAAAAATACACAAACTACTCAAAATTGCGAACAAGAAATTTTTGCTTCATGTAGGAAAACATTGATGAAATTTTGGTCCAAAAATGTCATCCAAAACTTTCATCTAATTATGCCCCATATATTTTTTATTTCTCGAAACAAATATTTTTCGAAATTATATTAAAAAAACGGTATTAATACAAGTGTATAAAGAGAAGAAACAAAGAAAAAAACCAACGAGTGTTTCGTCTGTTTTGATTTATTTTTTCAATGTGTGCTTACCTAATAACCTACTGATTATTTAAATCGGTATTTGGTACCTATATGGTGCAGTGATAATAGTGGAAAATGCCAACAATTCGAAAACAATTCGAATTCTTCAATGGGGAATTATTAATGCATGCAAAACTGATATTAAATAAAAAATAATAATTCGCGCTTATTGTGTGTCAACTTTCGATTGGGAAAAATACAATGCACCTCTTTGTGAGAGTGTCTACCTCGTAGTTCGAAAATAGTGACCCAATTACATTATAGTTAAAACAAGACAAATAGATAAGATTAATAATACTACAAGCATATAGGTTATTGTATAAATACAACAATTTGTATTAATTTTTGTATTAGAAAATTCGTTTCATGTTCACCTGTATTATCTCGTAAAGAGTGCTGTAACTCCGTGAAATTATGATTTTGAAGTACGTTTTTTTCAACCAATTCGCCGGAGCCCTTTGTGCAGGTAAGAAAATTCGTTTTGTATTTTTTCAATTGAAAATTTTGTCTGTTTAAAAAATCTTCTATTAGTTTTCTTTTAGTCAGACACAAAAGAAAAGTAATAAATTATGCATTCTTTTTACCCTGTAATAATAAGTTAATTGAACTTTACCTGCTCCTTTTGTTTATTTATCGCAATAATGTCTAATTTTTTAAAAGTTCCGAAATTTTATTTCATATTTTATACTTTACAGCTTATAAACTCATCGCGATGTTACTAATCTATTATTATTCCTGTACTATACTGTTTCTTGCACTATAACAAACCATCTTCCTCCAGTATGCCTGGTGGGCCTGCTGGCCGGCGTGGCCATCAGCTGGTCGTCCCCGGTCATCCCGAAGCTCCAGCACCCCACCGACGACAACCCCTTCGACCAGCCCATCACCGCCGCCCAATCCTCCTGGATGACCTCCCTGATGACGCTCGGCTCCTGCACCGGCTGCTGCCTCTTCGGCTACCTCGCCCACTTCCTCGGCCGCCGCCCCGCCATGTGCGCCCTCAACGCCCCCATGGCCCTCGGCTACGCCCTCATGGCGCTCCACCCCACCATCGAGGTCTTCTACGTGGCCCGCTTCCTGGCCGGGCTCTCGCTCGGCGGCGGCCAGATCACCACGCTCGCCTACAACAGCGAGATCAGCAGCAAGACCAACCGCGGCGCGCTGATGACCTTCTCGGCGATGATGGTGAGCGTGGGAAGCCTGCTGGGGTACTGCATCGGCCCTTGGTTGAGCGTCACCACCTTCAATCTAATCATAGCCGTGATTACTATCGCTGCGACGCTTCAAGCTGTGTTGTTCTGCATCGAAACTCCTTATTTCTACCTGATGAAAGGCGAAGAGCATTTGGCCAAGCAATCGTTGATCGCCTACAGAGGAGCCGGAGTTAACGTCGATAAAGAAATCGAAGAGATCAAAGAAAACATCAAAGAACAGCGCGAAGGGAATCTCTCGGACGTGATCAAAACCAAAGCCTTCGTGAGGAGCTTCGTGACCGCCACCGTGCTGTTGACTTTCCAGCAATTGACCGGCATCAACGGCGTGCTGATGTTCAGCCAATCGATCTTCGAGAGCACCGGCTCGAATTTCTCGCCGGCCGTTTGTTCGATCGTGCTGGGCGCGCTGCAGGTGGCCAGCGGCGCCATCGGCCCGCTGGTGGCCGAGAGGTTCCGCCGGCGGTTGCTGCTGGCGGTGTCGGCGTTGGGGATGGCGGCGGCGGAGGCGGTGCTGGGGGTGTTCTGCGTGCTGAACGACTTGGGCAACGTGGCGCCGGCGATGAACTTCGTGCCGGTGGCGAGCCTCTGCTTCTTCGTGTTCAGTTATAACTTCGGCGTGGGGCCGCTGTGCTGGATCGTGGGGGCGGAGGTGTTTTCGACGAGGGTGAAGACGTGGGCGTTTTCGATATCGATCATTACCTATCACGGTATCGGGTTCTTCATAGCGCAGTATTTTAATGCAGTGGCGTCGGCTATAGGTATAGGGGAGTTGTTTTTTATATTCGCGGGGTTTTGCGCGCTGTGCATATTGTTCATTCGATTCTACCTTATAGAAACTAAGGGTAAATCGTTGGAAGAGATTCAATGTATGTTGAAAACGTAGATTATAAATGGTTTCTATTAAATGTCGAAATAGGTACTTATTTATTTGCTTTTGTAAACGTTCTGCAACTGTAAGTTCTCTTGAGTTATTTAAGATGGATTATTTTAGTTGTTATTTTAATATAGGGTGGCTCGAAATTAGTGGAATAAAATAAAATTGCTACAAACTAATTTCGTGGCCTCCTGTATATATTTACTTAACATTTCCAATATATTGTGATGTTACTTTAAGCTAGATAAAAAGATTTTTTATAAACAAGTTATTGAAATTATTATCAATAAACGCTTATAAATATAATTCAAAAATACTCTAAAATTGTTACGATTACGATAGGATTCTATCCCAGGTCCTTTTGGTATATTAAAAAATATTACTCAAATTGTTTTTGGTTGTTTATTTCACTTTTTTACTTGTCACTTGCTATCCTGTTTTCCAGTACCAATCCTTCAAAATAGTAAAAAATATAAGTAGAATATATAAGTTCTGGTAGAAGACTTTCAGTTGGACGTCCTGTACTAAGGTAATGAGTGTTGCATAGCAAAAAGGGATTGACATGTAGAACTCTACATTTAGTAGTGCAATATGGTTTTTCTATTAGATTTTTTTTCTTGTTCATATTAATATTATTATGTACAAAAATTTTATGTATCCAAAAGAAATTGGATAATTTCGAAAATAATTATTCTCACAAAATAAATTAAAGACAAAAACGTTTTATTTAAAAGTATATTTTAAAGACATACACATTTTTGGATTTCTTTTTTGGAAACTTTTAAACTTAAGATTAATATAAAAATAAAAATGCACTTGATAATTAGTATATTTTAAAAAATCGTCAAAGTTTTAAAATGATCAAATGACAGAACAGAAAAACAGAAAAAGGCAAAAAGAAAATAAGACAAAAATGTGAAATTGACCAATCAAAAAAATTGAAATATAATTAATATTTCAATAGCAACGCCTCTCGCAGGATAACAGAAAGCGTTCGCGGATAGTCCGATATTTCCTATGCATTAAACTTCCCTTCTTTAAACTTTAAACAGTCAATATATTTTTACATGCACGTGTTGTTAATTTTATTTCGCTTCAATCGACCAAACTTCGTCCTGGGTAGTAGCCAAGGAGACGATACGAACTCAGACTATATCGTTTCGATTAAATTGGTCGTTCGAGTGATGCGATTTTTTTGATCGAAAGGCCGAGTGAAAACCCACCGGAAAAAGGTAATGTATTTGGCGATTTTTTCCGATTTGTTGCACGGCTACAATATGTGGAAAAATGCGTGCGGTGTATTCGGTATCGCGTGCGTTCCAAACCCCAACAGATGAATTTATGTGTATCGGTTATTGGAAAAATCCATACTCGGGATATTAATTATCTTCCTAATACATAAATTCGCGTTTTATTTCTTTCTACTACTCCTTTTTATTAACACAATATAACACACACCAGACTATTTCTTATATTGCTGCATGAAACCCCGCTTGATATACCCCTAATTATACCAAACAAAACGATTGAATTAACCAATTGTAAAGGCATTATCAATCAAACGAAAATGTTCACAATGAGACTGGACTGGCCCCATTTTTCATCCGTCGATTTTCATATTTCGAACTATGCAGGTACAATAACCACCAGAAATTGAATGGAAAGAGGCGATATGTGCGTGGAAATCGTTCCGTTTTCGCCATGTCAATTAACATGAATGGCTTGGCGTGATGCTAAGGTGGCGATGTAATTTCCAATTCGTGATTGAAATTGGATATTCGCTAGAAATATCGATTGATTCGCAATAAACTTCCCCTGCTAGATTAGAGATAACGAGAGGTACTTTTCTAATCAACTAAATCGAATAAAATGTGGTTAGTATAAGTACTTGATCTTGTTTCAAGTGGGATTAGTACATCGATAATATCTCTCTACTTTTGTATATAGATAATATTTAAGCCGCAATTTCGAATAACTCAGCGTTCAAACTTTGTCACGTATAAGTCGGGGATTTCTCACTAAATAATGCCCTTTTCAAAATCGATGTATTTGCATGTAGTATGTAAATATATAATCGCCGATATCGACCTAACAAATATTAAAAATTGTACCATTTTATTGCCACATTCGTATAGTACATCGAAAAATCGCATGCCATGCATCATCAAAAATAGTATTGCATTCAAATCAAATCAAAAAGAAACAACTTTTATACACATACATTACATCAAATCCACATAACTACCCCGCGTGTTTCCCGCAGAACTTTCCACGATACGACGTGAATTTAAAAAAATATCGCTTGGGTCCTTCGCAGGACGCCTGGAACATGTCGAAACAGCCGCACCAGGAGAAGAAACTTAGCATGCGCGGCGGCATATTCCTCATGAAGGGCGTCGCCCTATTTCTAGCGGCGGCGGGCAAATCCTCCAAAACGCTCCAACAGCCCGCCGAGTCTTCGGCGGCGCCGGGCAAAGCTCGCAGGAAGATGAACGACAAGGACTCCTGCAAGTGCTCCGCGAAGATCCTGGAGGCCGCCAAGAGGGACACCCTGCTTAACAGGTGACTCGCCGTTTAATACGCTGGTTAATAATCTAATCGGTTTGTAATTGTTCAGGAAGGAAATCGAGTCGCTCTACAGGATCTACAAGAGATTAATCACTTTCAACAAGAAGCAGCCTCAAGGGGAGCTACCGAGTTCTACTCCATCGACTGCTGTTATCGGTAAACCACCGACTGTAACAGAGGTAATTTTATTTATAATTAAACGATATAAAATTTAGAAATAATTGATTGTAGGGCATCGATAGGACGGTGTTCAGGGAAGTCCTGCACAACACCTTCGACATACTGACGGAAAACGTCGTCATGGATCGGATTTTCTGCGTTTGGGACAAGCAAAACTGCGGCCTGATCACGATAGACAACTGGTTGAAAGGGCTGTCTTTGTTCCTGAAGGGCAGCGTTAGAGATAAAATTCTCTACTGCTTCGCTGTGTACGATTTGAACGGGGACGGGTTCATAACCAAAGACGAAATGTTCCTGTTGTTAAGGTATAATACAAAAATTTACGAGTGGATGGATTAATTGGGGTGTTTCAGGAATTGCTTGATAAAGCACCCGCAGGAGGAGGACCCGGACGAGAGCGTGAAAGATTTGGTGGACATCGTCATGCGGAAGGTAGATAAGGACAAAGACGGGAAAGTATCGCTGGAGGATTTCCAGCGGACCGTGCAGGAAGAACCGCTGCTGCTGGAGGCTTTCGGAAAGTGCCTTCCCTCCGAAGAATCGAAAATGACATTCTTGAATACATTGAAAATCTAAAGGTTACAAATACTTATACTTTATTTTCGAAACGTTGCTTTTATCAGTCGATGAGTTCGTCACATTGTTTGCTTGTTTAATCGGATGTATCTTCAATATGTTTACTAGCAGTAGTAAGTATCACAGTGAATGTCTTTATCCAACACGAAGAAAAGAAAATACTTCAAATAAATTCCTATTTACACGTTACGTTAAGTTAAAAATATCTAATATAGTTAATACGTAGAAATATACAAATAAATTAAATATGCTTGGTACAAGTGTTTGTTGTTACGCGGTGCTGGGCTTCTCTTGGTCCTCACTCGGCGCGCTTTTAGGCAATCGAGACAAATTCTCCGCTTCTTCTATAGTATCAGGAAGCTTGATATTCGCAGTTTCCGGAAACAAAAACGACAACGCCGCCGCCGCCACCGCCAAAACAGCGAAGGTCACCATAGGAAGATGCACCCACAATCGACCCTACGACAGGAAAACCAATCAAATCCAATACAATTGCACCATCAGAACTCACCAATAGAGGCGTTTGCGGGGCCGTGATGGACCCGATCCGGCCCAACGTCGAGCAGATCCCCATGAAAGTTTGCCGCATCCTCGTAGGGAACATCTCGCTGGTGTGCACGTACACATTAGTAAAGGCCAAAGTAGCTCCGAATTTACCGATGAGGAACATCGTCAAACCGCCGGCGTAGGAACCGATCGGTATAAAAACGTGCACAGCACACGCCACGCCCGTTATCAAAAACGACGCGAACAGCGAATTCCTCCTCCCAAACAAATCCAGCATGAAGTTCGAGCACCAGTAGCCCGGTATCTCGATCAGCGAGGTCAGTATGAAGTCCAAGTAGGGGTTGCCGTCGGCCAGGCTGACCGAGTTCAGCGTGAAGCCGTAGAAGAGGAACGCGCAGACCATCCAGCAGAACGCGCACGTCAACAGCCTGGGCAACAGGACGCGAGATTTCAACGCCAGCAGGAGGCTGTCGTGGTTCCCGTCGGAGTGCTGGGGTGCCGACGAAGTGAGCTTCTCCAGCGTGCTCTCCGACAGCTCCTTGTCGTTGAATTTGGCGGCTCTGCGTAGGATCACCTTGGCCTCTTCGGTGCGGCCTTTGCTCAGCAGCCACCGCACCGATTCCGGGATCACCCATATGTAAACGATGAGGAATAGGGACGGGCCGTACAGCGCGTAGATGATTGGTCTAATTGTTATTAGTAAATAGTAAATGGGAGGTAATTTATAGTACTTACTTCCAAGATTTGAATACCCAAGCTGCTAGGGCTGTTACCACTTCTCCTACGGCGTAGCTGGAGCTGATCAGGATTCCTGTTAGCACTCGTTTTTTGGGGCCCACCAATTCGACACCTTGCGAATGAATTTGTAAGCAATAAACGGTTTAGTTTGTGAATTTTTACCTACCCAAGACGAATCCGCAGATATAGGTGCTGGATCCGAAGAAGGCGTCGAGGAATTCGAACACCAGGAACAGCTCGTAGGTGGTTACTAAGGTTCTGCTTAAGCCGAAAACAGCGCACAGAACCATACCCCATATCAACACGAATTTTCTACCGAATCTGTAAGAGAATATAACAATTATTTTGGCGATTTTGGGCACGTGGTGGAGGGGTACCTGTCGGCGATGAGACCGCCGATGAAAATCCCGACCAGTTGCCCGGCACCGTTAATGGTACCCACCAGCGTCAATTTCCATTCGTTTTTTTCGCATTGCAAGTGGAACTGAAACGGAAAATTTCGAAAGAAGAAGCTTAATGGAGTTGTTTTGTATGCGTTATGGGCGACAGGAAAACGTATTGTCGATTGTAGGTCGAGTGCCGGTGAGGCCAATAAAAAATTACGGCGGCCGTGTAATTGGAGCTGGCATTGCTCGCGATTGAACGCTAGGTCGGCGATTTGTTCCTTGACAATGCGCCGTGATTTGTGATTTACGCGGAAGCCAGCCCGATGGTCGATGCTTACTTATTTTACAAGGATAATTTTTCGTCGAATTTTTTTTTGGAGGGGAAAATTTACCTCTTGCAGGATGCTCCAAGCGTCCATCTCGTATACGAATTCGTTGCATTTCTTGGTACCGCTATGGTCGAACTCATCGGGCCTGCAAGTGATTTCTTCCAACGATGAAAAATTGTATAAATAAGTTTCGCATTTTTCAGGTCCTAAATTGTTGGAGGGAATGGCTCCAGCGACGAACGCTGCATCGTAGACGGGCGGCGATGTCTCACATTCCGGAATTTTGCACCTAAAAAAACGATTCCAAAATAAATAGATCCCCACCTCTAGCTTTATCGTTGTGTTACAGGTATTGTTGCACGTATTAAAGATTAGAGGTGGGAATTGATACTAATTTGTCACCGTTACAAAACGATTCGTTGTTATCAGTAACAATTATGTAAACATTTGATCTATAATGATGGGAGTACTGCGTTTTAAAGTCCAATTGTGCGCGAGAAAATTACCCGTTTCCGATGACATCGGAATGCAAATGTTCGAAAATGCAGGGTACCTAATTGTGGATGAGTTTCAATTCGATCGCCCACTCTTCCAATTATCGAATTACGATTTCGTGACTTAGGAATTGCTCAATTGGATATACTCGTAAACGCGTGCGATAATTTATTAGAGTCATTATTTTTTTCTGTTTATTGTAATCTAGTGCTAAAGGTACTACTGCAAAGGATTCGGAATCGGCCTTGGTGCGATCGTTTGATATGAATTTCAATGGATGTTAAGTAATAACGACGTCAATCGGCTTCTGGGAAGATCTTTCGGTACTTCTAAGTACCGTAGTAACATATGTACTAAACAATAATAAAGTATAAAAAGTTGTTGTTGTATTTGGAATAATCCATAAACAATTGTAAATTATGGTGGAATAAATTATGATTAAATAAGAGTTTTTGGTGCTACTTTTGTGTAAGTGAAAAAGGAGAATTTTACCTGTGATTTATTTTCATTGCGGTAAAAATGAAACTGGTGTCAGTACCGGTGCTCGTGATGAATTTGGTACAAATTAAAATTATTATGCATAATTCGAAAGTACCGATTTCTTCAGAGGGAAACAAAATATTGTCTAAATTATGCATTTATGTTACTGTTTGTAAAAAATAATATTTTTTGAATAAAACTTCACTAACATGTCAAATGAAAAGTGGAATTTAAGTAAACAACTTTTTAATTTTACGCATAAAATGAAAATTTTAATATAACATTTAACATGGTTATATACAGGGTGAATCATTAGCACATATGTTATCAATTTCGAGATTTGATAAAAAAATGCTATGATAAAAAAAGGTTTTACGGCATAACATTTTTTTTTGATGAACTATTTTTAATATCTACATTACCTATTCATTAAAATATACGAGAGACAATTAAATTGTAAAAAAATGCAGTATCCTATAAGCCTATATTAATTTAAGTAATTGGGATGCACCGATACATGAAATACCCAGTATAAGCATTAAAATAATAAGTTTTAATTAGATATTATACCTAACTATTTCTGACATTTCGTGCAAAAAAGTTGAAAGATAAATGTAAGTATATGTTCATGATAGGTATGTAGATAAAAATACAGATTACCTGAGTTGTAAAGTGAAATATGAAAATTCATTGTTAAATATGTATTAACTTCCTATATTTTAGCGTTGATATTTTATTTAAAAATTAATCAGTGATAGTTAATTAACGAAAAATAGGTAAGGATCTACCTGTATTTAGAATTCATAGCAGTGAATACAAATGCATTATGAACAGACGAATGCAACACCACAGACACGCAAACCAATAAAAACGTGACGATTTGAAATTTGTTGAAATCGCCGATCAACTTCAGGATTTCGTCCAACGAAAAGTCTTCCTTGCTCTCGGGCATTTCGTGACGTTAACGCGCGAAAAAAAGTTCAAAAAAAATTCGAATTTACCGAGCGGCGCGACCGGTCGTCCAACGACTGAGTAACTTTGTTTATTCGACCTCTATTTATTTATTTATTGGTCACTGCAACAGGACAATATGTATCAAAATAAACGTGTTATGCGGCGGTAGGTATACATTTATAATAGCCCGACTTTTTCGGCATTGTAAGTGCCTTGACATGGAAAATTGCGCTTCTGTTGTCTCCAATATCTCAGCCTGTTAAAGCACTCCCGGTTCACGTGTAACGAGCTTTTTGGAATTCTATTTCATATTCAATTGCAGTAGTTTAATAATGCTTTTAATTGCGCAAGTTTGCAGGAAAAATGTTAGATTATTTTTTATGATTATTAGTAAATTAGAATTTGTTATTGTTTTTGGCGCGCTTAAATGGCGATACGGTAATAAATAACTTCATAATTATTCGGTATGGGTTTTTTTTTCATTGTAAAAACCATTATTAGCGATACGAGTGGAGGCAAAAAAAGGAACTCACCGGTAATTGAGATTTAAAGCAGTGAAAACGAAGGCATTGTGTACAGCTGAATGCAAAATTATGGCCACAATGAAGAGCGTGACGGCCACTATTTGATACAAACCGAAATCACCTATTAAATCGATTACTTCGTCCAATTCAATGCTCTTCTTCCGTTCACTCGAAGACATTTTCTCTTCTCTCTACTTTTCGTTTACTTCGCGAAAAGGAAGGCTTTTAATTTATTGTGCTTATGTACCCGAATGTGTTCCACGGTAGATTAGATTAGAGAGAAGATTAAATTTATTATTTTATAAGCTTAATAAATTCAAATCATGTGTTAAAACAAATTAAATACAAATCCCTTTGGGTATTAGAGCTTTTTTATTTATCTATGGTAATAAGCAGGTAGTTTATTTTAGAAATTGCTGTCATTATTTAAAGTATCTATAGATGCATATATTTTAGGTATCTATGTAAATATCTGATTTTTTTATTTTATAAACAAATTATGGACAAATATAGTACCTACCAGGAAAGTTATCAATTCGCGTAATAAAATTAAAATATTATAATTTTATATCTAAAACTAAAAAAAAATAACGCTTATTTTGTAACAATCGTTCCTGCATCTCTGTTTAAAAAAATTAATTCCTATCTCTATTAAATTTCTGTCATACGTAATGTCATAAGTGTCATTTTTGACAATTATTATTGTTTTTGTATCATTGAACGCATCTTAAAGTCCTACTTTAAGTAGAAGAAGTAGAAGAGTGATATTGTGGCTGCAACTCTCTTGCTCTAACCACTGTTATTCCAATAATCATTCATTTTCAAATCATAAAAATTTTTTATAAAATTTATTCGAATCCACTTTCAATATTTATAAATTATAAGGAAGAGAGTCAACAAATCACTTTGTGTATGCATGAAAAAAATATTTTGTCTAATGCTTTAATTCCTCTATGTTGATTTTATTTTATTTATCTACATTTCAATCGAGAAACAATAGAATAATAAAACAATAAAAATTCTGTTTTGATAAAAATTCTGCAGGATCGCGGACAAACTTATTTCCTTCACGTGTAGATTATTTCTTTGAAATAAGAAAACTTTATCAACATACGTTATTAACATCTCTCACGTTATCTCGAAGTTTGCTTAACTTAAAATTTAGTGCAGTGGGTTAAAATAAAAACCAAATCGCTTTAATATAAATTTATAAAAACTGCTTCGGCATACAATTAATATTAAAAAGGTGGCTAAAATTAAATAAAAACAAATCAATCCTTACAATAATCAACGCTCAGTCCGTAGTCATAGTCTCCGGTAACGTGTGAACAATAACTTTCCTCTTGGCATCATAGCAGAAATTATTAGCCTCGAATATCTTACTTTTATAGAAGGGCTTCAAGTCGTATATATCGATTTGCTTGGCCTTATCCGCGAGATCCTTCTCGTCGATCTCGATCGTCAGCATCTCCATCTCCCTGGTGTTCCTCTGGAACGCCAGCTGGTCCTGCGCCAGCTGCCTCAAGATGTAGAACAGCAGCTCGCTGTGGTCCTTCTTGAATATCAGGTACTTTTGGAACACCTACAAGCATTCATTATTTATTTTGGTTTGTTTGTAATAAAGTGAAATGTATAGTACTTGTCTCATGGATTTCATGACGCTGTATTTCTGCGTTTCCACGAAGCTCTCCAGCATCATCCTCACCGCCATGTTAACATCATCTTCTTGCACGTATTCTCTTAAATGCATTTTCGCGTGCGCTTCGCTCATTCTGATGATGCTTTCGACGTGCCTTACTGTAATCGGTAATGAACCAGTAGCCTAAAAAAATACAATATATCAAGCTCTTATACAAATCGAGCTAACGCTTGTAGAATACCAAAGATTCCTGCCTCAATTGACTGTAAATATTCGCCACTTTATCTTGGTCCATGTTCTGCAGCTTCGGGTGCACGTTCTGCTTGGCGTAAACGATGTATTTCTTGAGCATCTCTTGGGGTATTTGCAGCTCGTTTTGGGGCTCATCCGCGACGATTTTGTCTTTGTTAGCGGGGTGATGGCGTTCGTGCGAACCGACGACAAATCTACGACAAGCGATATTATTCGAATGGAATCGATGAAAATAGTATATAGTATTTACGTTGCGAGGTGTTGGTCTTGTATGGGATCGACTTCGTCTCGCACCACGCACAGTATATCGAAACGGGAGAGTATGGGATCCGATAGATCGACGTTCTCCGCGAACGTTAAACTTGCATCGTAACGCCCTCCGATCGGGTTAGAGGCCGCTATAACCGAACACCTAGCTTGCAGGCTGGTTACTATACCGGCTTTCGAAATCGATATCGATTGTTGTTCCATCGCTTCGTGTATAGAAGTCCTGTCTTGATCGTTCATCTAACAAACAGATTGTAAACGAGCTTCGATTACCACGTACGATTCTTACCTTATCGAATTCGTCTATTAGGCAAACGCCTTGATCGGCTAGTACTAGAGCACCGGCTTCGAGCGTCCATTCCTTCGTAGCGGGATTTTTTCGAATGTACGCCGTCAAACCGACCGCGCTGGCCCCTTGACCTGTCGTGAACACCGCCCTGGGGGCTATCTTTTCCACGAACTTCAGAAACTGCGATTTCGCCGTACCGGGATCGCCGCAAATCAACACGTTTATATCACCGCGAATCTTGTGCTTCTGGCCTACAACCACGCTCGCAATAAAATCACATGCAAATCGAATTAATCAGCATTATAATCACCTGGATTTTTGGATTCGCCGCCGAACAACGTCAGCGCCAGGGCGCGCTTGATGTACTCGTGCCCGTATATCGAAGGTGCTATCGAAGCGATTATTCGCTCGGCTATCCGGTGGTCCTTGCTCATCTTGATTATGGCGTTGATGTCGTCGTCGGTTAGGGACTGGACGATCTGTTTGCAATCCTTGACGATCAGGTGGTTGGCGAAGATGACCGTCGAGAACACGGGAAAGCCGTTCTCGGTGTTCAGCGAGCCGTCGTAGCTGTTGGTGTAGATGCCCGTCACGTCGATCTCGTCGCCTGGTTTGCATTTGTCGCAGAGATCCGCCAGGAGGATGCAATCCTTCGAACGGGGCACCCTGCCGGCCGGCAAGCGACCCGGCTGTTCTTGCAACGTTATCTTCTGATAGTTCCTGTACACGGTTTGCTCCATATTTATCTGCATTAAAACATCTATTAATCTCTACATCTACTACATTTGATGACAATAAAGATGGAGGGAAAGTTCATTATCTGTTCGCTCTGGGATTACCCGAGTACATCAAAAGGCAACCAACATTACACTTTATCAATCGCTTACATTTTATGCTCTCTATTAGCCTCTATATCTACAGATAAGACTACCATTAATTATTTGAAACAATTCATGACGATCTGAGAACCATTTAAAACTGTCCAGAATCGTTTTCAAACATTCTAGAATTGACTAGGAATTGAAACAGTTCAAGTCTTGTGTTTATACCTATAGGCAACCAATATTACACATTATCAAGTGTTTACATTCACATTCAACTCTCTCTAGGCTGAAATTAATAGCTAGATAAAAACCGAAAGCACTTGAATTTGTCCAGTCAGCAACGAAAAAATGAAAGCAACGTTACTTTTACTGCTAGCAATCAGCTTTTATTCCTGCGTTAGCGGGAAAATAGTAAAAGCTAGATTAGAGGTAGGTGGGTGGGTTTTAAACAAGCATAACCTAAAGGGATTTTTTTTATCGGTGTAGAGTTGTCCGGGATGTTCCCTAAACAGATTGCACGAAGTCAGGAAATTCGCCTACGAAGACCTGCCCATGTACGAAGGGGTGGAATGGAAGAAAATATCCGGAGCGCCACCGGAATTAGTGTTTCTCGACGAGAACGACAAAGAAGTGGAACGGTACTTCTTGAAAGAATTGAGTAGGAAGGAGTGCAACGGTTTGTTGCAACAATACGGATTCAAACAAAAGTCCAAAGAACTTTAATACTCTAGATCTTTTGTAATTAATTAACCTATATCATCAATTAAATACACTAGTATATTCTTTTAAACTTTCGACTTACCATGAAAGGTCCATGGCTCTGACATTGAGGACAGGCATTGGGCTGCACTTCGTTCTCTTGAGTTTGTGTGAAGGGGCCCAATACGTAACCGCATTTACCACAATCGAACTTTACAATAGAAAGTTGAGGTAACACACCCGTAGTGGCCGTAACGACTCCCAGTGTTCTCACAAGTTGGTTTACGTGGAGTTTCCTACACAAAACCACCAAAGTAAGAATTACGGTACATTTGAACTACTTTATACTAACCTAAAGGTACGGAGTTCCTCGATAAGAGGCAAATCCGATATTCTGACGTGAATTTCGTCGGTGACTCTGTTGTAACTCGGGTACATCGATAGAACGATGTGTTTTGCTACGGTATCGAAAATTTCCAGCATTTGAAACGGAGCATCGGGTAGGAAATAGGCGAGTACGTGTTCTTTGTTGGCGAGATTGGGGAACTCGACGTCGAAACTCGACTGATTATTCTCGCACATTCTCCTGATTCTCTCTTTGTATACGTATTTCCCTTTGCTATTCGTATACGTTCTTAAGAAATTCTTAAATCTATTAGCTATTTCCGTTTTAGGTCCCGTCATAACGACCCATTCTTTAAGCGAATAACCCTTGGTGTCTTCTAAGTTTTCGATGGATTCGATCATTTCAGTTTCCTCTTCCTCGCCGGTCGCCGCCTTTTCGGCTTCTTTGCGCCTTCTCTGTCGCGGATCTTCAACGTCATCAGTATCATCGTAGAAAAGTTCCCGATCGTCTCTTCTCGTAATGCCCATTTCTCGGTCTCTTCTACGTAATTCCTCCTCCGCAGCCATGCGCTCTCCTACAGACATTTGGTCGTATTCATCGTAGTCTAATATGGCTTCGTCGTAACGATCTAAATGGGGCATCGGACGGTAGTCACTAAGGAGAGAAGCGATTAAATACTGGGGAAATTGCATAAATCCTCGCGTCTTACTTTTCCATGTTATCGCCGAATAATTCCTCTCCATCTTGTTCCTCTACCTCCGCATCCAAGCCGCCGAAAAGGGCCCCTTCGTCTTCGAAAGGCTCCAAATCGGGCCCCGGCGAGGACACGTTAGATCGGGGCGTAGGCATTGGGGATTCTTCAGACTTTAATTATATATTTATTAATTGAGAATTTATTTGTTTGTAAAACTTACCCTTTGGGACATTTTGATAAGTTTAAACACAAACTACAACAATTAAAACACCAACAACGTGAACTATTGACAAACAAATTGGCGCGAAAAGTAATGTCAAAACACATATGTCAACCGTCAACGTATAGAGGGCTAGATAGAACTTACGTAAGAGGCATAAAACTGACAACTTAAACATAACCTTATTTATTTTGTATCAAATGTAAACAAATAATGGGTGATGTTGAAGAAAAAACTCTAATTTATTTAGAATTTAACGATACATTAGCTAACGAGACCTTTGATAGAGATACTTTCATTCGTATAGCAAATCTCCACAAAAAGAATCCATTTGTTCAAATAAACGATTTAGTGTACAAAGGTAAGTTCTTAGACTTCGAATTCTTTCACTATTTCATAAGTACCATTTGCAGCTACTTTCAATTAGGCTTATCATATTCTTTGTACTATTTCAAGTATCATATTTTCCAGGTACTTTCGATGGAGCTTTGGGTACGAACTTATTTTTCGAAGCCAGTGATGAGGAACTAGTAGAAAATGACCTCTTTAATAAAAGAGGGCCAATTCCATTAAAGCACGCTTACAGCACCGCTAAAGTAATTAGTTTACAGCTAGTTAACGTCCCTACAAGCAACCCGGAAATTTCGGTAAAGAAGAAAAATATTGAATTCAACTTGGATTGGGATTACAATACAGTTCTACAAAAATTCTCCGATGGTTCCTTAAAAATTCATGACATTATAAAAGAGAGTACGGATCAAGAAGATGCTAAAGAACACATTCAAGTTAAAGAGGAAACAACTCAAATTGTTGATATTTCTAAGGAAGATGAGCCACAAATACCATTACAGGATACAGTAATTGAGGAAGATAAAGAATGTGATGTTGATAATGATAATACAGATTGCACGAATTTGCTAAATGATTATCTAAAACTTAGACAACTCGCTTCCAGGCCTGTTAAATCAAAGGTGATCCAAGAAAATATACAACAGTGCGATCCTAAATATAGAGACTCTTACGAATATCACAATTTAGAGCGACAGGTAATACTTTAGACTACTCTCACAGTAACAACTACATTTTCTTATTTCTAGGTTTTACAACCTTGCGATTTTTTTCGTTCCGAACCAATTAGTAATATCGATGAAGAAACGTTGTCCGATTGCGTAGACATCGATAGATGTGTACTGTATGGCTTACTTGAAGACTCCAAGACTCACCCACGAATATTAACAAACGAGGAAAAACGAAAAGTATTAACATTAGATAACTTCGACAACTTATCATTAGTTGCCAGGTATTATGTGTTGAAAAACCATGTTAAAGATTTGGAAGAGTATATAAAGGATAAGTCCGAAGAGGAACTATCAAATAAGGATAATTATGGTAGAACCCCGGAAATGACTTTGATACTATACAGAAAACTAGCAGATGCTGTTAGGAAACGTATCGAAGAAATAAAATCGAGTTTAACTGATGAAACTGATGTTACAACTCCATCAACTAGTATGGAAATTGGTTAAGATATAAGGCAATTAAAATTTTAATTCACTTTATTCTTATAAAATATATTTTAATAAAAACTTTTATTAGTCAGACTTTTCATCATCTGAAGGAAAAACGTCCAAATCTGGTGAAGTAAGTTTAGTGCCCTTTAAATAACTAGATTTAAGTAGCTCTTTTGCGGTCTTGCGTTTCGCAGGATTGTAAGTCAACATTAGCTACAAATAAAACAACCAATTATATAAAATTCGATGAGTATCACATTGTATTACCAATAGAAAATCTTCCTCTTCCTGCTTATGAAATTTAATTATACTACTCAAGTTCACCGCCGGCCATTTAGGAAACGTCGGTTTGTAATCCGGATACAAAGAAACACCTTCCCAATTTTCCTCGGTCGGTGTTCCCATTATTTTAAAAATCCTGTACATTTGATCGATTTCCGATTCACCCGGGAACAAAGCCTTCCTTGTTAACTACAAAATACAACACCCTTTAACTAAAATTTATCTGTGCAGTTAATAACCTCACCATTTCGGCCATAATGCATCCCAAGCTCCAAACATCTATACCGGGGCAGTACATTTTAGTACCCAAGAGCAACTCCGGGGCTCTATACCAGATGGTTATGACTTCGTGAGTGTATGTTCGAGTCGGGAGTGAAAACGACCTGGATAAACCGAAATCCGCTAACTTAATGTGCCCTTCGCGATCTACCAGCAAATTCTGCGGCTTCAAATCCCTATGGAGGATTCTGTGTGAGTGGAGATAAGACAGGGCATCCAATAGTTGCTTCATGTAACTCTGAAAAGAAAGAGTTTTTTAATACGAAATCTTAGTAATATTGAAAAATATAATACCCTGATTAATTCGGCTTCCATAGGGGCCCTAAGGGAGTCCAAATATTTCTTTAAATCCAAATCCAAGTATTCGAAAACCAGGTACAATTTGTCAGTCGTTTGCATAACATCTATAAGTTCAACGATAGACGAATGACGGAGTCCTTTAAGTAAACTAATCTCTCGTATCGCTGTCGGAGGTACCCCTTCGGAATCTCCTTTGTGGTAAAACCTAAAACATATAAATGTCAAAATTAATTTTACGTTACTCTAATTTATCAAAGAGAGCTATGAATATGAAAATGGCTGTACGAAGCTTTCGATGCAACGAGTTTATAAGTTAGGTACTTACATATTAATTTAGTGATGAATGCGAGTAGAACTATAAGCTGAATCATGTGGTGCTACGGAACTTATCGAACGTAGAACACGCACGGGATTCAACTCAACGTCCCACAGAATTAGTAGGCACTTTGTTAAGAGGCCAAAATGCGCTATAGGCATTGCCGTGATAAATGCGAATGCGATTTATCCATGCTTTGAGCGGGTGCGATAAATTGATGGTTTGGCGAGTATTGAAGCCGAAATGCGTACGAGAAATGGGTTATGTCGAAATCGAAACACTTACTTTTCCAATTTGATCCTCTTGAGAGCGACTTTTTTGCCTGTCACCTTGTTTTTCGCTTTGTAAACCACCCCGTAAGTTCCTTCTCCGGCTTTGGACAGCTTTTGAAATCTATCCAACTTATCCATTTTGTATAAAATATCCGGGGCGATGTGTACGAGAAATATGATTTAAAGCGGGAAAAATACTTGTTTTCTGCGGATCCATTTTTGTTTATTAAATATCTGCGCATGGCCAGTAAGGGAATCGGTCAATAAGCAGCAATACCAACTGTCGCTAACAAAAATTTGTATTGATTTTTACTATTTATGTAGATAATTCGACTTTTGATTAACCAAACTACATCAACCTACAATCATTATGACATAAAAAATATTTTACTATTAAATTGATCTTGTAATAATAAGGAATTTTGAATTAATTTCATAAGAAATTATTGATTTTTTTTAGTTTGTTCTGTTGGTAACAACACTTCCTATTTTGCAGTGCGTCACGAGCCCCATCTACTTCCTTCTTCTTCGATGCTTCGTTCATCTTTGTGAAGCTTGATGATGCAAGAGGGTGTGTGTGTCTATTTCCGTAAAAAAATCAACCCAAACTGAAGTTACTTATTTATTTCACCTGTACTTGTTTAAAAACTAACATATTTACTGGGAGACGTTTTTAGAACAAGGTAAATCCATTCTGCTCTGTCTTTCTAGATGTTTTTTACGAACATTTCGAGAAGCCGCAATCCGCCATTACGTAGCGGCATTCGCGTCACCGACGCTGCAGCATTTATTAACGTGTTGCATTGATTTCCAGTGCCGACCATGGCGTCGGAGCAATTCTCGCTATGCTGGGACAACTTCCACAAAAACATGAGCACCGGAATGAATTCGTTGCTAGAGAACGAAGACTTAGTGGACGTGACGCTCGCCGTGCAAGGCAAGCTCCTCAAAGCGCACAAAATGGTGCTCTCCGTGTGCAGCCCCTATTTTAAAGAACTTTTTAAATCTAATCCGTGTCAACACCCCATTGTATTTATGAAAGACGTTAGTTACGAAGCTTTAAGTGATCTTCTGCAGTTCATGTACCAGGGGGAAGTTCAAGTTAGCCAAGAAAATTTATCTACTTTTATAAAGACTGCAGAGGCCTTACAAATTAAAGGCCTCACCGGTGACGGAAACGTAAGCATTTTATACATTCATTAACAATGCGCAAACGTAATTAATTACATCTAAACAAAATCGATAATTGTTTAATCTCGCGATATATTTTCCCAGGGGTCGGCGGATAACGAAGTGACCGAAGTGGAGCCCGCGAAGCACGCCCCACACGTAGAATCTCTAGAATACAAAGCGGCCCCGCGACCAAAGAAACAGCTGCCCCCGTCCCAGCCGATGACTTCGCCCTCGATCAAACGACCGAGGCTGAGCACACCCGCCATCGAATCTACTTCAGTACCTCAACCGATCGCCAAAGCGGAGCCCGCGAACGCGTCGCAATCCGTTCCGCCCAAACCGGAGGCTGTGCACTTCAAAATGGAACCTTACGATTCGTCTACGAGTCTCATCGATGAGAGCGGTGAGACCATTCCTCCGATTAATATCCTATTTTTATTTATAGTTTGTTTAAATGATGAATCAGTTACTGATATTCCTTTATTGGAAAAGCTGATGTTTTTTTTCTGTGGACGTAATTCTGAAATGACAAAAAGATAGTTGTTTTTGTTGTATTTTTGTTTAGAATTTTGTTAAATAAATTATTGTTTTGATAGGCGACGATAATTTCGGTGAAGACGCTTTAGATGAGACTGTGGGCGACGAAACGGAAGACTATTCGATGATGGAAAGCGGAGCGGGAGAGGAACCACAAGCCGGTACAAGTACTGATGGAGCTGGCGAAGGACAAGGTAGGTGTTTTAGGTTTTGTTTGTGAAGGTATTCCTAAAGAAGACGAGGTTGAGTCACAAAATAAAACTTAAAAATAAAACCTATTAAAAATTGATAAGCACTAAAACGATTAAGATTGTACTGTTATTTTTAATAGTCTGGTATATAAATAAACCTTGTCTTCTATGGGAATACTCTGATGAAGTAAAAACTTGAATGTTCATTACTAAAAGATTGCATTCCATTGTTGCTATTAGCATTTGAACTTTTTTATTACCTATTTGCGCGATAATGACCATTTCAAGATGATTGGTACTTAAGTTATTACCAAAGTTATTTGTTATGTAACATTCAAGTTTTTATAATTTTTTTTGTTTATTGTATGTCTTGTGCGATTCTACAACATAGTAGGCGATGATATGTACATTTTTTGCTTTATCGTTGTTTCGTTGATTTTTTTTACAAACATATATTTTAATGTTTGTATAGAGCTGATTTCAGTTTTATGCGCTTTGTTTTTCAATTCGTAAATATATTTTATTTATGAATTAATTCATCAGATTTGATTTCATGTCTGATTTTTTTTATTGTATACAATCAAAGGTTTCTTTACCTTTGGGTGTAAAACAGAAGTGGTTTTTGTAATATTTAGTTGAATATTACTAAAATAAATTGGGTGCATTTTAATTTAAAATAATATTATTTTAAGTTAAAGATAGAGGATAAGTGTATTTAACTGTGACATGTGATCCCGTGTTTTAGTACTATGTTGCTTAATATTTTTAAGCAACATGGGGTCTTTATGTGTATTTTGAATGGGAATGTTGAGAAGGGTGCTAATATATCGTTTAAAACTACAACATAGTTTAAAAAGTGAAAAGTTCGATTTGAAAGTGAAATATAAATGGAACTATTTGTTCTAATTAATGTGATGACTGAGTTTATTTTTCCATTATTTTTGTTAACTGTTTCATAAAAGTTTCCTTATGGTACCTATTGGAAAATTTTGTGAAACTGTTAAATTTTTCTTACTTTTGTGTATTATTTTCTTCAATTTTTCATATTATTTCGAGTTGCTACTAAAATAAAACATTTACATCAATCAATTTCCATCTAGTCGTTTAATCGTACGATTGTAATTCAACATTGATATTGAATTTTTTCAATAGACTTGACTAAAGAATCTAACAAATCTTCATAGGCAAATATTAAAAAAGGCATTAGTTATCGATGGTTTTACTTATCATCAGAATACGTCTAAGAATTCAAAAACAAGGTAAGGTTTTTTGTTACTACGTATTTGTATTTCCAGAATCTTGTCCGAGGGTGTTTTTTTTTATTATAATCTCCTATTCCTTTTCCTTAAAACATTTTCCAATAATAAAATAAAGCACTAATAGACAAATTTTGACGAAAAGGACAAGCTGGACATATTAACTTACGCAAACATTAATTTTTCTCAATATGACTTCACATAGCTAAATGTAGAGAGGTAAATACAATTTTGTACAAGCGATACTTGACTTCAGAGATATTTAGCATTCGGTGATTACAAAGGATTAGCTTGTAAAGCTCAGGCTGTGATATCTCTCGAAGGTGCTACGTACAAGTTCTACAAAGAGAACACAATTATCCACCCATTTAAGGGCTGTCCTTTAAAGACGAAAGCTTTTAAGGATATCTACCGATATTTATTTGAAATGTAAGTAGAAATTGTTTCGATTACACCATCAAGAGTCGAATTTCTCACGTTTGAATTGCTTTCTAATATTGTACTGGTAAGTTATTTGATATTGGTTAAGCGTTAGGTACCCGGAAGTTACATCTCTTTGTCCGTTCGACAAGATATTCAATCGTCGATGATGCGTTGGAGACGCGAGGCGAATTTATCGAGTGAAAATAATTGTGCAGTTGAACAAATAAAAAGTAAATAAATATCGCCGAATAAATAAAATGTTTCATTTGATACTATCCACCCTTATCGTGTAGTTTGTAAGTTAAAGGGTATAATTTGAATATCGACAGTAAAGTATTGTTTGTTTTTGTCAGATTGCGAGAAGGCGGAACAAGTACCACGAAAAAAACGAATGTCTTCACGGATGAGATTCGTATACCAAGGATTTGTTTATCATAATAATGTTATTGCCGGTACTCCTCCACTACGGTAAATATTTGATCAGTTTACTGTGGATATTTGGATTGTACCTTTCTAATTTAATAGCCACAACGCTTATTTTGGTTTAGGGTTTATTTTTTTAAGTAAAAAGTAATCGAGGAGATATAGAGCAAGTAAAAATTGTAATTGTTAGCTTATATGATTTGATTTTGTTATTATCATTGTTATTCATGAAGCAAGATACTTTGATCTAAAAGGGTTCTGTCGGATTTCAAAATTTGAGTTGTGGTAGTACTAGCGTAACGTTTTAATCAAATATATGACGACCATCTACAAAGCTCTACAATACAAATGTTTCTGATTACTACCAAAGGGTAATTTTATCATAAAAAATTCCCACATCTCAATCTCTGAAGAATTACCAATCTTTTATAACACTAATAGTAAAAATGCAAGTAATGAAAGATGGTTGAAGTTGTCTAATCGGTACAAGCAATTATCCACTCAACATTCTATAAAGTACACGAAAAAAAAATCAGGGAGTCGTCTAAACAGAGTCATTAGTTACCTAGGCTGTGCGGAGCACAAAAAGGCCGGATGTAGAGGTCGAGCTACGATACCTTTGGGGGGATGGATAACCGAATTAAAATTGACCCAACCCCATAATCACCCGCCCGATTTGAACGCCGAAGAAAAGGAGGCTTTCTCCAAAGAGTTAAAGTACGCTGTTCGATCGGAATCGATGGCGAATGCTACGTTGAAGAAAGTTTACGAAACTGTAGCTACAATGTAAGTATGTGACAGAAAAATTCAGTCTCGAACGTTTCTGTTAAGTAAGAAATATTTAGCTAAGTTAGGGCTTTGGAATAAACTAGATCAGATCATTTTTTTCATAAATTTTGAACGATTCATGAGAATAGTTTTATTTACTATACTTTTATCATTTATAGCTATCCTAAAGCAGCGGCTGATATCCCCTTTAAATCGATTAGCTCCTCTTTGCACAGGTGGAGAAGAAATCCTCTAATGTAAATTTAACTATTAATTTATGTAGTAAAGATGCGCGTTTCATGTTTCAATAATGTTTGTAGATTTTTAAATATTACAATCGCAAAATCTATTTTATTTATTAAAATTTGAACCATTCAATTCTTTTATTTTAACTGATTAGTTTGAGATGATTATTAGCTAATGCAATATGCAATTAATAGTAAAAAAGACAAAACTTGGTAAAATCTTCGCACTGGAGACTGATGGAAGGCGTTTGTTAAAGTAAGTGACTTTTATATTTTAATATTTTCTTCGGACCGAAATTTATCACTTAAAAAGAAATTCAAGTATCATTCATTGATTAACTTAACCTAACGGCAATAATCTAGTACTAAACTGAACAATAAAAGTATGGACTTCAAAAACGCATAATGTTTGTCTATATTCGTTTTCTTATCCTTAATTTTCACTTGAATATTATTAAATCCTAGAGACGTGCTGCGCTAATCGTATAAACATTTTAGATGACCTTATACGCATTTGTAAAGCAACACTAAGCCACGTGAAAGAAATTTCTAAAATTATTAAAATGGGCTGGGTCCTAGACGGGCAACTGAACGTGGATAAATCATTTTCAACGAATTTACCTAATGTGTTTCCACTGAAAAGCATCGAAGACCTCTTGAGGTTCGAAGAATGCCTTAAAAACGAAGAAACCAAACTTTGCTTTGTAAGTTTCAAAAATTACTAAATCGGTCTTCAAAAGATGCCTACGAAAGCTTTGTCAAGCTGTGAGCATTTTTTAGATAACCAAAATGAAGAAAATAGGCGGTAGAGATTACAAAGACCACTTGAACAGATGCCTTAAATTCGTTTTTTCCAACGAACTCGGCGTTACATGTTCGTACGAGGGCAGAAAGGGAAATTACAAATTGAAAGACACTCAAATAGCGAACCTTCTCATTGGTAAGTTTCCTTTTATCGAAAGAGGTGGAAGAACCAGTCTTGATAAATTTGTATTATTGTAGAAAATTTAATGGGTTGGCACAGCGCGACACTAGCGGAATGCCAAACCGTAGTAACCGAGTGGTTCAGATTGTCTAAGCAACGTCTAATGAGAGAACAAAAAAGTACCTATACAACATATCTATAAAAAAATTAAATGAAGTTGTACAGAATACTAATTTTTTACTTATTTATACATACAGTGATCGAGCGAGAGGGTGTATAAAATATTCAAAGTTATCTACTTCACAATGTAGTGGATAAATTTGAGCGCAAAAACCTCTGTAAGTTCCAAAAAAAAAGTATAATTAAACGTTAAAATTACCGCTTCTCGTTTTATTGAATATGCTCACGTATCACAAGACTATGCAGTAGATATTTCTCGATAGATTTTCGATCGGTTCTGACTGCACTGTACCCGAATTAACCGACTTTTATTTACAGAAATCGATGCAAGCGAATTGATTAGAACGATTAGGAGAAAACCCAACATGCCTCGATACATTGTCGATGGATTTGTCTTTCACGTGAACATAACCAAAGGAAATCCTCCGATGATGTACGTAATCGATTATTTTAGATCTCAAATTCACGTTAAGAATCCTAATTTAGTTACATTTTAATTTGTTGATTTGTTGTAATTACATTATGTAGGTACTTAATTGTGATTCTTAGCTTGGGTTTGTTTTATTATATTTGGTGTATAAGTATTGAGTAGGAAGGAAATGTTTTTTGTTTGCTTGTTTATTAGACACCTCAATAATCAAACAATTAGCTCAATTCAAGCACTTAAAGTCAGTATAACCGTACTTTTTATCCAGTAATCGAAACAAATAAAGAATTGATCCAATCAAAGATTAGTTTTAGGAAGAGTACTGATTTTATATAAATATTCCTGGTATTTCTTCCAGTTACCTTCGCTGTTTGGAGTACAAGAGATTAGGTTGTCACGCCCGAGCTATCATTCCCTACGACGGTACAATCCACGATATTAAAATTAACAAACCCCACAATCACCCGCCCGATCACGATGCCGAAGAGAAAATCATGTTTCTGAGAGAACTGAAGGACGTACTGTTGAACAACCCGAACGTTCCCAGTCGAACCGTTTACACTACATTATCCGAAATGTAAGGGTTATTGGTTGGTGTTTTTAAGCGGGTTTTTATAAAGATTTTTTTGGGTTCCAGGTATCCGAACGCTGCCAGGGAATTCCACTTCGAAACGATTCGTCACAAGATGAACCGCTGGAGGAAAACCGCAGAGTCGGCGGCTCGTCATATTGGCGGGAAGTTTGATCCTGAAGACGAACACGAAGACCAAGAAATTCCTTAGGTTTTCGTAACTTAATTTTACTGTTGTGTGAATGGTTATTTCTAGTCATGAGCACATTTAGTTCTAAATGTTTAATTTATTTAATGTAATTTCTTATTATCAATTACTTCCTTTGCAGTTTGTAAAGTGGGACTTTGAATAAAGGTTTCTAGCTTATACGTCGTTTTATTTATTTGAAACGGGTGTAGGTATACGAAGGTATTATATCACAAGTCATTAAATAATTCATAATCAGATAAATACGTTTTGGGAACATGATAGTTTTTAACGGCAAGTTTCTTTCGATTTACAGGGCTATTCGAGATTGTTATCAATGACAACGGGAAAAAATTTATGATTATACATAATCAGGTGTATTACTTCGACAAGAAGGAGGGGAACTTGAGTACTTGGAAGTGCTTTAGGCCGAATTGTAACGCAGATTGTCAAACTAAAGATGGCAGATTGATGACCAGAACGGGACTGCACGACCATCAATGTCCTAAAAAGTGGATTACAAGTAAAAGACGCAGTAAGAAGATTCAGATGATAAAATTGGAATAGTATCGAAATTAGTTTATTTTCATAGTTTTATACTATATTTTATAATACCGAGTTTATCTTGATATCTACAATTACATAATTATTGTGGGCTGTGCTATCATCATCACTTTCTAATATATTTTTAACTATTAAATACTTTTATTTTTTGACCTGTTGATTACTGAGTGATTTCCTATAATGTATGTCCCTTCAGCGTTGAAACGTTTGGTGTGAGTTGCTCGAAAATTGCGCTGTAAATATGCAAATATTCGCTGTATTCTGGGAACAACAACACAAGTTTTTAATTGACCTTATTTATCTAGATGATGAGAGTTGTGAATATTGGGAATTCTTAAACCAAATGGCCGAGGAACCGGACGAGAAGCTCATTCAGGAAATGATGAAGAGAAATAAAATCGGATGACATAAAAATTTAGTAAAATTGTAATTTGTAGATAATAAAATCGTTAATAATTCGTTTAATTTTTTAAGCATATAAATTCACACGTAGCCTTCTGTAGTACATATATCGCTTAACATCATAGATACACACAACTAGGTTATTGTTTTAGGTCTAAAACTCGCCAAAGTATTCATCTACTTTCGAAATAAATCCGCTCGAATAATCCTCAACGGTTTCGTATACGGATTAAACAGACGATATCAAGAAAAATCCTTCTGGCTGTGCAGCCACTACGCTAAAACCCATTGCAAAGCTAGAGTAATCACGTTTAGCAACAAAGCTGTACTGAAAAACACCCACAATCACAGGATGGACAGCCTGCCCAGCCTTACCGGCTTGAACTATAAAACCATTGAAATAGTTAGGGAAAGTTCTTTGAACGCTAATAAAATTTGAGGAATATTTAATAAATTATTTTTTTAACGAACCATTTAATTTAGAGTTATTTACCTACTAATAAGCCTGGAAGGTACAGTAGATATGATCTCGCGTTATAAACATTCCGGCGCGGCAAGTCGCTTTTTAACTCGGCCCTTTTTTCCAGGCATAGTCTACTTCCTTAGCGCTACCAAGCACCCGAAGATAATTTGCGACGGGGCCGATTTCAGCCTGCACATGAAATACGCGATGAGGACGACGTGGCGTTGCACGCACTACTACCGTTGCAAATGCCCCGTTAAATTATGCACTTCCGAGCAGAAGGTCGAAATTTTCGGCGAGCACAATCACCCCAGGGTCCATTTGAACGTCGATCGGCGATCGCTTGTACCCCAACACGTAGAAATCATTAGAAACCCCGCCAGATCGAAGCATAAACTCAATTAAAATATTTTTAGTAAACCACCGTCGTTTTATTCTCGACTTCCTTACTACGATGTAAACAAACAAATCCGGTCGAATCGTAAAACCTTAGATTTACATTGTGTTGTTTGAATTGTAGATACGATTTATTTCGACGTCGGTAATAAAAACCCGAAAATTATCGTCGACAATTACGACTTTAACATGGCCACGAAAATGCCCACGAAAACCAAGTGGCTGTGTTCCGGTTATTACAAAACCAAATGCAAGGCGAGAGCCACCACCAGCGGCAGAATGGTCCAAATCACCGGCCTGCACAACCACGCGCCGAGAATCGACAAGAAAAAATACACCAACATGCTCTCCCAAACCGTAACCATCATTAGAGAATACGCGCAGTAGATTCTACTTACGATCATTATGTAGAACTGTACTAAACAGCAATAAACTTATCGTGTAACTACTTACTAGTGTATTTATGTAACTTGAATGTGTTATAAATGGTAAGAAATCGAGTAGTAAGTTAGTAACTTATTTGCAGGTGTGATATACTTCGAATGCGGTACGAAAAACCCTAAAATTATAGTGGACGATCACGATTTCTACTTGGAAAAGCGCAAAGTGGACAGAACTCTCTGGGTTTGCGGCATGAATTGCAAAACCAAGTGCAAAGTAAGAGCAATGACCAAAGGGCAAATAGTGAGAGTGCAAGGAGTTCACAATCACCCAGTGAGGAGCAGGAAATACGCGGCATTTTCTTCCAAAACAGTACTCATACAACGAATTTGAGCCTATTGTTAATCTACTATTAAAATGTAAGATAAATTGTAGAGATAATTTTCACTTCTTTTACTTCTACCTTCCCACCCAGCGCCTCCGAGCTCGCGCTTTCGTTAACCGAAATCCCTCTTTCAGGCATAATTTACTTCGACGTGGGCCAGAAGAAGCCGAAGATCATCGTCGACAACCACGAGTACCTGATGCGCTTCGCCAAATTCGGCGAGACCCACTGGCTGTGCAACCAGTACTACCACCCCAAGACCGACATCCGGTGCAAGGTGAAGGTGATCACCAGCGGCAAAGCGGCCGTCGTCTTCGGCCGGCACATCCACGAACCCAAGTCCAAGATGAGGAAAGAGGGCATGATGTGCCGGAATTTCATCGTCAAATACCAAGATTAGGCTTAATTTTATACTTAACATGTACCCAAAACTTCAATAAACAGTCCAGTTTTAGTTACTATTCTTTTGCTGATTGCTCGCGTTATCATTAGTTTGATAGTTGCGTGTAGTTACTAATTTCTCGTTGCCTTAGTTTTTAGAGTGGACAAGCGAACAAGGTACGTGGAGGATTTCGTGGAGATCGGTTTGGAAGAGCGGAGCGACTCGAAACCGAAGCGAAAGCGCCAGCCGAATCGGCTTTGGATCAAAAGCCGAGAATTCGATTCGGTCGAAGAGGCGCATCGGGAGGTGTCGGGCCAGAAAGTCTGGAAAATCGCGTCGAAGAAGAGCACTCTGGACGGGTGCAAGGTGGAATACCGATGCTCCGCGGGGAAGTACAGGGTGAAAGAATGCCCGGCCGGGTTGTACTTGTTGTATCACTCCGCCGGCGGTAAAGTTTCGCTGTTTTCGACGCAACGCGGCCACGAGCACGACGATAGCGCGGATCTCTCGGGAAGAGGTCTATCGCAGCACGTTAAAAACTTTATCAAAGAAAGATTCGCCGAAGGTTTCCGAAAACCGAACGCTCTATTAGCTCTTATGAGAGACCATAATGTTGTCGAACCACCAAAGTCGAAGTTAGTCGCTTATTTGAAGCAATTAAAACTTGAAAAACACGGCAACTCCGCCGTATCTGAAGCAGAAATTCACACATGATGTAAAAAACAATACTCTTATTCCTATTAAAATACTGTATTATACTGTAGATATTATAGAAATTAATAAGTAATTTTTTTTGTTTTTTTTTTGCTTTATAACATCTTCTTTTCTTTAGATACGATCTATTTCGACGTGGCCTTTAAGAACCCGAAGATCATATTGGACGGCAATTACTACCTCGTCAAGAGCAAGGAACTCAGCAGGACTATATGGAGGTGTTCCAAATACTGGAAATCCAAAGAGAACAGATGCAAGTCGAAGTTAGTGACCAGAGGACAAACGGTACAAGTCACAGGAGGCCACAATCACGAACCCACCACTCTGTCTAACAACAAAAACAACTTGGTGTCCCAAAAGGTCACCATTCGCAGGAATTAGAGATTGTTGTTATATTCAATTGTTGCAAAAAATATCAAATAAACTAGTCCCACTTTGAGGTTCCTACGTCTCAACTTGACTCGTGCTTAAATAACATCAAAGTGATCGATAGTGAATTTTTAGTTTGTTCTTTATTTCGATGTGGGATGTATGATGTTACATTGTGCTGAAGAACCAATTCTGCAAGGCCATGTGGTGGCGCTCTAATTACTTCAAATGTGACCAAGTCACAGGCTATCACAATTACGAACATTTGTAAAAAATTCCAGAAAATAGATACATTTAAAAGTGTCGTTTTATTTCATATCCCTTTCGTTGATTAAATTAGGATTCGAATCGTTTTTGTACAGGTTCGGTTTACCATTTTTAGGAACGATCTACTTCGATATGGGCGTGAAGAATCCCAAAATCATATTCGACAATCACTACTACATCATCCTGCGCAAGGAATGCGACAGGACCATATGGATGTGCAGCAAGTATTTTAACGCCACGAAGGAAAATAGATGCAAATCGAAACTGATCACCAGCGGCCGGACGGTACAGATAACGGGCATCCACAATCACAAGCCCAAAATGCTGCATAATTTCAAAAACACTTTGTCCCAGAAAGTTACCATTTGTAGAAAATAAGAATGTTTATTGGAAGAAGTTTCAGTATTAACTTATAAAGTGATTGGATATATTTATTAAGTGCAGTGTTGTCATGACATATTTGTATCAAAGTGGTATAAACAATTACTCTGCATGAGTAGTATTCCTATGCTTTATATTTGATTAAACTTGGCTCTCGATAAATTAGTAAATTTATTAGCCTACTTCATGATAAGCTGGTTACGAAGACTTTATGAAGCTACTGTATTATCGATAATGTGTTTAGTGTACCTCAATAAAGATATTTTTTTATTCCACCAAATGCTTAATAACCAAATTTCAAAAATTCACAAACATTAAAGCGCTGTTAAAGGTGCAAAACACACAGTGATTAATGGACCCCACACTTTAACCCAAGTTAGTATGTAGCTTCGAGCGATCGCCATCGTTACCATTACAATATTCTCCTATTGTAGGTATGATATACTTCGACGTGGCCACTAAGAACCCGAAGATCGTGCTCGACGACCACAACTACCTCATTTACAGGAAGGAACTGAACAAAACCGTGTGGAAATGCTGCAGGTATTTCCGCTGCAAGGACAACCGGTGCAAATCCACGCTGGTGACCACCGGAAGGATAGTCACGGTCAGCGCGGATTTTCACAATCACGAACCGGAGATCATCAAAAAGGAGAGATACAAAAACATGTTGTCCCAATGCGTGACCATAGTAAGGGAATCGGCGATGAAGAAGCTAAACTTTATAAATTGATCCTAATTGTAGTAATTAGTGTTAATAAACGTGGGTATATCATACGCATTGATTGTATCTAAACACCAGATATTTTCCTGTGAATAAAGATCGCTTTAATTACCACCCTCATTACCATAAGTTCTTTTTTGCGTTTTAGGCACTATTTATTTCGATGTGGGTACGAAGAATCCGAAAATTATACTGGACGGTCACGAGTTCCTCATCAAGAAAAAGGCCATCAATCAAACCACTTGGATATGCAATCATTACTTCAACCAAAGGGCTGTTCGTTGCAAAGTGAAGTTAGTAACAAGCGGCAGAGTGGTCAATGTGTTCGGGGTTCACACGCACGAGCCTTCGAGGAACAAGGAGTTCAAATACAAGAACATGCTCAGCCAGAATGTCACCATCATTCGACACGGTCGAGATCTTAATTACAAAACTGTGTTTTAATTAGCCGCAGTGCAAGGCTGGGAAGACCACCGAAAGAAATTACATGCAAGACAGGAAGCTAACAAGTAAAATTATTAATAAAATTATCTATTGGTGGAAATAATATGTAGTTTCTATAGAAATGTCACAGATACTAATGTTTCTGTCAAGGAATAATTGAAATTAAATTCCTTTCGTTAATAATTTTATTCAATTAAATACTATTTACATATGAACAAGTTACTTGTAAGTAGTTGATTGTTTTTTATTAGATGATTTATTATTTATTTTGTAGATAGTGTATCATATTAAATGAATTTATTAATAAATAAAAGTTAATTAATGTCTGTTGTAGTGAATTTTATCAATTTTTCAAAACATTAATTCCCAACAATCATGTGAAGTGTAAAAGTGCCAAAAGTGTTTCTGCTAGATATAATTAAATATCATTTTATAAATAATCATTTTTCAGGTGACAAAAATCACAACAAAAAATCACATTAAATATTTTAACAATCAAACGACTTTTATTCCCTACACATTCATTTTTTTAAATATTTTCCTGTAAAATAAATTATTGTAGTAAATCGTCTTCTCAATCCCCTTTAACCTCTTACTAACCCTTACTATTCTTTAGGCCTAGTAAAAATAGAAAACGAAGAAATAGATATTGTAACCCACGACATTCCAAATTACCACGAAGTTAATTTAACCAAACCCGAAGTGAAGAAGCGCCGACCCGGAAGGCCCAAAGGGAGCAAAAACAGAAGTACTTATAAAGCACCTAGCGGTGTTAAGAGACTTCGAGGAAGACCCAGGAAACAGGACCAGAAAGATTTGGGCGATTTATCGTTCCTCGTGAAGAACAAACCGCGTTTCTTCGTCGATGAAAATCGCAAAGAAAACGCCATTGGTTACACGAATTTAAACGCTTTGATCACTGACGATTGTGTTGGATTATTTATGTAGTTGACTCGTTTATTTATTTAAATAAATTAAAATGTTCTAATCAAATATGCTTAATACATAACATACTACATACATAACAGAGTATTTGAGCACCGACGAAGAACCAATATTTTTTTTTTAGTAAGTATCGATCACTAACGTTTACCTTATTTCAGGTACTATTTATTTCGACGTCGGTTTGAAAAACCCCAAAATAATTCTCCAGAACAACTCTTATTTAATATACAGAAAAATGCCGGACAAAACGCTGTGGTCATGCACACAGTACCACAAAAAGGACCGGTGCAAAGCGAGAGTAATGACCTACGGAAGACAAGCCACCATTTTGGGCAACCACAATCACCTCCCGACATTCGTTAACAAATCAACCAAGACCATGGTCTCCCAAGTCGTCACTCTAAACAGAGGCAACTAAAACTAAAACTAATAACACAATTCCTCAACATTTACTGTATTGTCTAGTCTAATAAACCATTACCAAATCACCGCCTCTTCTTTCACCACCCGCGCACCGATTTTCGCCACCATCACCGCGCCTACACCTGTTCGTTCTTTCAGTTCGCGTTTATTTCACCAGTGGCAGGCAGAACAAGCCGCGGATCATCGTCCAAGGGAACTGCTTCAACGTGAACAAGCGCCGCAACCGCTGCAGCTTCTGGCGCTGCTCCAGCCAGAAGGTCACCGCCTGCTCGTGCACGGCCTCCACCTCGTCGGGCAGCGTCGTCGTGAGGGGGGCCCACAACCACGACCCCAACGCCGGCCACCTCGATTTCAGCGAGCTCAAATCGACGATTGTTAAAATTATTTATAGAGACAGATTACAGAGATATGCGCATTAGCCTGGGGATTTTATTGCTACCTTATTTACGCTACAAATATTCTGCGCAATTCGCACAGCTAATATCGTTGAATTGTTTTGTAGGTGGTATGGGGAAGATATACTTCCAAAAATCCAGGTTCAAGGCTTCTCCGCGTATCATCGTTGACAATAATTTTTACTCGGTTAACAGCAGGAAAGCTGGGAGGACTTTGTGGTTGTGCACTAATTACAGGAAGCTCCAATGCAGGGCGAAGATCACCACGATGAAAAACACCGCGGTGATGCGATGCGCTCACAACCACCCTCCCACTTGCTGCTCCGTCGAATTGGAATCCATGCCCTACCAATGGGTCACTATCATAAGAAAATAAATAGATTCTACTCGAATTACACCAAATATAACCAGTCGCTCGTGTTTCATTGAACCCCCCGAACCCGGAGCGCCCTCTTAACAGCACCCGAAATGATTTATTACCCGTGTTTCAGGTGTGATTTATTTCGATGTAGCTCGCACGAACCCGAAGATCATTCTCAACAACTTCGTTTACAAGATCTGCAACAAGCTGCAGGACAGGACGTACTGGAAGTGCGTGCGCTACAACGTGGACAAGTGCAAGGCGAGAATAACGACCAGAGGGGCCCGGGCTCACGTCGTAGTGACCGGTTTCCACAATCACGAACCCAGCATGGTGGATTGTTGCGGGTTAAAGTCGCAAGCGGTTTCTTTATCTTTCACCAACAAACCGAGGCAGAGGTTGCCTAAAATATAGCCCTGCCTCGCTGAATTTAAGTGGTTTTGTTAACTTATTGTTACAAATAAATTGTTTTTTGTATTGTAGTAACAGTAGTTTTCTTTTGGAAGATCCAAAACCCAAGGACTTTGGTGCAAAATGAATGTGAACACATAAGTCTTGTTAAATCATCAAAATCTATTGTATCACCACCAAAGTTTCTTTAACGCCTCTTCTATTGCAGGAATAATCTATTTTGTCGCAGGCCGGACGAATCCGAAGGTGATACTGAACAATTTCGAGTACAAGTTGCACACGAAGAAATCGGACAGGACTTACTGGAAGTGCGTTTCGTACAAAACGAAATGCCGGGCGATGATCATCTCCCAAGGCAGCGCCATCCGCATCGATGATCAGATGCACAATCACCCACCCAAAGTGTCCGATTACACCGGACTGAGCTCCCAGCAGGTCATACTGGTCAACAAGAACCCAGTAAATAGAACTTAGAATTGTTAGATATTTAGCGTGAATAAACTTATCGGAATATTTAATTTTGGATTACCCCTAGTACCTTCATCTCTTTATTAATCTAACAGTAACGCATAAACTTCTACTTTTGCTTTACTACAACTCTTTTTAGTACCTAATTAAAGTGTATTAGGACATGTTAGAGGATTTGATGGTAAAGTGTTTGGTAGGCTCGCTCGCTGGGTAACACTAACGTTTGGTGCGTTTTAGGGGGAGTAATATGGATAGCGTCCGGCACGAAGCGACCGAAAATAATATTAGACGGCAACGAGTTTACGGTGAACAGCGGGAAGAACAATCGCACCAGATGGCGCTGCAATCAGTATTTCAAATCTAAATGTAGCGCCACCCTCGTAACCTACGGAAAAGTGGTGAAAGTCAACAAGTACCACAATCACCCGCCGATCAACCCTCCCGTTCACCATCTGTTCGAACAGAAAGTACAAATTATAAGAAATTAATGTTTGAATAAAATGATTTTTTCGATGTGTTTCCGCTGGTTTTGATTTTAATTTTAGTCGGGCGCTTTTTGTGTGGCTTTTTCTGTTAGAAGGTACAAAGCTTTCGAGCGTTCGCCATGCCGGACCTAACGCCTGGTTTCTTTAATTTAGGTACGATACTGATAGGATCCGGCACGAAAAACCCGAAAATAATCCTCGACGAGAACGAGTTCACTATAAACACCAAGCAGGGAGCGCGCACGAGGTGGAGGTGCACGCAATATTTCAAAAGCAAATGCCGCGCATCGCTGGTGACTTTCGGTAGGATCGTGAAAGTCAGCCAATTCCACAATCACCCGCCCACGAAACCGTCGGTGCGGAATTTACTGCCCCAAACGGTCACCATCGTCAGGAACAGGAAAATCGTTCTCAAGCAAAACATGCCTCTTTTAAACGTTACCTAATGAGAGTTCGAGTATATAATTTATTATATCTGTATTTATGCGTAAATAAATTGAAAATATTGGTATTTTGTTCATGCTACAAAACGGAATTAATATCGTATTAAACTTTAACGAGTGTAATTAAGTGATAGAAAGTTCCATTTAAGGTAAGATATAAATGCCTCACCCGCGAACACTGAATAAATACGTTTCTGTAGATAAAAAGATAAATATCGCAAAAATAGTCTACAATGAACATATACCACTTATACCACTAATTTTACTATTAAATAACTAATATTTTTTGCCTAATTACTAAATTATTTTATTGTTCATTTTGTATTTCAAATACTTTTACGAACTTTCGCTTTAACGAAGCATTAGTCACACCAATTTCAACCTAAATAAGGTTAATAAATGGTAGATAATAATCTATCATACAGGGTGTCATCATACAGTGATGATTAGGCGTTTAAAAATTATTAGCTCACTAAAGGGGCTACTTTTCATTGGAACACCCTGTATTAACGAAGGCCGCACGGTAATTCCGACAAACGTAGATAACCCGCCGGCTTTCTGTTCCAGTCATACACGTCATACACGCCAGGAAGAACCCCAAGCTGATAGTGAACGACTACGAGTTCACCGTCAAGAGCAAGCAATCGGGAAAGACCTACTGGCGTTGCTCGCAGTACAGGAAATTCGCCTGTCTCAGCAGAATCGTCACCTTCGGCAGGACCGTGGTGCTCAAATCGGAGCACAACCACGACCCGGTCAAGGCCAGCCGCAGGAACGCCGTGCCCCAGCTCGTGAAAATCCTGAAACCGAGATTTTTGTAAAAAAAAACTAACGAAAATTAAACGCTTGTTTGTATACGAATTGGTTTGCTTTACTCCGAGCTCTCCATTGTGATTCGATGCAATTTTTCCACTACAATTACCTCGCTAAATTTCGTAATATTCCAGGCATCGTGTACATCATCCCCGGCCAGAAGTACCCGAAATTGGTGATAGACGAAAACGAGTACGCGGTGTATTTGAAGCACGACGACAAAACCAGATGGAGGTGCAACGGTTATTTCAAAACGAAATGCAAATCCACCCTTCTCACCTACGGGAGAGTGGTCAGAGTTAATCACACCCACAACCACTTTCCTCTATTGAGAGGCCACAATTTGAACAACCATCTCAAACAGAGTGTATTTATCATCAGAAATTTAGATCCGTAATAAATATATTTTTTATTAATACCGCTTCTTATTTATCTAACAAATTCGTAATTTTTGTATCATCATTGGTGGTTAATAAACGATTTTTTGCAGACGTGATTTACATGCTACCGGGCGGCAGGAAACACCCTAGAATAGCAGTGGATGGTTTCGAGTACATTGTTCACAGAAAAGGGCCGAATAAAACTCGATGGCGATGCATGTACGAGTTCAAAAAATGCACCTCTTTCATTTACACCTACGGCAACAACGTTATCGTTAAAAACGCTCACAACCATTCCTGCGGCAACACCGCAAAAATAATCAACACAGGCATACCCAAACAAGTCACTATTATAAGATGCGTCGATCCTCAAAAATTACAATAAACTTTTAATTCCTAATCGTTTTATTTGCTTTAATTCTACTTTGGAACAAACAATAACCGATCGATTTTCAGGTACTATATACTTTATACCCGGCCGAAAGCACCCCCGTCTGATTCTAGACAGCTACGAATACAACATGCACATCAAAGAGGCCTCTAGAACCAGATGGCGATGCAAGAACCAAAGCAAAACGAAATGCAGCGCCACCCTTTACACCTCCGGCAACCAAGTGGTGATCAAGAACCACCACAATCACCCCTCTCAACCCATCAAGCAGCAATCGCTGGAGATGCCGCTTAGCGTGCAAATAATCAGGAAAAACATACACCAAACAAACATCGATTGTACCACTTAACATACCACTCTTTTAGTACTTTAATCTGAACACATTCGATTCTAAGTACTAACAGTCGCGCGTTTTAGGTACCCTGGTGTACTTCACGAAGGGCCAAAAGCACCCGCAATTGATCCTCGGTAATTACTGCTACACGATGCACTGGAAGAACCCGAACAGGACGCGGTGGCGTTGCAGGAGGCACAACAGCCTCGGCTGCATAAATTTCCTCTACACCACCGGGCACACAGTATTTGTACAAAACGACCATAATCACGCCTGCGAGAACATCAACAAGGACAATTTGAGCTCGCACCTCGTCAACGTCATCCACAGGCAGATTAAAAACAGGATTTCCAGGAGGAACGTGCAGTGAAAAATTACTTAAAGTGCAATTGTTAACCTACTAAAGTAGCACTAAATTTTGTTTCTCTATTCCTTTTGGAGTTTCCTAGTTTGTTTTGGAAGAGTTACCTGTTAATTTAGATCTAACTATTAATAAAGAATCAATAAAGCAATAAAATATGCATTCAAGAACTTGTTTTATAGTGGTTAATAAATCAATTTTTTAATAGATATTTCCGTATATTATCCGTTCGTTAGGCAAAAAAATGCGTTTCAGGCTATTAAATTTGGCTAAAAAATGCCGGCTGACGTTGCAATTAGTCGAAGATAAGGCGAAAATTGCCGCTAATGAAACTAGCTGATAGCCGGAAAGCTCATTTCTCGGTCGACATGTTGCTTTTATGGTTAATTATATTGGCGCTCTCCGCAATTTATTACGTGGAGAGGAAGAAACGGTTCGAAAGAATATGGAAGCACATACTGCAAATACCGGGACCCGAAGCGAAGCTGCTCATCGGCACCAATTACAAGCTGATCTCTTGCGGTATATTAAAATTATAATTACGCTAATTATTCGGCCACGTTCGCGAAATGGTGGGTACCATTTTTATTGTGTGTGTTTTTTTAGAGGATATATTCGAACGGGAAAGGCGGCGAATGAGAGAATTTTTTCCGATATACAAAACGTGGATATTTCACACGCCTTTCGTCCATCTAGCCGATCCCGATGACATGGAAGTAAGTGAATCAACTCCTTCGCGTAAAAATTGTCCCATCGCCTTTACTTTCCAGAAAATACTTACCAAACCCATTCACATAACGAAAGGTTTATCAGCCGAGAAGATGTTCGGGGACTGGTTGCACGGAGGACTCATCATGATCACCGGTAAGAATACAATCTTCCTAAACTTGCAACTTTTACCCCTTCACTAATCCTTCAGGCTCGAAATGGTACAGGCGTAGGAAGCTGCTGGAACCTTCCTTCCACTTCAACAACCTCAAAACCTTCGCTGAGCTCTTCTACGTAGAAGCCCAAGCTCTAGTCGAAGACCTCAAGAAAAACTGCCACGAGCCTTACACAGAAATCGAAAACTACGCCTACCGCTACACCCTCTGCTGCTTCGGAAGTAAGTTCCTTACCCAGCAGCAAACCGAGACATTCACGAATTGCTCCGCAGCCACATCGCTGGGCTTCCAGCTGAGGGACAACGACGGCACGCAGGAGTACCTCGACAACGCCGCCCGCTTCAAGCGGCACGTGGTCTACCGGCTGGAGCACCCGTGGCTCCTCCACGACGGCGTCTTCAAGTTCACCGCGCTGTTCCGCTCGTTCAAGCAGAACCTCCGGCGCATCCACGAGTTCGGCGATAACATCATACGCGAGCGGACCAAAGCGCTGGAGAGCGTCGCCGACGCCAAGCCCCCCATGCTCGATTTGCTGCTCAAGGCCCGCTCCCAGCGCGGCGACATCGACGATAAGGCCGTTAAAGACGAAATCAACACCTTCATAGCAGCGGTTAGTTGAAGTTAAACGCCTCGTTTGCTAGATTATGCTCGTTTGTTGGTATTGCAGGCACACGATACGAGCGCCGCTAGCTTGTGTTTTACTTTGATGCTGCTGGCGAACAATAAGGAAGCCCAGGTTGGATCGAATGAAGGATTGAATGAACGATTGTAATGAAGGTTTCTTGCAGGAGGAGATGTACGAAGAAATCGTGAAAAGTTTGGGCAAAAACGAGGTGCCGAGTTACTACGCGCTGTCGCAGCTGAAGTTCATGGACAGGTGCATCAGCGAGAGCCTGCGGATCTACCCGGTGGCGCCGATTTTGAACAGGATAGCGGGCGAGGAGGTGGTGACCAAGTCGGGCCACACCATCCCGAAGGGCTGCAACATGCTGTTGAACGTCATCGATATGCACAGGGCGCCGGAGATCTGGGACGAGCCCGACAAGTTCGAGCCGGACCGGTTCCTGCCGGAGAACGTGGCCAAGCGGCACCGATTCGCGTACCTGCCGTTCGCGGCGGGCCAGCGGAACTGCATCGGTACTGGGATTGGTTACGTGAGTGTTCGATGGATTAATTAGTTGGTGGTTTTAGGTAAGAAATTCGCGCTGGTCGAGCTGAAAGCGGCGCTGTGCGCGGTGTTGAGGAGCTTCGTTTTGGAGCCCGTCGACCGGCCGGAGGATGTAAAATGCATCAACTTAGGTCTGATGAAGCCTGTTAGAAGCATTAGGGTGAAGTTCGTGCCTAGGAATTGAAATTCTAATTTATTTTTCAGTAGTGTTACGCACTTAAGTCGATTTGTTTCACTAAAATAATAAATGTTATACCGTTGGGTTTACTTATTTTCCCTTTCAACTCCCTACTACTCTGCAGCTATTATTTGTTTCCGGTAGATTCAATAAAATCAAATAAATGTTACACCGTTGAATTTATTTATTTTCTTTTATTTTTCTATTAAACTTCCCCCTTGTGATACAGTGCATCACTAATAGCTAGAGACCTACTCTCGCGTCTGCAGCTATTAGCATCGCTCTGTACACACACAAAAATAAATTAACTATACATTATAGAGTTAATATTTTTTTACCAATATGCGATTTTTAGGTGAGCTTGTGACGGTCTATTTCGCGAAAGCCTTGAGATACCCGAGATTAATAATGGCGGGTTACGAGTTCCAGAAGCACCTGCAGGACTCGAACAGGACGAGATGGCGCTGCAGGTGGCACAATAAACTAAGATGCAGGGCCATACTGTACAGCAAATACAACAGCCTTTACCTGAATTCGGGACACAATCATTCGCCCGGAAACATCGACTGCTCCGGCATGACTTCGGCCGAATTTATGTTCTTCAACAAGGTCAATTTATAAGGAATTTTGTAATCGTTACTTAATAAATAGTTTTCAAATTTACCTCTATATTTTTCCGAATATAAAGTGTATTGTTAGTGCCACATTCCCAACTCTAAGCAGGACAAAAATGTATGTATCGAGAAATTGTTATCATCACGTAGCAGTAATGTTTGACTTACACTACTCAGTTAATAAAGCTTATTAACAACTCTAACGCGCCTTTCGTCCTTTTAGAAACGATTTATTTCGGAAAATTCCGCACCCTTCCGAAGATAATCGTCGACGGCTACGAGTACCAGTTGCACAAGCGCACCGAGAAGACCTCCCGCTGGAGGTGCAAGCACTACAGGAAATTCGCCTGCAGATCGAGCATCACCACCAAAGAGAGGAACGTCGTTTTAAAGCACGGGCACACTCACATTCCCGAGAACATCGATTATTCAGCGCTCGTCGCTTCCAGAGTCACCGTTAATCGGTTATGATTCATCGCTTTTTATGCATAAACGATTTAATTTATTACTTTTTGTTTTATGTAATTACCTAGAATAATCCCTAATTTAAATATACTTGATTGGGTTCAAGTATACGACTCTAGAGTAAGGCAACTTCCGCTAATATTAATTATTTTGTAGGTTTGATATACATAGGCAAGGGTTACAAGCATCCCAAGATCATAGTGGATTCCTATGAGTATAAAATGCAGTCGAAAACTAAGGAAAAAACGAGATGGACGTGTTCGAATTACAGGAAAACCAAGTGCAATGGTACGCTTTACACCTACGGAAGGACTGCTAGGATTGTTAATCGGCACAATCATCCTGCTGCTGTTAAGGACGTGTCAGGAATGGGACTTACCGCTTATTTGGTCACCATTATTAGGCCCGCCGTTACCGATCTCAGGCAAATTAAAAGAGAAATATTCAATTTGAATTAAAAAAGTTGTTATAAGATCGTTTTCTCATACGAATCTCATATGAATATCATACGAATCAATTTATATCCCATATGTTAAGGTTTTTTATTGTATTGAATTTATTATCTTATATTAGTTTCTGCTATACAACATTGTAATTATTTGGACAATTAAAAATCGAATTTTTTCATATTAAAAACCACCCAATAGCACCCGAAACACCTCTTCCTCCGACTCCCCGCCGAAACCTACTAACTCAACTAACATTTTTTTAGACATAATATACTTCTCGCACGGCCAAAAGCACCCGAAGATCATCCACGACAACCACGTGTACCTGGTGCATTCGCGCGAGGCCGGCAGGACGCGGTGGCGTTGCAGGTACTGCAACAAGACCAGCTGCAAGGCGGGCCTCTTCACCTACGGCAGGAACGTGGAGGTGTTCAATCAGCACAATCACCACCCGCCCGCCATCGCTAAGGAGAAGCTTTTCCCGAATTTCGCCAACGTCATCAGGAGAATCAGTTGAAACGTTTCTATTACACTTCGTTTAAAGCTGTATTTTTTATATTACGAATAAAACAAGTTGTATATTAGCTGCAATCATCTCGTAACTCTCTTATCTAGTCCCTTATAAATCGTCCGAGGCTACTCTTACTAAAGCGGGTGAACTTGTTTTAGAGATGATATATTTCTGTTCGGGCAGGAAGTATCCGAAGATCGTCGTGGACGGTTACCACTACATCATGCAGAAGCAGAGCGACAGGCACAGCCGCTGGAGATGTTCCTACTGTAACAAGACCAGGTGCAGGGCGATTTTGTACAGCTTCGGCAAAACTGTGAAAACCGTCCAGAGCCACAACCACGCCCCACAGACTTTATCCACCAACGAGGACCTCATACCCCAGATGGTCAATGTCATCAGAGGATGATTAGATAGGTTGCAAAATTAGATAAAATAAACGTTTTTGATTTTCTGATATTTTTTTCTGATTGTACCCAACTCTCATTGTACCCAATTTAGGTAGCAATTTTCCTGTGGCTGTGGTACGTAATAATCGATGTTGTTTTTAGAATCGGTGATTTACCACGTGCGAGGAACGAGGAACCCCAAAGTGTTCGTGGAAAATTACAGTTACAGTTTGCAGAGGAGGTCGAACACGAAGAGTCGATGGCGTTGTTTGTTCGTGAACAAAACGAGGTGCCGGGCGTTCTTGAACACCTACGGTAACAACGTGAAGGTGATCAATCACCACAATCACGATCCGCCCAAGATGCCCTCGACTCACCTGCTCATCAGCCAGAACGTCGTCATATCCAGGGGCTTCGTCTTCAAAGAGCATTCTTTTAACGACCGTTTTAAATGTAGCGGATACAATTAAATACTAACTGTTTATTTTATTAATGAATTGATTTATTTTCGCCACCACTTGTAGTATAGACTAGCTACGTTAACATCGTGATACTGACTCCGGGTTTTTGTAGGTGTAATTTTCATCAGCAGCGGCAGGAAGTATCCCAAACTGGTGCTGGACGATTACCATTATTGCTTGTTATCCCAAGCCAAGGAGCACACCAAGTGGAGGTGCCTGTTTTATTACAAAACCAAATGCAAAGCGGGACTTTCGACTTCCAAAAACGTGGTGACCGTTTTGTACGGGCACAATCATCCAGCAGTCAAAACTAAAGAACGTGAGACGTTAATACCCAAGGAAGTTATGATAGTTAGAACATAAGTAAGATGTTTACTGACCTATATCGATGGCTTTAAAGATTAGTAATGAGTGTTTTGAATAGATTATTAGGATAGGTAATTAAATTATAATAAAATCGTGTTATTATGGATGGTTTTTATCTATATTTTGCTACACTTTTACTCCCCACACATTCCTCAATTCTAATCATTTCTACCTTTATCTATTCCCTTACTATAGCATTTTTCTTTACACTATCTACACCTCGTGTTTCATTATTACCTACATTTAATAACGCTGCTTCCGAAACAGTGGATGAAATGTGTCTTTTTTCAGTAATGATCACTTTCGCGATGGGAGTGAAAAATAAGCCGTTTATTCTAATAAACGATTTTAAATATCTGAAGCACCGCAGCTCGCAGAATTCCACGTATTGGAAATGCTGTTACTACGACACGGGGACTTGCAAGGCGAGATGCACCACGTACGAGGGCTGCAAAATTAAAATATCGGGGATTCACAACCACTACTATCGCCCCATTTTCGATTTGAAAATTATTTGCCAGAAAGTGTACGATGTCATCCCTTGAATGTTTAATAAAGCGAAATGTTGTTTTGTTTTAAAGTCATTTTGGTTTCATAATTTAATTTGTAATGAATAATTTATACCTGAGTCCGGTTCTGTCTAATTTACTTGGTGAATTTATATTGTTGGCAGTACTTACTTCATTTGTCAAATCAAATGTCATATGTCATGTTTTGTTTTTATTAACTTCTTTGTGAAATTAAATTAGATGATAAGTCCCAATTTCAAACACTAATTACATTTAAATTATGTAAATAACATTTTATTATAAAAAAATGTTCAATTACAAATAATACCAAATATTTAAAGTACATTAAGAAAACGTTCTAGTCATTTTTAATCTATAAAATCAACATGTCTCTATCCGGGCTGCCTCCGCTGCCGAAGAGCCTCAGCGGCTTCAAATTATCCGAGTACCAATCTCAGTTACCGCCTACACCAGTGAGAACATCGTCCGCGAGGTCTACGTCCTCGCATTCCTCCAGTTCAATGTTGTACGAGCCCTCCGTTCAATACGTGAGCAGCTCGAGGAAAACCACCAGCTTGGACGCCAAGCTGACCGTTCTGAAGCAAGAAATGTACAATCTCAGACAGCTGGACTTGTCTGTACTCTCGCAACTGTGGGCGTTGAACAAGTCCCTCCAGGAGTTCAGGCAAATGCTCGAGGAGCAGGAGGACAGGATTCTCTCGCCCCCTTCGCCCTCGCCGACGCCGTCCTCCGGCGAAGACGTCGACGGGGAGGAGTACTACATGTCAGCCACCTCGTTGAGCTACAGGTCACCCGCCCCGATGGTTCCCGGCCGGAGGACCAGCAATTCCTCGAATACGTCCAGCTTAGGTTAAAGCATTGTGATTACGAAAAGGTATTATAACCGTTTCATACGAGTCATTCCAAATGTGAGCGAATTTATATCGAAATAACTTGTTTGTCGATGTTGTGTACGTTCGTTTTATATGTTTTAGTTGTCTAATTTTTTAAATAAATGTTTTTACTAATTTTAAACACCGGTTGTTCGAGGAACTTGAATCAAGTAAGCTTTGGGTTTGTTTTGGACATGAAAGGTAATCGAGTGCAAATCTCACAAGTAAATTTATTACCCTTAATTCCTAATTTATAATATTGCTTAATTATTTATAAATACTGCTATAATATTCCTCTTCTAAATCGTACAAATCTGCGGCCATGTCGTCTCGTAGAGACATTAGTTTTTGATCGCATTCGGCTTGTTTCGACCTTAAAAAAATCCAATGATTATAATACAATCGAGTGATTGAATGTATACAATAGATATACCTAAAAACCTTCGAATTGTGTGTAATAGCTTCGTTGACAGACGGGAAATCGTTTAAAATAAGATATTGTTTAATGTCCGAGACTAACTTCATTAGGGATTCACCGGCTCTTACGATGTTTGCTGCTCGTACGTGCATTTCGTAAGTATCTTGTTCGCATTGCGTCATTCTCGATAATTGAGTGTCGTGTTCGCCTTTGGAAAGTTTTACTATCTCTGAAATATAAGGGTGTTTCATTGAAGACGCGAATTTCGATCAAAACAAAGGTGTAAATTCTTACCTTCGAAGTTTTCTAACATGCTCTTTACATCGTCTTTTAATCGCGTCCGGTAGGACTTTAATAGGGCTTCTTTACTTTGTGGAAGTGATCTCGAAATCGACATTATTTCAATAATAAATTAATTAGAATTTTTGATGCAAGTTTTAGGTTAGTTTGGATTTGTTTTGTTGTCAATGTCAATTCTAATATGTCAAAAGTTAATCTTCGTTTTTTTAAGACTCTTACTTAATAGGTTTTACAGTAAATTTTGAAATATATTCAACTAATCGTTTATTACTTCCTAATTTTATTTACAATTTAAATAACTCAGAAGTCACATTTGGAATCGCCAACAACATGGTGTAAATACTTCTTAGTTATTTTATTATAGGTGAGTAATATTATAATAATTTAAATAGTACAATGGCATCTGTACACTTAAAACTAAACTATTTAATACTATTTTCCTAAAATGTCGTTCAGTGGAAACGTGTGTTCAGTTGGAAATTCCGCCCATTTGGTTAGATCTATATTAGGAATAATACCGGATTTGCAGGGCACTCGGGGATTTCTACAACAAAACAAGTTTAGTATCCACGCGTATAACTTATTTTAACGGTCTTACATCTCATGATCTGGCAATACCATGGGATACAACTGAATCGTATCGATTAAATCCGTATTATCGCAAATAATCCTAGCCAAACGCATTTTCCTAATCTCTTGAAGTTGTTCAGGAGTAAACGAAGACGGTTGATTAGGTAATTCGTACCTATAAATAAACCATAGTTAACGATTTATTAGATTAGAGTTAATTATAATATGTTTACTCACCAAAATCTATCCCCTCTACGGGAATAACTGAACTGCGTGGCAATGATGCAAGCAAACGTAGGACCCAACATACTCCCAGGCAAAGGCTTCTCTGATACTCCACCGGACCACAAATCAACATCAGAAGGATGCCTGTAAAACAAACCAATCAAATCCTATCCATCAATCACCCAATTTCCAAACGTACTCGAACAACGAGGTGTATTTCCTGACGGTCTCATTGGGCATCGCCCCGAACAAATCCTCGAACCTCTCCGACCACGGCAGGCCGCAGAACTTCCTGTACTCCATGTACCCCGGCAAGCCGAACTCCCTGCCTCTTTGCATGTTGAAACTCACCAAGTCCACTCCGTGCCTGGCGCCGACCTTCTTGAACAGGTGATTGGTCACCTCCTGGGTGATGGAATCGTCCATCGCCTGGGCCACTTGGTTCATCAAACCCATGACGTATTCGTCGAAGATGCCGGCCCTGAACAGGTCGTGTGGTCTTCGGATGAGGTCGGAGAGCCTCTTAGAAGCTGGAATTTATAGGAGTTTTAGAATAACGGATTAATTGTTAGGAATTGGGTTGCTTACAGATGAATTTGTGCGCTTTGCTCCATCTTTCTACGGCTGTTGGTAAAAGTGAATGGCCGAATCTGAAAGCTGCTGAAGCGAACGCGTCGATAACACCAGGGTTGATGTTGGGGTCGTAACCGTCCCAATAACCCTGCAAGAAGGAATTTACTAAATAAACATATTGCGCTAAATTACAAAGGTTGTTCATATACATCTTTTTGTAATAGCAATCCGAACTTCTCCATGACATCTTTGCCGAGCAGAATGGGTAGAAATTCGTTGTAAGTTATGTGCTGGATGATGGCTATAGTGATACGCCTGGCTTCCTGGAACAAAGTTTCGTCGTCCCAATGCGGATTGACTTCGGCCAATCCCCTGGCGATGGTGTTGTGTTCGCGCGCCATCAGCGTGTGCATGCAAGTCAATACCAGCTGCTCGTTCACTCGAATTTCGCCTAAATTCATTCGGTTAATTCGCGGTGTTGGAGAGCGCTTGTGTGGAGAGCGTTACCTGCTTCGAAACAGAACATCGATTTATTGTGTCTGGTGCATCCTTCGTCCGGTATGTCCAATTTCAAAGGCAGCAGATCCTTCAATCCGAAGTGCTCGAACGCCGGGTACATTCTTAAAAGTCCAGCTTGGCCCGTGCGGAGTTTTCTGCGCGAAAATTAATAAGATATGTTTAAAGTAAGTTATAATGGAGTGTACCTGGCATGGTGATCGTGCACTCCGTAAACGGTATTCCCATCGATAATCCCTGTGAGGGTGTTGAAAGGCACCTTGGAGCCCAGCCTGCATCCCGGTCGAACGGCTGGGAAGGTTCTCACGAAGTTAATGCAGTTCACTTTGAACAACTTAAAGAAGAAATCGTCTTCCGGTATGTAGATTTCGTTGCAGTAGGGATGCTTGAGGTGCGGCGGTCTACCGCAACAATCCTCCGGATCGTTTTTATCGACAGGATCCAAAGGAGTTCCTTGCAAGGTGTAATCGTGGTCCATGAATTGGCCCCAAGCTATTATCATCACGGTACCGGCGTGGTCGTGGAAACCTTCGTCCGGGTGCATGGTTCTGGACACCACTCGAGACAGCGGTAAGTCTCTTCCGGAGACTCCGATACGCGGGGCTTGTAGACCGTCCGCGTAGACGGGCCCCAGTAACCTGCAGGTACCGAATTCCTGTATTAATCAAGCGGGTGAAGTGAACACTATAAGTACCTGGTGAATGGAGTATTCGTTGCCCCCCAAGTCGGGTGCTCGAGGTTCGTGCAGAGACCGTCGAATCTTCGGTATTTGCCAGCTCTGCATTCCACGTTTGATAAATACGGCGGGCATATTTCTCTTATTAACGTTTTGCTGGTGTCGATTAGTGGCAGACCTTTCTCGATTTCTTCGTAATTGAGGCCGTAACTTTGTAGATAAAATAATTTGTAGTTATTTAGTTGGTTGGGTAATTGAATGGTGAAGTAAGTACTCACGTTCTGGCTAAAGTGAAGGAAATATCAAGAAGTAATTCACCTACAGTAGCGACATCTTCAGCTTTCCAGTCCGCATGCGGTTGGGTAATACCTACGCAATAAAAAATAATACAAATTTAATGTACACTTTAATGCATCCCTAATCTACTTACGGATCCTTTTTCGCGCGTCCAAGTAGGCCGCATTGACGGCGTCGTAGGTGATGCAAGTGTTGGGGCCGTTGTAATTCCTGCAAAAAATTTCTGATGTAGTCTGAAGGGATTTTCGAAAGAAGCCGCTTACTGTGAGGATCCTCGCAATAAATTCAACGAATAATCGAAATGGCTGCTTCTGCCAGGCCCATTCAAAATCAACGCGCACTCCCCTTCGCCTTGCAATGGCACTTCGAAAGTTTGAAGTTGTATGGCCGGCGCTACGCGGACCAAACTCAATATCATCAACCACCGGACGGGCATCTTTACCCTTAAAAAAGAACATTAAAGGTAGTTTTGTAATCGCCATTAACATTTGAAGTACCCTCGTAAATTATCAACGAGCTATTTCAGGAAGCGAGATACTTACAAACGAAACTTTTCCTTAATTAAACAAGGCAACATAACGAGCATTAAAAGAAGTTTTGTAATCGAACTTTTGTTGTATTAACTTTTGAAGTACCCTCGTAAATAATCAACGAGCTCGCGCAGCAAGCGAGGTAGTTACAGAAGCGAGATTTTTCTTGCGTAATAATCATAGTTTACGATCGGCTTTGCGCGAGTAAAAAATCCCCTGATGGATTTATCGAGTTGCAACGGTAGAAAGCAATCTGCAGAATGCGTTTCAAACTTATTTTTTTTCTCTCTTGTCTGTAAAGGTCGTCCGAATTGAATCGTAATTGGTAGCAGTTTAGCGTATTGATCCGATAACCTCGATTGATCTTCGCTATTATCGGCGCGTTATTGGAAAGTTATAGGCGAGCGGATCGCGTGGGCGAGGTGAGGATCGTGGCCGATTTGATTTGTTGCTAATCTAATTATTATATTGTTGTTGTTAATAACCGGGTTGGATTAAGGGAAAGTTTATTATTGGAAAGTTGTCTATTTGGGTGCACCGAATTTACTACAAGATTAATAACTATTTTTATTATTCATTAAAATTGACATTAATGACATTTCGATTGACAGAAGTTTAATAGAGGTGGAAATCATTTTGTTGGTAATAAAAAATAATCGTTATTTCTCAAATATCGTGTTTCTGAATAAATACACTTACAAATTTACAGATACTCATTTAGGTGAGGTTATTTTTTGGTGAGTAATTGTGCGTGATTTTATAAGATTATTTTGTACTTAAGTAGATCGGATGTGGCAATTTGATTTAAGTGTCTTCCTAATGCGAAAATGGCGGAATGAAAAAAAAAACAGTGAAAAAATTAACGGATTGATTGCGAAAACATCGCGTATAAACTTCTTTATCGGTCAGTTTTGCAACATCCATTCGCGTCGAGATGGATTCAGAAAAGCTTTTTTTTTAAATTTCAGTAGATCAAGGTAACCGTAATTACCTACCTGGTTTAGCCGAGATCGTAAAATTTTTTTCGTTAATTGATATTCTATTAATTGCGCGGAATGTCGTCCATTTGGATTAACTATTCGAATTATTTTTAAACAAGTGTAACTAAAAATTGTGCTCATTTTATCTACAGAACAATATAAATTCCTGCTAAACTTATATGGCGTTCCAATATTCATAACAGTATTACAATCGATATAATTAGAAAAAGTGTGCCATCGATATGTCAACTAGATCAATCGATTTTGGTTAATTAGATTTCTGAACGGATATTTCATCATCATATGCAAATAAGCCTCGTTAATACGCTATAATATTTGTAACACAACAGATTATAAGATGTCTAATCAATATCCCTAGTAATCCCTCGTGACATTTATATTTTAACTATCCCAAAGAAAGTGTCTTTCTTTGTATTTCTCATCGCAATCTTTGAATAATTCATACAGCAATACGCGTATAAATACAGCAATTACTCGTGCGTTAAACACTTGAAAATAGCGATTACATTTGATGGCAATTTGCCGAAGTCACGATTACGTTAGATTCTATAATTTCATCGGTTATCAAATGATACACCTCCTCTTGTTCGGCTACTTGTACAATGCATTTATCGATCGATAACGATCTGTTGCGTAAACGCATTCGTTTAATAATCCCAATTCAAATATTGATCTTGGCTGGTGAAATAAGTAAAGGTTGATTTATTCGATTTATCTTAATAGATAGGTGCATTCCATTGCTATCTAATCATACTGGAATGTACTTGTTAAATTGATATTTCTATACAGGGTGATAATTAATGTTGTTTAGGTTTAATGGGCGATTCTTGGGCTAATTTTGAGTGGAAAGGTTTGAAGACAAATTCGTAAGAACTATTAAAATTTATATGCTTGTTACGTAAGTGAATCGAGTCGATAACGAGCGGGGTAAAGTCGATGTTAAAATTCAAATTATTACGTAATTTAGATGAATTATGTTACGGGCTAAACATCGTGATATTTCTCGAGAGAAATTCGATACACTTTACCTTGTCACTCACCGCAAATAGAAACGTGCTTCATAGAAACATCTTCAACATTAGCTACAGTGATTGACAGGTTGTAGTGTATAGTATCCTTAAGATAAGTGGAGAATGACGTCACGACTTGCTTAGTTTTTTTTATGCAAATAAAATAATAAATTCCCCCGGTATATTTCGTATTCCGTAGCTGTAAAAAAAGCATTCTAGGTCTTAAATTACCCGTAACGAAAATCTCTCGGCTTTATCAAGGTGAGAGAAAAGTTGCAAAAACCTGTCTAGACCAGCGATTCTCAACCACATATCGAATAATATCTCGGGAACTTTCAAATATTATTTTTCCTGCATAACATCCTGTACGAGTAACCGGTTGACTGAATGAGTCCAAAAGGGTTTGAATTTATGCCTTTATCTTAGAAAAGAGTTTAGAGTAAACCGGAAAACGACATTTTAAAAATAACGCTTATTTTGTAACAGTCGTTACTGTACCTCTATACAAAAAATTATTTCCCATCTCTATTACACTTCTGTCATACGAAATGTCATTACTGTCAATTTTAATTTTAACATTTTGTGCTTGTAAATGCAAAAAAGTATAGTAGAGTTGTTTTCTAATTTCATTACAAAACAAACCCGCTACAACGAAGAATAATTACACCTAATTCGAACATCGATTAGCTCTAATCGCGTAAATCTCGTACGGCGAACGGATGATGTATGAATATATTAATGCCGGAGGAAAAAAAAAGAATAGGTACTTTTTAGCGGAAGCTCGCCTTTGGATGTACTTTCACTTCGATCGGCCATTTAATTGAGAAGATGTTGTGATGGTCCAAGTGATATAACGAGAGATTTATGTAATTTACCGAACACTCGAATAGTTGCGAATTTAATTCGATATTGCGCCATTTAAGTATGTACACGACGTGGGAAAAACGAAATAATTCTCTTTTAATTGCTTAATTGATCTGTTACAGATATATTAATTTATGAGTATGAATCTTTTATGTATGAATTATTTATAATAATAACGCTTATGTATAATGTTTAAGTTTACTTTCTCGATTTCTTTGATGACTTGCTATAAGTATAATGATTTTTTTTTGCTATAATTTATTAAATACAATTTCTCACATAAATATTAATCATTGTTGGAGCGCCGAAAGTTGCGAAAATAAATTGAAATTTGCATATGTAACATATTAATAAATTTGTGTAAGCCTAACGCAAAAACATTATAACGTGAAGAATTGAATAAAAAAAAACACGACCATTGTTGAAATCTTTTGCGCGAAAATTATTAACAAACAATTACAATAATAGTAGAAACCGAATAACAATTTCACAAACCAGCTTAAAAAGCGTATTACCCATACCTAATATATCATATTATATTATAAATAACATTAATTAAGTTTGCAATATGCTTAGAAATTTAATTGTCTATAAATCGTTCCACAACTCAGCACGCAAAAATATCGTATAAAAATTCTAGTACTATAAGGGCGATACAAACCTCGAGTTCCTGGTGCTAATTCGGGCCCACAAAGCAACACGAGTACCGATCGGAGCACTTGGAAGCGAAAAAAAAAACTGACCGAACTCGAGCGGTACCGCACCGACGTCGTCGCAAAGAAGATATCAAAGCTGGTACGTCGAAGAACTGTCACTTTCGTCGGTTTCGCCCGAAGAAGGATCTCCAACCCCTCCAAGCGGAGGTACCGCCGCAGCGCGAGCGCTGCCCGGGCTCCTTCCAGGGTCATGGTTTTCACGTTAATTGCGAAAATTTGGAGCGGTTTCGAAAAAGACTCGTTATATTAAGTTAATTAGGTATACGATAATTACTAATAATTGGATTTGTTGTTTAGGTACTACTAGAGATTGAATTTTTTATAGTTTGTTGTACATGTACAGGGTGAGTTGTGCTTAAAACGGGATGGAACATTGTAGGTAAAGGGTTAAGATGATTATAATTCCTTCAGGATAAATATTTACATGTATGGTGGCTGTAAACCACGGCCCTATATTTCTAAGGTCTGGAATCTCCCTATATGCTTAGGTATTAGAGAATGTGTCCCGTTATTTGAGGACTTTTTGAGCTTCACTTTTGTGCCGGACCGTGGCGAACGATCGGAGGACCAACTTATCTCAGCCAATCAGCGTCGCGCTACAAATAAATCGCGGTTGTGTGAAACGACAGTTAAAGCTGTCAAAACTTCAAAAATTATTATTTGACATTTCGAGAAGAAAATTGAGAAATACATTAACCGAAGATACGTGAGGCATGATGTTAACAACAAAATCATCGCTGAGTTAAGTATATTTTTATATTTTGTATATATTTTTACTTTTTTAATGCTAATTTCATATAATTCGTTCGCAAAATTCGTGGTCCTTTACAACATCACCTCCTAGCGGCCGTTTTAGGAACCCTGTTTTATCCTCAAATAACGGGACACTTTTAAAACTAAAATTAATGAAACTTTGTAAACTAAAATTAATTAGACACATACAGGTTGTCCCAATTTCGAGATAAAATACTAAGTCATCCTTCATTACATTACAGAGTAGGTATTATCTTGCACCAAATTACCCATGTTCTATATCATTCAATGAGTAACATATTGAAGTATCCATCAGTTTCGATTGTTGAGAGCGAGTTATGAATGTTTACACGGATTAAATCGGTTGGTATTGTGAAATTTCGTGGATCCGGTACAAGATATATGTAGGTTGTTGTAATGGGCATATATGAGATAGATCTCAGATCAAGGTTGGGCGGGTTTTCAAACGTTTCCAAAGCGCATTATAACCGCATAAACAAATCGCATTGTGTTAAGAGATCTCGCGCTACAGAAACATAATAATCGGAGGCGTTTAATAAAATCGTTTAAAACTTTGACATAATAATAGCTTCGGGTATATATAACATGCAATTTTGGTACTTAATTATACCTTCGAGTTGTTAATGTTTAATAGTCGAGAAAGGTGGATAAAATTGCGCGGTGGATTTGATTAATTTATTACTATCACGTTTACTATCCCGTTTTCTTCGACGAGATGTTAACCTCATTTCCCCATAAAAGCGACTTTACAATGAAAACAAACGGAAAGTTATTACAATGAATCATGTGTATGTATTGACACGATACGTATAGGAAAAAGTGATTTGTAATTCCAAACTGGTCGATATATCTCATTACCAAATAATACCTCAGAGAAAAACGTTTGTGCAAGAATTAAACGAAACTAGTTCACCTATGCGTCCGAACGAGTTCCCTTCTAAACGGGCGATAAAACTCGTCGAATAAATATCTGAAGTATTTTTTACGTATGTAGTAAATATACAGGATTGGCACATTAGTATGGAAAAGCTCAATATACAGGGTGATCCAGAACTCACGCCCCACCGGGAAATGTCTTATGAAAACAACAATGGAGATGCTAAAACTGCAGTAGAAGATCCTACTGGGATTGGTCGATTTTAAACCTCTTTATTTACCAAAGGAAAAACTTTTTCATGTTTTCGACTGCAGTTTTGGCATCTCCATTGTCGTTTCCATAAAACATTTCCCGGTGGGGCGTGAGTTCTGGGCCACCCTGTATCTATAGATAAGTTGATGATTTGCAGATAATTTACATCAGTAATAGATGTGCCACCCTGAATATAGATATGGATTGTTGCAAATAAGAAATATTTAAATGAATGTTAAAATGTATCAAATTTTAATAGTTTCTTCAGGAAGGAAGTTCAGGAAGAACAGCCTGATTGCATTTAATTCGTTTAGTAGAAATTAATATTTTTACACTAAAATTATAAAATATTTTTTTTGATTAGTTAAGTTAAAATATTTATTTGCGGGCTAATTAACGAGAAAATGTTTACAGTATTAATTAACCTAATCAGAGCGAATTAGCGCTTTTTATTCGGCGTTAATATCGCTAAATTTTAAACGAGAGAAACGCCAATTCTTTTAACAGGCTCATTAATGGTACAAATTATATAAAAACGACGAGGTGTAATTAATTACCTACACGTTGAGAAATTTCGAACCGTTCGATAAATTTTCGTCACGTTTTTTTTCTTCGAATTTCGATCAAGCAGGCGCACCTGCAGGATTCGCTGTTTGCAAAACAGGTGGGACATCCGAGTAACCCTTGCAATGAATTCGGATAATTGATAAATTAGGCACTCGATTTATTGAAATTAAGGCCGGTTAATTACGCAAGAAACGTTAACAACAATTTTAGTAACATTTGTTTAGCGATTGCATGTCGACATATTAATATGTTCTCGTTTAAACGTGCTCTTGTCGTTTGGTAATCGATTTCTGATGTCAAGGTTCCCCAAGCGCTCAGAACTCCTCTTAGATATGCCCTCAGGAGGTACAAATATTCGAGCGCGCCTAATAATTTCGGTTGTTGAATAACAGATACACTTGTACCTATTTAATTAACCGCTCCTTTTTTTTTATTTGACTCAATTTTTCCTGAATTTTGTAAACATGTTATTTAAGGAAATGTCCTTACCATTTGACGAGAGTTTATAGTGAAATATGCAACACCATTGTTAGGCAATATATTCTAGTAACCTTTTAGGTTTATTATATATTCCGGAACACTTTAATTTTTTTTTCTAAACTAATGTGCCGCATAATGCGTGAAATGTCGACCTCCAAAATACGTTTAACCTTTTAGATTTTGATACAATTTAGAAACTTTCCCGGTAGTTTTAAAAAGCAATGCAATAAACAAATTTACATTGTAGGATAGGGTAAAGTAATGTAGAGTAAAAAAGAGTAATCAGGAGAACGATAATTGAAAAATAACGCTGAATTTGTGACAGTTTGTCATTTGTCAACAATATGTCATTAATGCCAATTTTGACAGTTTGCGTTTATAATGTTTTTGTATCATCGAGCGCATCTTAAAGTCCCCTTTTTTGCATCCAATTTACTAATATCAGTTCCGTTTTTTAAATTTTTTAATTTTGCTCGAATGAATACGAGCGATAATTGAACGGGATAGCCCGCTGGTAGGTTAATAAATCGCAATTGTTCGAAATAATTACCGCGCACATCGGTTACATCTGCGTTAATCTCGACACAAAAGACCGTATTTTTTAATTAAACGTCAACTTTTACCGAGAAAAAGAGGCCACGGCGAGTCGAAATAATTCGATTTCGGACGCTCATTAAGAGGTGGTTTCGCTCCGGTTTCTTATCGTCGAGGAAGGATTTATGAAAGAAACCGCAAAACGCCAATGGATCGTTTGGATTTCCACGTGTCGCGAGACTCGCCTAGCAAAACGCGACGTCGCAAATCTGGGCTGAGCCCCTATCAAATTGATTTATTATAATATATCTTTCGCCTCGTATATACCAGACACTTTAAAAGAACAACCGTCGATCGAATATGTTTCTGGTGATATGGAACTGTTGAAAAGCGAACGTAAAATTGATTGCGTGGGGAACGCGATGCCGCAACAACGAGATAATTACAAAATTTAATCGATGTTACACAAATATCTCGATTCACCGAGAGGAAGCTTTAATCTTGAGACGATTAGTAAAAAAACGCCTTTACCACAATGCGAAGAAGTAAAAGTAAAGGCTCAATGACATAATCCAATAAGAAGAAAACCCCGAGGATGCTCGACTTTCAGAAATTGTTGCTACAGATACCATTAAAACTAAAGATTTATTACATCTACATACATTGATTTTATCAGAACTGAATTATCCCACAGTAATAATCCCCTTTTACAGAGTAGAAGTAAAGAGTAGTAGAGTAAAGAGAGATATGAATAGAGAGCAGAGAGTAGGATGTAGAGATCAGAGAGTAGAGACCAGAGAGCAGAGAGTAGAGAGAAGAGACCAGAGAGTGGGGAGCAGAGAGCAGGTAGTAGGGAGTGGAGAGCAGAATAGATTGATAGAGAGTAGGGGTAGACAATAGTGATATAAAGAGTAAAGCAGTTAAGCAAGTAGTTCTGAGGAATTCCTGTGAATTATCTTGTAAATCAAGGTTTTTTTACAACGAAACAACGCAAGAAATATTTTAAAAACTACATTACTTTATTGCAAACTTCAACTCGCTTGTACAATTACAATAACACCTACATATCGTCACTAACAATGTGCTGTGAGTACAATTCAATCCTCGAACGGATCCCGCCGAAACGAATAATTAAATTCGCAATCGAGGATTGTCGAAACTCGCTCCGAGAGCGGGCGAATGGTCGGCGGGCGGCGGCGCCCTCGTCGGCGGTTGCGGCGGATTGGGCGGTACGTCCAGCACGGCCGGTACGTAGGACACCCCGCTCAAGCATTTGGAGCACTTCCTGCGCAGGGCCGGTCGTTGCCTGGAGCCGCTGCAGCGCAACGCGAAGCAGAATTCGCTCTTCATCTCCGAGCAGAGCGATTCCTGCGGCACGCTAGCAGATCTCTGATGAACAAAAAAAAACACTCTTTTATTGCAGGGAGTTACCATAGACGAAATTACCTTTTCATTGAGCGCGTTCTTTTTGGAATTGTAGCAAAATTCGAATATAGCTATGAGTACGGCAAAGGCCAATCCGCAGAGTAGAACAACGAATACGCCACCGATATTATCGACTCCCAGCGAATTCGCTTTGGATTCCTTCCCTTTGTCGTTCCTTTGGCAGGTGTCTCCGGTGTTCTTCCACCATTTGTCGTACAGCATCTGTATCTCGCCTTTCTCCTGCAGCTCCAGGATGGCCAGGGATATTTTGTCGCGCCACGGGCTGCCCTTCGGCGTCGCTATCCCGTACCCTATCGACAAAATTACAGAAATTTCACAGCTCTATAAAGGAATCGACGGTGTATACCTTTGGAATCGAGAGGTCCCCCGATTTGCGTTAGATTACAGTTCCTCTGGACGATGTAATCGAGCATCGTGGATTCCATCAGGAAGGCGTAATTCCCGTCCAGGACCTTCTGGATTCCCTCTTCGTACGTCGGCACGAACACCGAAGGTTTTCTGTTCTCCATGAATCGCCACATTTTCTTGTACGTTTCGATCATCGAATCCTGCGAAAGACACCGAAATGGTGTAAGGAAAGAATGAAGAAATGGAAAGAACATTCAGAGAAGATGTCATGTAGCAAACAGGGAATGATCCTAGTCATTGGTAGAAGAAAAATAGAAGGCTTAATGAGTAACTAAAACTTCTAAAGAACATTTTGCAACAAAGACTACAAGCAAAAGTAAAGGAAGTGACTTGTATAAGCGATAAGAATAAAATTACCAGTACGTACTCTAAAAAAAGTCATGGTAGATCCGCTCTCCAAGGTGCCGTAAGGAATTTCCGTTTGCGCCGCCAAATCCTCGGCGTTCTCTATGGGAGTGATCATCCTTTCGACCGTCAGGAAAGCAGCCAAGTTCGCCGTGTACGAAGATATAATGATCAAAGTGAAGAACCACCAAATACCCCCTACAATTCGAGTCGACGTAGCCTGCGCGAAAACTATAATTACCGCAATTCGGATCTGATTTGTTTCAGTCGAAACACGAACCTTGGGATTCAAATCGGACCCCTGCTGCATGAGCGTGCCGATGGTGAACCAGAAGGAATTGGCCAGCGAGAACTGGTTCTTGACCAGTTCGTTGTCGATCTCGCAGGGGTGCGGGTTCTGCCATTCGCAGGGCGAGAACCTGGCCACCACGAACATGGTGATGGACACCAGGACGTAGGCGGAGAGCACGTACAGCCATATGTTCGTCGCCAGGGGATTCATGAAGGAGAACAACTTGGCCTGGCGGCTGCTGGGCACCTGTGCGAATTTTTTTTGTTCTACTGTATAAGTTTGTAGGTCGGTGTTTGTTTCAATAAAACGGCCGTTCGGATTCCGTTGTCGTATTTAATATGGTCGCGTAGCGTACGAGGAGAGAATGCGATAGAAAAGATGCGAGGAATATAGTGCTCTCTGAGCGCTTATAATACGTTCGCGTATCCCATTAACATAGTGACCTAGAACCTTTATTTTCGCTTACCTTGAAAAGAATGCTGATGCCGAGATTCATGAAGGGTTTCGTGAAGTCTATGACACTTTCCCGGGCGTAGTTGATTGTCATCGATCCCACCGCCAAATCGGCTTTCTGAAGAGAGAAAAAAAAACGGAATCGCAAAGGCATTGTTAGAATTACAGCGTGGACAATATCTAACGATTTTTAAATGTATTCATGTTATATAAAAAAAACTATAATCAATACAAGTATAACACCTGTAAGTGATAAATAGTTAGGAGTGTTTTCGTCAATATAGCAGATAAAAAACAATCAATACATGTGTTTGGAGATAAGCCGAAGTGAGCTAAAGTAATTAACGAACTCGTTAAGATATAAATTGCGATATAGCGAGTCGATTTTATCGGGGGGACTTACGTGCTGCATCAACTGCAAAACCATTCCGTTCCATAAGCCGGTGTTCGGATCCCGAGCGCCGTACTTCCTGTCTGGCACCAAATCAAGCAAATAATCGAATCCGACTTCCTGGGAAATCCTGTCCAGGATGTCGATGCAGAAACCGTAAAATCGACTGTTGCCGGTGAAATTCTTCGCCGTGTGCATCATCACGTAGGGCATTTCCTATCCGGCAAACGTCGCATAAATATTCCTGTTTTTTAATACTACATCGAATCTAGCTTGGCAATCGAATCTTTCTTGGCAAGAAAGGCGAAATCTCTCCACCATCTCGACTCGTCTTTAAAATTTTTTAACTTAAATTAGTCCAACTGCCAAGCTACATTTTCTGGTGCTGGGATATAGTTTTACTCTATTTACCAGTATAGTGGTAACGACTAAAGTGACGTTCATCGTGCCGGGATCGAAAAAAGCCGCTCTATCGGTGATATTAACCCCGTTGCCCGGTTGCCATTCGCCTACTTTTACCAAAGAGGGTTGCTTGAGCTTGAGCAGGTCTAATTTGAATTGGATGCGGCGGCCTTCTTTGAATTCAATCGGTCCGCTCAACCCCTTGATTTCCACCTGAAATTATCAACGACTCTTCCTACAAGGTCTACCTAAATATGAACTATAGACTTATATGTATAGACCCATACACCCTGTATAAACAGTGTTTAAATTAGGAGGGACTTTCCGGAAGGAACTTACCGAATTAATGTAATTGATGAGGCTGAGGCCGCCGTCCCAAGGTTGTTCCTTGTCGCAGGATAAATTCGACAGTTTCAACGTATGGGACTGCTCTAAAGTCTGCAGCCCCACAGCGAAGACGTAAACAGAGTCATATATTAGAGCCGGCTCGGCCTGGAAGTAAATAATTAGCCCTCTAATTAGTTCCAATTGACCTTGGCTTAGATAAGTATTAGCCCGTACGATTAATTGATTAGCATATCGAGTATACTCGAGTCACTAAGTACTTGTCACTGAGCAAATAAATGCGTTTTATCGCATTTTTTCAATTTCAAACATCTATATAAATCAATCAATCAAGAGAGCCTATCATCAAACTGAATAAAAATGATGAAACTGATTGTAGTGATTTTGTTTGCAATTACTGTTGGTAAGTAAGTACACATTTATTATAGAAATAAAACTCATTGCAAAATTCAATCGATTTTATTGCTATCTATTTAACATCGGGATCAATCAACTTAAATTTAAACGTCGGATAAGTCCTTAACCTAAGCAATTCCAATTCGGTTTGGAGAATCAAAATGTCGCTTTGGTTCTTCTGGATTTTGTTGACCAAATCGCCTCGCTTGATGATGGTGGTGAAGCGTTTCTTCAGTCCCTCGCGTTGGATGTCGTTTAAGTCCGGGTCCAAGTTCAGCTTCAAAGCGCACACGTCGATGTTGATCTCGTGTATGGTCTGATCCAAAGCCTTGTTGCTCTCTTGGTAGGAGTACAGCTGCTTCTGGAGCTTCTTCAGCTTCTCCCGTCTGCTGCGCATGTGCGTTTCGAACGTCGTGTTCAACACTTCGATTTCCTTTTCCAGCGATTCCGAGTCCTTACGGCCCATCGCTCTTCCTCTCAAGTATACCTAAATGTACTACATTCACACAAAAGCAATTCGATGGTAATTCATACCGCTTACCTGCATGTCCCTGAGCAACCTGGAGGCGGCGATGTCGTTCAGTTGCTCGATCAAATCGTTGATGGTCATCCGAAGCTGTTTGTGATACCATTCGGTGGTGATGATCCTCCGCCTAAAGGCCATCGTCTGTTGGATGGTTTTGATCTTCTTGTTGCCCGCTTTCTTGATCAGCTCGTTGATCTGTTCGATCTCGTTCTTCGGCACGAGTATGGCGTCGGTGAAGTCGTTCATCAGATCGCCGCTGAGCGGTATCTCCACCAGGCCCTTCCTCAGCACGATCTGCACCGGGATGTTGTTGATCTGATAGATGAACTTCTCCTTGCACTTCCGCAGCTCGACGGCCAGCTTCAGGTTTCGCTCCTTCCTCGCGGCGAAGCGTTTCTGATGGTGGGCGACGACGGTTTCGCCGTCGGTCACCTGCATTTGGCACGCCTTGGTCTTCAGTTCGCATTCTATGCGCAACCTGCGGTGTTTGCAGATGTTCTTGAACATCAGCTCGTCTATCGAAGGCGGCACGCCGACGTATTCGTCCAAATGGTTGAGGGCTTTGAGGAAATCGATGCAATCGTGGGGTAGAATCAACGATACCTCTTGCGACAACACGCACTTGGCTAGTTCTAATAGTATGTTATTGGAGGAGGCTTGTCGTAAATTGTACTTGGGTCGTCTCCTGTACACTTTCAACGCTTGTTCTTGAATTGGCGTCGACATCGATTGTATATCTTTTCTGAAAGCTTTCTCTAAAGCTTTTTCCTTGGCGTTCATCGCCTCGAGGTTCGTCCGGCATTCGTTGAGCACATCGTTTAGCCGTTTAACGGTTTCGATCGTCTCCTGATTCAACTCTTCGATCTGCTCCATACTCCTTTTGATACGCACCTCCGTTTTGTCGGTGTTGATCCGCTTGAATTGCGTCCAGCGCATCTGCAACACCCTCAGCTGCTCCTGGTTGATCGCCGAATCCATAAACATCTTGTACTCGACGGTGTCCTTGAGTTTGTGGTTGAATTTCCTGATGGTGTCGCGCAACGACAGGCATATCTTGTTGAATTCGATCTCCAGCATGTTCTTGTAGCGCTCGCGCTCGTTGTAGAGGAATATCTTCTTGTCCTCGTACTCTTTGATGTTGCGCTTGTCCTCGTCGGTGTACTCGTTCGGTCGTTTCTCGATCATGCACTTGGGCATGGGTATTTCCCGTTTGAGCTCGTCCTCCCACTTCACCTCGAGCACGCCGCTCATCATCGCGTAGAGCGCCTTGTCGCGAAAATCGTCGGCCGCCATGGCCTTTTGGATGCGCTCCTCCTCGGCCGCCTTGGCGTCGATGAGCGCCTGATCGCTGGGACTCACGTACGGCACGGCGGTGATCTCGCTGTCCGACACGCTCAATATCAAATTGATGTCCTCCTCTTGCGTCCACAGCGGGTCCTCCACGTCGAAGTCGATCTTGGCGTCGCTGAAGTAGTTGAACTCTTTGATGATGTAGCGCAGCCGGGCGTGCCGCGCCCGCACGTTGTCCATCTCGCGTATCTTGGCATCGGCGACGTTGTTGAACAGGCCGTTGTAGTGCTGCTTGAGCTTGATCACCTCCTGGTCGGTGATGGTGCTCTGCAGGTCGCACTGGTAGAACGACACCAATTGGCGTTGCTTGTAGTGCCAGGGGTTGCGATCGATGTAGTTCTGCGTGAGGCAGCCGGTGAGGGCGGCTTGGGACTCGGCCGATAGCAGCGTGGTGCCCTCTTCGAGCATGATCTTCGATAGTAGAGTGTTGTAGTCTAATTTGGTGAATTTCGGTCGATAGCTCAGTATTGATCTCAAAGTCTCTTTGGTCATCGGCAGCCACGGTTGGAAGAAGCAGCCGAGCAGGAGGAACTCTTCGATTTTTCGTTGTTCCTCGACCCAAGTTATCCGTTTGATGCATTCCTCGCTGGGCGGTAACAGGACATATATCGAGGCCATGGTGTTTTGGGATATGCCGCGAATCACCTTGCCCTTGACGTCCATGGGCTCGTGGTAGGTGTTCATAACGTATTTGCTCACGTTGTTCTGCGCTTCGATTTGAGCCCTGAAGTGGGCGCTCAACCGTTTGCACTGTTCGCGGTTCTCCGTTTTCTTTTTATTGAAATTTATAGCGTCCAAATAGAATTCGAGCAGATCGATGCGCATCGACGGCGGACCTTCGATGTTCTTCGTCACCAAGTCTCTGATCAACACGCTGATCTCCTCTAACTCTTGGAGTATGGCGTTCCGTTCCTCCTCGCACTCCAACCGTTCCTTTTGGAACGTTTCGATGTCGTACAATTCGATCCACGTCTTGGGCGTGTCCAAGCCAATGGTGGGTCTCTTGAACATCAAAGCGAACCGATCGGATTTCATCTGCTCGATCAAACGTTGCTTGATTTCGCCGTCGCCTCCGTCGCCGATTTTCGTGCAACAAAGCGTCTTGTCGTAGCCGAGAGTGAGCACGTAGGTGCCCGTTGGATCGACGTACGCCATCCTCACGCCCAGATCGCTCCTGTGGTGCATCTTAACGGTGGCCACCAACTCTTTGATGTAGATATCTCTGACGATGACGATCCCGTCGTGCGCCCAAGAGGTCGAGTAGTACTCGCCCAAGCTCATCTCGAATTGTTGCAACAAATGGCCGCTGTTGATCGTCGATATCACCTTGACGAACGGATCGCCTCGCTTCGTTTCCAGCTCGTGTATCGCCCTCGAATTGAACGGCACCGCGTACATCACCCTGTCCCTGTTAGGTTTCGGCGAGGGTCTCAGGTTTCTGTAGAGCGCCGTCTTCGATTCGAATACATATTGCTTCACGTTGACCGTTTCCAAGCCGGTGATGCAATAGCGGATGATGGTGTTGCCGGCCATGTGTTCGCAGGTGACCGGCAACACGAACAACCTGTAGCAGTTTTTCGAAGCCACTACGATGTAGTCCAAGACCTGGCGATTGACGAACACGTGCCCGACCACTCTCATCTGCGTGCCGGGCAATCCTTCGATGATGAATATCTCGCCGTCGTCCAAATAGGCGGTCACCATGAGCCGGCCTTTTTCGAAGTACTTGATTCGCTGGATGGTGTTGTGGCTGAGGTGCATGGACGTCATGAGGGAGAGCTTCTCGGGTTTGTAGAGGGATATCAGATCGACGTAGCCCGGCTTGGCGCAGACCGCCAAGTAGGGGAAGGACGGGTTGGCGTTGAGCGACTTCGCCGTGGTTTTCAGCTTGTATTCGGACACCAGGTCGCCCGATTCCGTCTTGAGCACGTCGAGGTAAACGTGGTCTCTGAGCGCCACGATGTAATCGCCTAGAGGCGATACGAGGCAGAGATCGTCGTAGCGACAGGCCGTGCGGCTGACGTGCCTGAAATTGCCGTTTTCCTCGATTTCCACCACCTCGCCGTTTTCTTTCACTCCGAACGTGTGCCCGTTGATGATGAGCAATTTAGTGATGTGCGCCTGCAAGATGAAATGAATTCCTTCGGGCTCTTTATAGGCAACAACGTTTATGCACCAAAGCATCCTAGCATGAATTCCTATCCTAAGTCAGACCTAATTGTAAGTCTAAAATCAATTTGCACCAACTAAAAATCTCTTTCCTGTGACACGAATAGATCACAGATCCTAGGTTGTCGATTTCTACGACTTAAGACAAAAAAGTTAACCAAAAATATGAGAATTGTCGGGACAGTTGCAAAGTTATAGATATAAATGCAAATATTGTGGTTAATGTAGATATAATAGGTGATGTAGAGGAAGAAATTAATGTGGTAAATGTTCCTATGCAACGACAAATTCGAATAAGAACTAATTGTTTTGAAACATTCTCGGGTGAAGAATTTTTTAAAAGGTTTCGTCTGCAAAAAAGAACGTCCCTACAAATATTTCAATTTAACCGAAAATTTAATTATGAATGTACTAATTTCTAGATTACAGGTTACAGGATATGTTAAAACCACAACTTCTTCTTCTTTCGATCTTTTTTCACTGGTCCCAACAACTAATAGGTTATTTTAACACTTAAAACGACAATCATCTCCTTCTTTTCAAGTTTTAAAACAGCCCTTATCGAACATGGTGCAACATATTCCAATCTTAAATAGATCACACATTTAAGTCAGACTTACAATTAGATAAAATATAACCTAGGATATATTGGTGCAACCGGCCATAACCTACCTCGATGTCGATGCTTCTGTTCAAGACGAATTCCCCGGGTAGTTTCCTGACGTAGTGCCTCATCGTCTTGTCCGGTCCGCACACCAAGAACCCGTTCTTGTACCATTCGAACGCCGGCGGGCTGGGCCCCGAGATCTTAACGTCCAGCACCTTCTCCAACGAGTACTCGTTGTCCATCATGTAAATGGTGCCGAATTCGTCGCACACGCACATCGAACCCTCCGGCGTCCACACCACGGAGGTGAAGTTGCCCGTGCCGTCCGTGGCGGAGCTTTGCACGATGTTCTGGGTCATGTGGAACTCCTTGCAGCACATCTGGAATTCGTACATGGCGATCTTCTTGGTGCCGATCCACAGGTCGATCATGTTGATGGGTTTGGTCCAATTGCAACGGAGCACGTGTTTGTCGCATTCCGCGTACGTGTCCATCTACAATCGCTTCGTTTATTGAGTATCTAAAGAGGATTTCTTCCTACTTACGGTGTACAGTTTCTGTTGCGTCACCCAATCCCATACGGATATCGTAAACTTCGGGTAACTACTCAGCATGATTATCAATGTATCGGTGAAGGTTATGTACGAGTAACCTTCGGGCGCCTCGTCGCCTTCGATCTCGAAGATGTCCTCGAAACTCGGATAGGTCTTCACGAACACCCTGGGATAGGCGCAGTTCTCCGAATAGGCGAACACGTTGAGCACTTTGTGGCCTCGCACGGCGCCTATTCCGTCGCCGTTGCCTTGCGGCGAGTTCGCCAAGAATATCTTCTCGCTTCTGGTGTTGGTGTCGTAGAAGATCAACACGCACCCGCCGCCGTATATCAGAATGTCCTTCGATAGCTGGTAGAAGAACTTCGCGTCGCCGATTTTCGCCCAAACGAACGAATTGTCCGTATGCATGTTCGCGGTTTTGGTGTATCATCAACACATTGGTTGTAAAATTATCGCGTTTGACGGTTGACGGTTAGCTTTCGATCAAACCGATCGCCTAGCGACCTAATCGATTGCTATTAAGGGAAGCTTAAAAGTGCGTTGGATAATTTTAACACTGCTGCACAGAATACAAAACTTATTTGTTTTATCACTAATTTTATGTTGCTGTTTTATGTTCTCCAGTGATAATTTGTTTCAGCAATAACTATTGCTTCGGACGACCCGCAACCGACGAAATGCTACCACTGCTCGTTGATCGAAGGGGAAATTTGCAATAAGCCCGATTTCACCTGGTTAGGCGTACAGAGTTGCGATGACATTCCCACCAATAAAAACACCACCGATAAAGTCGTTTGCTACACCGTCACGGCGACATGGCGTAAGTAAAAACCAGCATTAGAGCCCGATTTCATGAAGATACTCCAACTGGTCCTTTATCCTCTTTGAAATCGGCTCTAATAAAGGCGATTAACGGTGTTTAAAATGAGTTTTTGTCTTCAGTTGGACAGCCGATAACGGAAAGAGGATGTTACTACCAGGAGATGGAAGGAATGGATCTTTGCACTTACTTCAACAAAACCGAAGCCAACGTACCGTTCACTTTCGACTACAAGTGCAAATTGTGCTACAACGATTTGTGCAACGGATTACCATCCAGATAGTTCCGATCAAATTGTATACTAATTCAATGCGATCAATAAAATCGTGCATTTAACTGTTTTTGCGCTGATTGGAGCCGCTCGAAATCGATTCCTCAACCACTTTCTCCGGTACGTGTAAACGTAAATTGAGGTCCTTTCGGACTCGGAACGAGGGGGTGCTCTCTTTACGGCGCGTTCGACTCGATATTCGCGATGGAAATTCGCCCGGAACTTGTAATTCAATATCGCCGAATAGGTCGATTAATTAAGCGGCGTAGCGAAGTTAATTGTAATATAGAATCGAGCGAAAATTCGTAACGTAATCTTCGCAACGTTTTTTCGTTAATTGAAACAGAAAAAAATTTAATAAGTCTCGGTCGTAAGGCGGACGGGGTCGGACGTTCCCTTCATTAACAACTCCATTCCGATCCGAATATCGCATAATTAATTTTCCGGGGCGTCCGCTTCTTCAATTTTCCCGGCGCGTTTTTTCCTCCAACGAAGCAATTCCGATACCGGTTAATTGATTAAAAACTTCCGAGCTCTAATTAAACCCTTTCCGATCGAATAATAATCCACTTACTTGTATGTAAGTCCCGTTCGACGCGCGGAGCTCCCTGTTGGGCTGGAACTTGAGCATGTTCCTGATCGTCTCCTTCACGGCCACGTCCTCGTTGTCGACGATGCGGAAGGCCGTGATGTTGACGAAGTTGTATTTGAAATCCTCCAAATCGATGGCCTCCAAGTCGAAAGTGGTGAACAGGTAGTGGTATTTGTAGTCGTTCATTTGCAGCTGCAGGATCTGCGCATAAATTTGTACGCGAATAAGCGGGAGTTTAAGATGCGTTCGATGATACATTAATGTCAAAATCACGGTCGTATATTTGTAAGGTCTGGAAACGTAGGACGAAAAAGTGTCCCGTTATTTGAGGATAAATATACTTAAATCAGTTAAATCACTTAAATGTTAACATTTTCTCCTCGAAATGTCAAAAAATAATTTTTAAAGTTTTGACAGCTCGAACTGTCGTTTCACACCACCGCGATTTATATGTAGCGCGACGCTGATTGGCTGAGATAAAATCAAAATTGCATAAATCAAAATTGACATTGAAATGACATTTCGTATGACAGAACTTTAATGGAGGTGGGAATAAATTTTGTTGGTATAGAGGTACAGTAACGACTGTTACAAAATACGCGTTATTTTTCAAATGTATTCTAGTTTGCAATGAACTCAAACATTTCCCTTTTTCTGTTGACTTACGCCTTTCAAGAAGTGCCGCAAATTCACGGGTTTCGTATCGATGACGATGTTGCGGATTTCTTTATTCTTGATCTCCATCAGCACGTCCTCGTAGGAATCGGGGCTGGCCCGGCGCAGATGGATTTCCAGGCCGCCGTTCTGCGAGGATCCCACCAATTCCCTGAGCTTCAGCAGACCTACAAACGCCGTCATTCCAGCTAATTTCACCCTTATCTCGCCCGAATTTACAGCAATTACCGTAATCCTTCTCGTAGATGACGGCTATCCTCGTCCAGTTGAGGAACGCCATGACGTCCTGGAAGGCGTTGTTGAGCAAATATTGCGTGGGATGGAGATTGATGGAGAACTCCCTGACGTCGGCGTCGACGTCCAGCCGGGCCTCGATGTGAGGGATGTCCAGCGCGTCGCATATCGAATGGATGTGAGCACCTAGCAGGGGATCCGAGGGGCCGAAAATCGCGTGCACCCCGTACTGCACCAGCTGGCAGGCTGGCGGATAAATCGCGATGAGATTTTTGTTTGTTTTCGCTCGTGTTTTAGAGGGTACTAAAGCGTTGATTTTTTGGATAAACGTTTCCGGCAGATTAATGGCCGGAATGGCAGGGAAGCGTAATAGGAGGCGGTGCATTTTGTTTTATTTTTTTTTTGGATTCGCGCGCTCACCTTTTTTGCTGGCGTGGAAACTGTCGTCGCGAGGCACGTATTGGATGTCGTACACGAGGGATGTGTACGGGAGCAGCGTTTTGTCTTTGTTGATTTTATGGATGGCGTATTTGAATGCCAGCTCGTTGGGGCCGTTTTTTTCCTGCTCGGTGAAAATCGCACCTGAAAAATATAGATGGGATCAGTTCGCCGATGTGGGGATAGTTTTGGAACGGATGCAAATAGAGAGCGCAAAAGGGATTACATTAAAAGTGAAAAAGTGGAACTTAAGATGCGTTGAATGATACATAAAAAAATAGTAGAAATTGACAGTAATGACATTTTTTATGACAGAAGTTTAATAGAGGTGGGAATATATTTTGTGGTATAGAGGTGTAGTAACGACTGTTACAAAATAATCGTTGTTTCAAATATCGTTCTGTTGATTACAATACACTTCTCTACCATACTTTACAGCGTAAATTGTTCATTATTGCACTGCTTTTTAAAACAACTGAAACATTATTTTCTTGCCAAATTTATGCAGGATTAAAATGCTCTCAGATAATAAGCAATGTGTGCTTTTTAAATTGCTAATTGGATATGGACTATTACTCGATGGATTTTATTTAGATTTTCATGATGAAATAAGCCAATTATGCAACACTTTCGAGAAAAGTGGATAATTTAATGGAAACAGCCTTGAATAAAGCGAAGGCTATTCGGAATTTAATAAACTACCACATTAGTGAGATATGATTTATACACCCTCTCAGAATTTTATTATGGGCATACATTAGAATATTATCGATTGGCGAATTTTCCCCTCCGGGTCCATTTCATCTCGTCCCGACGATTCGAGTCGAAAAAAAAAAATAGAATAAATTCGATTCGTTCGAATCGGGGTCGCCTAATACAATTTCCGAAAAAAACCTTTTTTCTCTCCTATAGACGCACCTAATTCCTGTTATTGCCGACGTCTATTGTAATTTTTGGCGTTTTATCCGCCCGTATTTCCATATATCTCCGATTCCCATGGGGATTAGCGGGATTTTCCCGACGTTCGAACCGCCAAGAAATCCGAGAGGATTCCAAAGTCGACACGTTGAGTGACACTTAAACATTTTTTCGGAGTTTTGTTCACACAAAACGCGACGATTTGTTGTCGTTCGCCAGAAAGCGATTCGTAATTTGATTATATTATTAGCCCTCTTGCAAGTCTCCAAATCTATCAGTTTCTCCTACAATCAATCCTTTAGAAACGGATTAATAAATCACTACCTACGGACTCCAGCGCGACGGGAAAACAAGTCGTAGATCACGCAAATTTGGCACGGAGTGCCGGTCGTTCGGGCGATAAGTTCGGAGCGAATCCGGGCCCCGCCGGGAACAGTGAGAACGTACCTATTTTGACGGCGGGCGGCAGGGAAGAGGCGGCCGCTCGGACGACGGCCAGGACGCCGGCGACGAGCCCGATAGCTGCTCCCAATCGCTCCCATCTGCTGCTCATGGCGACGGGGAGCCCTCGCTCCGGCCACCTAGCATCTCACCGAAGGCGGAACTGGAATCAAAATGCCCAATTTGACGAAATAATTCGAGCTTGCGAAGCGGTCGAGGTCGAAAATAGATCGCCATCGATCCGCGTGTAGTTGCACTTATACAGTCATTGAACTAGAAAGTTGAGGGTTTTAATAACAGGGTGCTCATAGTCGATGTAAGTGAAGCCGTAGAAATTGCCAATGCAGGAATGAATTTTTATTAATGTGCGCGGATACTTGCGGGTAATATTCAATCGATGAGCGCGATCGATGGAAGAATTGAGAAGGGAATCGAAATAAAATTCATTGAATCAACTAATACTAAATGAAAAGTTGTATTACGTACCTTCTATCGAATAAACTTGATGGAAATGTTAGTATATCCTAACAACCCAACGAACTCCGATAAAAAAATTATCCGGCAACCCTATCACGAAAGCAAACACCGACGAAGATACCGCCGCGAGAGGAAGATATATTAATATAAAAGTTTCGCAACGAATTACCTACTCTAATAAACTTTCCGCGAACGGCGCTAATTAAATTCCTCGGCGAATTCGACTTTTCCGGCGGGTTGTTTTCCTCCGGTTTTCCGAGCACGCGACGCTTCGCAGGCGGATCGACGGGCGCCCGGAACGCTACTGATAGATAAAGTTTCACGACTTTCGGGCAACGTCTGGAGGCGTCGCGACGGCTACATAACAAGCGCAAAACTTTCGGAAGTCGCCGACACGTGCTGTGTTCCTTGTTTGTATCGCGCAGAGAATTCGGACTGGGTAGGTGCAAAAAAATTGTCGAGCCCCGGGAAATTCGCGATATACGGGGTGTTTCTTTTATCCTGCTAATTATAAGTCATAAAGCTGGGTTTTAAATGTAATGTGAATGGAATAAAACGCACTTTTTTACACAAACAAACGTTATATTTTTCATATAAATACAAATAAACAATTCGATAATAGATATAGCACAGTGGTAAGCTAAAAGCAATTCGATTTCGAACAGTAACATACTAAATAGAGTTCGGATTTTACGTAAAGTATTATCACTACTATTTAGGCTTCTTTTGCTATTTTTTGACTAACTTTTAATGATTTGAGTTAGCAATTTCCCGCAAATCCAACTCTACTAATAAATAAATTATAATTTGATGTAACCAGAATATTTGATGAATGTATTAACTTGTTGGGACATCATATGCAAAAGAAATAATAAAAAATGTTTACAATAAAATAATCCGAGACAAAAATAAAACCTTTTTTATTGTCGACATCGAGTAAAAAGCAACAGTTTATGTACAGGTAAAAAAAATACACACATATACAAGTAGGCATTAGCTAGTGAAAAAATATACACAGTTACATTCTTAGGGAAATTATCAAAGAAAGGGACGATGCTAAAGGGTTATTTACATTAGGCACGATAATTTAAAACGTCCTGTATAAGTACGTAACGCATTTCGTTACAACAAAGTACACTAAAGACTAAAATTTCCATTGGAACTAACCTCATCTTTCAACAAATAATCTACCTATTTACGTGGCCAATTCTCTAGTAAATTATGCAGAAACTTAATTATCGATATATTATTATAGGTATACTTTGACCAAAATAAACCCCTTAAAATTTTACTTTTGGCACTGCAATCACTTCGCACGTTTTGATTGTCTTTCGACGGTTAATACAAAAATACATTACGCTACTATCACAAAAATAATTTAACTCATTTCGAGTCCCTTCCTTTAATACTTTGTACTTAATCTACGACACTGATATGCACAATTCCACGAAAGACAATGTGAAATCGAGAGAGACGCGAAATTAAGTCCGGAGCTTTCGCCGATTCGGCCCAATCGAATCGATATATCGATTTATTTGCTATAGGGAGACTTTAAATTCACGTCTCGGTTCTCATGAGGAATGTACGCACAGTTATGGCAAAACTTTTAAAATTGACGTTTACATATTCGCCCGATTTGCAGGCTGCTTGAGAGAATCACTTAACACTTATCTTTAATAAGTATACATTACGAACTTGTTAGTAGTTAAATAACAAATTATAACATGCTCCGAAATCGGTTTTATACAATTCGTAGAAAAAATATTTCTCCTGCAATTTGTCCAAAACCAATAAGATTTGAATTAAGGATCAGGAAGCGAGTATTAAAAATATAATGTTTCACGAATTTGTACAAATACTGACTGAAATATTACTCTGTTTAAAATCATACTTATAGATATGTATAAAAAAATATTAAATAAATGTAAAACTTAACCGAAATGCTATAAATTAGCGTAAAAAATATAATACAAATTAAACCTTCATTTCAAAAGAATATGTATACACAGGTTGTCCCCAAATTATGATACTAATATGCTTAGTTGTACGTTAAAAAAAAATCGTATAGAAATCCATTCGATGATGCAAATTTACAGGATAGTATAAAACCTAACATAACACACAACAGCTATAATAAGATTGACTTCTGGTTTAGAATCTAGTGAACCATTCGAAGATACAAAAGGCAATACTTACTACATTTTCAACAAATTTCAACGAGACAAACACCGCCCTTCGTACTCTTCTATCACAAAAAATACACATTTACCAAACAACCAAGCGGGGTAATTAATAAATCAACAGCCTCCAACTCAATCCTCGTTCCTCGACTGCTCCCTAAACTGCTTCATGGCCTTGTTCCTGAACCGCCTCTTCGCCAACTCCGACATCGCCACGGGCCCCAAATGGGCCACCTGCGGAGACGTCGCTATCGCTTTAAACGTGGCAGCCACCGCTTCCTAAAAACCCACACGAAAATCAAATAAGCTCGACGAGAACGGAGCGGAGTACCTTCAAATGGGGCGCGCTCGTATTGGCCGCCTCGGCGTGGCTCAAATGCTGCTCTTTCTTGTGGTGCTGGTGGTAGAAGGCCGAAGCGCGCCTCGCCCACGGGTGCTTCACGATCTGGGCGGCGGTGGGGCGGCGCTCGGGCAGGATGTGCAGCATATCGGACACCAGCAGCTTCGCCTCGCTGCTCACCTCGCTCAATTTGCCGCACTGCCACAACAAAACGTTACGTGAGTATTAAAATCTACGGCGGGGCGGCGAACGTACAGATAGATCGATGGAACCCGAGCTGATCCGCTGCAGGATCTTCTGCGGGCTGTCTTTGGATGTCATGCTGAAGGGACAGCGGCCCGATAGCATGATGTAGAGGATGACGCCCAGCGACCAGATGTCGCAGGCGGCGTCGTAGCCTTGGCGCTTGAGGACCTCCGGCGCGGCGTAATTGGCGGTGTAGCAAGGTGTCATAAGAAGACCGTTTTCGGCTCTCAACTGGAAACGAATCGGTTAGAATTTTTTCATTCGTTATCTGGAAGCTTAGTTTAATTGGCAAGTTTAATTGATATCGCGTTTCTAATTAGCGGGATTTATCTTTTCCGGTAAGTTTGATTACAGGAGTATAAGAACAAGCGTTTTTTTTTCCTCGCGATAGATTTCTTTGCATCAAAATGCCACGCAAACAATTCATTTTCTTCCTAATTTGGATTATCGGCGCGAAATCTTTAGATGTACAAATAAAACCTCGTTATCGAAGCGACGCCATTCAAACTTACTGGCCCGAAACCAAACGCACGGAAACAGTTAATGAAACACCACAGGATAATCCGGAGGATCCCAATTTAATGGTAAGGTTCAAACATTCATCATCATCATCATCATAATATCAGCCTGCCTCGTCCACTGCTGGACAAAAGCCGCTTTAACAATCTTTGTTCAACTCATAGAATTCACCATTTAGCAAACAAATTTGCCCTTACCCACAAACTATTTGTACTTTTATACTGACTGTATACCCACTTCATAAAGGTCAGTCTTTAAATACCGATTACTCTTTCATCTATTTTAGAAGCAACTGTTGCGAAAATTCGGCGAAATGGCGAGTAAAATCGGCAATTCGGTAGGTTCAGGCGCATCGATAATCACAAACGCCATAGACAAAGTGTGCGAAGTAGTAAAAACCGTCATTCCTCTACTAACGGCGGTATGTCACGTGGGACAGTTTAAATTCTGCGCCGCGACGACCGGCGCCCCGGAGGGAATCAAACGAGCCGTGAATTCCGGTTACGATGAACTCAACCTCGACATACCGGATTAATTCGTTCGTATCAATTATAATGTACGTAATATGTAGATTTTTTTTATAATTATAACGAACCTGTTTGGCAAAACCCATATCACAGATTGTAATACTTTCGGCTGTTAAATCCTCCGAAGCGAAAAGTATATTGGCCGGTTTCAAATCCCTGTGTACCACGCCGTTCTCGTGTAAATACGCTATAGTCGAAGCCAATGTTTTCAGTATAGTCGCTGCTTCGTATTCCGATAGAGATTTCTACAAGAAAAAGTAACTCAAAACATTACTACTACTTCAAGAAACCGGAGGTAAGTTTACCCTTTTCTCCATATAATCCAACAAATCGCCACCTTTCAACAACTGAAGCACCAAGTAGATTTTACTGGTGTCCTCGTAGACGGACTTAAGCGTAACGATGCCGGGATGTTTCCCGTATCTCAACAAAATTTCCACCTCCTCGCGGCAATCGCACAACGATTTGTTAATGATCTGCAACGAAAAATTGTAATGTAACGCAACCGGCGAGTTATCACTCGTACCTTAACGGCGTATTGCTGTCCCGTCGTTTTGTGCTTAGCCAATTTACAGATACTATAACTACCTCCGCCGATTATGTCCAGTAAAATGTAATCGTCGAAGAAGTTTCGATCGACCGTCCTCACCGAATTCGTCGGCGTTTCCATTTTCTTCGGAAGATTGCCGTTTTCCAACAGACACGGCGCTATGAAACTAAATCTGCAAGTAACGCGAACATTTTTACATGCGTCAAGAATCTATTAATAAATATTTGTACCCTCTGAATTGCTCGTGGGCGTTGGCGCTGGCCGGCATGCCGGGCGAGTCCCTGGGCGTTTTACTCGTGAATTCCGAATCGAAATAGGCGTCCTCGGGACCGCACACGGCCGGTTGAAACGGCGGTCTAATCTTCTTCGCTAACAAAGCGTCGAAATCGATGGTAGCGAAGAATTCGTGGTTTTTCAAGTCTTCGATCCCGCCGGGTCCCGAGCACAATCGATTAGCGGGATTCCGCTTGAACAACACCCTCAGGAGGCTTTGGGCTTCGGGACTGAGATTGGCCGGCATGCCCAGTTTGGCCTTTAGAATTTGATTCATCGTTTCTCGTCTGTTGGTACCTTGGAATGGTAGCGTACCGGTGAGCATTTCGTACATCAATACGCCGAACGACCACCAATCCGCTGCGAAAGTGTGGCCTTTTCTGTTGACCACCTCCGGCGCCATGTACTCCACCTAACAAATTATGAATTAATATACTATTAAGCTTTGTAAAAAAAAGCACATACGGTTCCGCAAAAGCTGTACGCTTTCCCTTCTTCCAGAGGCAATTTCGAGAGTCCGAAATCAGTCAAAGCTATATGCCCGTCCGAATCCAACAACACATTTTCCGGCTTCAAATCCCTGTAAATAATTCCTAACGTGTGCAGGTGATTCAAAGCGAGCGCTAATTCTGCCAGATAAAACTTCACGTCCTCTTCGGTGAACATAACCTGGAGAAAAAGCTCATCATTATTCACATCGAATTCGCTGTAAACAACCTACTTCTTTGCTCAATCTGGAAAACAAATCACCGCCTCTGAGAAAGTCCAACACCAGATAGAGTTTACCTTCGGTTTGGAAAGCGTAATGCAATTTTACGATGAACGGATGTTCCACATCTACCAATATGTTCCTCTCTAATTTCGTGCGATGGCGGTCCCTGACTCTCAACGTGGCCTTCTTCAGCACCTTCATGGCATAGAGGGTGCCCGCGTCGGCTCCCTCTACCTTTCGGGCCAGGAATACCTTGCCGAACGAGCCCTCTCCCAGCACTTTTAGCAACTCGAACTGAGAGGGATCCGCTCTGTCGTGGCCGTTTCTGACCAACTGGAAATGCGATTACTAATAAATTACGAGGTATTAGTTGAAAATGTAGCCGGAATGTCTTACTTTGCAACCGACAATAACGTTTCTTATCCATTTTAACAACTTTACTTTACAACTCATTTTTAATACTAATTATTTGCTACTAGAGAATTTTTGCTTCGTACCTTCCTACTTCCATTAATTCTTAAAATTACACGAGATAGTGTAAAAAATGTTCGATTCGACTAACATATTAACACAGCTCGTTTTATTGTTGACTAGATTTTTAAATGGAGTTTTTAAAAAACGATGATGCATGATTAAGTCACGTCACCTGTTTCTTGTGAAAAATAATGGATGTTTTTTGGTTTAATAAAAAATAGTTCAATAATTTTTACCTCGCCCAGTTCGATTTCGTGTTCTCCTTCATTAGGTCCCGTTTCATCGGTGGAATTTTGATCTTCAGCTTCCCCGGACTGGGACTGAAATTAAGATTATTATAAAAATTAAATGCAACACAACCATTATGGGAAATTTGTTAGTTTCTCGAATTGAAATTATTTAGGTATATATTAGTTTTAATATCCAGTAAAAATTTTTTAACAGTTCTGTTTAAGAAAATCATTTTTTACCATCTTCATAACTACTTAATAAGATTAGTGAAAAAGTTAATATATGAATATAACAATTATTTTACCCTACATGCAATATAAAACGGGAAAATTTGTAACATGTTTATTCCTATTGTTAAACACTTAAGGTCACTTAAGGAAATTAAACCTACAATTGCCCGTAGATTACAAATTTTATTGTACAACCAGTTGTTCGTAATAATTGAGTATGATGTGTTCAAAGCAAATAACACAAATTCTTGTGAAGTTTTCGTAACAATTCAAAAAAAAATAAATTTGTGAGTTGATAAATTAAAACCAAAAATCCCAAGCATCGAGTGTATTTAGCTTATTACAAGCACGAGCTTATATGACGATAATCATGCATAAATATCGAAAATATGTTCTTGTTTAAAGGCCACAGAAAGTTACAAAAATAAACGTTAATTATTTACGTACAGATATAATTCTTAGGGATCTGGATACTCCAAAAGCTGCAAATGAACAAACTGGTTAAACAATTTTAAAAATTGCGCGTACGAGCGCGTTGTATTTAATGAAAATATCCGTGTCTAATGTAAATTTCGGTGCAAGTTTGAACAATGTTTTTTTCCGAACTAACCTCTGTATCGGCGTGATGAATTTGCCATGGCTCCACTGAATTCGCTAACGGCATAGTATACAATATTTGGACACGACTTGTGCCTTTTTACATCACCTTTTTAGAAAAAATGGCTAACAAAATTACTTTTCAACATAGAATCACATCACAAACATCAAATCATACATATAAAAAAAACATTGACGTTTACTCTTTGACAACTATGACACACGCAACAATTTTAATTAAATACCAACCACACCGACAAAACTATCAATGAAACCAAATTACCGAACGTGATAAAAGAAGACGTCAAATGTAATAGATCGCTACCTCTTCTTTTCTATCCGAATGACATTCCGACAAGTTGAAAAAGGATAAACATATATAAACCCCGGTATGGTTGCCAACGTTACTTCGAGTCGATCCCTCTCTTATCTAACAAGTATTTCCGGAACGTTTTTGCTCGCTTGCTTGTTTTCGTGGAAATTTGTAAGCAAGTTTGGTCGCGTTTAAGTTATAGGTCGCCTATAAAATTTAACATTTTCGTCTAGTAAAGTAAGTTTTACGCGTTCATTTCGTTATTTCTAGTCATAATGTCGGATACGGATTTTCTAGTCAACGTAGAAACCAACAACGGTAAGTCATTTTAGTTTTATAGTAATCTTATTGTGATTGCGAGTTCATTATGGTAACCTTATGGTCGGAGATTAAATTTATTTATTTATGTATATTTTATCGATTGGTGTAATTGATTCGTTTTCTCTAAGTTAACTGGTTATTAGTTCAAATGTTTGCATCTTGTTGAACTAAAATTAGGTTAATTTACAACAATGTTTAGTAAATAAACAACCATATTTCTGCGTAGTTTCTTGGAGAAAACGCAAAAGAGAAGAAGAAACGCTCCAATTAGAATTGAAGAAACCCCGAAGTTACTACTACCGATTAGCCAGTGAAAGCTCCAAGGGCTCCGAAGAAGACACCGAAAGCGTGTACAGTCTTCAGGGCCGGGAGACCGGTACGTCACAGCCACCCCGGAGAGTTATCGGCTGTTGCTAAATGAATTATTTTCAGACCTAGCTAAAGACACCACAGACACGGACGAGAAATCGGACAGCGACGATGAGTACGAAGTCATCGAATACGAGGTCGCGAGCTTGTCCGAAAGCGATCACGGCATTTTAGGAACAACCGAGACCGATTCGGACATCAGCGATTCGGAGGTGAGTACTCCTAATTAGTACCTAAGCGTTTCTACATCTTATCGGTATGTATTTAATGGATTATTCGCGCGTTACAGGTGTACATTGCGGCTATCGATGCGGTGTTCGATTCATCGGTGGAAACGTGGATAACGGACTGCGAAGAGTCCGATAACAGTTCGCTGGACGATTCGGTGGAAACTAGGTTGGGCTTTTCGACTTGCGTACAATGCAAATTTCAAAACGATAATCCGCTCTACAGATATTGTGAAAAATGTTTCCAGGTATATATCAGTCCAAGCGTTCCTTTAGGTTCGCATGATATCAGGTTGGCTGGTTTTTTGTTCTTATTGGCAACGCCGACTACGATTTTCCTGGTTACTAGATTTCTGATTGCGATTTTTGTATTGGATTGTTTCGATACTTATTCGTTAAACAATATGCTTTTTCACAATTTAATACGAGCCCGAGTTATGACATTTTCTTCTACCCACATGGGATATCTACCCCTTACCAGAATTAATACAAGTTCAAACAAGTTTTTCAATTATTCATTGTTTGTAATTAGATAACTAATCCACCATTGTTTTGTATATATTTACTTGTTTTGTTGATATGTTATCAGTCAAGTTTAAATTTAATTTATTTTTAGCTTTTATGTATCTTACAATTCACATAAAAGAACTTTTATATCCCTCCTATGCTTTAATAAACAGCCATCTATTTGTAATCCCTTTTCGCAGTATTATGATTCACCCCCCTTATAAATCTCATTCAAGTTTAAATCAATTCTATTGTGAGTTTGTGACTCAAGGAATTTTAATCTCTCGACTGGTCCAAACAAGTCGGTAACGCTCGACCGATAATTGCTCCACTTGTGTAATTCATGTTAATGTATTGAATTAATTTCGTACAAAAAATGCATAAGAATTGGTACACATAAGTTGTCATAAAGAATAGTTGTACTCCTGTCAACCGCCAAGGAACTCTCGAAAGTGACTATAAAGGGCGTTGAATGAAATGAAAAAATAACCGGAATCATGCGAATCTAGGAGTGACGTAGAAAACTAGCATATAAGTATTAAGTGATAAGTTTTTGTGTCATGTGATGAACTGCCTAGATATTTCTAATGAACTGGCTAGTGCTCATTCTGTACCTATTATTGGCGATAAATACACGCATTTGGGCATCAGGTAACGCTTAATACACTATTCAAATGGCAGTACACTCATACAGGTAACATATTTTATATTATATTCTTGTTATTTCTTCTACTAGGTGAGAGTGTAGTACGGTATTTAAGGAGTAGGATGCGAGGTAATGACAAAATTTGTTGTTGCCTCAACAAGTTGAAATATCCTCGAGTATTTGTCGAAATTGTTTTATTACAGAATATTTTTATTTTGAGCATAGGCAATTTATAATACCATCGACGAATGCAACAATTTTAACTATATATTTTTTTCTTTTTTTTAATGCCGCAGCAGACATGTAAACAATGTAAGAAGTTCAAGACTTACAAATGTTTCCCGTTGTGTATAGATTGCCACAAGGTGTGTTTCTAATCGAACAAAATTATTTTACCATTTCATTATACAGGCAGTCCCGCATTAGAACTGATACCGAGCAGGGCGTGTAGGGGAGCCCAAAATATGCTGTTCAACCCAACTTAATACAGTACATTAACTTTAAATAACTAAATTTTAGTTATGAGAGTACTGAGGAGAGATCAATTATTTTATTATAAAGGGTTCATCATGGATGATGCTCTCTTAAAATGTTACAGAATTGTTTTACCTGATGGATGATTTAAAAAATTATTAGTTCATTTCATTCATTACTTAAAATCCTCGATAATTCAAAATATAGCTGTAAGTTAAAGTGGAGTTAAAGAACATATTTTAGGCTCTCTCACAGGTCCCTGCTGTATCGGTTCTTACGCAGGACACCTTGTACATATTATCATACTTTGTTTGGAAAATTTATAAATCTTATAAATTTCCCCAACGAATTGTAACACCCCCTTTCGCATCGTACTAACCCGAATCCTTCGGAAAAGATAAAACGTAGTTAATGGTTCGATTGAAATCAACAGGACCGCAAGAAATTGTACCCGCCTCGTCCGAGGGCCACCAAGAAATCGAAGAGAAAGCAACGCGCCGAGCCGCCGGTGAAGCTGGACACGCTGCGCTCCTGCCTGAGCGGCCTGTCGTCGCAGGACTCCGGCCTCGGCTCGAGCTCGAGCTCATCCAGCCAGGAGTGCCCGCCGCTCGGCCTCGACCAAATCGTCGTGCCGGGCCGCCATCTCAAACCAGGTGAGTTTCGTCGAGTCGCACCGAACGGCGTGATGGTTATCGTTTGTCGTTTCCGCCAACAGGTACGAATAAATCCGATAAAATCGAGGAGAAGGATATCGAACGGGAGTCGGGCAGGAAGCGACGCGCTTCCGACAGCAGCCTGTCGGATTTCGATATCAAAAAACCGAAATACTCGAGAGCGATCGCGCCGAAAGAGGCGAGGGAAACCGACGGCAAGGCGTCGGTTTCGCTGAGCCAGGCGTCGACGGAGACGTGCTTGTCGTCGAGCCAGACGTCGACGAAATCGTGCGAAATCGCCCGATCGAATCGCGATATCGATCATTCGGACGTTTCGGCCGTATCGCCGACATCGGAGTTGTGTATAATATGTAACAGCGCGCCGAAAGACAGCATCTTCTTGCACACGAGGTTCGGCCATCAGTGTTGTTGTTACAAATGCGCCAAGCGGACATTGCACATGATGAAACGGTGTCCGATCTGTAATATGCCCGTTAACAAGGTGATAAAGATTTTCCAGGCCTAGCAGCCGGTAGGTAGATGGCGTTGGTATCGTGTTAACGTTAAGTTGGACATAGTAGGTGTACAGTTCGAATTGGAGTTTCTGTTTAATTTATTAAAATTTAGTTTGATTGTATTTTTAGCGAAACAGGTCTATGTTTTTTTACGCAGAGTGTTTATGGTTTTGAATGAATTTTGGAAATATCGGTATAGGCTGGGAGGTGTCTAGATGTCATTATAAAAAAAATCATATTTAGTAGATGTTATAAGTTGAGAGAAAACTCTACAAATGCTCAATTAACGTGCCAATTTTCTATTTAAAACTAAAGACATTTGTGGAGTTTTCATACAGTAACGAAATTAATTTGATACTATTATATTTTATTCGCAAAAGAGACATCTAGAAACTTCTTTTCGGAAATTTAAGAGTGACTAAGCCAAAGAGAAAAAATTAGTAGAGTTTTCCACGAAAAAGTGGAAAAGTTGTATATAACTGTTAATAATAATAATGTAAAAATTGTATGTTTGTTTATAAAAATAGAGCCTCTTAAATTTTTGAAGCGTCTATTATTATTCTTATTGGATAAATCGGGGCTTCGTTGGAAACGAGTAAATTATTCCAAGTTTTTTTTAGAATACCTCTCGTTTTTTCTTCTTCATTATGTTACACTAGAATTTTTTCTTATGTTAAATGTCATAAAAGAATTATCCTGGTGTATTTTATTCCAAAAATTGTAATGTACTATTCCGCATTCTGGTATCAATTTCATGTGCAATAAATATATAGATTTTAATTACTAATGGTTAAATAAATAGTTTTACACACTAGGTAAATAAGAACGTTTTTATTTTAATCGAGATTATCATTAAACCTATCCCGAGTGCTCGATTATCGGTAGTATTTTCGCAAGCAATTCATACATAATAAAGAATAATAAGGTACACAGATAAGTGCAAATTTGTTTGCACATTGATTATGTAATTCTATAAGTTACAGTGGTTAGAGTGAGAAAGTTTCATAATATCGCTCTTTTTTCTTTATATGAGACTAATTGAAGTTATCTTTGTTGCATCTTTTCTTGATTTTTCTTGCATTTTCTTGATTTTGACAAGTTTCTTAAGCATTTTTCAGTATTTTCTTACAAATTCACAAATTTTACATTGAGAAATCATTAATATCTGTCATAATTTGACGTTTCATTACGACGTGACATTTGACAACCATAGCACACTAATCGAAATTCTACGTTATGTTAAAAAAAACACATTTAATTGGCTATCGAAGCTTTGCATTAAAATTTCCTCCCTACCGAGATTCATCTTCCGGGAATTACCGCGTTGATTAGATCACCAGCTCATACGCGTCACGCGCCCTATACATCTCAGCCTCCTCGTCAATTCGCCCCCTTGTCTAGCATCGAAAACGGCTCGTAAAAACCTCGGTTTACGCCCGACGCGAAGGGTGAGGTCAGGCGCGCGTTTCCCATTCCACGATTCCATTGCCAGTCGCGATCCGTTTTCGAATGAGTCAGAATTCCCCGATGGGACGGTCGATCTCAGCGCGGCACGCGAAACTCGCCTCTACGCCGGAGACGCTTAGCGTCCTCATTCGACGCCCCTGCGGTGCGACGTTGACTGATTTCGGGTCGGGTTTTCCGAAGATTTTCACTAAAAAAATTGAATTTAGTTCTTTGATTGTCTCCTGCATCAATTCAGAAACTTCTGGAAACGTTAATTTCGATAAGAATTCCAGGATACTTTCTGGATGATTAGGTCATAGGAATAGTAATTCGAAATTTCCTGGTAACTTTTCTACAAAAAATCTCTTGAAACTGTGGTTTCTTATTCAATTCATGGAAAACTTCTGGATGATTAGCTCATAAAAGATTCTAATAGTAATTCGAAACTTTCTGGTAACTTTTCTACGAAAATCTCTTCTGGAAACGTTAGTTTCTTATTATTCAACAAGAATTCCTGGATTAGCTCACAGAAAAATACTCCCTGCTTCTACGTTTCATCTTCACGCCTGGTTGATTTCGTACTAATAACTATACCAGTGCAATAATTGCTCATAAAAACAACAGAATTTTCCGAATTTCCATCGATCTATCGGCCGCGTAGGGAGCGTCGCGTATCGTGCACGAGCCTTTTCACTCAGTATAAATCAATTCAAGGTATTTTTCAACAATACCTGGCCGATTACGCCGGCCCCGTGTTTTGTATTTCTGGCGTACAAATAAAATATATGGAATCCCGATGACTTCCGGCGGAGCTATGCCACATGATTAATTTGAATATTATTGAAAAATTTGTTTTACGCCTTTAATGATTTATCGATGGAACATTTTTTTATCTTGCCCCATTGCCAAGTTAAACGTTCTCTACATATCATTTATATGGAAAAATGTTTTCTATAGGCTATATCTCCGTTAATAATGCATCTGGAAGTTTGAAATTTGGTATCGTTAATGCCTAGACTCAGTACTTAATGAAACTATACTATTTTTTTATGGTCCATATACAGGGCGTTTAAAATTGCCTAACTAATAAGGACAACTTAAAGTAATCATAACTTTGTTAACTCAAATGCATCACCCTGTATTTTTAGACATTTTTATGCCCTATGGGTATTCCCTTCAATCTTCACACTCAAATCCAATCGTTAATCGAACCAATGCTAATTTTCTTCTCGAGTTATCTAGCTTTTAATACCTTCTGTACGCCATAACTTTGTTATTAAAATTACAAAAACTTCCCGAAATAAAGTACCCTAAAAATACCAACAATTACCACGTAATTTCGTGGCACGTTTAGTACAAAAAAATGCACCAGTGCGAGTTACCGTTTCGCGCGCGCGTTGAAATCTCCAGTTCAAAGAATAACCGGTACGTTTGACATCGCCGCCGGCCGTTTCATGAAATCGAACGGTCTTCTTTCAGTCGCTTCTGTTCAATTTCACCATTTCTGTTGGTGTCGGTCGACGAGCACAATCGAGTGAGAATCAGCTGTGATAGAACCGGTATATTCGATATCTCGTAAAGTTGCGATTTTTCCACGACTAGCCGTTCCTAGGACACGAAATTATTATCAACATATCGAAGGTAGGATTTTGGGAGATGCGTTTAATTGCGTTTAATTGTTAAATGGATGGTTTACGAGGGGTTCGATGGTGTTGGTTTGTTTTGCGTTTAATCCGCTTCTATTGGGTGGGGTTTGACGTGTATCGTGGTTGGGATTTTTGGATTTTTCCGGCAAAACGACCGATTTTTTTTCGATTATTATCGTTATTTGTACCATTTCTAATTCCTATAATGCGTAAAGTAAGAAACTTCAATCTAATAATTAGATATTTCATTAAAAATAAATCTAGTTGGGCCGCCAGATATGTACTTAAAAGTGCAATTAATAACGAATTAGATACCGAAAAATCGGATTTAATTTCAATTGCACTAAGTGCAAGCGCCATTAACTTGAATTTCTCTTTGCTTTGTTTCATACACTTTATGCTGGCGATAATCAAAAGGAAGTCGAACGATAAAAGTTCGATTTTCTTATCAACCAACTGTCTACTTAACGACTTTTTTCAAGATAAAAATTATTGTGAATGCTATTTTTCAATGTTTAGAATGAAATCGAGTTATTTGGAAAACCCGATTTTATCGCTAAAGGAATGCGGAGTTTCCAAAAATCAATCTTATAGGTACACTTTATTTTAATTCGTTATAAGTCGAGGAATAATCTTGTGCAGTTAGTAATATTTCTATTTATTATAAACTCGAAGTTTTCCCCGCCTATGCGCTGTTCTCTCAGGAGAACAAGGTTAACCAAGGTAGAAAAAAATTGATTAAACTAGGTCGCTCCTCCGACAAAGCCATATAAGTACTCACGGCGTTAGGTACTCGTATCTTGCTATCAGAATCTCGATGGTACAAGAACAAGTGTACGCGAAGACCATAGGCTTTCTTTTCTACTACTAATTCAGCCTTAACTAGACAAAAACTTTTCCAATTCGAGCATATGTGGAAAAACGACGAGTCGAGCTCATCAGAATGCAAAATGACGCTCGTACTCGTCCATCATCAGCATTCCGAATGTGTATAAAGCCTACCAGACGGTCGTAAAAACTCGCATTTCCTTCGTTTGTATCATATACACTTGCAGTGATCGATTGACTCCCAACTTTATACTACCCAAATATTCGCGTAGATAATTAAAAAAATGCTAATTGGGCGTATAGAATCATCGAATTTTCATAAATACCGTCACGCGGCGCGATTCTGCGAGCGGTACCGGCGCGTATTACGTGTGGAAAGAGCACCATACGTAAGTACCATATGGTCGACGAGCATGACGAGCGCCACGTCTGGCTTTCGGAAGGTGATTGACCACAAGCCAGCACCGCGTTTGCCCGCGATGGTTTCGATTTGGGCGTTGGAATTATCTGCGAATCAGGCGGTTTTCGCGGACTAGTCGGCATTCCTGAAATTTTACTGGTTTCGTTAGATTGATATATTTTTATGAAAGAACTGCAAAATCTGGTAAATTGCGCGCATTCATGTATTTATTATTGCGAATATTGGCGTTGAATGAACCAAATTAAAGGTAAAATCGAGTAGAAGAGAGTAGAGTAATGAGGAGAACGAAATTTGAAAAATAACGCTTATTTTGTAACAGTCGTTACTACACCTCTATACCAAAAAATTGATTCCCATCTCTATTAAACTTCTGTCACACAAAATGTCATTCCTGTCAATTTTGACTATTTTTTGTGTTTATGTATCATAGAACAAATCTTAAAGTCCATTTATTGGCGTACTAGAATATGTGCAAGAGTTTACTTTGCTGTAGATAAAAATTCTCAATCATGGAGATTATTTTTTGTGGATGTTTGCAGCGGGAATTTACATGCACAAATATTTGTCTCGAATTTGCGCGCTCATGTTTTTATGCGGCTAATTGTGTTTCTCGTCCCGATCGAAAAACGGCTTATCCATAAATGGATAAGCGAATCGTAAATACGCCGGTATCGAGTGTGAATAACTTTCTTATTTCGTTTTTAATATATACGCGCGTTTCGCAAGATTTAAATTCGGCCGAGCCGTAGATTTGGAATATCTCCATTTTTTCCATTTGAATCGAGCAATAATTGCCCGGCTTTCTGCTTTCGTAAATCATGCCCATAAACGAGCTAAATCGGCTCTGTGCGAGCCTGATGAAATTTTTGCGATTTGTCACGAACCAAAATAGATTTTTCATGGGAGTGTGGCTCGAAACGATCGGTTTACGGTCGCAATAACTGCAATTTTACCAATAATGTACGATATTGTTTTATAATTTGATAAAAATTGATGAATTCGAGGTCATTTTAATGAACGAGTGAAATATTATGAAGCACCCTGTATAAAGGGATCAATGTAAATTGACTTCTACTCTCTTCTATTCTACACTGCTCTACACTAATCTACTCTCTTTTACTCGACACTGCTCTATACTTTTCTAATCCACACTACTCTACTCCATTCTGTTCTGCTCTGCTCTATTCTACTTTTTTCTACTTGCCCAATTTCTGCGCCCAATTTACCACCGGCGAAGTAAAGTACCATAGTACCTACACTTATTTAAATCCTTTCAACCGTGTTATTTTGCATCAATTAAGTGAAATGGGTGATCGCTAGACCGCAAAACGGTTTACTAGAAAAAAACGGTTTTAACTCTAATTTACGAAAAAAAAACACCTCTTAATCATCTAGTAATTAATGCAAAATAAAACCAAATCACTCGACCGGATTATAATCCGAAAATAAACTATTTTCTCGAAGGATAATTCGAATCGGGATCGGTTTTGTTCGCAGATGTCTTGCTCAGTACCAGCGGCTCCGGCTCCCCCGTCCCTGAAGGACCTTCCCAAAGTGGCCGACGATCTCAAGACCGAATTGGAGCACTTCAAGGCGAGCAATTTGAAAAACGCTGACACCCAAGAGAAAGTCATCCTGCCATCTGCGGAAGGTAAGCCGGTGTATTCGAACGATTTACCGTTCGAGTTTACAGCTGGGCTTTAACTCCGTTTGCACCCCGATGGAATTTCTATTTGCGTTGCGATCCCGAAGGGGACTTTTTTTATTTTCCATAATTCGCCCGGTTATTTTTGCGCGGCTATTTCGGTGTGAATCGCTAGATGAGGAATTTCGGCGCGTTAATGAATTTGCTTTGTTTTGGTGTAGATGTAGCGCAAGAGCGCAATCACAACGCCCTTATGGACGGCGTGGAAAATTTCCAAGCTTCCTCCCTCAAACGCACCGACACCAAAGAGAAGATCGTTTTACCTAACGCCCAAGGTAATTTAGAGGAGAAGGATTTATAATAAATAAACCGATGGATTGTGGCGAGGATGTGCATCGAATGGAATTTTGCGAAATAATCGAATTAATATTTTAATACAATAACAAACGATTCGCTTATTAATAATAATATTTTTTTAAAAGGTCGAACTACATCGATTAACCCGATTTTTTTTAACGTTGCAATCGCGAATTTTCCATTGTTTACTAAACATTCGTCGGTAATAAATGCGAATTGCCCCGATACCTATCTGAATTTTTATGAGGTTTTAAAAAGAGTACCTTTTTTATTTATTAAACAGCAATTTTTATGGGACTCGCGAAACGTACAGGAATGTTACGTAAACCGTGGAAAATTTCGAAACTATTTCGCTCGTTTCTTCATCGAAATTTTGGATTTTGCAGATGTGGCCGCGGAGAAGACGGAAAAGGCCTTGATCGAAGGCATCGAACGTTTCGATACCAGCAAATTGAAGCACACCTTAACGCAGGAAAAGAACCCTTTACCAGACAAAGAAGGTAAAAATTCCACGTACATGAGTCATTCCTATCGATGAGTCAGTTCCTACGTAAAACTATGAAAAATATTCTTGTAGGAATTGACTCTTATTGTCGAATTTTCGCTCGACTATATCGATTTCAGAAAAAAAAATTAATCGTGTATGCATGAGTACCGTTAAGGCTTTTTGTTATTAATAAAATTATTCCGAGTAACGCATGTTAAATATTTATGAATAATGGTTGAGTTAACAGGTCATTAACTTTGCGCGGTAATTATATTTTATTAGTCCTAGGAAGCCAGCAACTGGTTTTCAGTTAATACTAAAATATTTAAGGGCCTTTCATTTGCATTCAATTCGATTAAATTAGTCGTATTACGGAATAGACTTGTTGCTTTTATCCACATTGAGTGTCTTTCGAATAGATAAGAGCAGGAAATTGATAACTTGTTGAATTAAATGTGAATCATTACATACAAACCAAATAAGTACTCGTTATGACAGATACTTTATAGTCCATTCGCTGAACTTACTCGTTTCTTGATGGGCAAATGTGAATTAATTTTGAATAAAAACGAAAAAAATCCATTTTCGCAACCATTGCAGGTGCAAAGTACCTGCTGGGTTAATAGCAGATAAATTCTAATAAGTTTATTGAGGATTATAGCTTAGGATTTAAAAGTTATCTCATTTATTCTGGTAGTTCTTTACAATTCTTTGTGAAGGCTACAAAGCCATAAATTCAACTGAAATCATAAATAGTATTTACTGTTATTGCTCAATTTCCGATTGCAACATTTCTATGAGTGGAACAAAGAAAGGTTATTAAAATGACAGTTGTCAGAGTGAAAAGTTGCAATGACACAAATGTCACTCTTTCCTTTTCCTTTGTAAGTGTCTAATGGAAGTTGTCTTTATCGCAGCCATGGCCTATATAACCTATGTTGCGATTAAAAATGGAGCAATCTGTATAGGTACACATTTAAAAATTATATAACAGAAATCTACAATATAGCACCGTCTAGTACTGTCAAATTTCAATCAAACTCAACCATGTAGTCAATCGTCAAAATTCAACCAAAAAATATCTACCATGTTGTCGGAGAATTTCAAAATTCACCTATTCCGTTTTTCGGAATCGTTCGCCCGGCTTAGCTTCTGTTTGATATTTTACACGTTCATTTTACTGCATGACGTTTTCCGCTTTTGCATCGTAGCTGTGCAGCAAGAGAAAACCCACCAAACACTCTTGAACGGCGTCGAGCAATTCGACAAAGCGACCATGAAGCACACGGAAACCGCCGAGAAAGTCGTCCTTCCCGACAAGGAAGGTAGGTCGAATATACACCATCCTCGATTACACATTATATCCTTTATTACCAGTCCTGAATTCCTTGTATTGCTCTGGCTGTAGCGAGCAGTTTGAGTGAATTAGTTAATTAGATTTTTTTTTGGTAATTATCCATGAGGCAGGGGAGTACCAATGGGGAGTTATTTAATACTAAATCCCAGGTCTTGCTACGCCACTGCCTTGGAGCATGTTGTTGTTAATAGTCAATTAATTTAAATAATTCTAAACGTAATTAATGTATATTTTTTATGTGTTTCTGCAGCAATTGAGGCAGAAAAGGGCCAAAGAAAACTGATCTCGGGCATCGAGAATTTCGATAGTACCAAATTGAAACACGCCGAGACTTTAGAGAAGAACCCGCTGCCCACGAAGGAGACCATCGCCCAGGAGAAGAGCGCCTAAAAATGCTCCCAGGGGCTCGAACGAAACGCCAACACTTTTGTATTATTTTATACTTTTATATAATATTTGATATCTATTTATAATGTAAGATAACTACGTAAGGAGCGATACGCGGAGAATTTTTTGCTGCGAAACGGATATCGTTTTGTTTCCAATCGCGTTTTCTTTGGGACTTTGTTATTTCGCGAAAAATTCGAGCTTTTATACTTCTGGATATTCAATATATTGTATTCATTTCATACTTATGTTTAAATTTTTGAATAGATCTAGATTTATGAAAGTATTTCATTTGCATGATATAAAAAAGGTGCTTCAATAAATCAATTTAAAATTGCATTTTCTTATCATTTATCCACAATGACATTATACAATTTAAAAATTCTGCCTACTGAGATTATTTAATAAGACTACACGAACTGTCCAAACTGCCATCGACAAAATCACTTACTAGATTTGCGAACGATTGGAGATTAGAAAGAATACAAAAATACGGTTAACAACAGGTAGATAAAAGATAAAAACAATAAACCGCTAATTTCAATCAGATTCAAAAAATTTGACGCGATGTTGTCGGTTGTAAACGTTTTCCATAAAGTCCACAATATTAAACGGCTTTATATTAAAATAAAATTAATAAAAAAGCGTAATAATAATCAGCAGAGTGTTCTCAGCAGATATAATCAACCGAACTTTCTGGAATATATTAAATTTCATCTATTTTATACGCAATATTCACCAATAAATCACCAAATTTGTTAATTAACAAATCAATCGGGCAACAGCGCTCCATTTTGTTTTCGAAAAAATCGCACGTGCTGTGTTAAACAAACGGCGGTTTCGAACTAAAAGTAAGTTTAAATTTAACATAATATTACTCGATTATTAATGAAATTTTAGATAAAATCATGATGGCAACGAAAGTTGGCAAAAAAGGCAATAAAACAGTCGACGTTTGGCTGGACAAACTCGGCTTGTACAGGAAAAACATCGCCTACGATGAAACTTGCTTGTTTAGGGCAATTAGTGAGCAAGTAAGTGCATTGTAAATTCCGCGGCCAACGAGATTTTACTAATTAATTAACTTCTTACAATTAGCTCTACAACACTCAGATTCACCACGAGAAAATTCGCAGAGAATGCGTCCAACACGCCAGAGAAAACTACGAAAAATTCGTAGACAATATCTTCTCTACGAAGGAAGATTTCTTCGATCACATCGAAAGACTCGAGAAGCACATGGTCAATTGCGGAGACATCGAATTAAAAGTAATAAGCGAAAAGTATAGGTAAATCAAACCATTACAAACACATTCGAATTACTGATATACACTCATTACAGTCGCTGTATTATAATCTACGATGCGAAAACCAACCAACAAATATACCCGTTTTACAACAAGAACCACACCGAACAGTTTTCGCTGTGCTTAATGGACGGAGACCACTACGATGTTGTCTACCAAAAAGACCACATAGTCACAGCAGGATTTTGCCAGTGTAAGTTTCCCTAAAACCAACCCTTCTCAAGCTCACCCACGCAAAATTTCCAGCCATAGTTTACAAAGTCCTCTACGAGAACGTGTTCTGCATACCCGACGTGGACGAGACCGTCCACAACATGCTCTACGACAAAGGCAACATTATCACCCAGGCGGAGTTGATGATGGAAAAGAAGAAGACCCTCTGCGAATCCGAAAGCGAAAGCATATCGGACGAGAAACTCGTCGAAGAGAAACTCAATTCGAGCGTCACAGTCGCTCCGTTTCCCTACAAGATAGCCAAAGCTCTCGACCCGAACATCTACAGGAACATCGAGTACGACTCTTGGAGCGAACTAAGACGAGGTACATTTGAATTTACTATTTAAAGCAAATTGGTAATGAGCGTTTTGTTTAAGAATTTCGCTTGGGGGAATGGTACAACGGCGACGAAAGGCTGATACTGGGAACGAAATGCATCTACCACGATGAGAAAACAAACAAAGACTACGATTGTTACATACAAGAGTTCGTGAAAGAAGGAGATAAGTGCATGGTGTACTTGACTACAACAGCTGAGAAGCGTATTGTAGATTACTGCACTCTAAGCCCGGAGGACGATGCTAAACCGTGGCCTCTGCCTTTTCGGTAATATACGCAAAAATATACTTTCGAATAATCTTACGTTTGTGTTTATTGGAGGTTTAAAAAGAGCGTCGCGATCTACCCGGATGCTTCTCGACAGCCGGAGAAAAACATTCCCAGGATTAAGAAGAAGAAGGAGAAAAAGCGGACGAAAAGCGAAAGCAATATTTCGTATACAGCCACTTCTAAGCCGGAGAGCGGGTTGAAAAACGTCGACGCTTACGTTGGAGTGCCATTGGTAAGCAAATTTTTCTAACAAACTACAAGTCTTAATAACAATCGACTTTATCAGCAAATACAAAACGTAAATACATCCGATGAGAGCCCTGAAACTTCAACCGAAACCCAATTGAATTCGGAGCCTTTACCAACAGATGGTACCGCTACTACAGACGTAGAACCCGGTTCTTATTGGTATAATAACGATTACCAATGGCAACCGTATGTTCAACAACCGGCGAGTCCATATTTATGGATCAACAACCCTCCCAACGCCAGCCAGAACCCTTTCAACTTCAATTTAAAACCGATGGTGGCCTCTGCTCCGGTCACTCCATCGATCATCCCATACCACGGTAAGTTCTTCCAAAATCGTTACAACAAATATAATAGAAACGTACTTATAGATCCAAACTATTTCTACAACCACCCAGTGGAATCCTATCAAGCGTACCCCCAATGGTCGACCCCGGCTTTCGAGTTACTACCCCCCAGGAATCGGCAAGAGAACTTGGTTAAACAAGAAGCAACCAGCGAGGATGCTGCGATAAGCCAGCAGGACGTCGGTCGAAGTACCCAGGAAAACCCGGAGAGCACCGAGTTCGATTATCGCAAAAATAAGAAGAAATTGAACGTGTCCATTCTACCAACGACCGAGACTCCCAATTACGATCCGGGAAGGTTCGAGATGTACACGCCCGTTTCGCCTGCGATGCAATACCCCCAAATCCATCCCAGTATGTATTTGTGTTGTATTTATTTGAATTATCTGTTTAAAGAGAGCTTGTTCGATAGGTACTCCGGTAGTATTCACCCCAGTACCACCCCCTATGACTGAAATGATGATGCCCAGTTCTCCTGCTACGTTTATTCCATCGTTAGAAATGCCGTATATGCCCTCATCGCCGATGGTCTACCCGCTGTCGCCTCCGCTGACCACTTGGTATCCTTACTCGGGCGTTGCCCCGCAGGAATTTGTCTTCCCTCAGAAACCCTAAGTACTTATATCAGTATGTAATACTAAAGCGATTTACAAATCTAAACTTTGTAAACAGTGATCTCGTCGTTGAGACTGAAATGTTAACGTGATATTAGAATAACGAGAATTATTTTTTTTTAGTTATATTTTTTGGATATATTTTGAGTTTTTGTTATTAAAAAAAGAATATCGTATTTTTTTTGTAAAAGTTGTTTAATAAATTAGCAGGTTTCTATAATTTTGATTGTTAATTATTAACCTACGTTAAGGCAAAAAATAAATTCAACAACTTTGCCTAATATGGTAAGTATTATCGACCGTTTGTTGTTAAATTTAATTCATAAAAATATCAATAAAAAATACATCCGGCGTTTTATTATGAAACTGTAATAATTAATATAGCTAACACATGATAATACGAGACCGAATTACAAAAGTAAGTGAAATTTTAACGAACAGCAACTGGTTCTATTTAAGATTCATCATCGCTTCCCGGAGCCTGCCTGGGCTTGGGTCCCCCAGCCCGTTTGGCCATGATAATTTGGTCGACTCTCAAAATCGTCACCGCCGCCCCGACGGCGTATTTCAAGCCCCAAGATTTCGCCGCGTACAAGTCCAAAATATTCTTGCTCAGCGCGTCGCAAATCGCGTTCTCCGAATCGATATCGACCCCTTCGTTTTTGTTACCGTTTTGATGGGCGTCCAGGATTTTCTCCAGCACCGCCGTCGATTTGTGGCCGCTGTTCTCAGCCAGAGCTTTGGGGAAGCTCTCCAGGGCGCTCGCGAACTTCCTCACGGCGTATTGCTCCAGCCCCGGTAGAGTGTCGGCGTATTTGATCAGCTGTACGGCCAGTTCGGCCTCCGTTGCGCCAGCGCCCGGCAAGAATCTCGGATCGCGAGACAAACCCTGTATGTACATACAAAAAGCATTAAATATCATCCAACTTTATGTATGCAATTTATACCTTAAATGTGTTGACTCCATCATCTATAGCTCGCTCGATATCGTCCATGTAATTGTCCGTAGCTCCTCTAACTACGATCGTAGCTATTTTAGATTCTTTACCCTCCAATTTGAATGAAACGATGGGAGTGTCTCCCAATTCTTCCACGGAAACTAGGTCAGCGTAGCCAAGTTCTTGGCTCGTAGGGGCGGTTAAACGAGGCAGGCAAGTGGCACCAATCTGAAATACATTTCGAATTACTCGTGAAACGTTCGATATTATATACTCACAGTTTTGCAAAGCCTTCGTAAATCGAATTTGGAATTCAATCGTACGGCCATGATGCCGTACTTGTGCAGGTAATGCATCGCCATGTCGCCGAATTTGGCTCCGGCCACGATTACTTTGGCTCCGGAATCGGCGATGGCCTTTATCTGCAACTCCAGCAGGTTCTCTTCGCCTCGACTGAAGTTCATGAGCTCGTCGGCGGTCTTGATCAAAACCGTGCCTTTAGTTTCCGTTTGCATAATATCCACAGCGCAACTGTATACAGCCACTTTAGCCTGTTCTGCTTTGGTGATTTCCCCTTCGACTTGCCTCTTGAACACCATACCTTGTACGACTTGCGAGCTGTACAAACCGGCGCCCAGAACTTTGCACACTCTCACGTTGTCGACATTGAAGGTAGTTTCCTCGGGCATGATGGACACGCAGGCTCTGGCGATCAAATCGGCTATGAAATCCTCGTTTCCGTACTGCTTGGATTGTATCGAAGTTTTCAAGACTTTTGTAACTTCTTCCACGTTCCGGTAATCCTTGATCTTGTAGCATACGAGCGTCGGAAGGATTTCCATGCATTTGTCGAGGGCTTTCTCGAAGCCTTCGGCGATTTCCGTGGGGGTAACGCCTAAGCGGATTAATTCTTCGGAATGCTCTGCGAAAATTCAATAATATAGCAGACTTCTAACAAGTATAACCGGTATCTACCTAACAAAGCTCCGGCTAGTATAATCACGAAATTAGTACCATCGCCCACTTCGGAATCTTGCATTTGACTGCCGAGAATGATTAGTTTAGCGGCAGGGTGTTCGACGTCTAGTTCTCTGATTATGGTAGCAGCATCACTGGTAACGAATTGTTTCTCGATGTGGTTGATAACCAATTTGTTCATGCCGTTCGGCCCGTAAGCGGATTTCACAGAGTGTGCGAATTCCTTACAAGCTATTATGTTCCTTATAACAGCTTCCTCCAAACCAGAATAGTGCTGTGAAGGTAAATAAAAAATACCGGTCAATTAAACGATTCGAATGGTAGACCACATGTCATTTATTAGTAGAATTTAGCGAATGTTGTCTTACCCTGGCGCCTTCTTTCATCATTTGGGAGAAGCCCGGAGCTTTGGGAACGTGTAAGGCCATTTTCGTGGATTAAACTCTTTCGAATTAATTAAATAAATTGGATTTTTTTGGGATATTCGTACACGGTCTATCGTAAATCTTCTAGAGAATTTTTTGACAGTTGAAGTTGACGTTTAAAAATGTGACTAACAAGTTTGAAGTTAGCAACGAGCTTCAACTAAAACCTGGCATAAATCGTTTGTTTTTTATTAATAATAAATGTGTTTTATGTTTAAATTAATGTTATATTATACTAAAATCTAAAAAGATGTGTATAAACATAAGGATTTAATTTTTTGTTGCCTGACTGAATAGCTAAGTAAGATAGTGTCAACTAGGAAAAAAAGTAGTAGAAAAAATGTGATTTTTTTTTTTTACAGATGGTAGTTGTATTAATTTCTTAGGTTATGTAGTGATTATTTATGAAAGTTCTTTTTAAATGTATTCAGTTTTTGTGAAACGATTAATTCAAAACTTGAATGAAATAATGTTCATTAAAACCAAACAGAATGGTTTGCAAACTGTTCGACACTTTTCGTCTAATTCAAATGTGAATCCTAAACTCGATTTAGAAGTAAACAGAATAATTTGGATCGACATGGAAGTAAGTCAAACATATTTACCTTGTATTTTCACTATTATTACTTAATATTTACTTCAGATGACCGGTCTGGAAGTCGATAAAGATAAAATTATGGAAATCGCTTGTCTCGTCACCGATGCAGATCTGAACGTAGTAGCAGAAGGTCCCGACATCATAATCCACCAACCCAAAACCATTTTAGACAACATGAACAGTTGGTGTAAAAAACAACACAAGAAAGTACGTAACAAATCGTATTTAGAAAGTGTACATAATAAATCCAATGAATCCCAGACAGGTCTGACCCAAGCTTGCCTAGACTCCACTGTAGGCCTCGAAGATGCGGAAAACGAGATCTTGAAGTTCATCAAAGAACACACGAGCGAGAAAATGTCGCCTTTAGCCGGAAACAGCGTTTACATGGATCGATTATTTCTCTTAAAATACATGCCTAGGATAAACGATTACTTACATTATCGAATAATCGATGTCTCGACCGTTAAGGAGCTTTGCAGGAGGTGGAACCCGAAAATTTTCGACAACGCTCCCAAGAAGAATTTCACGCATAGGGCTTTAAGTGATATCAAGGAAAGCGTAGAAGAACTGAAGTTTTACAAAAGCACGTTTTTTAAATCTTGAATAGCGATTGTAAATTTGTAATAAACAAGCTCTATAGTACATTTTAAATATCTTCAGGTATAATAAGGAAATAAGCTGGTATTAATCGTAGGATGATAAATAACGTGCGATAATTCAGTGGGAATAATCCAGCGGCTGTCATCTCGATATTATCCACATTTATCGCATTAATTGCTTTTAAAATTAGCGCCCTCATTTCTGGACCTTTATCATCGTTAGATCTGATTATTTTAAACTGGAGCATTCCGAGTAATATATCATTTATACGCGATTTTTCTCTGTTTAATTTATCACATACTGATATTATAAAAGTACAAACAGATAAATTTAACAAACGAATTTTCTAGGCACATACAGGGTGTCCCGCATAAGAACCAACACAGCGTTTTAGGTTGCCTAAAATAAGTGGTTTTCGGTTCTTATGCGGGATACCCTGTATAATTAACTTACCACAAACATAAATGCCAAAGTAAACGATGATAGTATATGCATACTGACTGAATGAATCGTAAATCTTCCAAACATATACTTCATCATTATGTTGAATAAATTTAGGTTGACCAAGATGACTTCTATCAGAATATTCAGGATGTGCAAGCCGTAGATATCGTTAAAAGTCGCGATGATTTTCAGGATATCCCAGTAAGTTTTCACGTAGAATTTGATTTCTGTATATTTGTATTGATTAGGCGAGAATACTATCCATAAAGGAGAGCGTATGGTTTCCTGCGAAACAGCATCGTTAAACTCCTGCAACAGCGCGTAAATTTTAACAATATCCAAGTAAATATTAATCGTAACCACAGCTAAGAATACAGCATTCGACGAGAAAACCACAGTGCCTAGAAAAATTTGGTTGTTAGCGAAGCGAAAGTTAAAACTTAAGAGAAAAGCGGAGATTATAGAGAGTAAAAGGAGCAACGAGCTCCATAACGTGCCCATATTCTCGCTGTATTTAATCTTCGTTGCAAAATGATTGTTAATCCTGCGATGTAGAGCATTCAACAAGGCGAAACTGTCGATAATTTTATTTCTCCTAAAATAGCCTCGGTCCAAGTAGAAGATGACCAGCGTAGCAAACGCGAAAACTATCGGCAACTGGTCCATGATAATCACCGAAATGAATTCTACATTTCTGAATATGGTCAACCTGGAAACTGCCATGTATGAATTAACGCACAAGCTTATCAACAGGAGTAACCAGCACACCGGGTGGGGTATTTTCGCTGGCGATATTTTAAGGAAATTGCACAGGAGAACCGCGAGTTTGTTGAATTTTTCGAAATACTTCATTGTGAGCATTTTGTTTGCGACTCGATTAATGGCTGAATAATCGAATTAGAAGCGGCCTCTTTTTGTATACTCGTGTTTGTTCAGGAGATTTTATCTGTGTGATTGAACTCAACCTGATGAATTGCCTGTTGAATAAATTATTGAGTGGACGATAAATCAATACAATTCCACGTAAAATGTCTATTAAATAATTATTTTTTTCTGTTATATATACTATATTGTGCTTTGGCTGCGGTTTCTTTGCTGTAAACTTTCCTTTTTCTCTTCACCTTATTCCACGGTTCCACTTCGACTCTAAAACAAAGGTGTAGTAAAACTGAATTAGTATTTGTGGTTTTTAAATATTACTCTGTGACTTTTTCTTCGATTTTTCCATAAGTTTTTCCAATAATTTCCTCCACATTCTCTAGAACATTTAACAAAAGATTGTTACTAGACGAAACAAGGCTTTCCGATGAAAATTTCTCAGTCGTAAGGTCACCTTAAAATATATAATTAAAAGTTTTTCATAATTATATACTATATTTCATTATCTATTACCTCTGGTAATCGTTCCTTTTTCGATCCGATATTCCTCCAATTCCCTATCTTTCTTTATCAGCAAATTTTTCATCATATTTTGCCGTTTTTCCAACAATATCACAGTTTGTATCAGCGGTACAATTAACCCTTCTCGTAACTACACATTAAATGATAAATAATAACAAAAGTAAGTTAAACAAATATTTTACCAATTCAGCTTCTGCCTTTTGAAGTTCCACTTCGAATTTGATTTTAAATTTCGCATCAACACACTCCGATAAATCGCTAGCTATGCAAAGTTTCGCAGAAGAATCGAGTATGCTAATTTTAATTTCGGATTTATCGGTATCTTTTAATAATTCAAAAACTTGCTTTAAGGCTTCATCTTGCTTAATCTCCACTATAGGATTACATTCCTGAAAATACACATTCGTATATTACAGCACAGGGATTTTTATTCCTACTCACCTGGAATATTTTATAAATTACATCACCAGACACTTTACAGAACCAGATTTGTGCGAGGTTCGTTAGAGATATCTCGTAAATATTCCCAATTTCTTTATGTTTTAGCAAATAAACGTTATTATCTAAAATAATTGTTTTCCACATACTTATATTAAAGTCAAAACAATAAAAACTGAGGTTATGTGTTTGTTTTGACATTTCCTCTTTTTGTTGAGAAAAATTTTTGGCCTCTAATATAATGAGATATTGCGTCAGAATATGTGATGAAATTTCAATTTCTACTTGCATATATGAACAATATCTCTGTGAAGTCCAGGGAATAATTTTAGTATCTACTGCATGAAATAAAAGTGGCATTTAAAATATACAGATAAAAAGATTGAATTCGGATAAATGAAACTCAGTAAATAGAGCATGTACAGAGCGGTTTTGGCATTAAAGAATTTTTATAGCCCCATGAAATCCGCTTTATTTTTCCTGCATATAGCCATAACGCACGGCGCGGTTAGAAATTGTTTCATTACATTACCGCTCTAACACCGCGCAAATGCCGCATTAAAATAATCTGAAATAAACGACTTGTGGAAACGGAACGGCAAAAACAATACGATTTAAACGGCGTCCAGCCGAATGAACGGCTTATCGATTGACACAGATTCCACAGGTAGGAAAAACAGCACTTCTGGAATAACAAAAACACCGTTTCCTGTTTGCACACAAAAAGCCTTTCGTGTCAACGACGTATTAGGTTTTACTTAATTTTCACGATGAACCACTTCGGCTAATCGGCCGTAAACGATACCATAATCTTCAAACCGAGTACGTCTTACCTCTTCGAACTTTGATCGTGATTATCCCTTAAAACTTTCGCGAATTCTAAGTTATTAATTAAGGACTAATGTATTCGGTTACCTATGTACACGTTTATTAGTGGCGAAATCCCTTTTAGGGGCGAACTGCATAATACAGGGTGTTCCTAAACATCGTGTACATTCGAAAGGGGGTGATTCCTTGGCTTATTTTATGACTAAAAGTTTATATAAACATAGGACCGCAAACGCTTCGATAACGGTCACAGAAACGAAAAAAGTTTGAAAATAAATAAGTTTCTAAAAAAACAGACAATTAATTTTGTATTTTAGAATCTACCAGCGGCGCACAGCAAAAAAGTTCGGGGAAAAAAGGGTACATGACCCCTGAAAAAATATCACCCTGTAGAATTCAACAACCATCTGCTATACCCAATAATGTGTGTCCTATAAAGCAATCTAGATTAAAAATTTGAGCTAAATATCTCAAAAATTGTAAGAGCTACAAAGAAAGAACAAAAAATAAATTGAAATTTCAACACCTTTGTAGATCGGTAGCGAAGCTTTTGCGGACCCACGTTTATATGAACTTTTAGTCTTAAAATAAGCCAAGGAATCACCCCCTTTCGGATGTACACGATGTTTAGGAACACCCTGTATACATACCCACTATCGGAGAAAGTTTAAGCTGGAAAATTCGATAAAAAAATAGGTGAAAACGTGAGTTCGCCAACTGAAATAACTCCTTATCATGTCCAAGTCGGCTAAAAGAGCAGTTCGTTCGGCAGCGCCTTATGAGAAATTATCGCCAGTTCGAGACGATAAATCCGTTTTATTTCGTTATGTTCTTGTAATGATCCGGAAAAAAAAGTTTAAAACGATTCCGTTCTGTTCGGAGCGACGTGGAAAATCGTTTATTCCAGTTAAGAGAAACGTTTGCAATATGGCGTGCAAGATTTTATTTTATATTGAAAAGTTGGGAACTTTGTATGATCATTAAAAAGTGTTTGTTTGGAGGTTGAGCCACGCTCAAGGGGATCATCAAGATTATTAGGTTTTAGGTATAGGGAAAATTTGAAATAGATCTTTATAAATAGAGGTATATTAGGTACTGGCGTAAAATCGATTACTGCGATAAATTCCTGCCATTAAAAATCGATTGGAGAAACGAAACATTTCTATAAAATCTCGTAACTCAACGTAACTCACCCTGTATATTGTAAAGAGAGTATACACCTTCCTCCATTTCCGATTGCAATATGGTCATTTCTATGAGTGGAACAAAGAAAGGTTATCAAAATGACAGTTGTCAGAGTGAAAAGTTGAAATGATACAAATGTCACTCTTTCCTTTTCATTTATAGGTATCTAATGGAAGTTGTCTTTATCGCACCTATGGCCTATACAGGTTGTTTCATTTTTGATCGCAACATAGGTTATATAGGCCATGGGTGCGATAAAGACAACTTCCATTAGACACTTATTAAGGAAAAGGAAAGAGTGACATTTGTGTCATTGCAACTTTTCACTCTGACAACTGTCATTTTAATAATCCTTCTTTGTTCCACTCATAGAAATGACCATGTTGCAATCGGAAATGGAGCAAGGTGTATAAAGTTGAAATATAGGTTAATAAATAGAGTGATATTTCTGGCGTAAAATCGATAACCTTCGATAAATTCCCCCGGCGTCAGAAATCGATGGAGAAAGCGGAAAATCGATGTAACATCTTCATCGCCGAGATTCGAACACCGTGGAGGCGACAACGTCGAATAACAGCAAACTCAAAGGCAGCGGTGTTCATTTCACGATTTTCACGCAACCTGAAAAAGGGGTGTAGCCGAATGCGTCAACTTCCCTTACATCGGGACTTCCAGAGTTTCAGTTCGGTTCGGTTCAGTTTTCAGTTCAGTACGTTGTCATCGGTCGATCCGACGCGGCGCGCTCCCCACCCGGTCCGCACCGAATTTTCCGAAAACGGAAAAAGAAAATCGCGAACAATTCAAAACCGACCCGCCACCAGCGACGGGCGATCGCGCCACCCCCGGTGCCGGATCGACATCCGCGCTTTTCACCCGTTTTTCCACCAGCTCGCTGGCCGTCGTCGCGGCGGCGGACGGGCGAAAAAAAATTCCGTAATTAACAACAAACTCGTGCCATACCTGAATAGTTACATAAAAATCGATAGGAATTCAGCGCGGGGTCGATCATGTGTGAATTTTTTGTGTGCGAACCGTTCGAAATGCTCGCGTTGGTATGACAGGGGCTGAACGGCCGAGCAAATTCGAAAAGCACAATACGAAAAAACGAAAGGTGAGTGGAAACGAGACCGCTTTTCCGATATTTTCCCTTCTATTATGCCGAGGATTACATGGTGAATAATGAGTGTTTGTTTGGGTGTTGTTGCTATGGTTACGGCGACGAATCGTTTCTGATTCCTCGGCGAATCGTGCATGCACCATTGCCATCATTCATTTTCCAGCATACCTTTTCTGTCGTACAATTACCTCTGACAATTAACCATAACATTTACTAATCGCTATCTCATTAGCCGAAATAACACAACCTTAATTACTCCAAAAATTGCTACAAAAAATAACCCTTGTACTACCTAAGAGGGACATTTTACCTGGATTTTAATGCTATACTGAAAATTCGCATATAAAATTTTGTTAGCTGCACTTTGCACTAATCCGACGCAGGAATTCCCCAAAACCACTCTACTGTCTACATTCTACTCTTTATACTTTCTATCTATACTCTCTAATACTATTTGCTCTCTGCGCTCCAGTCTCTAGTCTCTACTATCTACTCTCTACTCTCTATTCACTAGTGCTGTAGTCTCTATAGTCTTTACTCTATACTCTCTACTCTCTACTATCTGCTCTCTGTGCACTAGTCTCTAGCCTCCAGTTAGTCTCTACTATCTACTCTCTACTCACTATTCACTAGTGCTCTAGTCTCTATAGTCTTTACTCTCTACTCTCTACTCCCTACCTTAATCTGTCTACTCTAATCTACACCACTCAGCATTGAATGGTATGAATTAATCCCAGAAAAATTACATATATTCAGGAGATAAGAAGAAAAAAAATCCCCAGAAAAGCCCAATAAACCAGATACTCATAAATTTCTTCAAAATTTATCAGCCAACTTTCGGCCAAATTGACCAATATAATAGGTTAATTTTTTACTCGACACTGACCTCTATTTGATATTTTACAACTAAACACTAATTTATCGCGGGTATCAAGCGCAATTAGCGATACCACGAACGCGAAATTAGCTAATTAGCGCCGTAATTGCGCGTAATCCGATCTGACGATTAAAATCGGCGGGCGATCGGCCGGTTTAAAAACCGCCCGGTTTCGGAGTTTGCGGATCTACGCGAGCGCTGGTTTATTTCCTTTTAATTTCCAAATGGGATTAGAAAAATATTTTAATCGAGCCCGGGGTGCGAGGGAATCTCAGAGATTCGGGGGATATTATATAGAGATTTACTGGGGACGGAAATTCGATCTTCTCCGAAGCGTTTCTGGTGTATTTATTTCACGTAGAATTGGTAATTTTAATGGTTTTAATGATTTATGTGCTTTTGGAGAAATTATTTTTTTTATGTTTGCGCACAGATCGATTGTCATAATAGAAGTTTTATTTGTATTGTGATAATAATTAATGAAAAAATATTGTTGTACTTCAATAATTGAAAGTTATAAGCAGTGGTATATTATATTTGCATGAATTATTAAAACATCAATACACTCTCTTCTAATCAAATACCGTAATTGTAGATGAATGATTATTAAATATTTATAATTCGTTGAAATATTTTGATAGCAATTAATTGTGATGTCATAATTTTTTGAATTTGTTTAAGGGTAAATAAATACAGGATATCACAGGTGTTTTTGGGTAGGATTTTTCTTTCAAATTTCTCTTCTGTCTTTTATCAGTAACGCTTTTATGTTACATATAAATTGAGAGAAATTTTATGTTTTTAAAGGAATACATTTCAAAAACGAATCGTCAAATTTTTATGTATATTTTTCGTTATATTCAGGAAAACAATTCTAATTATGTTATATCAGACAGCCCATATACCCTATTCAATTTTCAAGGGTTGGTGTTGCGTGGCAAAGGGATGAAATAATACGATGATTTTTACATCAAAATTGACCGATTTTCTAAAAACTTATTTTTCCTTATGTGACACCCAGTAAAAGATTCCATCGAAAAAAAAAATTGTTTCCCCTAAAACCACTCCATCCTAAAATTAATCTTTCATACGGGATATTATGCACCTGGTGTAAAGACCCACCTTCGCATCCACCGAATTCCCTTATGTCGAGAACTACTTCGCAACGGGAAAACTCATAAAATGCATTTTACGACGACTTAGCTGAAAAATTCCGGCGCTTTCCCCGCCGCACTTCCAACGAATCAAACCCATCGAATCCCGCTGTAATTGTGTCCTTTGTCGACCACCCGGAAAATTCGCCTAATCTACTATCTGGGCCGCGCCATTTCGCCCCCAGCTGCTGATAAATTCCATTATAGCTGCATATGCAGGAATATTACTGGCTAAAGCGTGCCCCTAAACAGCAAAAAGTCCTGTTTGCGGTCGCCGAAGAATCGATTTCCACTCTATACACTATGTAGTTTTTATACATTAACGCCAGTTACAGGGCGAATCAGTTCATAATTCTAATAATTTAGGTACAAAGTATACTAGTATATGCATATTATACAATTTTATTCCGATTTCGCGTTTTGCAGGAGCTCTCAGTGTTCGGCGAAGCTCGTTTATTGTAGCCTCCATTACATTAAATTTCCCCCTTATCATTTTAGGTAGCATCTTACATAGGATGCAGTTCCACTCGCAGAAATAGTTTCCAACAGAAAGACGCCTATTTGCATGTAAGTGCATGCGATGTGCAGGGTCGCTTCGAGCCCACAAAAATTCGAGTGGAATCGCCAGCGTTGGAAATTAATTAGGAAAATAATTGTAAAGCAACAGCCGCAGGGAGACGGGTCGTCTAAGTTAGATAATGCACATGCAAGCACGCATCCTCAATTGACCCGTCGCCGTTACATATTAGGCGGATCGATAGAGTTGATACGCAAACAGATTTCGAGAAATCCGGCCGAAATTTAATGCCCGCGCGCGGGGGATTTCCCTCTTCGGGCGGAATTTCGCCTGTTTTCGCCGAACAAGGAGCTTAGGCGATCAAAATATGGGGCGCGGGAAAAGAAAACGTTTCGTAAGCGAATTTCCTGTTTCGATAATTTCCCGGCCGACGTTTACGGAAAATTGAACAAAGAATATAAATCTCGCTATATCCAAAGTAGGTAATTTATATACGCGGATGAATATTATGCGGAATTCGAGTTAATTTACCTGTTTTTCGGATCTTGTTCGAGAATTCTATAGTTCAAGTGATTCTATAGTAGATCCAAAATAACCTAGTAATGACGGTACAATTATTGCGATGTTGCCACGTTGTAATTTTTGCCTTAAACATTGAGAATTTTGGCTAAGGAAACTAATAAAAAGTAGAAATCCATTAAAAATTACCCTGTTTTTGGATTCCAGATGTCAATAAATGACCGAAATGATTCTATCCTAGGCTCCTGTTGATCTACGTTATAAATATTGCGACGTTGCCAAGTTGTAATATTTGTCTTAAACATTGAGAATTTTGACTTAGGAATGCAACAAAAAAGAGAAACCAACTAAAAAATACCCTTGTTTTCTTGATTTCGTTTACTTAATAGGTAGAAAATGACAGAAATGACTATATAGGTTCTTATTAATTTAGTAGTCACGTCACAAATATTGCAAAGTTGCCAAGTTTTAATTTTAGTCTTAAACATTGAAAATTTTGGCTTAGAAAAGCAACCAAAAGTAGAAACCCGTTAAAAATTGACCTGTTTTTGATGCCATTTACATAGTTAAAATGTACACAAAATGTACAATGTTAAAATGTTAAATGACAGAAATGATCTTAAACTAGGCTCCTGTTGATCTACCAACGACGTCACAAATATTGCGACGTTGCCAAGTTGTAATTTTCATCCCTAACATCGAGAATTTGCATATAAAAAAGCGAAAAAAAAAACTGCGGTAATAATTTCAATCCTGCGATGGGCTAGGTAACTCCGGAGCATTGTGTGCCCGCTCACGAACCATAAAAAGGAAATGTTTGCGTTCCGGCCGGGCTTTTATTCCTATTCTTCCAATACGTCTCTCCATTCTTATTCATAAAACCGAAGGGTATCTCGCCCGACATCCCCTGGTCCTCGGCATTTCGGAATATATTCGAGTAATCCATCCGGCATGCAATAACTTCATATATTTCCGCTAAGCGCGGATTTTTCCCAAAGTGAAAGCCCTTTTCCCGAATGTATTCATCGCAAATATGCCTATACATCTTTTCACTCTAACGTGAAGCTCAGCTCACCGCTGGTTTTCAATAGTTCATACAAAACAACTTTTCTCACGTACCTACAGACTGACAAGAATAGCTAGAACTACGAAATTTCGCATGCGCAATAGTAAAAACCACTTTTCACGCTTGTATATCAATAAAATACCATTTTCCCAGTACATAATTGCCTTTAATGTCGCCAGATAATAAACAGCGTCTAGTATAGTCGAGAAAAACAATCAGAAACGGGGCTTTTACGCTCGTCTATTAACCCGACGATCGGAGGGCGACTTCACGACATGTAAAAGCTCTCCGTGTCGCCGGAAAACTGACAATAATTATTCTTTTATCGCGTCGTTCGATTCGAATATGGCGGGACGGCGATAAATTCTCTCCGGCGTCGGGGCCGTTTTAATTTCGAGTTCGACTCCTGTTGAGCGGGAGAGGCTTAATAAAAAAAGAAGAGCGAAAGGAGCGGAGGCAGATTCAATTTATAAGTAGAGTAATAGGGCTCGCTGGCAATCGGCTGTCGGGCGTCAATAGAGGGAAAGTAACCCCCGAGAAGAGAAGAGGCGCCCGGTGAAATATGGTTTTCGTACGAATGGCGACGGTCGTTTAATAAAAATATTTCTCGCCTGTCTCCGGTGGATTGCCCATTGCGATGTTTTATTGACGTTTGGGCGGGTGGCTGGATGGGCGAGATGTAAAAGGCCATCTAATTTGGAGACTTCTAGTTTGTGTTTTCAACTAGTTAATTTTATCGATGCTGGTTTTTTGCAAAAAAGTTTCGTACTTTTCCCGGAAAACTCCGGCGATTTTGATTAAACTCGCTTAAAATGTTCTCTGCTATTATTTAGCTTCGAATCGAATCTCCGGAGGAAAGTT